TTCTGCTTCGATGGGCGAGGCCATTCCCTGATAGCCTTGACGTGGCCGGCGCTGGTGTGGATGCCATCCTTTGAGATGACATGTCCGAGGAATTCAGTTTCTTCTTGCATGAAGGAGCACTTGCTCAACTTCGCATAGAGGCCGTTCTTGCGGAGGAGCGCCAGCACACTTCGGATGTGGGCAATGTGCTCTTGTTTCGTCTTGGAGTAAATAAGAATGTCATCAAGATAAACAACAACCCATTTGTCTAAAACCGGATCCAAAACCTTGAACATCATGTTGGAGAAAGATGCAGGAGCATTAGTGAGACCAAAGGGTACCACATTGAACTCGTAGTGTCCGTACCGACAGCGAAATGCTGTCTTGTGCGTATGAGGCTCAAATATCCGTTGCTGATGGTATCCTGACAGCAAGTCCAGTTTCGAAAAGTATCGTGCCCCTCGGAACCTGTCGATGAGCTCGTCGATGCGAGGGAGCGGGTGGCGGTTCTTCCTTGTGATTCGGTTGAGTCCACGGTAGTCAACGCACATTCGGAGCGCACCATCCTTTTTTCTGACGAAAAGGACGGGCGCGCCATAAGGCGATGTGCTGGGCTTAATGAATCCTTTGGCGAGGAGGTCGTCGAGCTGTCTCCTGAGCTCGTCCAGTTCCGCAATAGAGAGGCGGATCACAGGGCGGAATGGCGGGTCTGCGTTGGGGTCAGTCTCGATTTTCATAGCATCCCCTCGGTCTGGTGGTAGACCGGCGGGGAGTGAGTTGGGGAAGACGTCTGCAAACTCCTGAAGTACAATGGGTCGGACTTCGGGCGGAAGATCAGGTGTGGAAGGTTTGGTATCGTCGTCGTTTTCATCATCGCCGTCGTTGTCATTGTCGTTGTCGCCGCCGATTTTCACCAGAGCCATGAACACTTCCGCGTCAGGCTGAGCTGCAAGAGTATGAAAGTGCAAGTGACTCATCAAGAGGCCACGGGACTTAGCTGTAATGGATGAGGGTGCGAAGCCTCGACACGTCCAATGAACGGTGTTGCCATTATGTGTGAAATGAAGGTCGTTGGTACGCCAGTCGATGTTGGGGTTGATGTGTGTGAGCCATGGTTTACCGAGGATAAGGTCGTATTTTTTAAGGGGGTAAAGAAGGGTGTTGATGGTGTCGGAATAGGAATCTCGTTCGAGTGTGATGGAGGCGGAGTGATTGGTGATGGAAAAAGTACCGTCGGGGAGAACAATAGGAATGGGGGAACAGGAATGGAGAGGAAGTGAATGTCGTTTTTGAAAAGAAGAGCTAATGACGTTTCCTTCTGCTCCTCCATCAATCAAGATGTGGGCGGGGCGACCGTTAATAGAACCAATAAAAGTCAGGAGGGTGCGCTCGGCCTCAGCCGTTGTGAAGGACTGCAGCCGAACGGTACGCTTACGAAGGCGCTTCAGCTGGGTCTTGGAGAGGGCTGGTGCTAGAGTAGCGAGAGAGGCAAGTGGGTCCAGGTCCACTGCCTCAGACGACCTAGACACCACGGACGGGTCGTACGTGGGTTGTGGTTTGTCTGAGACGGTTGGCAGGACATCAGGGGCATGGTGAGATTCGATGGTTGTTTTTGTTGTCTTTGCTTTTCTTGGAGCATTTTTGTACGATTGGAAGGGAGCGAGCATAGGCACAGTGGAATTGTTTTTATTTTTTGAGGAATAATTACTTAACTCTGAGTGGTGCTCACTCCCCTTGTCCAGAAGAGAAGGGGAGGGAACTTCAGCGACCAAGTCCTGGACTAAGCCTGATCGCTGGAGGCGTTTCCCGCCGAAGCAGAACCAACACCCGCGGCAACCGAGAGGTTGTTCATATTGCTGCCACGGCAGTCTCGTGCCATATGGCCGTCTTGTCGGCACTTGTAGCAAGCACCCCGGGCTCGAAGGCGGGCGCGTTCGGTGTCGTTGAGTGGGGCGAGGTTGTGGCGGCCGTTATTGTTGTTGACCTGGCGGCGGAGTGCATTGAGCTCCAGTCGCAGGTTATCCAACTCCATGGCCATCGGGTCGGGTAGACTGGCGGTGTGGGCGGTGAGGAAGGCATGTGCAGGGGTAGGAGTGGCATGGTTGGCGTTAGTGGGAGTGCGATTGGGTAAGGAGAAATTATAAATGGTGTCAAACTGCTCGGCAGCCTGACACATCTCGTGGATAGACACCGGGCTGCGGCTGTTGATGGCGAGGCTCATCAACATCTGGCGCAGGGCTAACGGGGCGCCTGCCAAGAAGCATGACTTGGCAGAGTCCTCGAGCATAATACGAGCCTCAGGGTGGGTCTCGTTCGTGCACAAAATGGCCAGGTAGCGACGAGTGCGACTGACATAGTCAGCAACAGTGCTAGACATTTTGATTCCGAAGAGGAGGGTTCGGACATGATCATAAAATCCAGCGGGGCGGAACTCCGCTCGAAAAAGCTCCTCGAACTGGAACCAGGGTGTCGTGTCCGGCGCTTGCAAGCCGTCCCACCAGAGGAGGCCAGTGGGGCCGAGGTACGCAACAGCTGTGACCGTGCGCGAGTCTTCGCTGATGCGAGCACCAATGAAAAAACGGCGGACAGTGGTAAGCCATGCTTCGCAAGCGAAGCCATCCCGCACTCCGTTGAAGGCAGTGGGAGACGGGTACCTGTAGGAGGGTAACAGGACCTGGACGGGGGCAGGGGCGGGGGCAGGGGTGGATTCATTCATGGTTAGGGAGGAAAAAAGGGATGACAGTTGGTCGGCCAAGGTTTAATTTAATTGGTGGATCAGGGTAAAAATTTAGCAGAGTTTCGTGGTACAGGGGGATCGTGGTTCAGGGACAGAGGTGCAGGGGATCGAAGAACCTTTGCTACCATGTAATAGCTCTAGGCAGTCGAGGGCAGGGGTAAGGATGGAAAGGGTTGGAATGCGTGCTGTATTAAGATGGCAACTAGCTGGTCTATATATCTATGTCTACGGTCCGGTTCCGGCCCGGCCGGTTGTCTATAGCCGAGGCCCCAGTCCTTTCGGAGTCGGGGCTATAAGCGGGGTTATCCTGTTACAATTACAGAGTAGTAAAGGTCAAGATGAAATATATGAAATATAAAACACAGATAAATAGGTGACAATTGCAACATAAATCATACGTTCAACACACTACCGATGATCAACGGCTTCAATGAATTCTTGGTGTCTGCCATGGCGAGAGAGGAACCAGAAGCATTAATGCAGAACAGGATGGTGACCCTGCAGCTTCTGTTGGCCTTGGTGCCCGACTTTGACTCTCGAGTTGTGTAAGACTTGTTGTCCAGCTCCTGCAAGTAAAAGCCAGTCTCGTCGCAGTTGAATATGTTGTCCGGAGTGTATTGGGCGCAAAGCTGACGGATGTCGGTAAGCTCTGGTTCAATCGCATCCAGGTCGACCGATCCTGCTTCTCCATGCAGCTGGCAGTAGGTTATCCCATAGTGTTTCTTGAAGGCGTTAAACCATGAGGCTGAAAATGACGGCGGCGCCTCAGACACAGTATCGCCCGAATCGTCCTGCAGGTCGACGAGAATCATACCTGCATTCTTGATCATCTTGCCGTTGACAGGGATGTTCTGCTTCCACTGAATTTGTAGCCACCGATATAGGACCTCCTCGATCAGTACGTTCTTGCGGTTGACGATGTAGTAAGCATCCTTAGGGGACGCATTGGCTGCAGCACGTATTTCGTCTTCTCGCTTGAGCATGCGCCTAAGGCTACGTTCCGGAAGACTGATGCCTATCATAGGCCCGAAGGAGTGGTGAGAAAGCTTGATATTGAGATTTTCCTTCCGATCATGGAGATAATGATATATGTCCAGTAATTCGACTTGCTTCTTCAGGGTGTGAGGGGCCCTGACCATTGGGATTTCGAACTGGTTGACTTCAGGAAATGCAATGTATGTGTCCATATCTTTGCGCCTGGCACAATCCAAAAGCAAACTGTATTTCAGTCGACGAGTGTGTTCGGTATCTTCAAGTTCGCGCTTGGTGTATTTGTGATTCTTGACAGGAGGGTGTACAAGAGTTGATTTTTGTTTTTTGCTTGACGTCGTTGCTTGGGTCGAGAGCGAGCCATATTGTCTTTTTTGGGAAGTTTTTGTAGCCATGGTGTTGAGATGTATAGAATACAACATGAAAGACGTGTACATGGGGAACAAGAAGTACGCTTGCTACGCAACATGTGACTGAATATGTGACTGTATTTTGTCTCTTTAGAATAGTCCACCCAGAGAGGTCAATTCAATCTGAAATTAAGTTTATCGGCCGGGTTTTGTTAGCAAAACCCGGCCGATAAACGAGTTTCGACTGTCATACACACACACTCTCTCTCTCTATCATCTGCCTCGAACCATTTACTACATGGCTGTGTGAATCCGTGCATCAGTAATTGACCAATCTTTAATTCCCATTGTGCTTCTTTCTCTAACCGTCTTTGTTGATCTATCAGGAAATTTGGGTAAGCGCCTTTGCTTCTGCATTTTGGGGTTCACAATATCCATGACAGTGGCCTGTACCATTTGCCATTGGTCCGGCAAGTATGGTAGATGAGCGACGTAAGTCCATTCCAGTGCAATTTACGGCAGCATGACCTAGTCAAGCCATGGAGCATGCTTGCTATTGCTGCGCTGTTCGTCATCCTACTGCGAGGGAGGGTATCCGTATCCTTGCCTGGCTAGCCGGGAGCCCTTCCTTCATTTGCACTTGACCCAGCGTAATGAATAGGGCGCTCGGCTGTTCTTCAACACGAACAAGGGATGCTATCGTCTTACTTTGGATAACACTGTGACAGCTAACTCTGTCTTTTGCCGTTGGTCGGGCGAATGATGAGACAGACAGCGGCTCGAAGGCCATTCCAGTGCAATTTACGACAGCATGACCTAGTCAAGCCATGGAGCATACTTGCTATTGCTGCACTGCTCGTCATCCTACTGCGAGGGAGGGAATCTATATCCTTGCCTAGCTAGCCGAGAGCTCTTCCTTCTTGTGCACTTGACCCAGCGCAATGAATAGGGCGCTCGGCTGTTCTTCAACACGAACAAGGGATGCTATCGCACTTCTTCAGTTTGTGAACCACAATATTATTACAGTGTTATAAGTATTATATTGGATGCTGATATAATATTTCTCTCTTGCTCTCGAGCTCATCACCACATTCAGATATGATTGACGAAGCAGTTTCTCAATACTTGAGAGTCGTATCATCAAAAAAGAACGTTGGGGCGATCGACTTTTTTGTCACAAGGAATGCTATGTCCCAGGATTGTGGCTCGATGTCTGCGGCATGGCTTCGTGGAGTGAACCGTCTCAAGAATCAGAACCTCAAGCGACGGCTGAAAGCTGATTGGGAAGCTACCGCGAAGACGCGCAAAGCTTTCTGGGATGGACTTGATGAACAAGAACGAGACCAAGTAATATGACGAGTTATATAATGGTGAAAGCGTGCATTACAAAGTTCGACCATGCATTATTTTGTTAACAGTGGACTTCTTTGATATTCAAGATGTACCGTAGAGATATCGAAAAGTCTGTCGTAGGAGACAAGCTTTACGTTGCAGTTCAGCATTCAAGTCGAATTCAAAAGGGTAATTGGTTCTTATCTTGGACACCCAGTTGCACCCAGTCTATGTTGAACAAAATTTACTGATTTTGCTATGATTTAACAATAGGCCCAATCCCTCATTCTACAACCTCAACCTCGAGTTCATCGTCATCGTCATCGTCATCATCATCATCGACTCACGCTGTGTCATCATCTGCGAGTTCATTGTCATCGGTCAATGCTGTGTCTTCATCCACTCGAGTAACAAAGGCTACCAAGCAAACGCCACCCTCATTAGAAGAACCATGGCAAACTCTACAAGATTGCGCCCAGAAAGTGTAAGATACGCCATGACGATTTAGAGTTACTGTTCTAAGAATGCGACACTAATATTACTTCCTGCCTGTCTATGTAGAGCCAGAAACGTCCGATGCCATTCCTTGAAATCGATATATCGTCAATGTCAGAGACTAGAGCAGGGCTTTTCCAACATGCTTACGATTCACTGCTTCTATATCAAGGCAATGGAGAAGATCTCGTTACACTAAAAGACGCGTTGTATGCTGTTGTAATTCTACAGGAATATCGTGGAGTGCAATCCTTATTATATCAAGACATATTTAACTGACGAGTGCTGTTATTCTTGATGCATAGTGTGGCGCTCTCCTGTACGCTGAATCTTTCTGGACCGAACCTAAAGGCATATTTTGCCAACGAAATCCTGGATTTGGCAATGAAAGATGCGGCGCCGTCTGAGAAGCGAAGTGATGTTTTGATCTTCTTAGAGCCGTTCTACGAGAATCTGGTCAACTCTGAAATGGATATAAACAGACTTCTACCCTTAGTTGTGAGGCGTAAAGCGGATCTGATGGAGAAGAACAAGAGCAACGAGCTCGAATGCAAGATTACCGACATCATCGAGTACCTGTAAGCCTTTCGTCATGTCATATATGATAGCGCTTTTTATGCGAACAAATTACATTATCTGTGTCTCACTAATTCATTCTTACTTATTTTTGTGATACAGATGTCGTCTGATCACTTCACCAGAAATGCGATCCGGTGAGTCATTCTCAGAAGCTGAAGTGGTTGAAGTTTGGAGGGGTCTCTTCAAAATCCTTCTCCGAGACACAAGCGTATATTCAAAGAGGTATCATTTTGTTGCTATGATTCTTAATAGCTTTCCAGCCTTTTTTCTTGAGGACTGACACTACACTCATTTGATATGATCGTAGCGGTGAGACAGTCGTTGTAGCCTCGAAAGGCGTTCAAGAAATTCTGAACAAAGAGTTTGGCGATCACAGCACATATGGTCGCAAAGCAGATATGCTCTTTAAATCGAGATCCGAACTATGTAATTTTGAGTTCAAGGCCGAAGGGACACCACAATCAGAGATAATGGTACAAAACAGAAAAAACATCCGACTAAATCGATGTATCCTTGAACATCTACGACGACTCGGTGTCTCTCGGCCGAGGATAATGTTTGCGGACTTTGAAGGTAATCTAATTGGCCATGATGGTTGAAATGATGGACTATTCATTGATTGCATTAATGATTATGTTCTTGGATAGGGTTCTCTGGGTGTGTATTTTTACTTCAGCCATTTAGGGACATCTATACGAGCAAATGTATTGACTACCTATCTGTGCCACGAAATACAACGGAGTTCAAAGAGCTTCTCCAAGACGGAAACCTGATTTCATCGCTGTTGGTCATTGTGGTATGTTGTAAAATTCCAAACCTTTAATAAGTATAGTACGTTCGTTTAAAGATGCTTATTAGATGGATTTTGATATCTGATAGCAACACCTCCTTGATTCGGAACAGGAGGTAAATGAAGCTCTGGATAGGCTGGCACAAGCCAACACAAAAAGAAAATTGCTACAACTATATGCTGCCCACGATAAATCTCCCTCCCCTAAGGAGCGGCGCTTTTCAAGCTCCATCTATCTCAGCCCATCCTCCAGAAATAAGAATTCGTAATGGATTCTTCTTTTTGGGCCGAGACCTATTCAAATAGCCAAAAGTGAAGTTCATTAAAGCACATCTTTGCACAAATCCTACAAATGCACAAATGAAAGCTCTGCAGAGTACGATCGTTGGTACTTTGGTGGGGGGATCACATGAGGTATAAATATCTCACTATGGGTTCGAGCGCACAAGGATCTTTTTGCGAGGCTTCGATGTAAAGACAGCGACGGACCAGATAACCCACCTATATGAGAAGCTTATAAAAGAATATCAGGGAATCGAGGATGTCATCCCCAAGCAAAAAGACTTTTCCGTCCTCAACTATATCAACATGTGCAGTAGTGAAGGTCACTCAAAAGCGATTCTTGCGTTTGTGACAAAAATAATGAGTGACGACAAATACCAGGACGTTTTCAAGCAGCACGATAGCGATTTTATCGATGAGGACGAAGTTGATGAGGATGGCGATTTACACATGGATTATGAGGCTTCTCAGAGACCGAGGGAAGCAAGGGTCGTTTTTGTTCGCCATAATCGCACCGTTATCACTACTGAGCCTCTCATCGAAGAACACTCATCGTCGGAATCAAGCCCACGCTAAAAGACGATATCCTATATACGAGGAATCTATCAGGATCTCGCTAATACCACCCACGGCATCCTTGACAGCCATAACTCCAGATTGCAGCATGAGTTCAGTCACTTTTACGGCTATGCGGAGTCCTTTTTAGATAGGGGGTTTTTTTTTCTTTTTTTTTTTATATTAATATAAGTCCACATGAGACGCATGGTCCGCAAAGGCCTTGAAGCCATAGATGCCTTCCATGCACGGCATAGCCGTGTCCCCTACCAACTATGTTGGCTTGAGGTGTCAGATTCATAACTCATGTCGCATAGCTAGCCTAATCTAACTCCTACTTGACCTGTGGCGCGATACACGTTGTTGGCCAGCAGCCACCGAGGGTACGCAGGATTTGATATTAGGTTTTGGGGTTGTGCCTGTATAAAAGGAGGATCGAAGCCAGCGATCTTTTGTTCCTTGTTCCAGTTGAACAAGAAGACCGTTGTGCTGATCACTCGCTACAGTGTGCGTAGTTGTGCGTTAGACCCTTGTATTCAGTGTGGAACACAAATTATTCGAGCATTCAGATTGGGAGTTTCCTTACTCCATACAACTGTAAAAGAACTATCTCCAAGCGCAACAACGTCTCCTAGTCAAGATCCGATGTTAATAAGGTTGTTTTTAAGCCGAATAAACCCTCCATTATGTCCAACTTCCCTTGCCCCAAACAATGCTGTAGCACCCTATAATTCGCGGTCCATCTACCTTCCTGGGCTTCCGCTGCAAGTAGTCGTCTCCCTTTCAAATCAGAGAAATCACCAACACTGCGATGGTGTCCCCGATCACCGTTGCGTCCTCCGGCGCGTTTGCTCATGAAGTTGATTCCAACTGACTTTTCCCAGGCGACAGTGTCCTCGCATCGTTTGTTCCATATCTCGGTTCTGCCAAACTCTTCGATCCTGCTCACGAACTTTGTCACCATAATCGTCGCAATCCACTTGGTGGTGGTAAATAACTGTTTCCAGGTCTCAATGAGTCTCGTTGGCACCAATCCTCGGTACAACTCCTTGACCTCCCAATCCGCATCATTTTCCGATACCTCTCCTTCAGCAACATCATATGTCCCTCGTCTTTCCGCCGTCCCCTGAATCCATTGCATTGACTCCCAGATAGCGTTCGTTCCTGTTGCCGAGAAGTTGGGACAAGTCGCAGTGAAGTACTTGTCCTCCCGTTCGGCCTCCTCTTTCTCCTGTTCCCATTTTCGCACTGCCTATCTCCATGTACGATATCCACTTGGCCTCATCTCCTCCACCGCGTCCCTCCACTCTTGCCGCTGATCGCATAAGGTAGCTGAGCAACACCAAAGATGACCGTTCGTCTCTGCTTCCCTTTCACACCTATGACATATATCCATTTGGTAGGTACCTGGATGTCGTTTCTTCATCGCCTGCAATGTCGGCAAATCTCCATGCAACTTCTTGATCCTGTGCGAATGCAAACGACAGTCTTCCAGACTGATGTATAGGCGCTTTGGCGGGTTGTTATTGTGTAGGATCCGCAGCGTGGGCGCTCATGCTACCGACCGCCAGTCTTTGATGTAGGCCCTCGTTCGATGCTGCAATGTCCATTGGCAGTGGTGCCGTACCGCTGATTGCAGCTTCAGTATCCTTCTCAAGTCCAGGTCTGCACTGTGTGTTGCAAACTGTGTGTGGCATTTCAGATCATGGTGTTGCGTTGCGTCTAGCCTCCACAGTCCTGTATCGATCCCATGTGCTACCTTGGCAACAGTGTCGACAGCCTCGTTGCCACGGTGTCCAGCATGTCCTCGTATCCAATGTACAGATATACCTTACCCTTGTTGCAAGAAGGCATAGTGCACCATCGCCCACCACTGCGCGTCTGCAGATCGCAAACGCTGCCTCGCTGTTGCTGAATTCCGCTGCTGCACCAAATCCTTGAAATTATTGACAACCGTGAGATTGTCAATGTAGATGTCAACGTCCACTTCCCTTGGGCTGATAAGAATTATTGCCAAAAGCCCACACATCTCTGCAATTGTTGACGACGCGTATCCACCGACCCGTCCGCTGAACGCCGTTGTGTAGGGACCACCATCCACCGAAATGACAACTCCAAATGCTGCACTGACTTGCTCCGTGCCGTTGTGAATCACTGACCCATCCGAGCAAAACTGTAGCCTTTGATGTGTTTGCAAATATCGTCTAGCTGCCTGAATTTGCTGGATTGTTGGTGCCTGGAGCGCCAATCCAAATAAATCTCGCTCAATTCCATCTGGTACTGCCGGCAATGGTTGGTTAACAGGCGTCGTCATATTGTCCACCGCCTTGTGTGCATTCTCGTGCAGGCGGTCTATACACACCTTTGCATCCCCATTCATATATTTACGATATAAATGACGTCGTCTTCGTCGTTCTTCCCTGTATCGAGCCCGCCTCTCGATATCCTGCAGGCATCGTTGCTCCTCCTGCTGTCGCTCCTGCCGCTCCTCTTCCAGTTGCCGTTGTCGGTCACGCTCTTGCTGCTCTGCTTGCTGCCGCTCCTCTTCCAATTGTCGCTGTTGTTCACGCCTTCGCTGTTTTGCTTGCTGCATTTGTTGCCGAACGTGACTCTGTATTGCTTTCAGTTGTGCCCGCTTCTGTTTAATCCGCTACTGATCGAGTCTGTGACCTTCCCTGTCGAAAGCACGGTCCAAGTCATCTTGATTACGCAGTCGATTACCTGGCATTTTTACCATAGCACGTCAAATATATTCCTGCTTCCTTATGCTATGCTAGTCCTTTTTAGATAGGATTCGGATTTTTGGAGAATGATGGCAACTGTAGTCAATGAGATATATGCCACTCTAAACCTCTATATTCTACATATTTTTTCAATTGGACTGAATATTTGAGGGCACTTCCGCAAAAAATTTCCATAATACCGAACGGTGGCTGCAGACAAATTTTATGTCGCGAATAATGAGTCCTGCCACTGGTACCCTGTAATCATTAATTTGTCCTATTAATCGGATAGTGCCTCTTCTATTTTGATAGGTCTCACTGCCATTCTCCACCGTCGCCAATCAACGACGCTTGCTTCCTCCTTGAGAAATCTCAGCCAATACACCGGAGGTCCTGCGATCAATTGAAATAAGTGCAACAAGCTTAGATGCCCAGAAGCTATTTGTTGGCATTCTTCCTCCCTTGATCAAGTAGCCTACTGTATCTAGAATGCCCACAAGTTTCCGAAGAAATGTAAGAGCGTAATCTAGTTTGTTTGAGCGAAATCCGTAGTATGTTTATCTTATTTCCACCAAGAGGATGATGCCCGTCAATAAACTCAGCGGGACAATCCCAAAACTGATTGCTTTTATGAGTGGTGACAAAGAGCTGCGGCTTGCAGATTCCTCGCCCTCAAGTTTTTTTTTTTTTTTTTTTTTTTTTTTTTTCAATTTTCGGGAAGAGAAAACGGCTGGGAACAGGGCAGAGCGCAATGCTTTATATTTCCAAGCAAAGATGCAGATGGGTTGAAAATGGAAAGAGGAGAGAGGGGGATAGGATAATTACTCTATAAGTATGGCTCTTTTAATCTAAAAAAAAAAAAAAAAAAAAAAAGTAAAGTAGATGAGAAGAGATAAAAAGACGAGAGGAGGGAGTATCTACAGGAATACGACACGATCCAACAAGACACACTCGTTGGTGTCCTTGGGAGGGAAGCAGCTCTTGCAGAACTGGGTTACATCTTGCTTGACAGCCTTCTTCCACTCATAGTAGGGTGCCCTGTTGACAGTCTTCATGAACTCCACCAATTCGTCGGTATTCTTGAAATCCTGGGCGTTGATGTAGCTTCCCTTGGGGACATAGTCGGCAATATCCATGGCTCCCAGGTAGATGGGGATCGCTCCACTTTGGAACCCGTTGTAAATTTTTTCCGTGACATAGGTAAGGCAGTTGGAGTTCTCGGCCACGAATGTGAAGGGGTATGCGCTGAGAACCTTGGTCTTGGTGTCGTAGTTGTAGATCTCATCGTGGAGGTCGGTGGGGAAGCCCTTGTTGTGGAAACACTTGCCGTAGGAATGGGCACCAATTTTGGCAATCATATCCTGCATCAATTCGTTGCGGTTGTTTTGAGGTTGACAGTTGGAGACCACCCAGGCAATGTAATTGACGGGCTTCTTGTCAATGGGAACTTGTGGCTGGACATTGGCCATCTTCAGGGCTTGATCTTCAGAGATGGCAAACAAGGGGTATGGGATATCGAACAAGGGACCCGGGCTGCCCATGGTGAGATCGAATTGTTGCAAGAAGGAAGGCAAGGCGACATGGGGGTGGTGGGTAATGGATTCGCCATTGTAGTTGAGAACCCACTTTTGGTGTGCGATTCTTGGCGGCATCCTCCTGTGATCCCAGAACGGTGCCTCTTTGATGTAGTTGTAGAAGGGGTAGTCCATGTAGACAACGTCGGCATCTCTGAACTCGGTATAATTCTGTGTCCTAATGTACTTTTGATTGCGAGCTCCCCCGCAAGTCTCGACAACATCTCGGGAGTTGCCCCACACATTCGTGGTCCAGAACCAGCAGGGAGCGTATCCCCGTTCCCATACAATGGACTTGTCCTGGATGTGGTACTCCTCGTTGAAAACAAAGAATGGCTGGAGCTCTGGGGGGAAGGGGCACACCGTCTGGGATTCGACCTTCCAGTCGATTGCGGGATCCATGAAAGTCTGCTGTCTCCAGACAAACACCTTGAGAGTGTCCTCCTGGGTCTTTTCGGTAATGATCATTCCTCGGGAGTGTAGATGCTGCTTGGACAGGTTGTTGCAAATATCCTTGACGGCATAGGGGTCGGTGTAGTCAAAGGGATCCTGGTGTGTGCTGAAATGCTCGACGGTGGAAGGCTTGACGGTACCAGGCTCTTGCTTGTGAGCGTCAGGAGTGGTGGTGAGCTGTTCACCCAAATTTTGATCGAGGACATCCGAGTACGGCTGCAATGTAACAATACCGATCATGAATGCAGCAGCAACGCCCACAAGCACTATCTGCTTCTTGGCCCGTCGCGTCATGGCTGTATTGATGTGCGAATGTGTGTGTAGACCTTAAAGCTGCTTGGCTCACCCTTTTTTTACGCCCTTCCCTACACCCTTAGGTTTCGACTTTTTAATGACAGTCGCACAATATCAAGTACCCTTAATACTCTCTCTCCTACCGATTACTTTAACTGCAAAAAAAGAGCCAGCCCCAAGTTATCTCGCAGAATAATAAACAATGCGCACTAGATCTCTGCCGATGAAGGGTTACCGTACTCCCTCCCTACCCTATATACAGCTTCTAATTTCAATTCGAAGGGAGGCGCTGGATTTTAGCGGCTGAATTTCGGGGTTGAATCGTGTGGGGCCGATACTAAGTTCAATTGCTCAAGTGATACTGTCCTTCGTATAATTCTAACAGATACATAAATAGGCGTATCATCCCTTCCAGGTTTTTTTCCTCAGTTTATCTACTCTCAATTTTCCAGATCCAGTTCCTTGCGTCTGTCTTGCTACCTACCCCTCAAATCTTGCTCCATACGAATGTAGTGTCGACTCCGGGATGATGGTCCTGTCTGTTGTCCTCTTTTTCACTGTGGTTGTTCTTCCCGCCATTACTGTCGCCCTCCCTGGCACTCCTGGCATTACCACTGTCCCTTTGCTCATCCCCACGTCTACTGATTTCACTGTAAATTATCCGCCGGTCGTTACAAATGTTAAGTCTCACACGAACCGATATATGTCAGTGTACCAGGCAGAAGCCGTTACTAAGAACTACTATATAGAATGATGCGCGGTAGACTGATATTTTAACGAAGGCAGTGTTCAGTTAGATAGTTTATTGAACTGAGTTTATGCTCAAAAAGCAAATCTTATGAATATAGTCCAATAGTCTCTACCTGTCGGAATAAACATGAATGAATTCCTGCAATAGGAGTATCAGGGTTGGTATTCCCTCTGCATTAATTCCATGGCTTCTCTTACATCCGGTGCAAACCGTGGCGAGACGATTCGCGTGTCCAACCTGTTTGCTTAGCAACAAGGTGGTTTGGATACAAATCATCCTTTTCGAGTATAATGTCCAAGAACGCACTTACTGCACATGTACTGTTTATGTCCATAAGGCCTACTGCGTGGAGAGATAAATGCCTCACCTCAGTCTAGAATTGGCACCGCATTGCGCGTGTCACGAACAGCAATCAGCACAATTACAAAGACAGCGTGTTGCAGATGAGTCTCCGGTTTGGAATGTTATCGGATCATATCTAGAACAACCCGTTTGTTCTTGATACGTATATGTAGTTAGCAGTAAGAAGTTCATTTCTTTTTCAGTCTGCAATAAAACTATCAGCTTCCTGTTTGATATTCCTTTCTCTGCCTTGTCTGTTCCTGACAGCGCGATTGGTAACTTTGAGTGCTGTGCTGCTTAGGCTCACAGTGGGCTCAACCAATACGCTTGCCCAGAAATTTCACACCGGGTAAAAGAATGTGGCCAATCCAACAAATTCGGCACTGCATTTGATGATTGAACGATAGTGGGCGTCTGCGTCATTCTAATGTTTGTCGTTGCAGACAAGGTTTGCATGTGCCATCCTTGACCCCCAGCAATATACACATGAGTCTGTTTGAACCCAAGAGTTTAAAGATTTTGTGTCAGCGTAGCCGAATAATATGAAGGCTTGAGCATATTATCCGACTACGGCGAGGACTCCATACGTCCCCCCCATCACCCGCCCAAGACCTTCTTCGTTGTCCGCTCACGAGTCGAAGATGCAGGTCCAGTAGGGCTCCGACCGAGATCAAAAGTTCATTCTAGTTTATTTTCTGGAGGTTTCGAGCAATCTACAATAAAAGAAGATTACACATATGAAGTCCTCGCCACAGGCTGGGTAAGTGTCGTATAATAGCCCCCTCCTTTCTAATAATCGTCAATAATGGTAAATCGCGCTCTGAGCAGAATAATTTGAATAATTTTAAACACAACTGTGTCGTCTCTGTGAACTCAACATGGTGCACAGATACCATAAGGTTTGAAACTGCTATAAAATTTACTTCTCATCATCTCATGGACCATCCTTTTATTCAATCTCTTCCAAACTTCACATATTTATTGCCACGGTATTATTGAAGATTACCAGAATCTTTGGAATCTATCGCTCAAGTAGTTGCAAATTTATATTGTTGAACCTTGCGCGCCAAAAATCGCGATTGCGCTCTTTTTATTGGATTGTGAACTGGATTAGTACTTTGTATGCTTGCCTTTCGCTTTGTGCACAGCCCGAAGTCGTCTAAGCATCAGCTGGCAGCGGTATTCAACTGGGATCTTGTACCACTCTATTGGGATGCGCTGCCACAGTTCTTCACAGCTCCTGGGAGATGTTTGGTACTTGCCAAGCGGAATTTCGAGATAGCCCCCATGTGCTCGATGGGATTGAGATCATGCAGCAGCAGCAGAATCAAGGGCAGTGGTCAAGTAGGAATGAGTAGAAATGAATGCTGTTTAATGATCATAAGCGGGGTCTGTATATACGATAGTTTGTTGCAGGGGGAAGACCAAACTCATTGATACTTTCCATGTTGTCCGTATTGTGGTAAGCTGGCTTAGGCGAAAGTGTAAAGTCATAATTGATTTCCAAGACGTTGTAAGTTCTTTGCATCAAATATAAATTATTGCAAGGGATCCTATATGTCAAGGTCTGGACAGGCAGGTAAGTGAAAGATGGAGGGGCAAGAGCGAGTACAAGGCAGGGAAGTATTTCATTGCGGACTGAGGTTTGACTAAGGCAACTAGCTAGGCCTTTTATACGCGAATAAAGCTTGACTAGGGATCCCAGCTCGGTAGCTTATATCCTATAAGCTCCCGTGCTCGGAGCCGCAACATAACATAACACTCACGGAATTGACAAAGGTGGACGAGGATAATTGTCTTCTTGGAACGGACAAGCAACAGTAAATCAGATATGCTTTCCGTGTGGGGTAATTCTGGAGATGCGACGTGATTTGGGCTCGCGTAGTAGACGCGAGGTAATCATAAGCCACGAGTGTGCAAGTCCTTAATTCGTGACATTATGCCTCTCGTAATCCCCATAGGAACAAGAAAGAAGGAGGCTTCTTTCCATGCCGATGGTAACGGAGTATTGAACTTCAGGTGAATTAAATGATTTTACCTCAAACTACGGGTATCTTAAAGGGAGAGAGTTAGAACCACAAGGAAGAATAACAGATCTACATGTATCACACAAAGAGCACACACCTTAAACTCGTCCATCTTTTTTGTAACTATATTCTTCGCAAGAAAGAGCTCCAAATCCATCGCCTTGGCCTTCCTCATTTTGTCATACGCTGACAGTCCCACATGTAATAGTCCCTTCCTGACCTTGAGGTAGGTGACTCGAAAGTCAATATTTATGATATTGTGTAGCAAGAAGATAAGTTAATCTGCGCGAATATTGCGCTCGTTGCCTTGATGAACTTAAGCGTTTTATGCCAGCTTTCCACCAAGTTATTCGCGTCCACACGCTGATAATTCTGAAGATAACGTCAAAAAAGAATCAAATGGGTTAAAATCAGCAATTTTTAATCAACTATGCTGGTGCCATTTTTCTGCTTGAGATATGAAATGAATGAGAAAGAAATGTGGCTCCACACACCACACCGACTGGGTATTTGTTTGTATAAAATATAATAGTGAGCTGGAAGTCAGTTATTAAACAAAATAGTATACATTGAACTCTGGTAAAATATGCGACACTACTAACTCCCCTGGCAAAATTCACCCACGCTCGCATAGATTCATCGTTAATCTCTCTCTTCTCGATATAACGGATTAAGATGGCATTTTGTGCATGTTGGCCCTTGAACTCACCCCATAGTTTGAGCAGTTTCTCCTTGGACTCTGCAGCGCGAGCCTTGTTCAGCAAAGGTCGCATATCATCGCATTCCTTCATCTTACGATGTGAACAAGGTTCTGTACGGTCATTGTCACGTACTTCAATGCATGCAGTGCAACAGAATGAATGAATTAGGGAACACTGCCTTCAGCGCCTGGGATTCGACCACTGAACAATCTACCATGAACTTCTCCATCTTTAAACCGCATTCTGACTTGAGCCAAGCCAGCCACTTGTTAATGCGATATCTATTGCACAGCGCAAAAGCATCAGTTAATTATCTTCTCATAAAGACTATTCATAAATAAGCATATTCAATGAATTGACCATACTTTGATTCAGAGCTGGTATTTATATATGCAATAGGAATTACTCGATGGACTTGACGGTCTTCACAAGGATTATAAACAGACATGCGGACGTGTGCACGGGAGAGTTTCCAGGCGACTCGTCCTCGATAGGCCCCAGAGATTTAACAGTCTTATGTGTGAAGTCCATACCATATATCAGCCTATTCACATTCATAATCTGTTGAAGGGAGAATAAGTAGCAGCAACAGTGATGCAGACAGATAGATAAAAAAAGTGTCGAGAGAGCAAGAGAGCTAGAAGCAGACTTTCAGGGTATGATAAAGGCATAAAGGCTTGACTGAAATGTTACACAGCATTACCTTCAACTGAAAAGCTGAGCACAGGCGATTATGAATTCCTATGGGTCGTTGTCAATGATGTCCAAGAATATTCCTTCGCCTTTATCTTTTCCGATTTGTTTGATCTATTCCTTCACGTTATTTACAACATCCTTGGCTTTTTGAAAAGTTTTTATACGCGCTCGGTAAATGACGCCCTGAATATGGCTGTACTTGATAAGGAACCCGGGAGAGAGGTTCTCTTCTTCCTGTCCAACTACAATAAAATATACGGAGCAATCAATCAATTTCGTGAGGAGAGCTAGGCACATTACCGCGGATGACTGAAAACATGAATGCATATCTTGGTTGCCTTGGCGAGGTCTTAAAAGTTTCTGGATCCCTTTCCAGTCATACCCTTCCGAGATCTTCTCTCTATACCAATTCCGATTGTTTGGCCCAAGAGGGATTTTTTTGGTTACTGCAAGGGAGCTGCTGCGCTTATGGCGCCAATGGTACTCGATCTCGACTCGGTCTTGGTGCACCCTTTTGCAGATTCGGATATAGACTGGACACCGTTGACCGACAGAAACACGGTCACTAGAAAGTGTTTTCTCTGAGTTCCCGAATTCACGCGGTCGACCTTGCTTTCCGTCGTAATATTTTTGAATGTAGACGGGAAGTGGTGCGTTGGTATGCAGAGGTTCATTTTCGTACCGGGAGCGCGAGTTTCCTTGCGAGCAGTGCAGCCATTGAAACGGGTTTCTCTCTTGAGCTCAGAAAACACGGAACTCGCCGTAGGAGAAGACCCTGATATATGGATTAAGGGAGTCCTGTTCTCTAGGGAAATCATATGGTGCGGTAGCATCCAAGGGGTCATAAGCGTGCGAGTAGTGTAGTTTGTCTTTGAGCAGCAGATGATCCATGTAGCATAGGGTGAGTGAAACTGGGAGTTAAAAAGGGAAAGTGCAACAGCGAGCCTGGCGAACAAGAACAAAGATAATAAAGAGGCTATTTGCGCACGAATGCCAATGGCCGATCAGGTGCAACACAGTAGCCAGGTAGGTACCTGGCGATCGTATGTGAGAACCCTTTCCTTCCCCTGCTCAATGCCATTCACATAAGTCTCATCTTTCTTCCCGTTCATACATTCTCACGCTCCTTCACTGTTCCCATATTCTCATCTTCCTTTATTTTCATTGTTTTAAAAAAATCGATATCTTATCGTGTAGACAACCATGGGTATTGAGAGCCTGTGGCCCTTTCTACGGAAGAAAGGGTATGAGCTTGTTCTTCATCATCAGTCCTCCCACTTGTTGAACCTCCCCAACGCTTTTGATCACAACTCGGCGATTCGATTCGATATCCTTGGCTCGTTTTATGTCACCATCCGCTACGCCTATTCCCCACATCCCATGGAGGATGCTCATTGCATTGAGCGAGAAGTACGGAAGCTTGGGATCCAAGCAAGCCTTTTCTTTTACCTGGATGGCGACCCTTCAGAAGAAAAGAGACTCACTCAAGTGCATCGGAAGGACCTACGTAGGAAGACTCTTGAGCGTGTCGATATACACTTACATGGGCTCGAGCGCCTTCCGGATAAAAAGCTTCGTATATGGAGATATCGCTTCATCGACGCCCACAAGGACTTGAGGTCAGCCTTCCGTTGGTCTATGGACGCTCCACAAGCCTTTGCATATTACATGCGCAAAAACAGTGGACCGTCATCGAGTGCTTGACCGAAGCAGATCCCACGATGAACCTTGAGTGTAATCCTGATGACATCGTCGTACTAAGAGGCAGTGCCATGCTTAGTACACGGGTGCCGAGACTATTTAACGATCCATCTCGAAAGGAAAGTTCTTTGTGTACGACGTTCCAAGCGCCCATATAACTCTAGATCCCAGCCTGGTCCAGTTCACAGTGCTCGGTATAGTGTTCAAAAACGACTACAGCCGTAACATCCCCTCTCTCGGAAGTGCCACCAACTACAAAGTCATCAAGGAACTGGATGGAGAAGGTAAGCTTTTATTAAATAGATTACTGTGTATGTTACTGATACATAAAACGTATCCCCAACCCGACTTTTCATATATATATTTTCGGCTTGCAGAGGCTGCAACGATACTCCCCAGAAAGCATTTACCACTTCACAGAGGAGTTTAGTGGATTTATTACAGGCTTATTTGAAACTGTCTACTCCCTCTCCTGTTCAAGCTGCCATGCCCTATAGTGGACTTCGAAAGAAGTTTGATTGTCTTTCTCAGCTGTACTTCCAAATGCAAGCATAGAACAGGTAAATATGAGTATTTTCATTCCTCGAAGTCATCATTTGCTTGGATTCATTCATTCATTCGATTACCTTTACCTATTCTGTCTCGTTATGGTTCATATGAACCTGCAACAGCGAATCTAGTAGTGTTAAAGTTCAACGGCATAGAGCTCCAAAGTCGGGGGAGAGACCGATGCGGATGACTATGATGGACAGGAGAAGGCTGAGAAAGAGCAGGAAAAGGACGTTGGTGATCTAGAACGCAAGGACTCAGACCACCTACAGTTCCATACTGTGCTGCTCCACAATCTCCACATATACGACTCTATCGTTACCACGAATGCAGTTGGTAAGCACGTCCAGCAGTTTGTCGATCGAGCAGCGGATTTCATGCTGCTGCAGAGGAGGAATGATAGAGGCGCCATCGTGGCCAGGAAGCCATACCCTGCTACGGATTTACTCCGCTCTGTTGCCTCGCAGTTGCTCACAGAGGTCAAAAAACAATACAGAAACGGCAGCATTGAGCTAGAGAAAAAGGTAGAATGCAAATACGTTTCCGTTGCTTCATGCATGCCAATAGAGGGTAGTTGATAATTTGTTTATAATAGCCAAAAACTTTAAACGCGAAGGGTCTCGTATCAGATGGAGTATGTACAGAGATCGACCAAGACATCCCGGCAATCGAGAATATCGTGCTTCTGAACCAGTCCAGCAAGAGCTATCGCAAGACGGCCTTACTAACGAGCATGGAGCAACCTTTCATATCGCTCTCTGAGCGAGAGTTCGGTACGTTGTTTTGGCAAAACGCTGCGCCTAAGGAAAACTTCAGGAGCTGGTGCTGGTGGACTTCGAGGACAAGAGCATCATCCCCTCCAAGAGCGATCCAAGCAAGTGGCTTCAGGGAAAGACTCCCAGATTCCTTATCACAGAGATGCTTTCAAACATCGGCAGAAATGAGGCACGCAAAGGACCAAGGGATTACAAGGATTCGACGTCCGTGATGGACCTGAGCATGATGCGAGAACATGTTCAATTCATTCGGCAGGCTGACTTCGATCCTACGACTTACAAGGGACGCGGCTACGTTCACCGAAGCTCTCTATTCGGACAGACGGGTTTCGTCTTTAGCTGCTAGCTTTCAAGTTAAAAGAACTGCAGTCAGTCAGATACAGGCGACTCCTGCAGGGCGTCTAGCCCCTTCAAATCACATCCACAGTCGGAGGAGTGAGTTATTACTCGATGGAGGTTCGAAACATTGCGAAGTCCCAGCAAGATGTCGTCGACCTGTAGGATGTGCGCCCGATCAAATCAAGGTCCTGGATATAGATCTCGGCCAAGCCTGTGTACTCGGAGCGAGCGCGTTGCTACCAAAGAACGATCATTCCGGCAGTACGACAACGGCGCCTAGAAGCAAGGATGCTGATGTCGACATGAGCAACTCTTCCGATGGTATAACTCCAACTCCCAGTCCTGCCACCTATTCAACCTCGCAGTGAAGTAGAAGGTTGTGTACCAACACGCTTTCAAGCACAGAGGATGGATAGAAGAGCAAAAAGCATCGTCCCAGGTGACGGGCTAGAATTCATCAACGACATCGAGACCAGCTTTGAGAGCTATGTTACGGAGCTGGAGAGAGTAGATAGACAACTGAATGAGTTTTACAATGGCAACAACCGTTTCAAGAAGCACAAGTAGGATGGAGAGGGGCCAGGGATGCGTAGTACAGGCTCATAACGGATCGCCTACTCAAGTTGGTTGGCGGGTCGATCGGCAGAAAGAGGGATGAAGCTAGCAAGGTGGTTATTGGAGTCGGTTTGGACAAGTTTTCAAGCAAGACGATGCTTTCCTCGCTGCATGAGTCCTTCCAGTCGTATTTTGTTTAAAAAATGATAAAGTCATTTCGTATATTTTACTGACTTCGCCTTCCTGTCCTATAGGCCAGGCCTTGAGGAATACTGTACGTCCAAGAAGTGCCCGACATGCGAGAAATTTGTCGGGCAGGTCGAGATCCGTAGGCTGTACTGCTCGATCTGCAAGTCTTACGTGCACCGCGATATCATGGCAGGGCACAACATTGTCAATGCGATTCGTCGCCATTTGGTCAATCAACAACGACCTTTCTATCTTCAACCGGTGGATAAAATGGGCACTACCCTTAGATGCAGAATGCAAGATCGCACACAGAAGCCGGCTGCAGCGCAGCGGGAGCGGCGGCAGCAGTAACGCGGTGGGGCCAGGGCAAGGGCGATGGACACAAGCGAACAGTGTCCATGCAAGATGCCCACCGTAAGCGAGTTTGCCAAATTCTCATAGTTAGTCTATCTTTATTTTCCAATTATGTGTGTTAGCAAGCACACTTCTAGTTTAGGTGGCACGTCTCCGCGGGAAGAACGACTTCGATGACGATTTTCGGAGAGAGACGAGCTACTTTCTTGTGAGTTCTCGTTAATATATATATATATATATATATTCTATGGTTCCATCATCCATTTTATGTCCATAGACACGACATCGGGTTCTTTGTTTCGCATCGCGTACGAGAGTTCTGCGATGAGCCTACCAACGTTGCTGGAGTATGTGACGATGCTGTGCTGGCATTGTGCGACAGAAAACAGGTCAACCAGAAAAACCTTCTCCTGATAATCCATGGACAAACCACTATCTCTGTCGGCGGCCCATCCCTTATTCGACCTTGTTACATTCGTGTAGCGAAACTGGAAGTCGGGGTACTGTTTGGTCGACATTATGATTTCTTCGTCGTCCGTCATGAGATAAATATTCGATATTCCTGTCCTGTCCCTCATTAAAGCGGCCTGCTTCATGTACTCTGGGAATGCAATGGGCGCAGCCTCCATAAACTTATCCGAACGTCTCACATGGATGGAGATGCAGGGAGTTTTTACGACCGCAGACTGCCTGATTAGCTCCCTCATCCTAAAGTTGTGTAGTATGGCATATTAGGTCGATATAGATCTCAGTTCGAGATAGTCTTATTGCTGAAATTCAGCTTTGATGATGGTGAGGTTGAACAGAATGTTGATGTTCTAGTTACCTGAAATTGGGTCGTACGGCATAATAGGTCAACATGGACCTCCACCAGAAATGGCCCTTGTGCTGAAATTCAGGCCTGATGATGGTTATGTTGTTCATCAGAGCGTGGACGTCTTCGAAAAGGGATTTGAAGTTGACCGTGGAGACGTTCCATCTGGAATATTCAGTCTCTGGAGGGTGTTCGCTGAAAGCCCTTTCCATTTCTTCCTGGGTGCATGTCGTCATGGGTATGAAGTTTTCGTACTTGTGTGGAGGTGACAGCGTCATGTTGTAGTGCAGGCCATAGGCAAGCCCCAGACCCAAGTTGTGCCAGTTGGATCCGAAACCATTAAAACCGACTGCTCCGTTAAAGAAACGGACGCATTGATGCTGTACTTGATCCAGCTCCTTCTGCAAGGCGAGACGCTCGGTATCGGCGAACGACCTCAGCACCTCATATCCTTCCTCGCTCATGGTGTCAATCATCCAATGAGACCTTGTTTGCACGAAGTTATCCATCTCTTTCCCGAGGCGATTTCCTTGCACAATCATCGTATACGTGTTGTTGCTGGCCTCTGTGATGAATCCCTCGGTGGTCACAATCGCTCCGTACATTCGATCTTGACAGGTGCCGACCGACGGAAGGATGTTTTTGCACAGTTGCACGAAGTCCCTCTTGTTTGCTTGATGATGGATGCAGACATCTTCATTGTCGGGAATGGGACATTGGAGCGTTCTTGTGAGCGTAAAAGGCTTGTTTCTTATACCCATGTAGATTGCGTAGTACGAAAAAATTAACAACGACAGCCCACAGGCTAGGAGCATCCTACTACGTGGCTTTGCCATCTTTTGAAGTTGTAGGAGAGTATACGCGTTAAAATGTGATGTGAAAAGAGCAATAATAGAAGTATAAGCCGGATCAAAGTAAGAAAGAGCAATTATTTCTCTTATTACGGGAGCCATTTAGCCATTTAAACTATGGCAAAAAGTCCGCACCCGTATGGACATATAGCCAAAGAGGCCGCACATTCTATTTTCGCAGACAGGGGTAGGAGCGATGGAGCGATGGAGTGATGGTCGGATGGAGAGATGTACCTTCTGTAACGACTCTCGATGTGCGCTTGAGAAACGGGCGTCAGCGAGAAGAATGTATGTGCGTGTATGCGTGTGTGTGTGTGCGTGTGTGCGGGAGGGGGGTATGCGTTGAGAATGAGAAAGATGGACGAAGGTACTCGTGTATTATGGGAAGGTTAGAAGGCAGAAGCACAGCGCTTCCCACAACTAAACCCCTTAAATAAATCCCCCGACTTTGCTCATGTCTTGCATAGCATAGGTTACACAACGCAGCTTGCCCCCTGGTGTAATCTAAGTCAATTATGCCCGACCCGGGGTTGTGAGGGGTTGTGGCCTCCGAGCGTAATGGTTTCATCCTAGTCATATTTTAGTTGAAAGGAACAACAGTCGTTCTTACTGGTTCCTACTGCTATATCTCTAGAGGCCGTGTTGGCTGTCAACGTGGCCTACTGACCATTTACTGGATCAACTTTGCCACTTGGCGTTACTTAAGGCGATTCAAAGTTTAGTGTAACAACACTACACGCCCCCAAGCCACAGCCTTCCTTCGACGGGACTGACAAACGAATATAATTGGGTTATATGCCTCACGCTACAGCCCTCCTTCGACAGTACCGACAAACGAATACAATTGAGTTCAAACTCCGCCTTGTGGTCTGCACGCCGAGGTTGGCGCTGTCTCCTTTCTGTCTCCGACAGCCTTTGCCAGTTGTATTCGCCGAAATCTAAAGGGTCCGATACTGGTGACAGTTTGTCGCTGCCATCGAGGGGAGGGGCTGCACATGTTTTGAGAGATAAGACCGGGAGTGGCGGCGGCAAAGGCGCGGATACTTTTGCCGTGAACATTCCAATGTGGTGGATATGGATGGAGAAGAAAAATAAAATGTTAGGCAAGCCTGTATTGTTGCTGCACCCTCTGAATTGAAGCATGGTATACAGCATAACTCCGACACACCTCAGATCACCACTTATTCTTATCCGCCTCCAAATCCGCCTGCTCAAAATTAAGCGTTTGGTTATACTTCATGGCGTGTTTGAAAATCAACTAGTGGCGGGATTCGTAGACAAGAGGTAGCGTCCTCCAGCTCATTATTGTCCTCATCATCGACCACTTAAAAAGCAATACACTTTTTCATATCGGAAAACTGTTATTAGTGATTCTCACCGGTGATGATCACCGGTGAACAAAGAGTCGGTTACGTGCATTAAGTTCACCGCTCACCGGTGAAATCCAGTGAAATCCAGTGAAATCCGGTGACATTCAGTGAACCGAAGAATTACCGTATGTCGAATTCACCGGTGAAAAGATCTCACAATAAATTGCTTAATGTGCGAAGTTAGCGGCAGTGGCAGCAGCCTCAGCAAAGACATTTTCACGGTACATCAGATATGATCGGTTTGTGGATCAGCTACCTCGTCCACGGTCAAGTCTTCCTCCTGGATCAGGTCTGCGTTCATGGACCCCCAGCCTTTCTGATGGCCATCTCGCAAATGGTGCTCTGGGCTCCCGGTGCAGCATGCTCAATTAGCGATGTCTCGGTGGATTCAAGAGAAGCTATTGTGGCTCTCCTTCTTGATTCTGGGCCAGAACTCGTCTGCCTCAGTCAGGCGCCATACTGTAAACTCCGCTGAAAGGATCGCCCGTTGTCTTGTAGTGAAAGTGGCGAAAAAGTTTAGGCGCATTCAAGCTGATCTTTTTCTTCAGCATGTATTGGTAGACTTTGTCGGAGAGCGCTGGTTGCGTTCGAAGCGCAGAAGACGACGATGCAGTTGATTTGACCGACATGCTGAGCTGTTTGTGGCCTTTGGGTGTCTTCATCTCGTTTCATTGTGACGGTGCTTTCATTAATAGCGTTTTCATGCATGCATCGACTCGCATCATCAAGGAACTTCAAGGTAATGTTGTAGCAGCCTGGACTGATATCGTGCGCAGGACTCTTGGCCGAATACAGTGATGATCTCTGGAGGGATCTGTTCCTGCGGGTCAGGTCCAAAGGAATTGGGCTGTGACCAAGAGGTAATAGGGGGTCTGATCAGCACATGCTACCCACTGTCAAAACCAGCACTCGCGAGAGCCACTGCTCGCGTCTGTTGTGTGGCTGGTTGGATCTCATTCTTCACGCCCTGCATAGCTGAAAATGGTGGTAGAGCCCGCGTGGATCTTATCTGCTGGAAGTGGTGGAGCTGTGCAACCTCTGTCGGAGGTGGGCTTGCTGTGCGCGGCAGGCTCGGTCGGGAGGATTGCCAGTAATCCATGCGCGCCAACGTCCTTCTCTCAGCACATGCTACCCTCTGTCAAAACCAGTACTCGCGAGCAAACGTCTTCGTGTCTACTGTGTAGCTAGGAAAAGAGTCTATTGGTCTACAACGGCATCGAGTTGACTGGCCCGACTTTGCATGAGAATGATGTTTTACTAAGCTTTCCTCGCTATTGCCTTCTTTGCTAGAAACTTCGATCAAGCAGCATCAGGAGCTGGTTTTGGATGATAAGGAGAACATAGAATTTTTTATTACCTCTTCAGTCTATTAAAAGTCGTCCGTTATCAAACCCAAGTAAAAAAATGGTGTCTTTCAAGGACAACAGCAAACGAGAGCTTCGAAAAGCTAGTAGAGATTCTCATCTACAATAAGATATCGCTGCCGTTAAACTCATGGTCCCATGATATCACTTCTCCTTACCTTTTGCAAGGAATATCCCTATCCCCACTCCTCGAACAACAATCCAGGATGATCTATTCTGAAGAATCTTCGGATGGCGTGCCATAGTCCTCTTCTGCATCATGGGCATGGATATCAAAGACGTGTCAGCTCTCTTGGGCATCTCCGCGTCTAGTATCACCAACTGGGTTGATACATCGGCTCCAAGGTCATGCCCACCGGGATAAAAAAGGAGCTGAGAGTTCGAAATCAGTATTTCGACGGTTTTATTTAAAAGGCACAACACCAGCTTTGCGTCTCATCTGTGTATTTGATCCGCATTTAGGCTCTCAAACATGCTATAACTGGAACCCCCCTAATGAATATATATGGATCTGGCTTTCCATTAATGATGACATTGATGCAAACTGGTGTCGGTCTCCGTGTAGTTCGATTTCAGACATGATACTACGGCTATGAGTACGACTAATATGTCACTCTATCTTCCTCCTTGTAGGGTTCCATATCACTTCAGCTTATCATCGACCCATTTTCTCTTTCACAATCCGTCGCCGTGTAGTTTTAATCGATAAGGCGGTTGCGAATATGCCTGGCCTTTTGCACGGCCATCATTATCGAAGTATTTTATTGCTTCTCTAGTCAAAAAAAATAAACTCTGGGGGTCGCATCAATGGCAATGACGCTGAGTGTGAGCCCGAGAGGTCAGACCCCTCAGTTGGAAGCAGACCAGACAAGGCACTCAATGGCGAAGAGACAACTCCATGTGTTGAATAATATGCGGATCGGACTTCTTGCAAAGGGTCAGCCATCTGTGATAGCGAAATCGAGCCTGGAGGCGTACGTGGTCTCCGTGCAGCCTTGATTTGACCCTGTGTAGACATGTTTGTTGCAGGGCCTTGTTCGCTTGATGCCGCGGAGATCTTTCTCGTTCGCTCACGTTCCAGAGCCATTTGATGGTTGATATATGGAGGTACTCGTGCGGTATGGCATTTCGTACAATGCCCTGCGCATTGCCAGCAACGTTCCTGAGGTTCGTTGCAGACGCGACACTTTTCAAGAATCCAGACGATGTTGCCGCATGGTTGCGACGGTGTAGATGGAGTTGATTGCATCGCTGAGGGTGTGGGCGTAGTTACCAAAGGTTGCGAAGTAGCGAGCGTCGCTGCTCCTGTATAGAATCCTGGCACGCTGGGACTGGCACTCGATGCCCAGTGCATTCCTCCTCCAGAATGTAGGGGCCTATTAGTATGCGGGCTAATGCTTGATAACACTGGAGGTAAATCAGACGACGAAACAGCTGATCCTGGACATAACCGAATGTCCAACGAGACTCTCGGCGATTTCCGATCTCTGCTCGCACTCGGCTGATGTGTTTCCGCTCCGACAATAGTTATCGCATCCAAGATATTTTGGAACCCTGTAATGTCCTCCTTAGTCATATAGGGATGGAATATGTCCCAGCGGCGTAGATGAAGGCTGTGGGGCAGTATATCCCCATTCCGGAGCAGGTCCTTGAGGGTGTGTGTATCTATTGTCAGACTGGTCTGCTTCCGACGGTATCTTGAGGACAGCACCTCGAGTCGAGGGAACTTTATCAGCATAACAAGCGGTGATGGGAACTGTGGGAAATCAGTTGAGTCCATGTGGATCTGACATGACATCAATAAAGAGTGACACGTAGTTAGCGGTCTGAGGCCTTGAGGCTGGGGGACCAAGAACAATTGCACAAGGAATCGCTAGGATAGCAGCATACCTCGCGGACAAAATCGACCAGGTGGTTCTCCTTTCGAAAGCGTCGAAGAACAGCGTATATTTCCGATATCAATGTTCGACTTCCTCCTCGGTCCCGATCCCGTTCATCCTCTGAATGCTTAATTCTATTGCCCTCCTTTATCGTCGACTCTTGGGATTCTTCCGATTTAGATCCAGATGCAGAGGCCAATCCTCTCGTACGGACCCCTTGCCGAGGTCCCTTCCGATGCGCCTTCGCAAACTGCGCGGTCGCAGTAGATCCTGCCCTTGAAGAACTGCTGTTGGGTGTAAGCGCACCAGACGGCTCCTCTAGCAAACGAGGAGAGGATGCAGCAGCAGCGGCAGCAATGCTGAGCGGAGTCGACCTAGAAGAAGTGGATGACGTTGTAGCGTACTCGGACAGAGGGATGAAACGAACCCTCCGCCAAACGTCCGGAAGGTTCAGAAGCAGGTACCGGTGGTAGCGACATGTATCGAGAAAGCGGAAGATTGTGAGAATATCGAGATGATTGAATATCTCGATGACGAGCTCAGAGGGCAAGAGGGAGAAGATCGATATCTGCTGGATCACTAATAGCGTGCCTGGCTCTTGGCTGGCTTGTGGTAAAAGCTCCACTGCGATGGGTTGATGGTGAACCTGATCTGATGAATAATCCTGATCTGATGGATGATCCTGATCTGATGAGTAATCCTGATCTGATGGCAAGACCTTGGTGAAGAGCGTCGCTGGCATGGTTTTGCTTTCTGAGGAGATAATTAATAGTTAGAGGTGGTGGAGTTGCGTTGGTCGGCGTAGAGTCAAGGTGAGATGAAAGGAAAGTGTAAATACTCTTTTCAGATAAGAGTTTCTGGATGAGCCCCATTTGTCAGCTTTTCTTCAAGTGCGCAGATATCGAAATGCATGGCATAAAAGTACAGTTGTTTTTATGATAACAAAATAATGAATGCATGGATGGTACAGGAGAAATAGGGATGCAGCAGCAACAGCAATCAGCGTCTGCTGTGCATGCTTGTGTGTATGGGACCGTGTCTTTGGTATGGAGTCGATCACCTGCGCCTTTGGGATGACTCCGCAGGCGACTGAGGTCCTGAGACTGCTGCTGCGCCCATCAGTACCTCCCGCAGAACTTCCTTCTCCTCCGCTGTTAGTCCCTTGAGTGAGTCTAGGTCGGGTATTTTGGCCTTGGGCGCTGGTCTCCGGAACGCAATCTCGAGCTGCATCTTCTCGTCCTCTGTCAATGTTCCTGACTTGGCAAGCTCAGCTTTGGACGGCATCTGGGGCTTTGGGGCCTTTAACACCTCGTTCGGGTTGATCTTCAGAGATCGCTGATATAGGATCGCTTCCTCCTTGTCCAGGAATGACTCGGACGTGATCTTGAGGCCCATCAGCTTCATTAACAATGGGACCTTAACACGATAGTCCAGATGGCCTTCCACATGCGATGTCAGATCCATGTTAGCCAAACCCGGCACGTTCTTCAAAGGTCGAAGCCCTGCTACTGTGCCCAGTCCACCTGTGGTCGCACGGAATAGAAAACCGAGCACCCAGTCATTGCGGAGGTAACCATTGACAAATTCGCCAGCAATGGCACTCCGAGCTTGGCGCCACTGAATTTCAGATGCAGTAACAGGTGCTCCAAACAAGTATGCATTCTCGACAATTCCGTATGCATCCAGTCGACCCAACTCCAATAAACAGTAGAAAATCACCCGTGCACCCAGACTGTATCCGACCTATAAAAGAGAGTGAAGTTAGGGTGCTGGCTGCATATTGGATGCTACGGTTATGTTGACCCTACAAGCATACCAAAGTCACGGGCCTGAAGCCAAGATAGGACCGCATTAACAAGGAATCCGCCAAGACAAGGCCAGCCAGCTTGGCGCGATCGAGTGCAATACTCCAAGGGTTATCGATCAAGTAACCCAGTCGGGTCAAGGCCATGGGCCAAGCCAGGGCCGAGAGCAATGCCGACAGAAGAGTATGCTTTAAAATCTCCTGCGCAGTTAAAGTAATTACTTCGGTAGCCAGCAATCCCAGAGCATTACCCACTACAAAAAAAGTTTACAGCACATTAGAGATAGGTAAAGATAAGTCGTTTGTTCACCACATTGATAGCGTAGGGACATAAGCAATTAAACAAGAAATAAAGTGTACGTACACTGCATTAACATCTCCGGTTCCCAGAGAAGCGAAAAGTGGTCGCCGTTGACAGGGTCCAGAGTCGAAAAGGGCAGAGACGCGTCTTCCTCGCCAATGTCCAGCCACCCAGAAATCGTCAAGATGACATTGACTCTCTTGTGATCGTGAATGCTCAAGAATTCGAACGTGTCAATGCCTGCAGTTCGTCGTGCCATTTTCTTCATGGCAAGACCAGACCCTGTCACTGCTGCTCCGCTTGTAATCACAGCGATGCCTCCGCTGCCAGCCAAGAAGGCTGATGCTGCTGTTGCTGTTGCACCTGTGATATGTGCGCCTGCCAACGCTGCTCCAATACCCGCACCAATGACAGGAGCGAACAATCCAGCGGAGAGTCCTAGAACCAATCCTCCACCTACGGTGGCCAGACCCATCATGATCATTCTTCTCTTCCTGGACTCGTCGTTCCTGGATTTCGTATCAGGCTTCAGAAGACCATCATTTGTTGTCGACTGCAATTGCTTCATGATGCCTTTTTCAAAGAGGACGATCTCGTTCCAGTCAAGTCCAAGGTGTTGGCCCACAGTTTTGAGTAAAACACGGGCCCGGGCGTCATAAACGGAATCCGAAATAGAAATCAGGAACAAGTCTGCGATCAGGGTCCAGCGCAGGTCTACGGTGATGGGCTTTTGGCTGCTGGTTGATAGCCGCGGGCTTAGAGGGGTTTCACTGACCAGCGTTGACGATGAGCTGTTTGAGGTATCGCGCTGTTGCCAGACCGACTTGTTTACAGAATCGACAGATGAGGTTTCCAGTGTCGATCCGCCTGCAGAATTGTCACTTCGTTGAGATGAGGTGGAGTGTCTGGAAAGTACAGGTGATGAAGATCCGCTTTGGGAGAAGTCGGCCTGGTCGACTTGCTGAGATGAGACAATACGCTGGGTGCCGTCGGCTACGAAGGTCTCGAGCAGGTCCTGGGGTTGGATCATCATCTGGGGCAACTGAGCGATGGTCTTTTGCGCTAAATTACCGTGATTATGGAGACACGAAAAGAGCCAATATCAGCAGCAATCCAAATACAATTGAACACAAATTATCCCACTAGTCCATTTAAAGCGTGCCCTGGGTGGGACGGAAAAGGGTCTGCAGTTGCGATGGACAACAGAGCACAAACTGTAAGAAATGACATGAATGGAAGGCTCCCAAAGAAAGTCATGCCAAAAACTAAAGAAACTTACTGTTGGTATCGATGTCTAGATGTCTGTAGAGACGGTTGATGAGCTTTGAGACAAAGCTCTCAAGACTCTCCTTCGCGTGGGCCGTTTCGGTGCCTTCGAGAGCCTGGAAGAGCGTGTTGGCGGTAACGAGGCAGAGGCCGACATAGGCAAAGGCTTGCCCTTCAGTCAGGATGTCCTTGGACGCATCGATATCCGGCGAGGCAGAAGAAGTGGACACTCCCGTTGCTATTGTTGATGTGGGGGGCGTAGAGGGAGCTTTTTCCTCTGCTGACGCCATAGGGCTCTCAAAGTTATTCGCCGTACCATCAGAATGGACTACAGGGGCGAGGGGAAGGGCCACGCTCGCGCTCGTGGCAGCCATCGGCGGTAATAGTGTTGTATTGCTTTGATTCGCTCCCTGTTCTTGCATTATTTGTGCGACAGGGGGAGAGGAGGATGGGTCTTGGTCCTTCATAGGTGTAGTTGCGGACGCTGGTTGAATTGAGGAATAGTGGTCGGTTTCACTGTCGTCTAGGTAGATCTCCGTCTCCACGTCGTCATTTCCATGGTGATTAATTCTCGAGTCTGAAGTTGCCATGGCGAATCCAGCCAACTTCTCGAGAGTACTTCCAGCGACGCTCACTAACGAATTGTCGTTGCTGCTGCTTGGCTCCATGGGAACAGCGTTATCTTGGTGTTCATCTTTATCTTCTTGTTCATCGACATCATCCCCGCCAGCAAGTTCGCTATTCATTGGCAGAGAGTTCTCCTGAGGGCTGTTGTCCATGTAAAATGTGATGTGGTTGAAAGTATCGCCTTGAGGCTGCTTTGCCGAGAGCGTTGATGTTTTCCCAGATGTCCTATCCATTGCGGAAAGACCTGGTTCAGCAGCGGTGTTGATAGCTTGTTCACAGTCTGGTGTCGGTACGGATAGTGTACCTGGGTTCGGACGCTGATGAAATGGAAAAAAGAGTTCTGTTTAGTCTAGCGTGTTTCAAAAAGTGGCGGGAAAAAATATCCGACCGGGACTGAGTAAGATACCTCCTCCATCTGAGATGCGAGAACAAGGAATGAGGAATGGGATGGTCGAATGTGAATCTGCTGCCGAGAAGAAGTCAAGGTAGACTAGGCAAAAACAAACACTTCTTTGTCAGCTTTTTTTTTTTTTTTTTTTTTTTAAGGACCGTGTTCGCTGATTCGGAACGTACAGCTGCTTTGACGGTAGATATCTGGATGGCAGTAGCAATTGGACGCTGAGAGAGAAGCAATTGATGAGGAGATATTGAGCTGAGAATGCAGTGGAGGGTAATTGGAGGCAAGGAACAGTAAGAAAAGGAAAGAGGGATACTGAAGGAAGGAGGGAAGGCGATGTGAAGAAGAGGCTGCTGTTTCCCCGGTCTTCATTTTCTCGAACTGGATCTAATAATGAAGTGAATCTTCATTCTTTCATTGGGTGGGAGAAGGGATCGACATGGAAAAGTTATTTATAACGATGCTCCAGGGGGAGAGGAAACATTTTTGTACTCTCGGAAAGAAAGCACCTTCGCAACAACCACTGCAGCAACAGACGGGACCGATAATGCAGCCAGTTCCCGATGTCATCGCATGGTCATCGATCACATCGCGATTGGTTCTATTTTGTTTGCGACAGTGTGTAAGGCGATGACAGTAAACTCGAGACGCCATCCTGTCCTGCTGCCTTGACCTGTGCTGCCTGCACCTACATGTGTGCCATCCGAAGGAGAGCATGCTCGTTTTATCCTTTCTTCAGAGCTGTTCCTGCGGACACTTTTCTCTGCGAAGGAGAGATCGATGAGAATAAGAAACGTGTTCCTGTTCCTGAACGCACAGGTCGTTGTTTATTTGCCCCCAAATGTAACGTGGTTTGTGACACAACGGTCCATTGTTTCCATTGTTCAGGTCCACTGCTCCATACAGCAGTCGTATATTAGGTTACCGGCCTTTTAAGAACTAATGGGGGAGAGAGAGGGATCCGCATAGATCATCTCTCATCTGTCTCATTCCTTTCTCTCTCGCTCTCTCTCTCTCCCTCTCTCTCTCTTCTCACTCACCACTCTTCCCTGCACTCCACTGTTTTGTCTTCTCCCCCTCCCTTCTCTCTTAATGTCTAAAAACGCCGCGAAAAAAGGTAGCAATTTCTCTCACTTGTATGATCTTCGTTAAACTGATTGCTGAAGCTGATTGCTGAAGCAGATCTGCTCATCACATCTTTTGCTATTCCTTTTTGAAAACACTTAGGAAAGAGTCCAGGGCAGAATGAAAGCACCTTGAACAAGCCAGGTCCTAAAGGAGGCACTGCCTTAGGCGCTAAGGAAAACAATCCACCTGGCGGTAAAGGTGGCAAAGGAGCTTCGCTTGATGAACCTGCAGCGCCTCAGCCTTCCAAGGCTGTATTTCCAGGATGGACAGGGAAAACGCCATCGTCTTTGCTCCACGAACATTGCCAGAAACTTGGTTGGGAAAAGCCGACTTTTGATGTGGTAAATATTAATGGCTATTACCTTAGCTATTAAGCATACATGTTGATCAAGAGTACACTGGCCGTTAAACTCTTTCCTGCAACTGATCATGGAAATAGAAACGGACGCCTCGTGGATTTGTTTGCACGGTAGTCCTTGGCAAGAGAAATAAAAAGACAGGGCAGATCGAGACATCTACATTCACAGCGCAGGACATCTACAAACCGACGGCAATCGAAGCACGGCAATATAGCGCGACCTATACCCTCCACAGAGTCAACAGCCACAAGAATCTGATGATGGTCCTCCCACCAGGTCCTCGGGACTTTTGGTCACAGCTAGATGCAAGCAAGGCCAAAGCTGGACCGGGTGAACAGCATCTTTATCTTCCAGATCCATTCATCAGTCAAGCCGCCAAATTGCAATTACAGCAGCAGCACCAGAAGCAAATAATACAGGAACAAGCGCGCGCTAGATCCGCAACCCCGACAAAGGACAGTGAGCCCGTTGTACATCATGGTCCTAGTGAGTACGCCAGTCGATCGGCATTAGGAGGGGAGGTAAATAACGACAAGCAGAAGAAATGGGACAAGCTGCCAATGGTGCATATGAACCAGGAGATGAGAGCAGAAGTCGAAGACGTTGTTAAGAAGCAAATGGCTGGTGAACTCTACCAAACAGTAAGAACAACCTACAGCATCATACTTTATACTCTCTTTGCTGTGTGCTGCAATAATGAAAAAAAACTCAAATATTAACTATTGCTTCTCCAGTATATTGAAGAGTACGGAACTCAAGGCGAACCGATGTACAACACTACCCTCTCGAAGACTTTGACTAGGATGGGCTTCCGAGATCGACATGTAGCGGAAGCCCTTCAGTACTGTAACGATCAGGCCTCCGCACTCGACTGGCTCTGTAAGTAATTTGCACTAGAAGCAGTTCCGTGCATCTCCGCATGCATTTGCGAGAGCAGATATGCTAATCTTTTACTTTCGCCTTCATTAGGCCTACATGTGCCTGAGGATGATTTGCCGGCCAGTTTCCTTCAGCATAACTACAACCCCACTATTACAACCATTAGTCATACGTCCACATCATTAGGTCGCGAATACGCCATCAAACGACTCTCTGTCATTGGATTCGCATCCTCGACTTGCGGACAAATTTACGACATGGTCGGAGGAGATGAAAACAAAGCCATGGTCGAACTCTTCAAACGACTGGCATTTCCCAAGGGTCAAATCCCAGAGGACATGGTTCAAGATATCACCATGGAGCCCGAATCGCCCGAGCAACTGCAGGAACTGCGAGAGGATGAGATGCTGGCACTGGAGAGCATTTATGATGATCGCTTCCAACGAGAAGGCGCCTCGGGCGCCAGGATCAAGCTTGAGACGACATTACACAATACCAAAAATGCACCAAAGATCGAGCTCGAGATCCGGATACCATCATCTTCAACATATCCCTTCAACGAGCCTCCTCTCTTTATTATCAACGAACCCGATCTCCCTTCGTACCTACGCCTCAGTATCATCCAAAAGACCATGCAACACGCCTATCGCTCGATGGTGCTGGCTATGGGTGGACCTATCGTGTACGATGTAGTCGAGTGGATCCAGGACAATTTAAGGGACATCCTTGACAACCCGCCAAGCCTTGTGCAGCTCACAGAGGGTCTCATCAGTGTCGATGCTTCTCAGGAACCCGAGCGCCAGGAATCCCTTGCAGACCAGGTCGACCAAGATGCAGAGGAGAGTCTGCTACTCAAGGCGCAGACTTTAAAGCTACCTCTTAACGGCGCTCCTGCACGCACGGACAGAAAGAAGACGATCCGACGACTTAATATCAAGCCCAAAAGTCCTGGATCGATTGCGATGCTAAGGGAGTACGAGAACTTGAAAACCAACAACGTATCTTTCCAGGCTCTCCAGACTGCGCGTGAAAAACTTCCTGCATGGAGCTACAGGAACCAGCTTGTGCAGGCGGTCAAGGATAATGCGGTGGTTATTGTTTGTGGAGAAACTGGATGCGGTAAAACGACGCAGGTGCCACAGTTTATTCTCGACAGCTGGATTCAGGAGAGTATTGGAGAGTACGCCAACATTGTCTGTACACAGCCACGTCGTATTGCCGCCATCGGAGTCGCGGAGCGAGTGGCAGTAGAGAGGTCGACAAACATTGGACAGCAGGTCGGATATGCAATCCGTGGCGAGAACAAATCGAGCAAGAACACAAAGCTGTTGTTCTGCACAACGGGTATTCTCCTGCGCCGCTTGCACTCAGACCCCACCCTCCAGAATGTTACCCATGTCATGGTAGACGAGGTGCACGAGCGGTCTGTGGACTCTGATTTTTTGTTGATCATCCTCCGGGATCTTGTCCGAGTGCGTAAGGACCTGAAGTTGATTCTCATGTCGGCCACGATCAACAGCGACTTCTTTTCGGGATACTTTGACGGGTGCCCAGTGATTGAGATCCCTGGATTCACTCATCCAGTCGAGGAGTTGTACATGGAGCAGATTGTTGCTCGGACAGGCCACACTCCCGATTTCAGGAGCTCGACTGTGAAGAGGACAAGGATGACGGAGGCTATGGAAGAAGAGTGGGAGAAAATTAGAGCGGAATATCAGAGCCAAGGACTGGATGAAGAGACGATAGCGAAGGTCAAGACGATGGAGTCGTACTCAGAGAGAATCGACTACGAGCTGATTGTGGCTAGCGTCGGTGATATTTTGAAGCGCAAGGAGCCAGCAGGCAGTATTGATGGCGCGATCCTTATCTTCTTGCCAGGTATAGTTTTGACGCGCTCATCTTGCTGCGAGGTGGTTCTGCAGTTTAAATTGCTGATACAAACTACTGCCATTTATATATTACTATTTATAGGTGTTATGGAGATCAAAAAGTGCATAGATGCTTTGATTCTATTTTCAAGAACAGTGCCCCAGACTCTGGACATTGTGCCTCTTCACGCAGCGTTGACACCAAAGGAACAAAACAGCATCTTCGCGCCAGTCCGTAAAGGAGTCCGCAAGATCGTCGTCGCTACCAACGTAGCCGAGACTAGTATTACCATGTGAGTGTCGGTCAAAGAGAAAGGAGTTATTGTTGCCTTCTTATCTTCCTTTGCTAACTGTTCCTTCTTTAATTTTCTCCAGCGACGGGGTTGTATATGTAATCGACTCGGGACGTGTGAAGGAGACAAGGATGGAGAACAACATGACGAAGCTCGTGGAAACATGGACTTCGTTTGCATCAACTCGCCAGCGCAAGGGTCGTGCTGGTCGTACACGACCTGGTATTGTCTACAAGCTTTTCTCGAGCAAACAGTCGCTCAAGCTGGCGCCGCAACAGGATCCAGAGATTTTACGCATCCCGCTGGAACAGCTGTGCCTGTCTGTCAAAGCCATGGGCGAGAAGGACGTCGAGGCGTTCCTAAGCCGGGCCTTGAGCCCTCCTTCCTTGACTGCGATCCAGAGTGCACTTAAGACACTGGAGGATCTGAACGCGTTGGATGGCACGACCGGCGAGTTGACGCCGCTCGGAAAGCATATGGCGGATATTCCGGCAGATTTGAGGGTTGCGAAGATGCTTATTTTCGGCGCGGTGTTCAGGTGTCTGGAGCCGATCCTGGTGGTGGCGTCGTGCATGAGCGTCAAGAGTCCGTTTGTGTCGCCGATGGATAAGCGAAATGAGGCGCAGGCGAAGAAGAAGCGGTTTGCAACGGCGAAATCGGATCTTTTGACGGCATGGAAGGCCTATGACAGCTGGGAGAAGCTCAGAGACTCAGGCGCCAGTCGATTGGAACTTAAGGCCTACTGTGAGGAGAATTATCTTTCGGCCAACACTCTGTTTGAGATTCAGAATCTGAAGTCGCAGTATCTAGAAGTTCTTGAGACTATAGGGTTCGCCTCCAGAGATGCGAATCAGTTGCAGAGTCGTCGACGGTCGGAGAGGTGTTCGTGCGAACAGGAAAATGTGCATTCGGACAATATGGCGCTGATTAAGGCGATTGTGCTGTCAGGACTGTATCCGAACGTGATCAAGATCAAGATGCCAGATGCAAAGTTCGACAGGATGATTGCGGGAACTGTGGAGCGTGAGACAGTGACGAAAGAGATCCGAATGTTCACAAAGGATGATGGACGCGTATTCTTGCATCCTTCATCGATCTTGTTCCAGACGAACCAGTACCAGGTCCCATTCTTGGTATACTTTTCGAAGCTGGAGACGAGCAAGATCTTTGTGCACGATGCTACGATGGTCCCGATGTATGGATTGCTGCTGTTCGGAGGACAGGTGCAGGTTGATCATCTTGGACGCGGGCTCGAGATTGGCGACGGGTTTATTAAGCTTAGGGCGTTTGCGCGTATCGGGGTACTGGTGAACCAGTTGCGGAAGCTGCTGGATGCGGTTCTGCAGGCGAAGATCTCGAACCCGGATCTGAACGTGTCCGAAAACTCAGTGGTGGAGACCATGATCAAGCTCGTCAGCACGGATGGTATTTAAGGCGGCCACCCAGGGTGGATGCGGCACTCATAGATTGCTTTCCTAACAAATAAATGGTATATCATATGACTTGGCCCAAAGTGTCAAGACGCAAAGAAACACTGCGCTACAATACAATGATGCGAGAACCGCGAACGATATGGAGGACGTCCAAAAGGTTGATTGGAGCGAACGCGACAAGCTACTCTTTGTCCCTAGCATTTGCACAGTGACACACCAGGATGAGGTTGTGAGTCTGGGCGGGGTGGAGGGGGTCGATTGGAACGAACCCAACGAGCTTCCACAAAGGGTTAGGATGGGGTTGATAATAATAACGCCCAACGGGCTCTTTTCAGAGACTTTGAACTTTGTGTGACCGCTGCTGACAAAACAGGGCAAAGACTCATGAAGCCAACGAAGTGAGATCACTCTTCGTTCATTCCTCAGCCGCGATCACTTTCGGAAGAGGCGATGAGAGGAGAACATAGGATAACATTTCCGCCAGCGACTCTCGATGCCGCTTCTACAAGAACGGCATCATATCTTGATTTGCCACTGGAGCTGTGGCGACTCGTGTTTGAGTACCTGCCACCTTCAGCGATTCTCCAGGGTGCCCTTGTTTCACCAACATTGTCGCTTTCACACTATTGTCAATCCCAGATCTGGGCCAGGATCGATGCAGAGGACTGGGTTCTTGAGGGAGTGTACCAGGGCCTCGCCAAGAATGCGTCGCTGATCCGGAGGTTGTCCTGTCGGGCCAAGTCGAAGCTGGATGTACTGTCGGTCCCTGAGTGCCGGTTTCTCACACATCTGGATATTGAGCAAATGCGATTCCTAAGCAGCGCAGTCTTGGAGCGGGTGCTGGAGCATAACTGTGAGAGTTTGCAGAGCTTGCGGATTCGGCTGGATAGGAGTATTTTTCAAATGGTGACAGAGAAAGTGGGGAGAATGAGGGAACTGAGGGAGTTGTATCTGCAGCATTGGGAAGGGATTCACCAGGACGCGCTCGAGAGGCTTCTGGAAGCGTGCCCACAGATCGAGACATTGTCGCTTGGTCACAATTCTTTGTACCCATTTCGACTCGAGAACATGAAGGAGAGTTCTGGTGCACCGCCGAAGACTCGGCTCAAGATTCAGTCGCTGACTCTTGATGGGGCGGTTATTTTTCATGAAGACCTAGTCCTCAACCTGGCTTCGCGCTGCCCTGACCTCGAGAGTCTTTGCATGCAGGGATGCTTCGGCATCCGGCTGTCTTCGACATTTATCACGTCGCTGGCGGAGCGATGTCCGAAGCTGCAGAGGCTCAATCTCACGAACCAGTCGACGACCGACGATTTTTACAAGACCCTGTTTTACGTTCTTCCACATCTCAAGGAGCTCAGGGCGACGAGCTCGGTGCTGACGGACGACGATGTGCAAGTGCTAATCGAGTATTGCGGACCGACGCTCCAGATTCTCGATATCGGACTTTGCACCTCACTCGGAAGTCGGTCGGTTCTCTTGATTCTTCTCAAATGCCCTTCTTTGGTTCACTTAGATGCGCGCGGAGTCGATTTCAATCCACGGGATATGGAGCCAGCGGACGAATGGGCATGTACTATGCTCAAGTCGCTCTATCTCGAGATCTTGCTTCCGAAACGGAACCATTATCCTGTGGGAGAACCCGAACGGATCAGGGGCAAGTTGTACCAGCAGCTTTCGCGGCTAACACAGTTGCAGTCCTTGCAGCTCGGCGCAGGATCGAAAGATAGGGGCGTCAATATTCTGGAGATGTCGCTTCTGACGGGACTGTCATCCCTGGCAACGTTGACACGGCTCGAGAGACTCGAGATCAAGAAACTGAACCATGCAGTCAGAAGTGCGGAGGTCGCCTGGATGGTCAAGGTCTGGCCGCGGCTACAAAAACTTGGGATCCTGTTAGACACGAATGCGGATATGGAGCTCGTGCGTACGGTCCATCTCAGGAACAAAAATGTTTATGTCTGGTAGATATAGCATTTTGGAGGACTAAAAAAAAACTCAAAGGGATGAATAAATGGCAGAGGGTGTATATGCGCCAGATGATTGTTTGGTTATTTTAATACAGCTTGATGTCCATCCCTGGCCTAGATTGGCATAGCCATTCTATCGCTCTATGTGTCTTGTCGGTTCCTCTTTGGTATGCACGACTGGCACTCGCCTCTAGAAAACGAAACTGAGGCCAATGCTGAACCATCCATGCCAGATCCTCTTCGCTCTGTGTGCGCACCATTCGGCGTATGTCCAATCGTTCTAGACAGTGGAGGGACGTCAATCTCTCGAGTCCACTCTCCAAGGTCAAATCTAGACCTGCTTCTTTGCCCCCAACACGATGTCCACCTCCTAGACCCAATGTTTTTAGGCGGATTAAATCGGCCAGGTGGTCGTATACGCGCGCTCGAATGCTCTTCACGCTGTCAGCGCTCGGCGTGGATCTGGCTGCTTCTGTTGCCGTTGTTCTTACTGGCGTCTCTTCTGTGGCAAGGGAATATATTTCGATGTCGAGAACGAGCACTTCGAGCCCGAGACACGCCCACCTTGATCCATGACTTAGGTCGCGACCGTTCAAAACTACACCCTGAGCGCTCAAAGCTTTCAAAGAGCCACAGGATCGCATGATCCGATCCATTGCCAGGCTCGGAATACCGCGAGCGCCATCCAGGTTCAAACTAACGATGAACCTGCAATGAACCCGCACCGCATCCAGGGCTCCGCGACTGAATCCGGTCTTGCCTGCATGGATCAACTGTAGTTGAGGGAAGTTATGGCAAAGCAAGATGAAAAACTCGTCCTGCAGATCTAGGGACTGTTCGCGGAACTCGAGGCGGGAGAGACGCGGACACAGCTGGGAGAGAATTGAGGCGAATTGGGATGATGGGTAAAATCCCCAGCCGTTGAGTAAAGACAGGTGCTCGAGCTCTGGGCATTGTCGAGTAAGGTTGACGAGAAACTCTTGACGCAGTCCTGCCTGATGCAAGGATAGGGATTTGATCCGACTCTGGGGTATCACTGGTGATAAACCCGCCATCGAGTGGTGGTATAGATGCTGATGCTGCTGTTGATGTAAGGGTAATCCATTGTGTGAGGTAAGCTGGACAGCGATATCCTGCGTGGAGGGCGAGGTGGAGGTATAAAGTACGGCCCGTTTGCTGTGAATGGCGAGGGAGTCCTGCTGCTCATTATCAAAGGATCTATTCCGGCCTTTGATAGGGTTGTCGAATTGCTCTAGCTTAACATACAACTTTGATGAGTCGATGCAAGCTAGTTCCGACTTTGGCATGTCCGGGACACGAAAGTTTTCCAGTGTAAACCTCGTAAAATCATTCTCTCCGAGTGACAGATGCGAGAGTCTCGGACAGGCATTCATGATCAGCTCCAGTGAGTACTCTTGAAAGTCGCGCCAAGCATTCAAGGACAAGATTTCGAGATAGTCCAATTTCGCCAGAGCCTGGATCAGTCTAGGCGGGAACCGTCCTTGTGGTGTTAATTGTAAACATCGTAAATTACTATTATTCTCGAGGACTCGGATGAGAACTTCTGTCATGCGCAGAAATGACTCGTAGGAATCTTCAGATACGTCGTGCATCGCCTGCTTCCCTGCACTGCTGTGGTTATTCAGGCCGCTGGCATGACGACTGGCGTATTTGTTGTTGCCACTGTAGCGACGGTTGATAGAGCTCGTTATTGAATCAATACCGTCAATGTCGTCAGTGTCAATGATCGGGTGTTTTATCCTGGATACGTCCAGCGATACCAGGTTACGACAGTATAGACTCACACAGGCGAGATCGACGTGGGGTCCGCAGCGCAGGGTTATGATTCTTGATGCTTGTTGGTGCCATTTGGAAAGGAAGTGGTCGCTTTCCCAGGCATGTTCGGGGATGGTAGTCCAGAGGAAAGGCTCAGTACAGGCCCAGAACTGCTTCGAGACTCGGCTGGTATGGACAAGCGCCTGTCGATCGAGATAGCGACAGATCCCTTGAAGGATTTCTGGAATAGAAAGCGGACTCGGCTGGGAGGTGGTATCGCGGCACCCGTGGGAGAGTTCAGGGGCTTCAATTGATGTCATTGGTTTCGTGGAGAAGGCATTGTAGGACATGATGGAAATGGATTCTGGAGGAGCTCCTATGAGGCCATGGCTGAAGGCAGTAGCGGTGGTTGAAGAAGCCGAGACAGGGCGCGTAGGGTAAAACGAAGAGGAGACTGGTTGATTTGGAGAAGTAAAGGTCTGCTGTAAAGCGGAGTTTTGGAGGGATGAGCGAAGGAATGAGGTAGCAGCGTGCATGTCATCCATACATCAACACGAGAGAGAGGGAGGAGAGGAGAGATGGGGGCGATGGCAAGTGATGAGGAGGAAGGGATGGGAATGGGAATGGGGAAAAGAAGAAATAGAATTCAGGTACGCACACCACTATACATAAACCATTGGAAACCGATCCCTTGCCGTTCCCTCCCATGCATTGCACTGCAGTCCACCCAAGGGAAGGATGGATGGATAAGCTATGCCATCGATCTCTCTTTTTCCGGTTCCCTGTCCCCCATGTCCGTTCTCCTTCGACCTTTGGCCATTTTCCTGGTTCCCGGTCCAATGGTGTTGCAAAGAATAGGTCGTAAGAAGGTGGACATGGTGAACCATTGGCGTAAGTGGTGTAAAGTGACACTGCTAAGAAGGAGATTATCTGATGGACATGTAACCAGTATGCTTGGGATCCGGACTACCCTCATACATCCATATATGACACACCTCTGAATCTGCTCGTCAAGATAAGGAAGGACCCGCCTGTGCAGAAGTGGCGGCCATTGAAGTCATCGATGGGACACAGTGCGAATATCGATCTGAACCGTGGGAAAAATAATTTGCATTTAGAGTGTTTTGTAGAATAGCGCTTGCCGCATGAATGGGCTATACCACAGGCAGGGCGCGTACCCTATGCGATATATTTGGCAGGCCAAATCAGGTTACTTACACGTCCAGCGCTCGTTATGTACGCGTCGCGTATGCGTTTTATCCTGCATATCATGTCTTGCTGCACTCCTCTGTCGCGTAACGCTGAAGCAACCGCCAATCATGCGTCCCTGTGCACTTCCTCTTCTTTTCAGCTTCATCCATGGAGAGGTACAACTCATGGGCCCAAGACATACTGGCTCATTATTTATGTTGTTTGTTGACAATAGCACTAGACTGTGCCGAAGATCCTCCCGACTGTGCGGTAGCCCTCAAGAGTCCAACAGCAACACACTCAAGCGACCCGCTGTTTACACCGCTACTGATGCATACGAAACCGCCATGGACATTAAAATATGTTAGGGCTGTCTGAACGCAAAAGCTGTCGCTGTCCTTGAAGTCTTCACACCTTCGCCTGGGGGATGACGGTGGGAGAGGAGCTAGAGCTGTATACCTCACAACAATTGGTGCGCCAGCTCCCACATGCTACTCCTCCCTCAATGGCGCGCGCTGTAAGTCCAAGCGCCTATAGCCTAGGCATATTGTCGATCAAGGTCTGAATGCGAGGATCACCAACCCTTCTGACAAGTATTGGCGATATAATCAAATTTTCCTGATTCACTAATGAGAATAGGAGTGCCCTCTCATCATCAGCTTTCCCAAGCACTCTCTTCATCTACTTGCCCCTTTCTCCACTTCTCTTCACTTCACATCCCTACGCACGCGGCCAAGTTCGCGCACACCCCACAGCCGTTTCTCAGGTCTTGATTTATCCCCCATCATGCCCAAAACAATTGTGTTTGTAGGCCTAAAATGGTTGCTAGAGAGACAGATAACAAAGCGTAAACGAAGTCCACTCGAGTATATGATATTGGCGACCTTGGTCTTTCTAGCTGCTGCAATTCTAAAGTATCCCAATCGAACCTTTCTGACCCGAGCCCGGCCTGACCTCAAGGCTCAAGGGCAGAATGCGCCGGGTTACCCACTCCTTGGCAGCCCTCCTGCTATTATCGAGTGTCGCGATGATCTACTGTCGATGCTTCATAAGACCTTTCGTGAACATGGCGATGTCATGTATGTGATAAATTCATTGCACATTACTGTTATGGTGCCGATTCCTTGAGTTCTAGTTCTCAATGGACGTGGTGTATTTCTTGTTGTCATTGCTTAGATAGATTCATCACTATGCCTGTCCTTGGTCGTGTGATCGTCGTCAACCTCCCCGAGTTCATGGAACATATCCTTAAAAGTGAATAAAAGCCATTGTTTCTTTTCAGAGCAAATAAAGGCTACTAACGTATATCCTGGTTAATCCTTATTCCCTGACAAATGTACTGCAGCTAACTTGGGGAATTATGTGAAGGGCGACTTGTTCCGTTGGGCCCCACAAATATCCTCAATCGTGGTATATCCGTGTCTAACAGCGAAGACTAGCGATTTCACCGTAAGACGGCTTCAAACATCTTCACAACTAAACTCTACCACAGTCTCTTCCAGGGCGCCTTCAAGTCGAGTGCGCATGCGTTCTGCGATGTCATCGAACGACATATCAATGCCAATATTCCCATGGATCTTCGAGCCCAGTTTTTGAAGCTTACTCTGGATGTGTTTGGCAAATTCACCTTTAGAATCGAATTCAAGACCCTGTCCCAAGCAGAATCCAATGATTCAAAGATACATATGACTTTTTAACAGCGGCCGCTGACGCCAGAATATCGAATCCATTCTGGGCTATTACGGACTGACTGACTCCAGGCCATTCGAGGAAGCATTGGGATTGTATCCATACGCTGGATAGATATGCAGCTATGGCAGTTTCGAAGTGATGCGCCGAAATGCCTGAGGAAAAAAAAAGCATATTCGGGTGGTCTTTTAGACTATTAAATTAGTTATAAACCTGAGGATAACATCATGCTTACGGATCGCGAGCTGCGAGGTGTCTTTGTTAACTTTATGGTGCATATGCAACATTTCTTTATAACTGCGACGAATTACAACAAAAAAACGCATTATTCTAAGATAAACCGTGTTCTATGGCTGATCGCGATACCACAGCGCAAGAACTCATATGGCAGTTCTACTGCCCCATGGCCAACCTACGCGCCATGAATAATGTTTTGCAGGAGATCGACTCTATTCTTGGGGAGTCAGAGGACACAACCAAGTATGAGGTCCTCATGCATGAGCTGCCCTACTTGAAAGCGGTTCTACACGAGGCCCTGCGCTTACATCATCTAGTGCCCAAGAATGTGAAGCAGGTCCTCGTTGACGATGCCTTCCCGATGGCACTCGTTTCTACAAGGGCGGATTCATTGGCTACTCGAACTGGTATAAGGGCCAAAACCAGGCTGTGTGGAGTATTGACGCCGAATTGTTTGTCCTGAGCGGTGGCTGACCCCGGATCCAGAGAGCAGATCCCCATTCGGAAAGCACAAGGGTAAGAGTCAGTCCAAGTTCATCTCGTTCAATGCAGGTCCGCGTCTATGGTCTGGGACAAGCATTTGCGCTCTTAGAGGCCATGGCGACGAGATGAATTTTACTGCAGAGGTACAGTTTCAATTTGATGCCGAACCATCCGGTCCCGGCTGTGAAGGGATCGGTCACTTTGCCGATGAAGTCGCCGATGGCCTTAATGGCTAGGCGGGGGAACAGCAGTACCTCTAATGCTGCGTTGGATTGAGGTCCGTGATATGGAAGACCACTATAGTGGCTGAAAGATGTTCATCTGTAGATATGTAACTGTGCAGAAGGAATAAATTGCCATCATTCATTTTGCGTAAATTCTAAGGCGGATAGTGGGAAGTGGCAAGATAAGTTACTTGCAAGCAATATTCTTTGTTGCAACCCCTCCGCGGGGTGCTTATTTATCTTTGTATTTGTGACCGAGGGCCTTGAGGTACTCTTGTTTTTCCAGCCATAACGCTGCGGCATTCGCCATATTCTGCGTCACGCTATCGCCATGATTCTTGATAGGCTTCTCTTGGCCCTTGAGTCCACGTTCCCTATCGTACTCCTCTGGCTATTGGCCCCCGCAACAGGAGGTCGAACGTGTGGCTGATCGTCCTTTTCTGCTGTCTTTGTCAAGCGAGAGCAACTACGAAATAAATGCACGAAATCACCCACAGAACAAATTATTATAAATCACTTGCTGCCTCCGCTTATAGCCGTGGATAATAAACAAGAGATAGACAACAGGTTGGAGCAATTTGTTGTTGAAAGTCTTCACGAAAGTCCATATAAGCAGTAGAATTTGATCCGCGCTTGTCCGCTCCATTAGTCTTAGGATAAATTTATTGGTGAGGACGGGGACACCGTTGTACGATCATCTCCGATTACTAACAAAGGGCGACGACTGTTCTGGTCCTTTGGTGGAATCTGCCGAGGCATTATTGATGGCTGTGCTGGTGTCTTGTTCGCCTCTGTCTTTTAGCTTGGTTTTTGTGGATTACGCGTTCCTATACTTCATGGAATCATAGATTTCCCATAGACGCTCTTCCACTGCTCCTGCTGAATGCAACATGACCCTAATTGTTGCTACTGCCAGCTCCAAGGCCACTGCACCTCGACCCCATGGCTGGTCCCGCCGGGCCGAGACCGAAAGATAAAAAAATAAAAATAAAAATAAAAATAAAAATAAAAATAAAAATAAAAATAAAAATAAAAATAAAAATAAAAATAAAAATAAAAATAAAAATAAAAATAAAAATAAAAATAAAAATAAAAATAAAAATAAAAATAAAAAAAGAGAAAGAGAATGAAGAAGAGAAGGCCTGACAGCACTTTCAGTCCTGTACTATATCCTGAGGCCTTCTGCGCTGTGGTTCGTTGTCCTAGGGTCCTGTATGTTGTGGTCCATTGCCCTGTCATCCATCCTCGTACCATCCCGCATCGTAAGAACAGTATCCCTTGATGGTCGTTGGTATATGCGCAGAAGCCAGGGTATAGTCCTTTGACCTAGCTGATTCCTAACCCGAGTGTGTCATCGCATCTCTCGTTCTTGCAAATAGCACTTACCCTTTCTCTTCCATTTCTGCGAAGGAACAAGACTCTTCCTTGAGGCCTCGACCCAAGAGATCTCTTCAGAAATCTGCTTTGCGTCTGGAACTCTTATCGTCTTCATCTGTAATCCTTCAAGTCGCCTCTATTCGAAACTCTTCTATAGCCTTTGTACATATAACCTGGCTCCAGTCCTTAGTCGCCTCCCACCTCTCCCCTCCTCGCTGCCGATTGGAACGCGTCTCATTTACAGCAAATGGCGGCGACGCGACATACCTCCCCGAGCGGGCTCCTTCATGGAACCACTAACAGAAGATTGTGCAGCCCTAGGAAGGCTTGGAAGAGATAGATATTCAACACGTTATCTTAATTTCTGTGGATTGTAGCTGATGAGGGAGATGAAATAAAACACTTTCCTGAGCAATCTTGAGCAGTCTATTTCCCAAAGCTGGGAATGGTTTACGCCCCCAAAAAATAGGATTGCGCCACTGTGTGCTGTGCTGTATTTGAACACCAGCGATTGGTCGAAAAATAAACAGATTTCATGCTGTGCCTGGATGTATGAAGACAAGTGAAACAAGTGAACAGTCACCTAACAAAATTAATTAGCCATGCTTTTTGCGCATTCTTTTTCAAATTACCTATATATAACACGCCTAGTGAGTTATACAGTCGCTATGGAATTCTTCACGTCTATCGAAGAGCTCTGGGGAACATCTTTGGTGAATATCAGGGTGGTTTATGCTGAAGGAGAGGGTTACGGCTCGCTCAATATCTTTCATTACCACCGCTGTACTTTTTCACGAATTCCAGTCTCTGGGGCACCGTGTCGACCAGCCTTGCCAGCTGCTCTTGTGGTAAAGCATCCCACTCCTCCATTAGAGCTATCACCAGGGTTGCAATGTCCCAGGGTTGTCTTCGTCGTCGATTAAGGGCAGTACCAAGGAGGGACCAGACATGCTCGATGGGGTTCAAATCTGGGGAGTTGGCTGGCCAGTCCTCTATCTTGCGAAAGCCGCGTGCTTGGCGCCAATTCTTTGATAGCGCACAGCTGTACGCTGCGGCATCATCTTCCATGAGGGTTCCACCCTGTACCTCCGTCATAAACCTGAGCAATCCACCCTCATACACATCCTCCACGAAGCACCGTCTGTCGCGACGTCCTCGCTCAAAAACAACCAGCCTGGACTTCTTAGTAACTGTAAATGCGACCCAGACCATGAGGGAGGTCCTACCGCTCTTTATATTGGGCGCGAGGCAATCGCCATCGTACTTTTCCTCCGCTGTTCGCCAAACTCGAATCTGGCGAAAATTCTCTCCAACCTCGAAAGTTGACTCATCAGTCCATACTACCCTCGACCATTGCTCCGTTGTCCATTTGCTGTACCTCCGCATAAATGCGAGTCGCCTATCCTTGTGGACGTCGCTGAGATAGGGTTTCTTTGCGCTACCCGACTGAAAATACCAGCTGAATGGAGCGCTCTCCGAACGATGCCTTCGCTCACTTCATGGGGTACCATGTTGGTGATATCCTGTAGAGTGACAGGTCCTTCACGCTTGGTATTGCGTATCGTGCTCCTAATGTCCCTCTCACTGAGCGCTCTTGGTCGTCCAGAACCTGGGGCGTGTGCAGCGATGCCTCTCTGATGGTAGATGTGAATAACATTGGTCACCGTGGGCCTGGGTGTGTTGCGCTTCGCTGCAATTTCCGTATGGCTCATCCCCGCTAGACTCATTCCAACGATAATGCCTTTTTCTTCCATGGATAGCTATTTTGGCATGGTGGTTACTCAAGCTGCTGTTGGTTGTGCTTGGAGAAGAAAAGTCGTGTTGAAGAAAAGAAAGAAAAGATGTATTTATTTGCTCATGGCTAGAAAATTAAAGTTGGCCAATTATAATTGTTAGGTGACTGTAATTCTACTGACACCTGTCCATCTGCTCACCAGTCCATGTTCGGCTGTCCACCCAGTCCACTTGTCCATCCAGTCTACCCGGTCTACCTAGTCCACCTTGATGGTGTTCCATAAGCGGCAAAAAAACGTGTCAGTGGAAGTGTCTGCCGAAGAGAAAAAGTGTCAATGGAAGTGTCCGCAAGTATCCGCGAAGAAGAAAGGTGTGGTTTCAGTAGGGTCAGTAGCGGTTTCGATAGAATTAGTAGGATTAGTAGCGGTTTCAGTAGGATCAACACACCGCCTGCTTAACAATGCATATAAAACATGAAGGCGCCCATGACCCGCTTGTAGCTTGAGGCTGGAATAGTAAGACGGTGACGCAAATACCCTGACACTATGATGTCGAGTGTGCCCTTTTGCTTACCTGGAATAGAGTGTAAATGCCACATGCACCGAGGCGGAAAGGCCTACGGGGCTATGACGTTGGAATGGTTGCGCTTCCTAGGCCTTGTGCCTTTATGGCAGATAGATGGTGAAAATTACAACCGCTTTGATTCATTGAAGTTGTCACCTATTTATTTTTTTATTTTTTTTTCAGTTTGGAGTGACATCTAAGGGATACACATCGTGTCAGCATTCGTGTTCAACAGTGAATAGTAGTATGCCGTTTTATTTCTCCGTATTTCGTTGCAATTTCATTCTTGCTTCCAACATGAGAACAAGCAATTTATTGCTTCGATGCATTGTAGAGTGGAGGAAATAAATCGGCATTCGAACAGTTCCCCCTTGAGTTAGGCCAGCAGCTGGATAGTCTTGAGCAAATACCCCCATTAGCATGACAGCAAATTTCAACTCTTGGGTGGAGCGTGGCGTCTTGGCTCAGAGAGATGGGGTTTCTCCCATCTCAGGACGCAACGCTGTACGAGAACGACATGTAACATGAACTATGACTACTTACCTTCTGGCCAAGGCATTGTGCCAAGCAGCGATTCCAACTCTTCCGCCTCGTGCTTCAGAAATTTTTCACTCTTGTGAATTCCGAGCGTCCAAAGTCGATGAAAAAGAACTGCGAGTTTTCACCATCGCGCCGCACCGCGGTGTTGTGCGGTCGAATATCACCGTGTAGGATACCTAGCCTGTGGATTACTGACAGTGCCGCCCCGATCTTGTCCCGATCAGATAAATCCAAGTGTTCATCGCAGAGGTCAGTCCCCATAAATTCCGTTACCAGAATCATCTCCACTCCATTTGCTATTCCGGCCATCTTCAACTTGAGTATCCATTGTCCTTGTAACTTCTACAGAACCTGGTAAACCCTTGCCCCATGCCCTAACTCATGAACAGCCTCTCGCTGACTCCATATGTCGCCTTTCTTAAGCACAGCATTCCCATTTGACCATGACGCCCGGAACGTACGAGCACCCTCTTCAACTTGAGCGATAAGCTTCATGTTTTCGAAAGCGGGGATAGCGGTAGCCTCTCGTTCCGCGACTCTTGACTGTTTCCTGGCGCTGTATTACCACATAGTATGGGATGGTTAATTATCTATGATAAAAAAAAAAAATTCCAACCGCAATGCATCATTTTATTTGTTTCTTACCTGCCTCGCGTAAAATACTCTTCATTCCTTGCCTAAAACTTCCGCCAGGTCTTGGCTCCCAGTCGCGGCCACGTTTCGCAGCCTTGTATTCAGGCTGTTCGTTTGTGAGCATGTTGTCAGCCGTAGGATTATCGAGACTGTCCGGCTGCCATTCAAGTCCTTGTCTGCCGCCCTTGTCTGCCGTCCCTATCATCCACAAGTAAAATTGAAGTAGCTTTGGCCCTATGCTGTCGAATTGGGCTGTAGGCGAGACTAGGATATCGCTCTCACCCTCCTTGACTCTCTTGATAAACCAAGTCTGGGTATAGGTAGACAGTACGCCATATCGAAACCCGTTGGACGGCATGTATCCGAATATTTGCTCTAGCGCACCAGCCGGGCCTTGCGCTTGTGTTATTTGTGCCTGATAAGCGGCTGGACAACTGGTGCCGTCATCCAAACGCAGGTAGGAGGACTTTTCCATTTTGATCAGAAACAATATCGAGTCGAAGTCATTCTGGCGTGAGCATACCAGGTCGGGAGTACCATATAGCAGACCCGCGGAACTGAGGGTGTCTGAAAAGGAGAGTAAGCTTTAGACGGAACCGACATCGTAGCGGAAGATTCCGTGCAGACTTTGCTCGATTGTAAACCCCCTGTCTTGGACCTAGATGTAATGACTCAGTACCAAGCGGTATTTGGAGCGCCATGGCTAAAAGATCTCCCCACACTTCAACTGACGCAGAGATCAACGGGTATGTACGAGTCGCGTCGGTTGTCGCTCCATACGCCCTTTGGTTTATGTCGGTGGCAGGTTCCAAAGAGCATTAAAAGCAACAAGAAAAGGTTACACCAAGAATCAGTATTTCACGCAAAAAAACAGGTACAGCGGGAAAGTCCATGCACCAATGCAACCCGCGATGCATTACCTTGCGGTGGTCGCTGCACAATGATGTGAATTGCTTCTTCAGGTGACTCTTCTGTGAAGACCTTGGAGAGGTGTGTCGTTGGGACAAGCTCCATCTTGGAATCGATCTCGTTCAGGAAGACTGCATTGTGGATGTTGGCAGTGATGACAGGAACCAAGATAGACTAGAGCGTGAGCTGAGAGGCAGCGATATCGTCAAATACTGGGGCTTGTTTGGCCTCAATGAGCTCCTTGAGACCGTCTACAATGGTTCCCAATGACGCGATGACGGAGAATGGCCTCGAGATGGGGTATGGGTCCTCATCCAGTACCTCCGCATACAAACGATATCGATGGAGAATACGAAGAAGAGTCGTATGAACAGTTAATGGAAGAGACTAGCGGAGGACCTTCTGGAAGGCGATCTTTATTTCGAGATGAATTTGGAAGGTGTTGGCAAATAAAGTTTTGAAATCACGTATACAATAACAGGTATTTGTGTAACAACCAAAAGTTGGTGAGGAAACAAGAAGAGTTATATCGGTGTTTCGTCTTCCTGCACCACAATCAAATATGAGCAGGCGTCCGCCGCCTTTATTAGGGTCTGGTATGGATTTCAACATCCTATCAATGCCCTTCGTTATCCACAGAGTGATTGTCGATGCCTTCCTCTAACACATCAGCCTGATCCAAAATGTCCAGGTCTTCCCACTCGTCTGAAACCATGCCGTCGTCGGCCATCAGCACGCCATAGCAGCCCATCAAGTTCAAAGAGGTGAGCTGAGTTGCACCCATCTGCAATCCCATGATCCCTGTGTCCGTGATCCTGGTACAATGCGACAGGTCAAGGCTCCTGAGCGACTTTGAGATTCCCTTCGGTGATGAGGGTACTTGGCCATTGTCGTTGCCCTGCCCTAATATCCGGGCACTCCTTGAGTTTTGTTGAGTAGGCACCTTGGTAATAACCGCTGATCCAATTTCCAATATCGATATGTCGCTGATCCGTTCACAACCAGAGAGCTCCAGGTTTTCTAGTGCCGCAGCATGGGCACACAGCGAGAGTATAGCCAGATCCGAAATCTTGACACAGCCGGACAAGACTAGAGATTTTAAATTCCGGGGACCAAGTTCTTCGGCAATGAATTGGACGGCATTGTCGCGCAGAAGGATGCAATGGCTGAGATTGAGAGTGGTGATAAACGGACAGCCCTGTATGAGGGAATGGATCATTCCGATATGCACGCTGTCCCAGCGGTGAGGCAGCATTGACAGATCGATTATCCTAACAAGGGCTCCGACAGGCATGTCTAATGGTGTGAATGTTGAAGATACCACGTTAAACGTGTCTGCTGTTGTTGCGGTTGTTGAAGATGCCTGAACAGATCCAGATCGAGACGCTGCTGATACTGATATTGATGGGGAAGTGCTTGTATCCATGGGCGAGTTTGCAGAGTTGTGGCAAGTCGAATTGTCAAGCGAGCGGAGGTATTGGACCATCTCTGATGTGTCCACAGCGCTCAGAAACTCCTCGAGTGCAGAGAGACGGCGCAGTCTTGGCGACTTGTAAAGAAGGTGCCGAGTGAGACTATGCCACTTTTTGTTCAGTTGGTTGCATAAGGCGAGACTGGGCTGATCGAGGATAATAAGGTCGATAATAACCAACAGTAGCTCTGTCGGCAGAGAGTCCATGCTTGAGTGTTCCTTGAGCGAACAAGGTGAGGTGGAGCCCAGGAGATAAGAAGACAGCACCTGTTTGGCAAAGTCAATGGGTGACTGTGCAGAAGGCGCCACCGATATCAAACACTTGTTTCTTGTCAAGGGCTGGACAATCTCCATTTATTACATACATCCCGCGCACAACCATGAGACGACAACACGAAGAGGACCAGATGGACTTGGATTTGGACGACGAGATGGATCAGGACCAGGGTGATGTCTCACAGCTGGAAAAAGAGCGGATTAAGAATGAGAAACGAAAGATCCGCCAGCAGTACCGCAAGCTCATCTCGGAGACCGAGGGTGCGTGTTGCTTGCAGACTTTATAAAAGCTGCGTGCATGAATTCATTATGCGGCGCTTGGAACGTGTAGCCTATAACGTTTTTGCTGGGCCTCGTTTATTATAGTGCATCGCAAGGAGCTTATGGACCCCGCCAATAATGGACTGCTGGCCAACGTGGACCAGGCAAACAAGTTATATAAGAATGGTACGAATGTCAGGATGGCGTTCTGGACTTGTCAGGAATCGCTGCTTCGATGATGCTGAAGATATATTCTCTTGTCTTCTGCATAGTCTTTGGAACCCACGAGGCAACGCTCGATGCAAAGTTGCTAGTTATGTCGGCGGACTTGGGAATGCAAAAAGCGAAGCATCTTCGTATGGGCCAAGGAGGATTCGATGAAACCGAATACATCTCGCGCTTGGTGACCAAGATGGGAGGACACGATGCTGATTATGAGCAAGGCATGGACTGGTCAAAGATCGGAGGCATGGCTCAAAAATGGACACGAAAAGTCCCCACAATGGACTTTATGTAAGGCTACACTTTGATTCTTGTATCGCTGCTGTATGAGCTCGAAAGATTGGTCATTGGAATCTAGTAACGTTTTTATTTTGTGCCCTCTTGAAGGCTGGGACCAATGTCCGTAGAACACAAGTCTAGGGCGATCACTCAGAGACAAAGAATAGTCCGTGACCCGAATGCAATGAGGAAACCCCAGGAGCTAAAAGAGGAGGACATCGCACGCCAGGAGAACGAGACAACCAAAAACGTGATGCAGATCTCCGATATTTTGGAAGGGTTGTCCGACAAAGTCAACCTATTCAAGCTTGTGATCAATCCAGAGTCATTTGGTCAGACTGTCGAAAACATCTTTTATCTGTCATTCTTAGTTCGAGACGGAAAAGCGAGTATCTTTGAGGAGGACGTGGATGATCCTAATCGCGGACAATATGATGACGACGACGAGCGTCCTATGCGGGAAGGGGCTAATATCCAACCCATGGTTGAATTGACGGAGGTGCCAACAGCTGAAGACTACCAGGACGGACTATTGAAGAAGCAAGTGGTCATGGATATCGACATGGCTACATGGCGGGTGAGCTTCCTTGCTTTGCTGCTTCATTCTATGCTCTATATTCATTTTCAACACAAAGAGGGTGCTCTAACTAAGGGATATGCCATGTTTTTACTCCTCCCTTTATCAATAGAAACTGATTGAAGTGTACGATATCCAGGAGACTATGATCCCTACAAGGCACACAAAACAGAATGTCAACAAAAACGAGTGGTACGGATAAGAGGCACACTGGATTCCAATGCAGATACGTAGAACGAGAGTAATAAAGAGTGTAGTTTACGTTTCTGGCTTTCTAGTTTTCTGTATGATCTTGATGTAATTAGAATTGAATGACTTGTGTATCAAAATGTAATATGAAATACTAGAGCGTTGACATAGTCTCCATTTCACTTTGGAGTCCCTCCCCCCCGTGGCATCGTTCTTGGGTGATAAGAACTTGAAGATGACTCCCGTGCTTAATGGCTAGCGATGATAGTGATGCTGACGACACTAGAACTGGGGGTAGCTCAGAATAAAAGTCCGAGCTGGATGTGCTGGGCTTATTGGGCCTATTACGTTATGGCTTACAACTTCCGCATGCATCCTGGGCCAAGGACAAAAGTCAAATTTTGCATTGGGTGGGTGGAAGATCGATAAACTCAAAGGTGTGCTTTGGTGAGGGGAAGGTGCATTGCAAGAAGAAATGTGAAAAGACGCGGATATTGTGGCCGTCAACGCATGCATACACTGCCAAGGCGCCAGGCCCTTGATTCGGCAGCCCATTTGTTCCGGCAACCCTTTTGTGAGTGGTGGACGGAGTAGGTGGGTGACCTGTATGTAATGTCCCCAAACGTGCGTGCGAATTTTATATCACCTAACTATGGATCGTCCTAACGAAGCCTTCAGCGCTGACCCAGTGTAAAAGCAAGAAAACCAACCAAAGAGCACAAAAATAAAAAATAAACACACTGCGAGATTAGGAGCGATTCAAATTCTTATGTAAATTCCATGGCGATGACAGAGAAGGGCTTATGTGAGAAACGGTTGAAACTGGCTTAAGAAAACGTGTGTTTCCAATCGATATTCATCAACCAGAGTGGTCGTAGGGCTAAGGAGAGGGTCGAAAAGAAGGATTAGGATGTCAAATGGGCTGAATCCGAAGTTTCACGAATCGATGGTGACAATAAACATCAGAAATGAGTTTGGGACCAACTGCCGCTGCTTTTTGCTTTGGGGCTTCTCTTTTTTCACGTACAACCTTCTTAGTACAGGTGGTGGGGTCTAAACACGGTCGCGAAATGTATTGACGCCCATGAGCACACGCGGCAAGAAATATTTGTGACGAATTTGTTGGTACGCATCGTCGTTTCTTGACCTGCACCCATCACGCATCTCCCTTACTAGACAAAGAAAGAGACATTCCAATGGCATACAACCCGAACTATCAGCAGCAACCCTACGGCCAGCAAGGCTATCAACAGCAGCAGCAGCAGCAGCAGCAGCACGGTCAACAGGCCCAAGCAGGATATGGTGGCTACCAGGCCCAGCCTCCAGGTGTGCACACTGAACCATACGTCTTTGCTGCTGTATATGAGTGAGTTAGTTTCTAACCTTTACCCTGTGCTCGCTTTTAGCCCCAGCACAGACACCTGAGGTCAGCCTTCGGTACTGGTTCGACGCTGTGGACTCGGACCGCTCAGGTCAATTGAGCACTGAGGAGCTGCAGCGTGCGCTTATCAATGGTATGTCTGGGCATTAATATCCGACGGTCAAATAAAGACTTGTGTATACTAGGGGCTTTTACTAATGAACCACATCTCTATGCCTTGCTTATTCTAGGCGATTGGAGCCCTTTCAATATCGAGACCGTTCGTCTTATGATGAACATGTTTGATACTGGTAAGGACTTACTCGCCATTTGGAAAGAACTAAAAGATATCATACGTCATGCCATAGCAGATGCTCATTATCTGGCCTATCTAACGCGCCATCTATCGGCTCTTTTTCAATAGATAACTCGGGTCTGATCACCTTCCCCGAGTTTGCAGGGCTATGGAAGTACATCGAGGACTGGCGCACTTGCTTCCAGGCGTATGACCAAGACAAGAGTGGCTACATTGACTTTAACGAACTCAAGACCGCTATGCGCTCATTTGGCTACAACCTCTCAGACCGTTTTCTGCAACTGATCATCAAGAAGTACGACAAGCGGGGTAAGTTGTTTTCGATTGTTTGCAACCTAGTGCAAAGTTGAGAACTTTCTATGCTTTAATGATGGCCAGCATGTGTAAGGAAGTGAAGCACGTTGTCAATCGGAGCCCTGATACTGATGCTTGTTAGGTAAAAACCCTGAAGGTCGTGGCGATGTCTCTTTCGACAATTTTGTTCAGATTGCTGTTACTGTCAAGAGTCTTACGGATGCCTTCAAGAGGATTGACCGCGAAGGCAAGGGCTATGCAACCATTGCTTATGAGCAGGTGAGTTATATTATTTTATTTTTCCTTTTCTTTACATCGTCGTCGTTCGTATTATTTATCACAACCCTCGCTTACTCTTGCACCGTCTTTATCCCACTTCTGCTGAATAGTTCTTGGAGCTTGTCGTTAGCAACCGCTAAGCATTTTTAATCTCTGCACTCGATGGTATTCTATTTGCACTTAGCACGCTATCCATTAGGAACACGTCAATATGGATGAATAAACCTATGTTTGATATTCCTTTTATTATCATAATGTTGTATGAACGTAAAAAACGAAAGTATTCTCTCAAGCAACCAGTCCATTCAGTATAGCTGTCCTGATAGGCCTAACCTTGCGCACTGGCACATCATCGATATGGAAGCGATCACCAGGGATTTGCCATACTTTGTGCAATGTCAATCCATCGCAATCTCTTCGGTAGGGATCGAACACGTAGTTGGCACTGCCGTCCGTGTAGTTCATTATCCCTGCCCCACGCATATCACTCATCGTGATGCCGACGTCAAATTCGAAATCGCCATTCCTTTCGCCCATAAGGAAGCTGTTCTTGAGTCTTGAGGTCAAGGGTGCAAAGTGGCGGTGATCGTCGTTGATGACGCGCACTACTGTGACCCGGTCCACAGCGAAGGGGCAATCATCAAACGACTTTGAGTAGTACCGTCCGCGCACGAAATCATACCAGCTCCAGAGATCCGTCCGCAGCATCTTGTAACCCGAGACCATCATGCCCATATAAAGGACTACGAGAGAGGCGGTTCCTGCAGGATCAATATTGTAAGCGTCCACGAGATCCGGATGGAAGGCTAAACCAAAGAATGTTGCCAGAACCGAGATGAACCAGATCGCGCAGACTGTCAACACTTCAGCCTGTCGCCAGCAAGGCAAACCATCCGTCGTGACAGAGTAGCATGCCTCCTTGGTTGCCGTGTCCAATTTTGGTCGGAAACAGATTGAGGTCTCACAGGAGCAAACGATTGTTGCATCTTCACTCAGTTGACTGGTCACTCGTGTGCACTCGCGTAGGTATCGGTAAAGTCGTCGGCTGGTTTCGACCGTCTGTGGACATGTCAGGACGGTCATCGTAAAGGGTTCGTTGCATTGAAGGAACATTTTGCGGAAGAGACACAGGGCAGCGTTCTGCTCACTGCCGGAGATTTGATCGATTGTGTGCTCCAGATCACTGTCGTGTTCCCAGAATCCAGCATCGATGACACTGGGTAAACCCTGGATCCCTGTCAACGTAAAGCTGGTGATCGCCTGGAAGACGTTCTCGAGCTCCCTGAGATCATACAACAAGTCTGCGGTCATGGATTGAAAGATGGCACCATAGGGCGACGTCCGTTCCCCAGCGTTGTACTCTGTGATCGCATCCGTGACCAGGACAAGAGTCGCAACCTGATTCGCATACCACCAGAAGGGAGATCTAGAGGCAATGTCTCCAAGGACGTGGGCAGCGGCGACGATGGGCAGGTAGGAGAAGTACTCAAAAACGTGGGGTGCTATTGAAGATGGCGATTCTGTCGTCCTAGAGTCGAAATCAGTGAAAATGCTTCGACTGATTGCCAGGGTACTCGAATAGACCAAATCACAGATTCTTTCTGCCTCCTGATTCGAACGAGCCCGCGCGCCGTCGTATCCAGTCTCGACCTTGAGATACTCGAGCACAGCGTCACAGATAGCCCTATGGTATTCGCGGGGTGAGTTGTACTCGGACTTGGAGAGCAGGGGCTGAAGAAACAAGTGGATGGAGATGGGGCAATTGTTGGCGAGAGCAACGATCTGTTCTGTGCGAAAATGATTCTTGTAGTTGAACCACAAGGTCGAGAGGGACTCATGGGGAAGAAAGTCTTTGCTGAGGCAGTTCTTGTAGGTCTCGTAGATAGAGGGAATGGTAACCTTGGTGACCACGGAGGTGTAAGTGCCAGCGATACTCACTGCCACCATTTGTAAGCAGAGAAAGGGGTAGGTGATGTGTATGGGGTATATGGCGCTTTCCTGAAGAGTCGTTGGGGCAAAGGAAAGGAACGAAAGAACTGAAAGACGGATGGTTTTATAGTTGTCGCATAGAGGTGTGCTCCATGGTGCATGCATATTAATTCACCGAGGTATATTTAAGCGCCCTATCGACCAGCACGTTGCGATACCTTTTTTTGATCCTTTGGCATCCCATGATGATATTCAGTAACGTGCACCCTTCTAAAAATGCTGTGCAGAACTGTACGCGGTGGCAATTGCGAAGAATGGTTCAGGATGGAGGTCAAGAGGTCCTGGAGTCTTGGGGACAAGGAAGGAGCTCAGTGTGGGCTCAGTCCTGCCTGAGCAACAAAATAGCCGCTGCACACAACCGCTAGAAACATCCATTAGACGCCCAATGTGCTAGTCTAACAACAACATCGACAATGAGACAGTATCCGAGGCAATCATCGCCACCCCTGCTGTCCTGTTTTTCCGGACTGATTTATATGCACGCCGCGGAGTGTCGTTGGATGCTGCATGTAGGCATGGTCTGCATAGACAACCTTACCCGCCGCGTATTTGACTGGTTGCATGCTCGAATGCTTGTATGGTTGCACGCAATAGTGCATGGTTTAGTCGCGCAAATAAACAATGAACAAGAGGCCGAGAGATACGGTCCAGAATCACAACGCAAACGACCACGATTAATATGGTTTGGTTCAGGTCCCGGATCTCGATTTGCATACTCTTTATAGGATGCACTGCCTTCTAAACAGAATATCTCGCTAAAAGAATCTTTGTCGATTTCCACGCTGTCGGAACATCAATTTAAACCTTCAAAGCCACGACATGGTAACGCTCTCGCAACATCATCTTTCTCTATCCACTCTTGTACAGTGCCCAAGAAAAAGTCATTGGGAACGACTTTCATTTTGCGTACAAACACCGTGTAAACATATAAAAGTGTGAGGGGGGAAGCATGCTGCTCAGCGTACAGATGAGCTAGAGACATGGGGCTACCACGGTTTTGTTCGGGTTTCTTTCGGCTACAAACCATGCAATTTTTAAAAGATGTTTTCATTCAAAAACGAAGTGTGTTTTTGAATACAAAAATACTAAGGAAGTTCTCGTTACATGGCCATGGCACGTAACTTTAAAAACTTAAATTTTTTTTGGCGAGATTATTAGAGTCCGCGTCAAAAAGTCCCAGCGCAAATAATTTTACAATAAAAATTTTCAATTCATTCGGCATCATTCTCCACGTGAGGGATTTTTTCACGTACGCTAGGAACTGAGCCAGAGCACTCACATGCAATGCCATTCAGAATGGCCATGGGAGTCATCATGATGAGAAGACCGACGAAGAGGACGAGGTGGACGAAGGTGAGGACGGCAACAATTCGCCTAGCGAGGTGAACGCGTCCGAGACGCAGAGTGAGAAAAAGATAGAATCTCTTACAATCGCCGTCCTCAGTTCTTAGCGATTTGATTTCGATTTGATTTGCTTTCTGTGTTAAGGGGTGTTTTCTACGCGGCGATATCTTTTTTTAATGTTTCGTGTAACCTGGGAAGTGAAAGCAGATGTTGAAAGCTTGAATTCGGTGATTTCAAAAGTGATTTCATACATCTTGGCATAGCCAAAAAATATAATACCTTACTTTTCATCAACCACGCATTCTTCGTCTCCAACTCATCGCTCCTCTCTCTCACACCACCACTCATCTTCCCAAATGACTATCCCTCTTTCTTCGCTTCCCCCCTGTGTATCCGAGATCGAAACTGAAGGACAAAAGGCGAGCCAGACATCAACTCCCTTCATCCCCTCCTCTGGCGAGATACAGAATTCTGGACGCATACCTTCACTACTACCACAAGCACAAACACAACCTCTTGTTCAGCAAGAGGCGCCTGGCAGTCTGCAGCCAGCTATCAATACCATACCTGAACAATCCCAATATCGACAATTCACCCCGCGACGTGCCGTAGACGTGAATAAGGATCCCACCACTTTTTTTTCAAAACGACAGCTGCCCTATCATCGGCCGAGCCAGCAGCAACAGTTTCAGCTACAGCAGCGGCAGCAGGTAATACACAAATTTTTTCCCTCTGAAATAGAGATGCTGCAAGTTGCGCGGTATTCTTGACACTAATATCTTTCGTTACATTCTAGATCGACGGTGGATCAACACGCGTTTCCACCTTAACCTATCCCATGCTCCATGGTAGCCAGCCGGGCCCTGTCTACAATTTCGATGCTTGCTCGTCATCAACGTGGCCCCAGGGTGTGCCCGACTGTGAGACTCCACTCTCCCCAATCTCCGCCCAATCAGCAGCATCTGTTGCCTCCTCTTCCTCATCCTATACTTCACAGCGGTCGATGTCCTCCACCCCCATTCGCATGTCCTCAAACGCTGCTCAGTTCTCGACATCCTTCCCCGTGCTTTTGAACCCCTCTGTGAAACGAAAGGCAGCCTTCTCAGATCCGTCCTCATCCTTAGCTCCTCGCAAACGACTTTCACCTTCGCCAGAAGCAACCTCCTCCCAACAAACGCCCGGCACAGGAAGGGCCCAAGCATTCGTTTTCATTATAGCACACGAAGCGTTTATTGCTGAACAGATGGCGCATCCCGATAATTGGCCCGTCTTAACAGCCTTAGGCAAAAACAGGAAGCACAAACGTTCGAAGAAGGATGTTTACGCAGATATCACCGAGAAGTTCAGCAATCGTTTCACAACCCAGGACTGCACGGTGACACTGGGAGAAAATCAGATGAAAAACAAAGTCGATAACATGTACCGGATCTTCAAAAATGAGCTGAAGCGCTACGACACAACTGGCAACGGCAATACACCTAATGGCCCAACGCTGAATGAGGAGACCATCGGCCGTTGTCATTACTTCTTCACCCTGCTCAACGCCGGTAAGCCCACCACCGGGAACATTAAACCCCGTCATTTCGATGAAAACCTCTCTACCGTGATGTCCAAGCCCAACGCTGTCTCTGGCCCTGAAGCTGCCGCCCTGTACGGCGTTGACGACGATAGCTTGACGGACGTTGACGATGGCGATATCACCCCTCCAGACGGCCTTATTGCTATGACGAGACAGACGCAGCATTCGCAACAGAAGTCAAAGAGTAATGGAGGCGCACTCGGTGGATTGGAGACGCTTGTAGATCTTCTGCGCCAACAGTCTGATCAGAAAAATGAGATTCTGCGCGAACACAACGCAGAGCAACGGATGTTGATGCGCGAACAGCTTGAACGACAACGCATGACGGACGAGGCTAGACTCTTGTTAGAGCAACAGAGATTCGCTCAAGAGAGGAGCAAGGATGATCACGAGGCGATACTACGTCAGTTGGATATCAAGAGAAGGGAGCAGGAGCTTGAGGAGATAAGATTGAAGAATATGGAGAGAGAAATCGCATTGGAGGAGAGAGAAATGGCACTGAAGGAAAGGAGGCAAAACATGCGACGGATGAACAATGAGGAGAATAAAGAACTTTTATTGGAGCAGGAAATGAAGCTGGATGGCACAGGCACGGTGCAGAGCAAAGTGAGAGCAAGGTCCCAGAGCAAGTCGCCGAATAGGTCACCCAACAATTCCCCGTAGCAGACTTCAATAAGTTCTTTATTCAAATATTCACTCGCTAAACATTATTGCCTTACGCTGTGCTCGTTTGATATCTCCCCAAGTCTTCATTGCTGCATCATATCGCGCAACCTCCCTCCAGTCCTCAAAGTCAATTTCTTCATCTACTTCCTCTCCTGGTGCTGGTATTTCCTCTTCTACCGCTCCGTTTACCTGGACATCGGGCCGCTCCTGCTCTTGCCTCAACTCTTCCAAATTCCTCTGCGCGTCAAGATCCATTAGCTCTTCATCGTCTTTATCAAGCATCGTGAGGATATTGTGCACGACGACGCATGCCATGACGTGATTGCACACTTTGTCGACGTCCTCTTCTTGACGAATAACCTGTCGCAAATTCGTGAGAGATGGGAACCGTCCTTTGAGCATTCCAAACGCGTGTTCGATCCTTGCTCGAGCAGAGTTCAGGCGTTTGTTGAATCTGTGGGCATTGATGATAGGTCGTTGCATCCTGTGGTAGCCTGTCATCATAGTAGGCGATGACTTATACGCCGCATCTCCTAGCAAATGCTCCTGATCTGAAAAGTGCTGATTTTTTCGTTGGTAAGGTGGGGTCGTCCTATATGCTGTGGAGTCATGCCAACTTCCATAATAACCAGTCGTGAAGGCGATGAAGATAACATGGTGGTCACACACTCCAGTAGCTCCCATGGCAAAGTTCTTCTTCCTTGTCGCCCATAAATCCCGATTCCAGGTCGGCGCACGGACGAATGGAAACATCGTCCCATCTACGATACCAACGGCGTCAGGAAAGCCCTTTCGAGCAAAATGCGCCTTGACCTGGGTCTTCCTGTCAGCGTGCGGCCATGTGATGAACTGCTCGACGTTATCGCGCAGCGCCAGAACACATCGTTGGTAGTATTCATGTGCTGTGCCCACGGACACGCCCATGGAAGGGCCAATGGACTCGTATCCGGCCAAGGATCCATCGTGGGCAAGTCGTTGAAGTGCGACCTTGAGCTGAATAGCAACGGACGCCTGCGGTTTTCTACCCCTGTTTTGGAATTGAGGGTGGTCCTTGATAGCATCAACCACGAAATTAAACTGAACCATCGTCATACGGAATGCGTTCTTGAAGATGCGATCCGACCCCACAGATAAGACCATGTCTCGATGAGCCGTGGACTTGTAAAAACTCAGCGATGATCTTAAATTCAGGTAACGGGCCGTTTGGAAGTATCGAATGAGCCAAACAAAGACGACAAATCTGAAAGAAATTTCGTATGTTTCGTCCTCGGCAGCTTGTAAAAGTTCGTAAAGCGCAAGCCATTTCGCTGTGGCGATTGCTCGTTCACGGAGAGTTCTCGGATGACGAACTAAATTACGACCGCGGGCCATCAGGAGAATGAAGTGAGGTGCGAATGAAGGGAGAGTGAAGGGTGAGAGCGAAAGAAAGGTGAGTGTGAAAGGTAGAGCATGTATACCAAAACTGCAACGTGCCAACCATCCTCCTTCCCGAAATCGAGTGTTTAGAACTGAGAGTAAAACGGTTTGGATTTGATATCGCTTCACTTCCCAAGTTACACAAAACATAAAAAAAAGATACCGCCGCGTCGAAAACACCCCTTAACACAGAAAGCAAATCAAATCGAAATCAAATCGCTAAGAACTGAGGACGGCGAATACGTTTGATATTCGACGGACAGTGAAGCAACTGGTGCGTGCTTTGCAGGAATAATAAAGCCAACGGTAGAGCATGTGACTGAATATGTGACTGTATTTTCTGGTCTTTAGAATAGCCCACTCAGAGAGGTCAATTCAATTTCAAATTAAGTTTGTTGGCCGCGTTTTGTTAACAAACCCCGGCCTAAAAACGAGTTTCGACTGTACACCCAATTTTTTTTTTACGGACAGAAGGATAAGAAATCTGTCTGCAAAATAGTTTCGAAGAAATGAATTGAAATATTATTCTCAGAAGAACTATTCAGTCACATGCCCCATCTATCCCGTGCCCATGTCAAGCTATCTTGAGTCCACGACAAAAAGTCGCCCAAATATTTTTTAGAATAAAATGCTCAATTCAGTCTTTTGAGGTTAAGGTAATGTGGCAGTGCAGCGTTAAACAATGACCTTAGTCATGGGCATGGCGTGACATGTCGACAATGCACATGGTCAAAGGGAGATGGAAGAGTAGAGATGGAAAAAGCCACAGTAGATACTTAAGTTATATTTGAACGAATCACAGTGAATATCCCTATTCCCAAAAAGGAACTTATTGAGTCAATTTAAAGAATATTTGGGCAACGACTTTTTGTCGCGAACTCTATTTGACAACCCGGGTTACCATGCATTGTTTGCCAACACCCCTCTAATTGACCGCTGATGCTGCCCACTGCACACTTGTCCACCACAGGCTGCACTAACTCACATCTGCTTGCTCTTGCCATTCCTCCTCACTGTCCCACTACTCCTCCTCCTCCTCCTTTACCTCTGCTGAGGAGTCATTACACTAGCCTACCCACATCCTCGTAGCATGGATCCAGCTGTACTGAGTAGAGCCGACCTGACCGCTGCCTCAATCGCCGCTGCAGTCTATGTGGATTCAGCAGGCGGGCCAAAATATGTCTCGTAGCAACAGTCAATTAGGGGGGGTTGGCAAATAATGCATGGTAACCCGGGTTGTCAAATAGATAGCTTGACATGGACACGGGACAGATGGGGCATGTGACTGAATAGTTCTTCTGACTGAATAGTATTTCAATTCATTTCTTCGAAACTATTTTGCGGACAGATTTCTTATCCTTCTGTCCGTAAAAAAAAAAATTGGGTATACTCGGTGATCTTTCGACCGATCGCATGCATTTTTGAAGAAACTAAAAAGTCTAGTCTCGCAGTATACTTAAATTTTGGCTTATATTCCCGAGCCGATTTCGGTGCCTAAAAAGATTGACATACCTACTGTTGGTAATGTAGCATGCCTTCTGTCACAAATGTCTCGAGCTTTTGACTTAAAGACAGCGTATGCGTCAGTAGCGGTGGTTGTAGTGATGGTTGTGATGTCGGTTGCGGTAGCAGAGTTTCCATCATAACCCATATGCATATCGTTCAATGTGGAGCCCCCATAGTTTGCATATTTTGATATCATTATGGAGGGACCAGTCTCATATTCAATCCAATTGAAAAATATATGAAACTGGTATTTTATGTTATAACCCGATGGCAATCAACGAACACATCCAGAGCGACCTGAAGGCGAGCCTTCGGCGGAATATTGTAATTGAACTCGTTTACAGCGTCTTAAAGATATTCTTTAGAATAGACCTTTTCTGTGTAGGGGCTTGAAGGTGGTGACGAAAATCCTTCAATGGGAACTTCCTTCTCGACAGTGCGGTTACGGGGAGCGATTTCGAGTACCCGCATCTCTTGGTCACTAACAACTGGCTTCTGATCTTCGTAATCTAGGTCAGATTCTTCGTCGTCTCCCCACGAATCGTTATCAGAGTCTTCAGAGTTGTCCTCATCCACGAAATCATCCTCCTTCAGTTGCCGGAATGTCCCTTTGTATTCCTCGCGACCCATTACCTCGTGGGCGACCTCGACAATAGCTTGTGAAGGTCCTTCGCTATTGATCATGCTGAGATAGTTCAAGACAGAGAAGTCCTTCTGATCGGTGATGGCTTCTTCGTTTCCTGCATTTCGTTCCTTGAGCTCTCCTTGAAGACGATTGACTTGATCTGCCTTTGTTTCAACTCCAAGACCCAGTAATCAAGTTTTCTGGTACTCAGAAAAGATGGGAATTTGGACAAATCAATTGCGGATGCAATCAGGGGTCAGCTTTACCCAAGAGCGGACTAGACATGCCCAGAGACTTCCATCTGAAACTGTAGCCGTGGATGGCCCTTTTCGATCGTGACAGCTGCAGAGGACCTCGAGCATCTCTTGGCTGTAGTGGACCATGAAGGACCGGATAATCCCAGCATCGAGCGGCTGGGTCATGGATATTGTATTTGGAAGTAGTGAGATGGTGGTGATGTTGAGGAAACCCCCCGTCTTCGCATCTCCCATGTCCTGGTGCGCTGCCGATCAGCAAAGCGATCTTGCGCCCCTTCCTATACATGTCCCGGTCTAGTCCCCAGAGCCAATCGGCGAACAGTTCGCGTCTCATGTAGCCGCTTCCTTTAAATTCGGCATCGATAGCCTTCAATGTCGCTTGAGTCAAACCGTTCGGACGGTGCTTAGCTATGGACATATAAAACTTGGTGAGTAAAAATCCTTTAAATTTGCACTGCTACACTGTTCAAACAATACTGCATTACTTACAAAGGACATAAAGGTTGTGTTTGTCTGTGCCTTGCGGTACTACTGCACAACAACATCGACATTCGAGCAACTCGAGTGAACTTCTTGCCACAAATTGGATCGGTAGCAAGGCTTTTTGTTGGACAGAGCCTTTATGTTGTCAGGGCCAAAGTCCTTGAGCGCTATTTGTTCAATTTGAGTCCAGTAGAAATCCAAGCTGACTGATCCGCTTTCGCTATGGCCGATGTATCTTTTGAACACTCACTGTCTCCTGAACTTTTGAAGCCAGCCATTTCCAAAAGGCAATCGATTCTAGCTTATGCTCAGGACGAAAAGAACCTTTCATGAGGATCCACATTACCACAGCCGTTCCTTTCAGGCGAGAGCCAGACACGTTGATGCCTATCAAATTATATGGATTAGGGAATATGCTTTCAGAAGCGAGCAGCTGCATAGACTCCCGTACCTAAGGATTCCTGTTGGTTAATATCAGGTGTAAACGGCTTCTTCCATAACCACCATTGGTCTTGGCTTATTACGTACAATCGTTCTTGTTACCATAGGCGGCAGCGTCGCCATTGCCTGACAGATCTCGTCTTCCTTTTTGAGTATACTATCGGCTGTCCTGGGGCTCATACTCAACATTTTTGAGAGAACGGTATGGGGGGCATATGGATTGTGATCTTTCTCTGCGTAGTATTTTAAGATGAACTGAGCGTATACTCCCTATGAGGTCTGTATGGTTTGAAAGCCGAGTCGCCAGGGTCAGAACGGCCAACGTTGGGTGAGTTGGGGGCCGGAGCTGTGTGACTAGAACGTTTTCTTTTGGGCATAGTGGAGATAGAGGAAAGGATGGGCTCGAGAGAGGTGTATGTGGGAACAAAAGTGCTGAGATATACCCAATTTTGTATATTTTTCAATTGGATTGAATACGGGACTGGTCCCTCCATAATGATACCAAAGTGTGCAAACTATGGAGGCTCGACTGTGAATTCTAAGAGATACAATCGCATTGCGCCTTATGGGAAGGGAACCATGCTAAGTAATCGCCACGCTCAATATATGCATTCATATCCGCGCCGCCTTTTCTTCGCCAACCCCCTCATGCAAGATCAAGGGCTCGCTACGACGTAGGACTAGTCTCCTGTTGTCGGCCGTAACTATAGTGATTGTTCGTCCCAAGACTCGGGTGCCTGTATTGGCCATGGTCGTAATGCAACTGGACGTGACCGGGCTAGTGAAGAAATTGCTGGTCGGGTGCGGAGGATAGCAGGGATGGGTGCTTGTACCTGAATCGGAGGTATAGTCCATACCGACGCTTATGGTGTTAGTACCACCAACTGCGCTATCGGTATTGATGGGGGTATGATAGTTCAGGCTAGTAGTCGAGAGATGGTTGATGATGGCCATGGTTGAATGAGGCGCGGCATGAGAGGATGTTTGGAAGCTGGTCGTCAGCGTACTTGAATTCGGATGCGGATGGGTTGTTTCGAAAGATCTCGATGAAGAGGAGCGAACACATGAACTGGAGTGTCCTGATCCCGTTGCAATATCGATATTGCTCGAACGGGAAGTTGTGCTTGAGATCGCGTCTGAACAAGGAATCGGCATTCGAGAGGTTCCAGATGTATCACGCTCGATATGGGTTGATATGTGCGACTCATCCCTAGGGATTTCCACTGTAGGAATGCTTCGAGCCGATCGAGAGGATCTGGATCTTTCAAGCGTTGCAGGTATTACTTCTGTGGAGGCAAGCCTGGGAAGCGAGGGAACAAAGTTGCTGACGGATCCAGTCTGAAGTTCTGGTCCAGTAACCGCAGCTGAAGCACCCATAGACGTCGCTGGTGCTTTCAAAGCGTTGTCGCTAATTGTCTTGATAATTTCAATACCTCTGTATGGAGTCGCCACTTGGGTAGGGAATCGCCAGTCGCCAGAGAGCGGAGGTAAGTCTATGGACGGTATGGAGCAAAAGGTTAGGTAAGTTTCCGACATGAGTGGTTCGGACACGGAGACACGGAAAGAGGCATCAAGCTGAGCGACAGGCGAACAGCGGTCAAAGGCGCATTGTCCTCTGCTGCAAGAGTTGACGAAGGGACACAGAAATCCAAAGTATTACCATGGTCATTCTCTTTCGGATGCTTGCTTGTAACCGAAGAGGACGCGTTGTCCCCTCCAGACCAAACACTATTCAGATCCTGCGCCTTGGAGGACGCTTGGCTCAGATAACTAGGGAAGGGCGGCTGGATAGAGGTCATGTCGATGTTGTAAACCTCAATTGCGTCTATAACGGCACCTCCATCTGGCACAGTGTTCCATAAATTAGGATGGAATGTCGTGCTGGGTCCATGACTCTTAGATGAAGATCCTCCAGAAGTTGTCATGTATCCAGAGTGGTCCGGCCGCTTTCCCTTCGTATCCGTCCTTTCCGAATCAGATTGCGACAGCGAGTACGCAGGCAGATTGCTCGACTCCTCTAATCCAAATATGGGCCTTTTCAGTGACGTCTCGGACTTTGACTGGAGTGAGGAGATCGAGGTCGCCGTCGTAAATTGGTAATTTTTTCTTTGCTTCTTGAACGCATGCCTGCTACTGCGATCCAAGCCGCTATCCAGCAACCGAGTGCGATCCGATGCCGATACCGATGATGGCGATGATGCTGATGCTGATACCGGTCCCGTAATACTCTCGGCGCTGCTACTACCGTCGTGCGCTGGACTTTTCGGGGCTCCGAAAGACAGCGTTGAAGAGTGTCTCCCCCTCGAACCAATATTGAGTACCATGTCACTGTTTGCCGACTGGCGGTCATTTGCACTGCTTTCAGAATCGTCGCCAGAAGAGACAAGAGACGACGAAGATGGTGATGATGTGAGTGGAAAATGATAGCGCGAGGAATGACGCGAGAACGCACTCTCAGCCGATTGACGCTTAGTGGAAGAAGGTCCTTGTTTCGAAGAAGCATGCCTTCCCGACCGCCGATGGCCCTTTCTAGCGCTCGATATTGATTGTCTGCTGCTGTGCTGGTCGAAGTACACAGGATGTGGTGAGACAAATTGCATGGTGGTGGGGGATCGGTCAGTTGCCAGCCACCCCGCAAGACTTGATCCTGCCTGAACATCCATGTCTGTTTGATGCCTGAGTTTGAGCATTCCATGCTGTATCTGCGAGCGTGAAGGAATGCGCGTTGGAGCATCGCTCAAAGACAGCTCCCCTGGGTTGAATCCCTTGGATTCGTTGGCACGCAGTGGGCCAAATCTGGTCTCGATCTCGATATCGCTGGAGTATTGTCTCGCAACGTGGATGGATCCAGGTCGGGATGATGACCAATCAACGCCAGGTACGCCAACTTCGCTCAAAGCTGAGCTCGATCCGTTCCTGTTCCAGTCAAAGGCAATGACTTCTTCATCTAGTTTTATTGAAGAGTCATATCCCATGTCAGCAGTTCCACTCGAGGGCGCTGGCGTCTGCGAACGCTTCTCTAAGTCGGTCGAGGTGCTGATCCCGAACGAAGCATGGGCTCTCCTTGACCGAACGATCGACGAGCTTAAAGCGAAGCTTCCTGATACCTGTCCCGCCCTGTTTACTCTTCGGCGAACTCCAACTGATCCTACAGGCTCGTCTCCACTTTCTTCATCGTCACTGTTTTCATCTCTGTGGCAGTCATCCGTTTTGAATGATTGATTCTCATCTTGAAGTCCATGGTTAGAGGTACTACGGTCATTTAGGCGACGATCCTCTTGGTCGGAAATAGAGCATGCCGAGCCTCGCTCCATCTCGCTCTGGCTACGAATAGAGACTTCCTCATGCAGTGGTTGTCGGGAAGCGACTTTTGTCGTGGATTTGGGATCTTTTCTATGATCATCAGTACCCTTGGTGCTCTCGAACTTTGCCCGGACGTATACCTTCTTTTGTGGGTGGAGCCGCAGCATCATCAGCTCCACAATGATATTGGCGACCTTGAACAACGCCACTGCAGCTACCAGATTCGTCAGCAGGGTCATAAGAGAGAACTGTCCGAGCTCCCCTGCCTGAGTGAAGACGATGCGGATGCTATGTTGTGTATCAGGGCATTAGAGTGGAGGATATGATGAGTTCCCATTTTAATAATGTTTATGGTTATTGCAGTAAAGTTAATTTTTCGCGTATCTTACCCATGCCTGTTGATCTCAACTCGCCTACCGGTCTGGAAATCACGGATGGTTTCAATGGCTTTGTACTCTTGGTCAGGAATGGCCTTGGGAAGATACTCATAGCTAATCCTGTTGGGGTCCCAGCCCTTGGCGGCATATTGGATCACAACGATGATCACAACGCCTGCTTGCCTAACAGTCTCGCCATCAGCAGTATTGGGTGCTTGAGACAGCTCATCTAGATTTATTCCTGATGCCCTGAGGAACTCGTCCACGGTCATGACATCTCCGGCAAGGCGGACAGTATTTTCGGACGAGGAAGATGTGGTGATGGGGACGTGTCGACCCTGATCAGTGAAGGTCTTGAGCACCTCTCCTGTTACAGAGTCGCGCAGGAGTCCAGATTCCATATTTCCTGACCGCATCTGTAGGCCCGTTGCCTGACCACGGATCGAGTGCTCGAGCATTAAAGTGAACCGCTCGATATCAGCCATGACGGATGGTGAAAGCAGCAGCGTAGACGGCGCTTTATGTGGATCGCAATCAGAAACTGTTGGCACGTTGACATTGCATTGGCTGAGAGCGCTTGCAGCAGTGGATTGGTTGTTGAAGGGGCCATATTGAGTGATCCCTGCGCGGGTCGTGATCAGGGCTCCTTCGACACCGGGGTTGTAAAGAATATCGTTTTCGTTCCAGTAGATGCATGGCGATGTGCTTGAATTACAGTACCCTGGTGTGCCAATGCCATCCGCGGGCGCCTTTAATGTAACCCTTACTGCCCCTGAGAAAACAACAAATATAAAGAAAAATTACTCAGTTAGTCCTTGAAAATATATAGTGGGTATTATGCGCTACTGTCCCTGCTATGTACTATTGCGGATGCATGCAGCCTTTCCCGTTCACCTGCCATTGATGATGTTCTCGGTCTTGAGGTACCGCTGCTGAAAAATGATGGTCGTGGCAATGTATAGAAGAATGGCAGCCTGAAATAGCCGGTAGAGCCCGCCAAGACGCCGACTGCAACCAAAAAGGACGATGGTCAGCGGAAGAAAAAAAAAGGGCGGAATCAAAAGAGGAGCGGGAGAGAGAGAGCGAGAGAAGAAGGTCAGTTTTAGTCGCGAGATGTATGCGCCGGTCGGTGAACGCTGTGTAATTGGCGCGTCGCGACTCGTCAGGTTTCAGAGTGCGGCGCGCGGGATTTTTTTTTTGGTCGCCGTGGCTGTTGACCCGCGCCGCTTTTTTTTTTATTGACGCCAGATCCCCCTAGGCGTGCAGGCGTGCAGGCGTGCCACAGCCTGTTGACCGCACTGCGCGCAACGCGTCCGTCCCGCTCGAGGGTCACGAGACCCTAGTGCCCATAAACCATAAAAAGAGCCATAGTCCGCTGGCTCTTCCCCCCCTTCCGTGTGTGGGTGCAACTCTGTGTTTTGTTTGTTTGCTCTTGTGCTCTCGACTGCTCAGTGTCGGATCATTTCAGGGCAGCTAAAAGTGTTTCCTTGTTTACTATTGGGTCCATTCAAGCCCTCATAACACAGCTACAGACAAGACAGAAACAGATCAGCCTGCTAAAAATACATGAGGAACAATGTAAATGTCAACTGTTCAGGAATGCTGAGTCGGCCTGAGGCGGGATGTGGTCCGCTGGAGCTGCGATTCCCAGCGTGAGGTAATGGCGCGGGCTGCGGGGAGTAAAAAAGAGGACAAAGCACACGCCGTAGCAAACCACATCGGGTCAAAATACTTACTCTCGCACCCTTAGGACCTTGAACGTCTCGTAACTGTCGCAGGAAAGGGGTAGTGTGGGGTAGTGTGGTTGAGGGAAAAGAAGCATAGGCCAGCCAAGTCAGTCCAAGGAATTCGAGATTCACTCATTGCAAACGAGGGTGGACTACGAATCAGAGACAGAAAGCGACTTGCGGGTGTAGACTTCTTCTAGAACCCTTTCTTGTCCTACCTAAAGAACCTGTCTGAGAATGACAAGGCTGATCCACCACCTCCACTCGATGTCATGGCGAAAGATCGTTTATGTGAATGAGTTTGGAATGAGGCTTTCAAGGTTATGCTGCCCAGGAGGTATGGGCTGGCCAATTGCTTCACGATTTTAAGTCTCCAAGGGCTGGAAGCAATGCAATGCACTGAGGTTGTTCTTGAGTTTGCAAAGGCAACAAAGGAGTGGTTTGGTAGTTGAACAGAGACCTGCGAAATGTGCTGGACAATATAGTATATTCTCCGTGGTTGGGCGGTTTAGTTAGCAAAGGATAGATCGGTTGTGGAGGGGACGCTATCCAGGGGTGAGTGTGAAGGTGGAGAAGGACGAATGCCAGGAACGAGCGGAAACAAAGACGAGATCGAGAGGGAAAGCAGAAAGTGGAAGAAAAACAAAGGCGGTATGCAGTTGACGGGTCGATGCAGGCACATGAAAGAACATGAAAAGCGAAGAGGATGGCGAAGACGTCGATGACGATGATGGTGCTGCAGCGGATAGTTGATGATGATGTGATGATCTGCGTGGAATACGGTTTTGAGTAACGAGACGGAGATAGCTGCAAGAGACGGCAAGGGTCGTGCAGGGATATCTGATGGGACGAGCTGGGACACAGAGTGGGAAGGAGAATGGACGGTAGATCTGTATGTGAGGTGTAGAACCAATAGTACAGGCTATCAGAACGAAAAAGTAAAAGAATAATGAAAGAAAGAGAGCGAAGGAAAGAGAGCGGAAGGAGGGATGGTGGTGGTGGTTGGAGCACCGGTGCCGGTGGTGATGATGATGGTAGTGATGGTTATCGTGGCCTGTCCATCCAGGTGCCTGATGCTCACGTCTTTGGGGAGCCATGTATTCACGCATGTGTCCGGATGCAGTTACAAATGTAATATTACAATGGCTGCTACATGTTCCAAAAAACAGGAATAGCACATTTAGCAGCGGCCTTATTTTTCGCACACCTGCAGGGGATCCGCCAAGAAGCAGCACCATCCGCTCGTCCTCTGGGAGCCAAGGCAATGGCTAGAAATATAAAGGGGCCTTTTGTTTTAAGGAGCTGAACATGGACGACTGGAGAGTAAGGAAAAGGGGGGATTGGGTGACTCCTCCCCTTTCCTCCTATGCTCTGTCGCTTGCCCTTGGTTGCCATTTCCGTCCTGGGCGTCCTGCTGAAACCACCTCCTGGCGACTCTCTCCAGCCCCTTTGTTCCTGGGCGTATTCACACCCCTTAGCCTTTCGATAGGCGTGTAAGCGTATAAAGAAGCATCGTCGCCTTCTCCATCTTCTTAAAGACAAAAGGCTGCCTTCTTTTCTTCTCGCCTTCTCCAGCATGAATGCAAAATGGATGGGCAGGAGTGGAGGGGAGCTGCAACCACTCTTTACCCTACATACCGTTTATCATCAATCGGATCTACTGCACTCCTCATCCTATATCGGCACCACACATGGTATCTATGAGTAAAGTACGCTGTGGCCCTATTCCTCCGGCAAAGTGCACAAACTAGGGAACAGGCTGGGTTTGTTGTGGCTGTGGTGGGCAGGTTGCCGAGGTAGACGGACATGTATGGAGTCTTCTTCGGCAAGCAAAGGTACTTCGGCTGTGTATACGACCAATTTTGTTGGTTCTGTTTGGCAACCTTATTTTTCCTTTTTCCTGCCGTGGACATTCGGTGGGTCGCCACGTTTGAATCCAAGCGCTGCCATTCATTCCTTCCTATATACAACAGCCTCACTAGACGTTCCTCTTTTTTTTTTTTTTTTTTTTTTTTCTTTTCTACTCCTTCCTCCTCACCTCCTCACCCTCACGCCTTTTCGATCCAACTCGGTTTTATTCCTTACCTCTTAATAGACACTCATTTCATACCTTGCACAAATGGATTCTCTTCCGGTCGAAACCTTCCAGCTTGTCTGTTCCTTCTGCAGCCTTCATGTCCTCGCCAGCCTCCGCCTCATCTCCAAAGGCTTTCGCGACTGTGTCGATGGTTCCTTAACATCCCGCAGAGCGCACGCTATGCCTGCAGGATCCATCACCCCTCGAGGAAAGCATGACCTCACAGCCTGCTATGTCCGCATCACCCTCAACCGTCAGCATGACCCTCTCACAGTAGTGTTCAATCGATACGATATTCGACATAATTACCTGGAGTTTATTCAACAGTCTGAACCTGCTGCGGTCGACGGCGACGGGCGGCCAGGAGGTGGACCATCTCCGAGGTCCGCGACACTGGGACCGGATGGTGGCCCAATATATGAGTGGAGTGAGTATACGTTGGGGAATCTGGACCTGAATATCTGGGAGGAGCAGCGACTACAACAGGCCGCGTCGGCTTCTTCATCGGGGACGCCGAGTGGCCAGGGCACCACGGCGACCGAGACAGTGGGTGGAGGTAGGGGTCGTAGGTCGAGTATTACACAGGCTGGTGTGATTCAAAGCACAGAGTATCAGATTCAACAGGAGCTAGCCAGGCCTGGACCCATCACGCCTCTATCCCAGATGCAACCCGTCCGCAACGTCTTTTCTTCTGCGCTTGGTACGTCTTCTCTGTTTTCGACAATGGCAGTGGGAAGCACTACAACGCCTCAGGAGGGGTCACAACCAGGCGAAAGTTACATGGCGCAGTTCACTCGCAGGGTACTGGGACTGACTGGGACAACGGGACCACAGAATGCACGAACGGGAATGGGGATGACGGCCGCAGCCCTCGCAGAGGAGGCACGTCAGTTGGTGCATACGGTCGGGCATGTAGTCATGGCGTCGAAGAAGCAGTACAAGTTCATGTTATCTAAGGGTGTTCATTATATTGGGGATCAGGACTTTATTATGAAGTACACGATGGTGTCAGACCAGGAGAACGAGAACCCGTACCAGCTGCGCATGAAGGTCGATTATATTCGCGTGTCATGGAAGTTTGTGACCTCGGGTTTACCGCTGCCGATCAAGCCAAGGCAAGTGGGTGCGGTTGCGACTAGAAGGATGGAGGAGGATCCGATTGCACTGGAGGATCCGTTTCCACAGGAGAGAATTGGACGGATTTATGCCGAGCGGTTCAATAGATTGGCGAGTGAGGTTAGGAGGCGGGGTGTCAGTCGGCATCTCCGGGGCGAGCTAGCGATGAACGGATTCGATGTTTCGGTGCTCCCTCGGGACTTTATCTCAGTGAATCTTCGTGCAGGGCCGGTTCTGGAGTGGATTACTCGGACGGATTGCAAGGATCACGATACAAAGGATGGAGAACTGAGACGAACAGGGGTTCTGTTGAAGGAGCAGCGTCTTGAGGGTGCCAATAGGGTCGTAGGTGAAACTGACGACAATGACTGCTCGGATATGGAATGGGAAGACTTGGCGCCAGGGTCCAAAGCAGACAAAGAAAAAGGCAAGGCGGCTGCTGCGGCTGAGAAGGGGCCGGACACTATGGTCGAAGCAGACGAGGCGGAGGATGAGGCAGCACTGGAGCAGCTGCTGGGGCTCCTGAAGCAAAACATGGGGCTCCTAAACGCACGCAATATTTTGGAGGAAATGCTGGCGCACGAGGGCTTCTCCCGAGAGCTGATCTGGAAGTATGGGATTGTGCGACGAGAGCTGATGGGGCCTGTGCCTGAGATTACGCAGGCGAGGCTGTTGCTGAAGAAGGTCACGGACAGCGAGGCCGCGAGCCAGGACTCCACCGCCATCCCACTGTTCCCGACAGCCCTTTGAAGCCAAATACAAACAAGATCTTTTACCCCACATGCATCACGTGCGTTGACTGATGGCGTCATTTGTTAGGCGCGGAGATGAATACAAAAAAGGAGCACAGAGAAGTCTTTGTGCACACCGGTTTGCCTTGACCTTGCTAACTTCCTCTTCCTTTTGCCATTACTCATCAACCTCATCGCAAACGCCCTCTACCTCATCTCGATCCAGTCATCATATTCAGCAGCAGTTTGTGTTTTTATTTTTTACGTTCCAGACCTTCCACCTCACAACTATATCGGGCTCGGCCTAGATTTTCTCATTTTTGTTTCTCCGCACTTTTGCAGCATCGCCTCCTCGTTTCTCACTATGGCCACTACCACCCCCGAGGCGCCTTCCTCCTCCTCTGCGACTGTGGCAGCTAAGGGCTCGGAAGCGTCGATGAACGGGTCCTATACAGCACTGACTCATGAACCAGAGAACGAGAGCGAGAACGACCTGGAGCATATCTTTACAGTCGCGGCACGCTCACTACAGGACTGTGCGGAGCTACTCCAGTCTTTGAAGGCTGCTGTCGCCGAGGAGGAACATCAGGAGCAGGAGAAGCGACATCAGCAAAAGGCGGGCGTCAATGGGAATCACGCGAACGGGCATCATACGAACGGGCATCATACCACAGAGGATTCTGTGGATCGAGGTGTAAATGAAAGTAAGTGCGCATGGGTACAATAAAGAGAAAAAGAGGGGGGGGATGGTGGCGACCTTATTGTGGAGAGCGCCTCGACTCTAATGCTTTGATCTTGAACGGTACTTAGGTACTCACGCGACCACGGGGGTATGTAGACGTTCGGAGATGTACACTAAGCCATCAAAGCTGGCATGTCAGGGCACGATTGGGAAACATGTTCGGCATCTTCATGATCATTATCGACTGCTCTTATCGACCTATCCGCCCAACAAGGTAAAAAGCAGGGGGTTTCGTTTGTTATGTGTCCATGATGGACAGATGACGCAGAGAAGGGGCTTTCCTTGAATCGAAGGACGCGCATGAAACTGGTTTTGGTTATAGCCTGATGTGCAACTGCTAATGGGTTCTTGCATCTTTTTTTTTAACTTAGGGTCTATCATCAAAGGACAAATGGTCTGTGGATTACGACGCCAGGTCACGAGAGGTAACGCAGTGAAGACTCCTATTACTGGACACCTTCGGCTATTCACAAGGCACTATCGAAGAATCCTTTACCTTCCATCTAATTCTTGGAAAACAAACATAGGTCCCGATGGAGACAGATATGGACTATGCGATCAAGGAGCTTTCAAGACTCCAACATGTTCTAGAAGAATGTCGTCGCGGCAATTCACCGTCAGAGGGGACACCAACGGACCTCTCCAAAGCCTTGACCCTTCATGCGACGATCGACCCTGCCCACCCGCCCGTCAAATTTCAGACCACCTTTGGTCGCGAGCTCTGGTTCTGCAGTCTACATGCGGTTAGTTTAAATGGATTTTTGTTGTCTAGGCTGTACGGCTCAACCATTGCACGAAATGCTGATCTCGCTCGTTTTTGTGTAACATCGTTAGGTGCACCACTTTGCGATGATAAAGGTCATCTGCGGTGAGATGGGTATGCCTGTCACCGAAAACTTTGGCTTAGCGCCGTCCACCATCAAGCACAGACACTGAATGGAGTACTTGTTTTTTTTTTTTTCTTTCATTTTGACATTGAAAGAGTGCAATAAAAAAAAGGATCATCCAACGGACCGTTCGCAGTGTGGATATTGATGGTGATGTTGGGACACGGAAAAAGATGAAAGATGCGCACCAGACTCAAATTCAGTGCAGCCACAATAAGGGTGTTATGAACATGACAGATGAATAGAGAGATATCAAGATGGAGGTAAATTGTTATTAAATAGGTATGTTACAAGTGCTTTTTCACTAAAAGTTCATCAGGCGAGGGCAGGGGTTCCGTTGGCGGCGAGAGAGACATTTTCCAATAGTGCTGGCTCACTCCTCAGTTTCTCCACCTCGCCCACCTTGACCTCCTCCTCATCTTCATCTTCGCTCCTGACGTCCTCGCTATTCCCGCCCTTGAGGACCTTTATAACCACACGGATGATCATCGCCAGCCAGAACAGCAGAACCATGTAAAGCGAACACAGTAGGAACTGAAATCCTTGTAAGATCTTGGGCGTGAAATACATTCCTTTGGTAGGGTCCCAACCCATGGCCGCGTATTTGGGAGCCTCGGCAAAAGTGGACCAAATAATGACGCCGTAATAGTAGTGGCGCGAGAGGATCCAAGTGAACACAAAGAAGACGAATCCGACGTCAGCGAGTTGATCCTTGTGCATATATTTGAGCATCTTGCAGGCTGCGAGGATGATATCAGAAAAGTCCATGGCGCAGAGGACAGCATGGCCGACAGAGGTAAGGTTACAGGAGTAGGAGAAGCCGATAAGAAGACAGGTAATGATGTGGTGGATCATGAACTCGAGAAAGTCTTTCCGACGCTTTTCGATTCCAAGGATGGCGAGTAAGAGCTGTTGGATCCAAAAAGCGAATTGGATGAGGTAGTACCACTTCATGGTTGCGTCCAGGTGCGTCTTGGGGTAATCGCGCCAGTAGTAGGTCGTGTCGGACCAATAGGCAGAGTGGTAAAGCAGATACTGTTCATTTGAAAGGAGATCAGCTTGGGTCGTGCTGCAGTTGCATGTACATACATTGCGAGAGATACAACGAAAAAACTGTATGCGTGCATGCACTTACAATGCCGAAGGTCCACATACAGCCGTCGTAGAGCACCAACCATCCTAAAATTAAGATAGTATAGAAGGTGAGTGAGCATAAAGTCTATTCTTAACCAGGGGACATCTCCATCCATTCCTACATGTGGGTACCCAGAAAAGATCAACAAGCCATCGACGAAGCGCCGTACCTTGTTCTGCAAATCGAAGTAATTTGCCCTCGCGTGCATGCTGCTCCTTCTTTTGCTGGATACTCTCCGTCCTATTGGCATCACCCGATCCTTGAACCGTTTTTGTGTTTATTCCTGTTGCTGATGGCGACGCGGGCTCACCAGGCTTCCTTGTTGCCGATCCTGCTTTTGCAGTTGATGAAACTGTAGCTTCACTACCCTTCCCAATTTTCTTCGTTTTGAGCTCACCAACTCCGAAGGACCGACCCAAGGGGATGAAGACATAGCTCATGGCCGCCTCACGAATGGCAGTCCAGATCATGACCCAGACCATAACCATGTATAGATCGTTCCATCCCTTACTATAAAGTACTTGCTTCGCTCCCGTCACCTCATCGACCACGATCTCTTGGTACTGCAGTCCCATTGCCAAAGACGACCAAGACTCGTTAGGGCTGTAGACACCAGCCTTGGATCCATCCCATTTCTTGACGATAGCAGGTCCGCCTGAGGAAGCCCTAGTCCAAGATTGAGGGAGGTTTTGCCAGATCGGGGGAGGGACGATCGCCGAGAGACTTCCGATCCAGTCGATAGAGTGGCCTTTGCGCGCTTCCTCCAAAAGAACTAGGGCGTGGGCTGCAAAGATGGCGAGGATCACGGAGCAGGAGAGAACGAGCTGGTGCTGGATCAGAAAAGAGGGCCAGCTCTGTCTGGCAGGACGGTGGACATGGATCTGAGCATTATCCGCGCTGTATTTGAGGACCTGCTGATCCGCAACCGCGAGACGTCGGGCACCCTCGGGAGGTGAGGGGGAGCGACCCTTAGTAGGGTCGTGGTGATGATGCCGCCGGTGATCATAGTGGTGAGGTTTGCCAGTCTGGTGGTCGATGCTGGCTCTGCGGCGGGAAGAGTTGGATCTGGCCTTGCCAAAGAGACGCGAAGTTTCGCTAGTGTTGGCGCTGGCAGTGGTAGTCACTGTGTTGGTGGTGTTGGAGGCCATGAAGACAGAGGCAGAGGAGTCAAGGACAGGTGAGGGGACAATGCCGCAGCTGATGGGGTCCTTCATATGCGGTTCTGATATGGAGCTGTCAAAGACGGTGTGGGGGTATGTGGCTGCGAGAGCGCCGCCTTTTCTGCGATCGATTTGTCAGAATGCGTGAGGACTCGACCGATCGATTTGGCCCTGGTGTGCCGAGGCAGTAAGCTGGGCGAGGGGAAGAAGAGCGGGGATGGCGAGCAGTGTGGAGAGTTCGAAGGAGCGGTTGATGGAGACGGGGAGGGGAGAGACAGAACGAAAGAAAGAAGCGGTTAAAAGAAGTGACGAGAAAGAGGGAAGAGGAGGGTGAGACGGGTTTTTTTCTGTTCGGTCTCTGTACCTTCCTGGAGATAAAATAAAATAAAATAAAATAAAAATGACGGTTTTGCCACTAATTCGCACGCAGCAAGCGCATCCCGCTCTTTCCTCCCCTCCTGCCTCTTATGCCATTGACTGATGCTGGATGCTGCCAGCCGTCCTCTTCCCCCTCTGGCGCTTCTTGCTCCTTTTCTTCTGGCTGACGAACTCGTCCCTGGTTCGTGGGGAATATGTTGTGAGGGCACGGTGCAGAGGTATGTGCCGGGGGACGATCGGAAAATAAAAGCCCGTGTTGATGCTTTGATTTCGATTACAGCGGATATTCCTTTTTTCCTTCCGACCGCCTGTTGTCCGCGTCCTCGTTTGTTTGCCGTTTGTTTGTGATCTCAGCCCCGGCCATGCCATGCCATGCCATGCCACGCTACATCTGTCGCCCATAACGTATTCAACAGCTCGCTTCAGAATAAAGATTTGCCGAAAACGAATCTGATATCCCGAGAAAAAAGAGAACTGTCCGCTGGTCCATTGCCCAATGTCTAATGTCCTATGTCATATCCACGATGCTCATCTGTCCCTCCCCTGGTAATCGCTGTGGCCGTGTGCGTTTGTGAAAAGAGACGGACTGGTCGCAGTGAGAACGAACCTTGAGATAAGACGTTATGCTGCGTTGTCTCTGGGAGCAAGTGCTGCTATCTGAGGTGTCTTGTCTGTCGTTTTTGCTCCTCTAGTCGTGGTATCCCTGATCCTTCGAGAAGTGAGGGCCCTCTCCTGCGTTTGTCAAAGGTGAATGAGCGGCTGGGGAAGAAAGAGGATAAAGAAAGGAAGGAGGAATGGAAAAAAGAAGAAAGAGAAAAACATAAAAGAATGAAAGAACGGCGTTTTGAATTCATCCGGGGTCTGATCGTGGTGAACAATGCATGTATATCCATTCCCATCTTGCTGGAGATGTGTACGCCCTTTTTTCTTTTTTGTTCATTCAGCGGTATTTGTCAGTGCGCAGAACGTAGTCTCTCGGCTGGCAACAGCCAGCTGCCATCAAGAACTGCAGTTATGCGCAGTGTTTGTTGTGTTGTTGCAGGTGCAGTGTGGGGGCGGAGAAAGCGTTTACTACCCAAACAATGCGATTAACTAAACCATGCCAGCCATTGTCGGTTGCTTTGGGGGACAAGGTTCAGCACTTTTGTTTTGGTGTGACGTACACTGCGCGCTGCGCTGTTGACAGAGTTTGTCATCATCGCCTGCCCATTGGCTTGCTTGCGAAAGAAACACGGCGGCACAACGACCCTTTTCTTTCGTCCATTTATCACCCTTTCTTGCTGTAAGTCGTGTACCAGCAATGAGAAAGGATTAATTGTAAGGGATATCTTTATTACAAGATCAAGTACGGCGGTTTTCTTAAGAATTAAAGCTGAAGAAGACGCTGGACCACGGTACTTTGATTGCGGATCGGCTTGTTGTTGCCATGGTCCTGGCTCAGTTCCAGCAGCAGACCACCCTCTGCAGACTCCTTGCAAAGCAATGGACCCACGCTCATCTCCTTAAAGTTCGACCACACAGACTCGACGCCCTTCCTAGACTCTTCTGACAACACAATGCAAAAGATCGCGTCGAATCCACCAGCTAGACAACGAATAACACACAGACAGAAAGTTAGTAATACTGCTAATGAAGCAGGTTTGAGGACTAGCTCTCCTGGAACACTACTTACCCCCTGGAACACCGGCCATGAGAACACCAGGTACTTGCAAGCAGGTGTCTAGAAGACGTGTCTGTTCCTCCGGTTCTACAGGAACTTTCGACAGCCGACTCATCTCCCTCAAATAGTTGCGAACTGTCGAGAATTCAGCATGAATCTGAACCAAAAGCGCGACGGTGGCATCCTTGTCGTCCAGCGTGGGCCATTCTGAGGCAGGAATCGCGCTGACTTTTTGAATTGCAACATCGTATTCATGAGGATGTGCCTTGGCAGTCTGGTCAAGTCTCTTGAGCAGCTCCACTACATTGTCATTTGCTGCGCCTAGCTTAGTCCACAGAGCATTGGCCTCCTCCGATTTTGTCTTGTGCCACTTGAGCACGTTCGAAACAAGGGTGGGCGTATGGCTTCCTGCATCAATGTCTGCCAACATGAGATGGAGCCTTGGGGCCAGCCTGAATGGAATCACAGTATTATCCCATGCTGTCTGCTCTGGATCCAGGACCTTTAAGAGAGCAGGGATATTGTCCTTGGCGCCTTGGTTCATCACATCCTGCAAGATCTTGGGGCTGAATCGGCGGTAGGTATGACTTCCCCAAACAGCGGATGAAACATCGAATCCGCTTCCGACTTTTCCTTGAGCTAAACAGTGCACAAACTGGGCGACATTATGGAGCAACTGTGTACTGGTTGAGGAGGGGCCGTTTTTGAGGTCGCAGGCTTCAAAATGGATGAAAATGGCGGATACAAGCGAGGTGATCAGAGCGGCGGAGGAGCCGAGTCCGGTCTTGTGTACTTTGCTGAGCGTGGTGTGGGTTGATGAAAAGAGGGGGATCTGTTGTAATGATTCCGTGTTCAATACCAGTCCTCTTGCATCAAGCTATTAAATGCAAATACAATGCATATTGTAAATATCAAGAAGGTGATGGTGACCTGGAGAGGCGATCCGTGTTGAAAACCATTGCAGGGTGGTTAATACCTCTTTCCGTTGAGAGTAGAAGTCGTTGTCTCCTGCAATGACGACTTCCAGTCCGCTCTCTAGCTTTTGGGCAATCTTTTCAGTGGGGAGCAATTGGCCCAGGATGGCCAACGAATACACCAGAGCTAATTCTACAAACGTGTTCTTCGACTCGTCTTCTTCACTATATGCGTGGGAAACAAGGCGGTAAGGGTACAGCATCAGAGAATACAGCTAGTTGTCTCCATTGAGCCCAGTTGTATGTCTACGAGGCAGAATAGTACCTTGCAGTAAGCTGCGCATCCGTGCCGTTGAATGAGGTGCAATAATTCCATGTCGCGTTATCGAATTGTGGAGATCGAACCGTGATCTTGTAGGGTGCAGTGGGCGAGGCACGCGCATGGTTGCTGGATCGAACCAGGGTATAAAATCGAGCGTCTGTAGCAATGACTAGGCCTGAGAATGCGCGATCGAGGACGAGGTAACCGCCTGCGATAAGGACTTTACCCGGTGCGGATACGATTCTAGGGCAGGGAAAAAATAGGGGATTATGTTAAAATATCCAGCTGAAAACAAAATCCACTTGTTGTTTTTCCTTGTTCCAGCTAGCTGTGCTATTTAGGCCCTTGTCCTTGACATACGTGGTGTTGTTGGTCGACATCGTTGGTGACGAGAGATGATGGAGCGGAGGATGATGGAGACTCCCCCCTTTGAAGGGTTCCGCCCAAGTGGGGCGATCGTAAGGGTTACAGCCGCGGTCCTTAAGCACTGTGACCGTAGAAATGTGCGTTCTTTGCCAAAACAAAGCATAAAAGAAATCCTGGGAAACGATTTTTTCACCCAACCCTTCCCTTCCTTTCATATCCCTTCACCTTCATCCCTGTCGTCGTCGTCGTTTTGTGCCGAATAAGTAGCAAAAGGTATGCGCGTGTATCATCAATGGATTCAATTCATATTCCACAATCCTTCGTGCCCTCCCTCCAACACAACCCACTTTTAAGTCAGAGCATCTGTTGCCTTTCCTTCTTGTTCGCAAGTCGGAACTCAAGTTGGTCGCTTGCTCGTTACAAATGTGGAAAATCAAATTCCTGCCGCCTGCTCTGTGTCTTGTTTTAAGACGCTTGCGAATGTTGTAGGATAGCGTTTCATGAGAGTTGAAGATCTCGCCAACCCCAGATCGAGGGAGAATCAGTTCTCTTTTCTTTCTGTCATAAGCGGCGGATTTTCTTAGTGTTTGAAACAAATATCCCTTCCTTTTCTTTATGATTTCGATCTTTGATTTTAAATGAAGGATTCGAATCGAAAATGGAAATCTAACTGAATCATTTTCATTTGCGATGCATTCTGTTAGGTTTGAACGCTTTGGATCCGATCGGAAGAATAGAGACATTGGAATGCAAACTCGAAATAAAGAACATCGGAACAGTGTACATCATCGCTTTTATTGGACATAGACAATGAGCATTTGGATCTTGTAGTACATTGCTGCTATGTATTATAGCATTAACGTATTAAACAACAACTACAGCCCTGGAAACCAGCTTCATTAGAAGTGCTCCGTGAAGAGCGTTTAAGGTCTTCGTGCGCGTGATAATGACACAAGGGCAATTGGCAATTGAGGTGCGTGTCGGGGGTAAACCATCTCCATTACACAAGATAACGTTGGTACGGATTCACCTCCGAGGCAGCACAGATCGCTCGCCCCTCATCCCTCATCCTTCTCCATGTTCATGTCCACCAAGCAGTTCTTCAGTCTGCCTGAGCTTATGGCTCTTCTGGCCCCATACTTGTCCCTACATGATGTTTCTCAGCTCAGGCAAACAAATTACCTTCTCTACGAGACCTACACGCCACAACTCTACCGATTCTTGCCCCTCCTGGAGGAGGATCGCTTCGTGCAACTGTGGCACAACAGCAAGAACGCCCGAGCCCTGGTTCAAAACGCGTACCATGTCCGACAACTGGAGGCCAAGGCTGCGTTTCTGGGCGTGCTCTATCCCAGAAATCGAGACGAGGCCAACGGATCGGATTGCTCAACTTCACAGCCAGAGACGAAACTTCCCACGATTCAATTCGTCCGGCTGACGCGTCTCCACTGCTCAATGGACTACGAACGGACTTATCCGCGATCATACCTCACGCAGGCCCATCTTCCGCCGCTCTGGCTCGCGGCTGCAAATCCAGCCTTGACGCATCTCTGTATCTCGGGTCTGAATTTGATGGACGATGATACGATTCTCAGGGATTTGAGGAGAACTCTGGGACAGCTTTCGCGGCTCACGCACCTTCGACTCACGACAGGGAGACAGCATGACCGTACTACATTACGGACCTTTTTTTCAGTCTTTTGCAGTCTTCCACCGGCGATCGAATGTTTGCAGTTCAAGTATTCGATGGTCCGAATGGAGGGAATGGAGGCTGCATGGACTTTAAGGCAGGGGCCGCTGGAGAACTTGAAGGAACTGCATATGCCAACGTTTCATCCTGGATACGGAGCACAGCTCATATGTGCGGTTCTGGAGATATGCCCGGCCTTGGAACGATGGGACGTACCGCATTTGTCAGCAGCCGGGATCGATACTGTCGCAAGCACCCTACAGCGATGTTGTCCATTACTCCGGCATTTATCGGTTCATGACTCATGGGCACAGGAGAACATTGTTATGATCATGGATACGATGAGGCAGCAGTATCTGAGGACATGCAGTATCAAGGACTACTTTGAAGGACCTGATAATAGGATGACAGTTGCCTTGCAGAAACATTCGACAGCGTTGACAAGGATTCGGTTTTCAGGAACGCAGGTGTTCAGGAGCGACTCCATTCATGCGATTCTGAGTACGTGCGACGCACTAGAACATCTTGTAATCACTGGATTGCACCCATGGAAGGTGGCTATCTCGTTGGAGGATGCAATGACATCACACTGGGTTTGCGAGCGGATCCAACATCTGAGCATCGCTGTTAAAATGGGCCACACCAGAAAGGACGATGAATATGTGCGTGGAGGCACAGGAGACTTATTGGAGGAGGAACAGTACTGGAAGGGCGTTGAGGCATTTTATACAAAGATCGGATGTTTGACCAACCTGAGAGTACTTGATTTGAAGCTCGGCATCAACGTTGAAGGCGACTATGGGACTGTTCAGCGCTGGGCCTATCGTTATCAGGATGTCTCTCTTCCTCGGCTCCTGGCCTTGGAGGATTTGAAGGAGGGAAAACGAGGATATATGTCTTGTCTGGCTGGGCTAAAGGAGTTAAGGGAGCTGCGAGGGTCGGTCTATGCAAACACAATAGAGGCAAAGGCAGCGCTGGGTCAGAGAGAGATGGAGTGGATTGTGCAGCACTGGCCCAAGATCGAGCTGGTCGAGTTCATGTCGCCGGGCCATGAGAAGAATGCTGATCAGGAGATACCAGAGCACCTGGAGTGGTTACAGCAGCAGCGACCACGCATGCGGCTCAGCCTTCCGAAAGTCCAATGACCTAGTGCCTCTTAGCATTGCACCTAGACGAAATGAATAATATCATATATCGCGTGAACTTGTGGATACATCGATGGAAACAGCCAGTGAGAGGCGTATGTCAACGAGGGACGTCCAGAAGCTTTAGGAAGACCGAAGGATGGAATGACTGCTTACATCACACCGGGAGGCATTGAGTGCAGGTTGCCGACGCGAGTCTGTATATCATCTTGTCATTTGTCGATGTGTGCTTCCTCGTTACTCTGCCCAGCAATCCGCTGCTTCAGGCACAGGCAAGCCACTGGTGGGCAGATTGGTGGTAATCCCACCGAGAAAGACGTCGATGGTTTCAGGAATAAGCTTCAGGGATGCCCGCTGTGTTCATATGACCCAAGCGTTGCATTGAGGTAGACTACATGCATATCCCTCTAGCTTCAATCGCATTCTCATCAGATATACCATGCCCGACTCTGTCTTTGACGTCCCAGAGACCTGCCTCCTCATCGCCAAGTGCTTGCCCTAGGCCGACCTTGCGAGGGCTTATTGTGTCAGCCGCAGTTGGCTCGCTCCCTTCGCAGGAGAGCTGTTGCGCTCTCTCGAGTTATCGGACCAAGACTGTCTCGCCTTTCTCAGATCACTCCCGTGACGCTTAACACGTTGCCCAAACTCGGCAAGAGCAAGATAGGTTTCAAGCATTGCTGAGAAGCTACACCATTTTTCATACGTGTAGTCGTGCTCTTTTTCTGCCATTCTCCATTTAACACCCGCTCGAACACGCTATCAATCCTTACAAAACAAAAAAACTGCGCTTGAGGAGTGGTCCTTGCAATCAGAGAATGGCAAATATATATCGGTCAACACCATGGTACCATCGGTATGAGGACCTGTTCAATCCGCACATTCCCGTCAAATCACTCTTATCTTCATTTCAATGCCCCCCAATGATTCCATCATTGGCTCTCGCTTCACCGACGCTCAGCTAGGAGCCATGGTCGAGTGGACTGAAGATTATAACAACCACCGCCTGCTCTTCGACCACGGTCAGACTAAGTGCGTAACAAATCAGATGGCGTTCACCAAAATGGCGGACGACTTGAGGCCGAGATTTATCAGCGAGCCTTTGCTTCAAGGAGGCTTCGACCCGGAGAAAATTTCATGGGTTTCGGTCCGGAAGCGGTGGAAAACGATGGTCGATAAGCGTCGCAAAAATCAACCAGGCAAGAGGTCAACTGGCGATGATGTGCACAGCGATATCCAGACTCTTCGCGAAAAGAGGCAAGAGAGAATCCATTGGACAACATCCTCGCTAAGACGCCGACGTTCACGAAGTTGGTGGTCTTCCTTCAATGGCGAGGTACACAGCACTTCGTGATTGTTTATACTCACTCTGACTTATTCCATATTCCTATAAATCTTTTCTCTATTGCTTTTAAGCAGGAATAAGGGCAAGGACAAGGCTGTCCCTGCTCGCCGTACTCCTACCCTCCTACCCCTCCTTCTCATTTGCGCGCTTCAGATGAAAAGTGGGAGGAAGTGCGGGCGTTGGTGAGAGACGAAGAGGAGGAACAGATAGCTGGTCTCTCGACAAGTTATTCGTAATGAACAGTATTTGGAATTGCCAGACATAGACGACAAGCCTGCCTCACTTCCATCATCCCCTCGCGTTACTGTCTCATTTCGTGCCGTTGCTCAGGCGCGCTCAGGCCAGCGTATTGATCAACATCGCAGCCAATCGGGCCCGGGCACCGACCCTGTGAGCGACGACACCTGCGTGACACCTACTTCTGACCGCTCGTCTCTGGCCAAGGCGCTGGCGGACGTGAGCACGGTGAGATCGGTCCAGGAAAAGAGATACTGTGAGGGTTTAGAAGCCGATGGGGCGCTTAGGACTCCCGCTCCCGATCAACAAGCAAAGAGAGAAGAGGCACATATGAGGATGCATGATGCTTCTATGGGGGAGCAGAGGGTGTCGAGATGCATGTAGACCGAGATCATGGCCAGACGATTTTTTGATTCTTTGAGTAGCTCTCTCCTCTCTTTCTTAACCTTTGCCTACGCCCTGTACTCTCCTCTCATCCCATCACAAGGCATCCATGAGCGCAACAATAGTAAATAGGATCTCGACTGTGGCTATCTCCTCGCGAGGAAGAACCAAACGCCTTTCAGACACCAGATTATTGAATAGTAACACACCGACATCAAAATCCAAACAAGCAGCGAACCCCATCTCGAACAGTAATCGCACGAACAACAGCAGCGCAGGTTGTTCTTTATCGCTGAATAAAAGTAACATACAGCTACTGCAGGAATAGCAACAAGAGCAGGTACCTTTCTGTGCTTCATCCCGCGCGTTTGAGAGGTGAATGTTATGAAGCATTGCCACTAAATCCAATACGTACTACTAAACATCAGGAAACAATCTTGGATCAAGGTCGGCGACATTCACTCGTCCAATCAGACACTTCGTCGAAGGTGACCCCCTACAACATTGATCGTCTGGGATTCATCGTTACCAAAGACGGCTCAAGCGAGACGGTGGCGCTCTTTGATATGGCAGAGCGATTCGTAGGAGTAGAAACAACTGAAGTACGCCCTGGCAAGAGGAAGGCGGACGAGAATTCGACCGAAAGCCCCACGTCTGTGACCAGTTCCGATGACGACTCTGAAAGAGCTTCCAAGCGACCTCGCCAGCCAAAGTTTACCACCAGTACGGAAGCTATGCTTGTAGGCTGTATGTTGGTCAAGGAAACACGGAAACTGGCAGAGGCCAGGAATGAGCAGCTGCGCCTGATGGCTATGTCGCAGATAATCGAAGCTCAACTTAAACGTATGCCACCAGTCACCAACCAGGACACGCCTCAAGCTCATCCCATTATTACTACTGCAACCAAAAGTGACATCAAAACCACGCTATCGTCCAAAGCTTCACAAAGACCTCAACGAAGATCTTCGCGTGTCGCCTCACTTCACAAGAAGCATGCAATAAAGTCAAGGTAGGGTTTATTCCTCGAGGAACGCGATCCGCAATAAGCTCTCTGGTCATGACTTCTCGGAAGCGCCCTCCAGCCAATTGGTGATAAGTCTCTTCTAATGGATCAACCCCACATGGTGATTCGTCAAGTTCAAGGCTATACAGCTTTGGGCACAACGACATTCTTTGCTAGATCAAGAAGTTGGCGCAAAGCTGAATCCAGTTCAAGGCTTTCTTGATGTCGGCATGATATGTTTGGGTCCGAATACGAACAGGCGAATCTCGCAATTGAGCATTCCAATACAGTGCTCAATACACGCTTGAACATGAGCAATGCAGGTGTTGAGGTCGCGCTGGTCTTTAGTGAGACTATTATCCTTGAACGGGGGTACTGTAACGGTCGAGATTGGGTAGGCTGAGTCGGCAATGAGGTACTTCCCAGGAATGAAATACTCATCTGAACGATTCCAAAGGCCGAGCTTGCAGAATACATGGTGGTCATGACACCGACCTTCAATTGAGACATAATGACTATCGTTAGTCGTATCACTGTTGTCAATGCATCTAAGCCTGTTGGCGAATACTACTTACCTGAGTATCCGAGGAAGAATTAGAGAAATTTACGGTCATCGTCGCACACCATTTGAGTGTTGGCCATTGTGACCAAAGAAAAAATCGCCAAAGTGCGCCGGACGTTGTTCTAGAGGGACCGTCGCTCTATCCACAAAGTCAACACAGCCCTCGAAGTTCCTTTGTGCCATCTTGGCTGAATGTGCGCGCCGTTGCGCTGGAGTGGGCCAGGCCAGAAATCGTTCCTACGGAATTGTGGCAGGATCCCTCGCTTCTATTCCAGGATTCTCCTAGCCGCGTCAATCCCATACCATTGCCATAGTGCTAAGCCGGTCGAGTGTGATGGCCAGTTGGACTGCAACCTCTTCTTGCTTCCTATAGCTGTTATTCTTAAAGGCGGCATGCTCAAAAACCATACGCAAAAGCTTCAAGAAGCTGGAGCCCGACATCCGCAAGAATGCTCTGCACTGCCGCCCGCTGAATCCCTCCAACTTTTTTTTTTTTTTGAGCCAGGAACTTTATTGTGGTCTAGGCGGTGAATAATACTGAAAAGCCATGTATATGGAGTCTATGTCAGGTGTATGAGGATTTTTTTTTTTAGCGGAGTTGGTGCTGTGCTACTATCCGAAGCGCGTTGGTGCGCATAGGTCGCGCCACACCAGCACTGTTGATAGGGCTATCATTCAACACAAAAGCATAATGCATATCCCACACGGCTCTGGCCCCGCATGCCACCAACTGAGGCAGGTTAATGAAGCGGCGGAACTCTTGCTGGATGGTGGTGCGTGGCAGAGACAGCTCAAGTATTGAACAGAGGTCCTCGTCGGTACAAGCAGGCTGTCTAGTGAAGGTTGACAGGTATGATGTCCATGCGACGCGTTTCGGTGGGCAAAGGAAGACCATATGGCGTTTGCTCCCTCCAACTACATGGTCACATCACGTCTCTCGACATTGTACGTAAGGGGCCAGTCAATATATCAGCGCTTGAAAGAGAGCGCCAGCTCGGCTAGTAAGTTGTTCGCTATATAATAGTGGTGATGGAACGCAAGAGAGCCAGGATCAACGCCGTTTGAGAGGGCTATATAGTTCTCTACCTTAGATCATATCGACGACTGGGGATAGTGGAGGCTATGAAAAGTCCCGCTTGCGAGTGAACTTGCCATTCCTTCTCGTACTTAAGTCGTACCATGGCTGCAAGAGAAACGGGGTATATCAGAAAAATAACATCCAAGTTTCTGTAAAAGCAAGGTCCTGTAGCCGGAAACGGGCCTTGGAGTGGCCCCGTTTCCCCAATATGGAAGGTGTCTGGACTGCCTTGAAAGGAAAATGTAGCGAAAACGGGACGTACCATTCAAATTTGCCCGTTTGGATGGCTCGTTTGCCTCGTTTTGATTCTCATAAGCTACACGTATGGAGGTTGCGTACGTCCCACATTTAGAAATTCAGGGCAAACGAAACGTGCCGTTCAGAATTGCACGTTTTCCGCTTTTGGAATTCAGGTCAAACGGTCCGTCATCAATCCATCAATCCAAGGTAAACCATTCTACTGTCATGCCTCGGATTTCGAATGCCAAGAACACATCAAGGACCTGGAGATATGGTTGGCTTACGCTATTATAAATGGGGACAGGACATTGGAGGAAGATATTATTACTCTACTTCACTTGATTTTGGATTCGCGAGATCTTGGTAGAGGGGAATATCTGCTGCGCGATGATTGCTTCTACTCCACCATGTTCCCCAACCTTCGGGACGATCAGTTTCGAGCTCGGTTCAGGACAATCCGACAGGGGCTGGCAGCAGCTATAGCACTGATAGAGGATCATCCTGTATTCCTCAACAACTCAAACCACCAGCAAATGCATCCTGGATGGCAACTTGCTATCGCCCTCCATCGTTTTGGAATTATGGAAGCAGAACCAGAGTGAACGAACTGGCAAAGGACTTCGGCATAGGGCAGGGAATTGGTTCATTGTACACAAGCCGAGTGATCACAGCATTGGTATCACTTACACCACAGTGGATAAGATGGCCGGACGAAGAGCGCAAGGAGGAACTAGGCTATGTAATGCGCAAGGAGGTTTCCTGATTGTATTGGATCCATTGATGGGACTACCATTCCTCTTTCTGAGAAGCCAACCCTTCACGGCGACCATTTCCTTGACCGGAAGAAAAGGTGCTGTATTGATGCTATGCAGGCTCATGATTACAAGGGATTTCAATGCTCATATGTTTTTATTTATTTGAGGTAAATATTCCATCAATATGCAGGTTGTTTGTGATGTCGATGGCCAGATTTTTCGATGCATGCTGGGCGCCCTGGCTCCACTCCAGACTCGTCTGTTCACAAACTCATGGAACTGTACAAGCATCCTGAACTATACTTCTCCCCAGGGCGTCATTTGAGTGAACATTATTAAGGGTTAAAATGAGTTGACCGGTCAACTCACCCATAAAGAACGACTCTGATTATATTTTGATGGCCTTTAACCCGGGCGAATACTAGGAATCAGCTCATGCGCACATGACTTGCCCAGTTAGACGCTCTGCACATGGCACAATTGGTACATATCGCGCCTTGCCTGCCTGCCGCAAAGTCTTCCATTCGTACCCTGTGTTCTGCTCAAGCGACGAATGTTGTTGCAAATATCGATCATTGAGAAGCAATTTTTTTTGTGATCTCCCAAGAGTCAACCCAGAAGCGAATTCCTTACTCTCCATCAAGAACTAATCGGGTCCATTCCAGACTCAACTGACCACTTATTTACCTCAGATGCATATTTGGATTCCCGACCGTATCTTGAGCCTCATTATAGCATCAATATTGTGAGCCTGTCAACAAATCCTACAGCTGTGGCCGGTCTCAGGATCAACTCTCTAGGATCGTATATCACATCCGACTTGGAAGGCGAGTATTGTATCAGAGGACAAGGTCACTGCTGTATTTGTGTCAAAGTGAGAGGGCTCACAATGTTGAGAAATTTCTAGGGTATAGTTTGTGGGCAAGATCACTGCTGTGCTTATGTTTGTGGACAAGATCACTGCTGTGTTTGTGCCAAAGTGAGGGGTCTCACAATGTTGACTCGGCGTTGAGTGGAAGAGAGAGAAAGAAGTAGAGAGAACAAGTCGAAGTGCGTAAGGAAAAAGAGAACAGATGAAAGGCATGGCCGCTTAACAAGAAAAAAGGTCGAGATGAAGAAATTGATAATGATTGTCATCTCCCATAAAGCGACCCCCCGCAATATTCTTACTTGTAGGTCAACTTGAAGTTGCATGGGCTACATTACACACTCTTAAGCTCACTGTGTAATGGCAACGGACACCTTCTTTTGCATCGCAATGAATAGAGTTGGACGCCTCTTTTTTGCATCGCACTGAGTGGAGTTCGATGCCTCTTTTTTGCATCGCATTGATGCCACATTCTTGAAGAAGGGGGCCATCTGACATATTTGTCACATTATCTGTTATAGAGTACATATGACGGCTGGTTGGAGCCATTGGCCCTGAATTGGTTTATTCTGCTTTGATAAAGTTCTCTGGTCAATATACCACAGGGCATACGCAGATCACTAGGATAGTTGCCGCGGGTATTGTCTCCGAAGTAGGTCAACCGAGGCATAGGACTTGTCCTCCGCCCAGCTGTCGTCTTACCACGATGCAATGTTGGGGCCCGGACGCCTCGAAGGGCATACGGCTGCACTATTGTATGCAGATCGAAGCGGAGTGCTGCCAGAACCACGGCCAGGAAGAAGCTTAAACACGAGCAAGACAATACCAATCTGATAAGAGTTACGTGTCATAGGAGCAACAGTGCGAAGAGGTATTTATTTGAAGAAAAGATGCGCTGGAGAAAAACCAGCTCGCGGGAGCTGTCATGAAAGTAAAGAGTGAGCAGGTATGATGTGCGTTCACACTGGTCGCAGTTGGCGTGAAGGCGGGTAAAATAGTATGTACTGGTCTCGTCGACGTAAACCCACTACTGCCTCGCAGATGGCGGCAGTATGTTGCGGCGTGCAGTTTACGCACATCCCCATTCCACACCACGCGCACCCCTCCACCAAACAAAGGCACTGGAAACACATAGGCACATCGCATACCTGGCAGCATGCCACTTTGACGCCGGAATATGTAGAGAAATTGTGCCCAGCCGTAGCGCAGGCACCACATCGTGAGCACTGATACCGCTTAACACAGTCGGATCAACACACATGGGCATGCGTAGCAAATCTACAGTGCGTTACATCACAGTTCTTGCATGTAGGGAGGCAGTATTCATCACACCAGCCCAGTCTTGCTGAAAGTTGCCCGGAACGGAATCTATATTTGGTAGGGCTAGCGCACACATGGCAAGGACGAGGTATCCCCTGTTCATACATCTTGCTGGCCACGAGATCGTACTGTCTGCCTGGCGCTATCTCCTGATAGATGTGCACACGGCTGCTGGATGGCGATATGCCTTGCCTGTGAACCATCCACATGGCGATCTGAGTGCGCTTAGTGTATAGCAATATGTCCACATGTGGATTGCTGGACTCAAAGTCACGCAGCGCTTCGAGAAGAGCTCTGATGTCGATGTTGTAGCAAGAGTGGAGAGTGATCGTGGTGATGTCGTGCTCGATTAGTCGCATAACGCCTTCCGTGGCGATATTGGTACCGCTTGCATTCAATGCTATGTATCGCTGGAAGATGCGAATGGTGCTGTCCGACAGTGCGCAGATATCGAGCCTATCCCTGACAGCAGACGGAAGCTCGCTCAGATCAGCCGTCGAGGCACCGGTCATATTCATGACAGCGTTTCTTGCCCGTTTGGATACCGCCGTTACTTTTACTGCACTGGCCACATTCAAATAGCCCATGAGCATACATTGGATCTCGAATAGCAATGTGTTTATAGTGCAAATTGAGTGTACGAGCGGATGAACGAAGGACCAGAGGAGCAGAACGGAGGAAAGGATGATCAGGGCGCCAGAAGAACGAAGCGCAGAAGGACCTGAAGACCAGAAGGACCTGAAGACCAGACGATCAGAAGAACGGAAGACAGAATGAACAGAGGACAGGACGGATGATGGAATAATTAAGAAGAGGCTGTGTATGTCAAGACTCGAGACGGAGTGGGCGAAAAAGGCAATGGTGGAAAGACGACCAAGTGAGGTAAATAAAGCAGTGACCGAGGATCGCGATGGAGAGGCGGGGCAATCCAGGCGTGTTGCGCACATTGGGCTAACCGGACTGATTTAGCCAATACAAAAAATAGGTACATAGGGAAGGAGGGACAAGAGCTAGCAATATGAAGTGCAGTCATCCATGAGATCATGGAAACAACTTGATAATGAGTATAAAGCAGAATTGCGTGTTGCTGTGGCGGAACGATTGCAGAATGACCACGAGCAAGAAAGAGAGAGAAAGAGAGAGAGCAGACAACGCGCACCTTGATGCATTCCTTGCTCGCGAACAATCAATGAACAGAAAAACTGCGATTCAATGTACCTCCCACGCTGATGAGCTGAAGCTCGCTGATAATTCAACAAGGCTTCTAAAGGTCACGACGGCGGAAGCGAGGAACAGGATTATGGACAGAAGGATGAGGAAGAGAAAGGTAGGGAATGGAGAAAGATACAAATCAACGAATAAACAAATGGGGGCAACATGCTCTTATACTAGGAAATGATGACTTTGGACGCGCGCTTCCATGAAATTATCCAGAGGACTCCATATGTGTAATCTTCTTTTATTATAGATTGCTCGAAACCTCCATAAAATAAACTAAAATGAACTTTTGATCTCGGTCGGAGTCCTACTGGACCTGCATCTTCTTTTCGTTCGCGCGGAACACTCATTCGCACCTAAAGCAGTAGACTATCACGTATGTCCTCTTCGCCTTCCTCTACCCCTAACGCCCTTGCAACCCTTATCCAATGCGATGATTTCAAATCGATTATGCGATCCACGCTTCATGAGGTCCTGGATTCAGCGATCCTTGACCAGGATCCTCCAGAGCGGGATGAGCAGATCGCTCCCCCAGTCGTCACTGAGCTGTACACACCGTCAGAGAGAGTGAACGCGAGCGCTGCCCTGGGATATGGCCGACTGATCCCATGCCTTCTTTCGCAGAACTGCCTCGAACGACGACTGGAATAACGGGTTACGCCATTATGACGCGGTCGGAATAAAAGGGTCGTCAGGATCAGGATCTGGATCAAGGTAAGTCAATAGTCATGAATCAAGATCAAGAGTAAGTTGACAAGACTTACGGGTCATAGGGGCTGGAGTGTGCGGGAGGCAGAGGAAGCAGGTGAGTGTGTTTATGAAGAATGTTTATTCGGGTGGGAGGACTGAGGAACTACTCTTGGAGGACACACTCCAGCTTATATAGAAAAATAAAGATAAAAAAGGATGTGTCTAGATCTCTTCAAGGCATGTAAGATATCTAGCTCGCTATAAAGTATTGAGTACCAGCGTTGGTACTTAATTATCGATAAAGAGACGTTAGGTTCCTAGGAATAGTCATGATTTCTAAACGAGCGCGTAGGAGACGCGTCGGTAGGGAATAACCTTCAGAAGAGAAAGCATAAAGGAAATGGGCGAATGGGAACCGATAGAGAGAGCAACCGTGCCAAGGTTTGGTCACGAGAGCAGCCACACTTTTACAGTACACACATAAAAGCTGTCCCAATTAGAAACCCTAAAATGCAATATCTGACCCCTGCACCCAAAGTACTCGAGCTCATCCCCGTTGAGGATGATTTCGATTACGAAATTCTTCACACACCGGAGGAATGAATGCGATACCTTACCATCGTGCGCATGAACGGACTTCTTGAAGTATTCAAATATAAGCAGAAGGAGACACAGCATGACTGGTATGAAATCTTGGAAGCGCGCGAAACGGTGGCCACCAACTATGAGACGCGTACGCCTGCAACAAACCCCATTTGGAGGGATGCTACCGCGCTCGTTACTATGTGCTTTGAGAACAACTTCCCAAACAAACCACTGCCGAGGATTCATCTGAATGGACCGCTCCCCTCAGGAGTGTATTAAAATAGATGATGAGAGCAGTGCTGGAGACACAAAGTACTAAATATCTAGCCGCTTGTTTCGATTGTGATTACTGAGCTAGTGCGATATCAATAGAGACAAATACTGCACAACTTTCTAACCTATCCACACAAATACCCTCGCATGAAATAAAGAGATTCGTATTCGCATTGCTTCGTACAACCTGAATCACCAACCGTTACACGTTCCTAGCTGAAACAAAACGCGTCGCCTTCTAGGGTCATTTGAATTCCGTTCATTCACGACCAACTGGTATGCAGCAGCTGCAGCTGGCAGTATTTTCTGGACACTTACAAAGTAGCATGGAATTAGTACACGATGCCGCAGGAATACATCTTATGTCACTACAAAACGTTTAATGCCGCAGGAAAACAGTCGATACCACAGGAAAATATTCATAGAATCGGCATAAAGGCATTTATGCATTAAAAGAGTAGGTGTGGTTCCTCCACCAAAAACTATTCGAGCTGGGATTGCATACCTTTGGCTCAAAGGAACAGCAACAACGCCCGCCTTACCAAGGTCTATTAGACTATACATACTCAAACTCGTTGTAGTGGCGCCCTAATGGCTTCTTTTCGACGGCTTTCGTCCCTTGAGTCATCTCTCTATTTCTGGACTAATAATGCGCAATCACGGTAATACCAAAGAGGTTTAACCACTATAAAGGCATGATCCCCACAACACCTTCTCTTAGCTCACTACCACTTCCACACCTCAAATTTCGTTCGCATGCCATCCCAACGTTCAATAGAAACAGCGCCAGAGCAACTACAGCAGAGACTTGCTATACTACGTATAAACCGATTAGCTCAGTTACTCGATCAGGATTCTATGCTGACTAATGCCGAAGCTCAAGGACCGCATGAGTTGGTCACCGTGCACCGTGAAAGAGGCACTACAGTGGATCACTTTATCTGGAAGGATGCCCTTGCCCATGACAACGAGTGCGTCAAACCCCACTTTCCTCAGGAAGTGCTTCCAAGCCTTTGACAGACTGGACGGACATTGAGCAATCAATTTTCCAATATGGTTGGCTTGTGTACCAGCTATATGCGCTGTGGAGAAACGGGGAACCATGGCTCTACTTCTTTTAATAAAGATAGAGAAATGCGTAAGATGCGCTGTCGAGGTGCCAGATGGCTTCGTGATAGCTACTGGGACACCTTCCTACTTTTCTATGACTTTGATCCCCCCTCTCTTCAACTGTGGCAATGGCATTCAGCAGTATCTACAACCTCGGAAATATAAATGATCCCTTTACCACAGATGCAAGACATCCACCTCGCTTTCTTTCCATATCTTCTCGCCAATCCCGCATTTTTGTAACAACCATGGGAATGCTTTTCACTGGTACCTATGACTATGCCGGTGACTCCGCCAGCGACATCGCCAGTGACTCCGCCAGCGACATCGCCAGTGACTCCGCCAGCGACATCGCCAGTGACTCCGCCAGCGACATCGCCAGTGATTCTGCCAGCTACTCTACCAATGAATCCACCATTAACTCCATCAATAACTCTACCAACGGAACCATTAATGACTCTGCCGACGAATTTGAGGACAACCTAGCCAAGTCGAGTGAGTCGGATTACTCCATGGATTCCGAAGGGCATGCTGCCTTCACCTACGGCGACACTCAAGTGAATTTGACCGACGCACAGAAGAAAAGGCTTGTATCCTTGCGCGCCCCAAGAATGGCTGAATTGCTTCTTCTACATCCGGAGTTTCCTCAAGATGTCCAGAAATTTATTGAGTGCCTGACTTCAGATATAGTGCTGCAACAGATCGACGATACCCCAGCAACTAGCGGTATTTGGCACCAGTTCCTGATCGAGATCGAAGAGGTCTTCGTGGATTTTTTCTCAGGCGAAGAGATGCCGCAGCTCGATGATTAACAAAACAAAGAACACGACAGCTTTCATGTTTGCCGCCTTGCCATTAATAATAAAATTTGCCGAATCTGCACCTCGCAGTGCATTCTTTAATGCACCCTATTTCTCCGTTATGTTCCAAAAAAATAATAATCAGACGCATGTCTTCGTTCACAGCTGAATGGACATGCGCTGGGTATCTTTGCACCAGTGAAACAGTCGTGGTTCTTCCAGTTAAAACAGCATATTCACTTTCCACACCGACCTTAAAATTGACCATTGTGGATTTACACTTTTAATGTGAAGACATGAAGAACGCATCCCCTCCGTTGCGCTGACCTGTGGATTGTCTCTCAAAGTTTAAAGTCTTCAAATATTATACTCAACTGTGTAATGGCCAATGCCACACCCCCATTCTGCAGTTTACAATTTAAAATTATAAATGAGGGATTTCAGAAGTGGACAAACGCCAAATTTCTTTGTCTTTCACCACCTCAACCATCCAAAATACATACCCATCCTAAAATGAGACCTGAAGCCCTCGCGCCTCTCGCACCAATTTACAGGGTTCGCCCGACAGCATACAATCGCCAGGTGACACTTGCCATCATCCGCCTAAACGTGCTAATCAAATTGCTCGACCGGCAAGAGGATGAGTTGAACGATGGTGCCGTCGTGGATATTTTTGGAGTGTATGAAGTCGTGGTGAACCATCGCAAGAAACATACACCATGTATCAGCTACATCTGGGGAGAGGCGTTGGGGATCCTCAGCAAGTATTTTGAGGACTACTTCCCCAATGAACTCCTTCCAATGCTCTCGGAACCTGGTGAACTTCCTCCTGGGGCATATTGAGCGATGCATGAGACCAGCGCCGGATACGCAAAACAACGCCTGCTCGTGCATTCTTAGCGACTATTGTCCTCACATTGATCTACATCAGACAGTAACAACCTCTAAAAATACACACTCCCTCCTCGCCTCGAATAAAGAGGGTTGCTTTTAAACAATTTCGTAGAGAAGAGACTTGTTGATTTCAGTCTACAACCTCCTGAATACCGTATATTATACGCATCTTTAGACGCCTAGATGTATTTCATTCTACTGTTCCTTGGATACCGTTTACTTGCATCCGGGCCACTATACGAAAATCGGATGAAGCTTCAAACTCGTCTTCCTTGAGCTGACCCAATTGAAGGCCATTGCTACACTGCAATCATCTAAGAACTCATTCCACACTAGCAGCGGCGAAAGTTGGTTATTAAACGCATGAATGCGATCATAAAATCTCGAGATACCATACCTAGAGCTCCCGAAAGAACTTAGGGATTTGCGTGGATATGCGGAATTGCACCACATACTAAGCACCTATCCGGCGAGTACTGACTGGAGTACTATACTGGCGGCCATCAGTAAGTATCTCGGAGACATCTGTCTGTTGGATCACTTCCAGAACTCTAAGGCTGAGGGTACTGAGCAGTGGGTCTTTAATAGCCATGTTATCGTCTTCGGTAAAATAAAGTCCTTTGTTTGCATTCGCTTTTTTACGCATCCGATGTAGCCTCGCTTATCTTTAGAGAAGCCTTGGATGGCCATGTCGACATCTACTGAACGAATTGCATATTGAAAGGCTTTTCACAACATCGTTAACAGAGAGGGAGATCTTTGCAGCTGCAATATAAATGAACAATGCCTTTCGAGACTCCCACGATCTTCCATGATACTCCAACATCGTCCACCATCCTCTAATTCCTTCTGACCCATTGTTCGCAATATCAAAGTTACATCAGACCGCCCACAGCATAAAAAGATGCCATCCAAAAAGTTAATTCTTGAGGACACTGAACCGGTCTTTCCAAGCATCATTCGCGACTGGAACATGAGCATCAGGTACGATCAACACCAAAAACTTATCGCCTTGCGCATGGGCAGGCTGATCCAGTTGCATAAGCAGCGTCCTGGACTGGGTAGCGCTGCCAAGCAGGTCATCAATGATCTACATGAGTTTGTCTCAATGAACTACGCACAGGATACACCCGCTGCGGACTCCGCTTGGCTAGATGCTTTGTTGTGCATCAACAAATGCTTTCGCACCCACTTTCCTCACGAGCCGCTTCCAGAGCTTCTGTAAACGTCCAAAAACCATGCTATTTCTTCTCTTCAAAAATATGTACATGTATTCCTCGCTTTAATGGGCGGCTATCGAAATTCGGCGTAATATCTTCCTTTGAATAAAAAAATCTTGCTTCATACGCATGCACACATAAACACATAAACGAATTGAATGAATGAGAAAGTAGTATGGCATCGCTTTTCGAAGGACTTGTCAATGGCGGAAGTACCATCTATAATGATACAGTTCATCAGCAGCTCATTCCTTGAATGGCTGTGCTGAGGTGGCTCTGAGGCTTCATTTACACACGCACGATATTTTAAGAGGTCTTCATTTCACACTACCCACCCTACCCCACCCTACCAAATGAAAGTGCGCGGTATTGCCTCTTGCTCTAAACGGAATGAAATCGCTGCGTTCGTTTCTTCGAAAGACTTTCTGAGCGCCTTCCTCAGATGTCCTTTTGCATCTCTCGGCGCGGTACAAATTGATATCAATATTCTCACGAGGCACAACCCTACCATCCTTCTTCCTTCATTCCTTCGTCTCCGCTTTTCCTACGGCCCATAACCTCCATTAACGGGAGTTACACTTCTAGATGCCACTTCAAGTAGCACAGATTAAATGAATACTCACAATGTTCCTGTCTCGGATCAAGTGTCTATCCTTGCGAATGCTATTCTAGACAGAGAAAATGCAACTTTTGCATTCTGGCGCTTCATGGTGAATTAAACTTCTGAGCTCCATCATCATTCAAGAGAGAAGGGAGTCGATTGCAAGTTATTCACCATCCAAGTTATGTGTGCCTGTGGCTCCTGCATCGGAAGCAGGGCTCATCTCTTTCTTCGCGTATCTTGTAGATATTCGCACCACCACACCGGGTATACAGTCGATGTAGGGACTAATAACGATGTGGATCTTCCTTTACCTCATACTGCTTTGTTGCTTAACGGCTTTTTCCACATATCGATAAATTAGCGCGGCTTTGACCAGGTATGTTTTAGAGTATAAATATTGTCTTCGCCTCCGCTAAGCAACCAATCATCTTTACCATGACCCTACAACCTTCTCACTCTAATACAAACACAGCACAGCAAGATGCATCGCTCTCAATCCCTAGTCCAAAAGGCCACGCGTAATATGCGCAATCAACGAGTCAAGCGTCAAACTAACATCCCCAGCCCTGACAGCGGCGTTTTAGGAGTTATGACACCGGAGCAACAACAGTCTCTCGTTTTCCTGCGCGCGACTAGAATGGAATTTCTATTTGCAGAATATCCTTGGCTGCCCCGCGATGCTTGCGAGGAGATTCGATGCCTATCCATCCATGTTAACCACCACAACATGAAAAATACCCATGCCTTGGACGACATCTGGAAATTCGCACTAGAGGATATTGATAGTGTTTTTCACAAGTACTTCCCTCGTGAGCCTCTCCCTCAGCTACCGCAGTTGTCGCAAGCTCCCCGTCCACAGCCGCGGCGACAACTTCCACGCCCTAATGTCTAAGATGCTACTGCAAGCACTTCCAAGAGCGCGAATGAGCGAGCGCTTGTTTAAATACTATTCGCCTGATTTAAAGATTCATTTAACAAGAAAGGCACGCTTGCATGCTATATACGTGAATTAAATAAGGGCTCGAATTTGAAGTTCACCATAAAGGCGAGAAAAACTGCTGTAGAGCACAATATCATATCGTAATATAGTCAAGGTGCCTTAATTGAAACGCTAATTAACCTTCGGCGTCGCGGACATCCTGAAACTGGAAACCAAGATTCATTTATTTCGCTTCGATTCTGAACCACTTTATTTCAGTGCAACCGCGATCAGAAACACTTACGAAAGGCTTCGTTCACCACAATAAATAAGTGAGTGTACGGAAACCAGAAAGAAAATTCAGGCGACATTTGGCGCGTCTCTAGAATCCTCAGTGAAGCGCGCTGTTATTTGAGTAAATGCAACTAAGGCACAAACATCTGCTCTGACGCCACCTCACGTACAACAGCACACAGAGCAATCTTTTGCTGTGGCTCGCAACCTTCTATTTCCACCCTCGAAAGCAGGGTCGACAACGGAATTGCGGCCGCTACCACAATTTCTGATGGAGTTCTTTGGGATATAAGTACGTACCGCTGTTCTAACTAAGCACCCATCGACCTCTTCCTAACCAGCTTCACCGCCATCATACTAAACCACTACTCATTGTTCAAAACATGTCTGACACGAACGGTTCTACCAGTTCTCAAGAGATTACCGACGCAGATGATGGTGACATCCGATCAGTCGACTCCAAAGACTCCAAGGACTCGAACGAAGCAGTTGTACCAACGGTTGCGAGCGGATATTACACCGCTAACGGCGTTCCTGGAAGTTTAACACGAACGCAGATAAAGGCACTCAGTATCTTGCGCGTGGTCAAAATGCGCGAACTGCTAACTCAGCATACAGAGTTGCCACTGGAAGCAAAAAATGATCTTACTGTTCTGTCGGATGATATGCGTCCTTGGGAGGGAAAAGATGAGCCTGCGAGCAACAAAGTCTGGAAGATGTTCCTTGAGGATATTGAGGAAGCATTCATCAACCATTTTCCGAACGAAGAGATTCCTCAGCTTTGAACGCCTTCATCGCCTGCTCTGCAAGGCGGGGACAGCCTCCCACATGGAAAGTCATTATTTAATCAAGCGTAAACAGTTTTTAGTGGATCTGGATCTTGCCATAGGACTATATGCATATACTATCCTTGAATGAAAAAAAGATCGTGCACCTTAAAAGAGTTGTCGCACTATCATTTGATAAACCCCAGGCCTCGCACTTTCGAGCACAGCAGCAGGGTCTATTTTTCCCTTAGTAAAAGTATTAAAAGAGGGCATCAACGCATCCAAAATTTGTGGACACCTGCAGCTCTTTGTAAGTTGCTTGAAAGTATAAACGGCTACAACTTTTCTTACAAATCCTAATCCAAGTTACGATTCCATTTGCGCGTATCCCAATGGCCATCAACGAAGACAATCCTGCAGGTTGGACTCATAAGCGGAAGAAGGCTATTACTGTCTTACGTGTTGCCGGACTGCGCGAATTGGTCCGTCTTCCTCTGGGGCCACCTCAAAGTGTTAGAATGGTATTGAATCTATATCTGATGACAATGGGCTCCAGATGAGAGACATTGAAAGGTGGTATGGATTTCGCAAAGCCATTTAGAGGATTTCCAAGCTGTTTTTTACCGCCCATTTTCCCGGCCGTAAGGTTCCGCGAGTCGATGACCCTTTTCCACCATCTGACCCGGCGCCATGTTCCAATTGAGGGCTAGGAGCGTTCGTGTTGGCATCCGTGCTAGTCTACACACAATCATTTTCGAGGAATAAACAGAGAGACGTCTGCTTCTTGGATGCCAACTGTAGTTTGATCTGAACGGCGATTACTATTTTTTTTCCTTTTTTTTTATGGGAAAAAGTTACTACAGATTGGAAGAAGTTTAGCAGAGATGAAAGAGAAGCTTTAAACGTCGTAGACTAGAAATCAATCCTTGGTAGAGGCACTGAACCAGATATCGTGTTTGTTCCTCAGTGGGAAAAATAGTCGCGTCGACTACACCTTTTATTTTCCGCAGCGACAATGGCCAAAACCACCGGATCATGGAGAAAGGCGCAACAGAATCCAAACTGAGGCATCGCCATTGAAGCACCACAGCTTCTTTCAATGAAAAACGACCCTAGTGAGGGTATTTACCTACAACCCAGAAAGGGCACTAAGTGTATTCATGTTCCAAGGCTTATAAAACACCGAGTTCCTTGCCCAAGGCTTGGGTCTTCGTTTCCCGCTTTCTTCGATCTCAGGAACGATAGTGAACATGTAACAGTAACCAGAGTATTTGATTTGTATTCTGTGGATACAAATGTGGGCTTCAAAACCTGATAGTCGATCTTCATCCATTCTTCCCTTCCTCCTCTTCATCCTTTCCCTTGTTATTACATCTTCACAACACTTTTCACTAACACCCAAAAATGCCCCACAGGATCCAACGCAAGGTCTTTCGATCATTTCCTAATCTTGGCCCTTCTGAAGAAAACCACCATGCCGAAGGACAAAGGTTGTCACTCACACCACACGAGCGACAGCGAAATCTGATCCTCATGAGTATGAACAGATTGGTCGAATTACTTGGACAAAATTATTCTACGATAAGTGACACTGCTATCGATTCGATCACGGACGGGTACAACATAGTGATGCAGCACTACTTTACCCGAAACACCCCTGCAGCCAGCTCTGTTTGGAGAGAAGCCTGGGTGTACATCATGGAATGCTTCCGCGGCTTCTTCCCGGACGAGCCACTCCCACAACCCTCAGAGTCCGGAGAACTTCCTTCAGGCATCTACTGAATAGCGGATGAAAGTTACACTGCGGACACTGTGCAATCGCATCCCGAAACAATGTAGTATCTACTTTCCAATACACACATGCATCTTTCACAAAATAAAGAAACTCGAATCAGCTATGGAAACTGACTTTGTTTGCCATGCTTAGTTTAGTTCTAAGAAATGCGTGGGACCTGAGAAATATTGCTGTCTTCGCGTCTCTAGCGGTCTCAGCGGGTTATCTCGCTCGGCATTTAGTCAATTTTGGAAAGATGTCCAGGGAGGTCGTACTAAAGAGCCACGCATTAGAATCTCCTAATGTATGTGCATCAACATACCCCGGGCGTGGAAAGTAACTGGTGTGAGCACAACATCATATTCAAAAACAGCAAACTGTTCATATAGAGAGTACTACTGTCTTCTCGGCATCGTTCACTTTCGAATCGGCAATGAATCCGATGGACCGCAGATCGAGGGCAAAAGGGAACACCACAATGCCATGAAAGAGAACATAGATTGAATCAAGCCGAAAGTATACCATCTCCGACCACCACAGCATCCGGTCTAGAAATAATGAGTTCCTCCACAATATATCTTAAAGATCGATATTTGTGGCTATCGACCCTCGGCTGTTCAAAGGCTTTTGGGGTTTACCGCTACAGTCTCCTTTTTTAAGGCTTACAGGCACCATGTCCTTGTCTATCTTTCCATCTACAATCTACAGTGACGTGGTAATAGAGACCACAACGCCTTTCCAGCAGTTCGCAATATAAATGATAAGTTCTTCTTCGGCCTAGTAGGCACTAGTCACTCTCTTCTTACTACTCTCAAAGAACACGGCCCTGTTATTCCTAGATATGGCACCCTTGATTCCCACACCTCTAGAGCTGATTTACAGGGAGTACCCCACGGCGTACGATCGACAGCAGACACTTGTGATCGTGCGCCTGAACCGACTAATTGAATTGCACCGCGAGCTAAGATCTAAATCGAGTAAAACTGCTCGCCTGGACATTGTTGATTTGTACTGCCTGGTGTGAGAGCAATACGAGAAACGTATACCTGTGATCGGATACATCTGGGGCGAAGTCTTAGAAGAGATCAACAAGTGTTTCGACGATCATTTTCCCAAAGGACTCCTTCCGCTGCTTCCAGAGCCCGGAGAACTCCCTCCCGGAGTATTCTGAGGATATTGATGGGAACAGTGCTTGGAACGCGTAGTACTACCTGCTCGCGCGTTCTTAACGGCACTTGTCCACTTTATGATTGACGACTAACAAATCCAATAAACAAAACAAAAGCTGCGCCCACTCCGTTTGTATTAGCACGCACCGATTTGGCATCAAATAAAGAACTCTAAGAATACCACATCCACTTAAAAGACATCGACGAATAAGCTTGCATATGCACCATTGAAATGGATTTTGTTGAGGCGGATAACGTGGCGACAATACGGTGGTTCCAAATTTTTGAATACGCTCTTCTGTGATCCTTAGCGCTCCATCGAGCGCAGGAGCTGCTCTATTGCGTGCAGGAATTGCCTCATCTTTGGTATGGACTGTCGCCATCACATTGCATGACTTTGTAGATGAGAAAGATACGTCCATTATAGACACGAGCGCAGGAGCTGCTCTATTGCGTGCAGGAATTGCCTCATCTTTGGTATGGACTGTCGCCATCACATTGCATGACTTTGTAGATGAGAAAGATACGTCCATTATAGACACGAGCGTACGCGTAAACCCCCGAATTAAATAAACAAAAGTTAGAACCCTTGTTGAAATTCAACTTGGCGACTTGAAGCCTTTTGCTAATTTCTAAAGCGTTTAAAGGGAAAATACCGTTTCCGAACAGTAATCACTTTTATTATCCGCTGTCGTGCTCTCAAGGACAATAGGATTTGCAAACCACACTAACACAACCATAGTGCCGCGGCTGCATCGCCGAAGGAAACCAAGTTGGGGCATCGCACCCCTAGACACTACATCAGCTATCGTGGTTCTTTGCCGCATTCCTAACCACAGCACAGCAGACCCTGGCATAATACGGAAGCGTTTGCCACAAAAGGAAAAATAAACACGTTAATTTCTCTAAATCTTTGTGGAACCTCGCGCTCCAAACTACTACCTTTCTCAAAAGATCCTTTCTTACGGCTTTCGGGCCCTTTATCCCAACCCGCTGTTTCGGGATCGACAACGGCAAAGCCAATGCAGCCACAGTACATAATGAGATTGCCACAAATATAAATATGGCCCCTCCACACCTCGTACCTTCCTCCACTACTATCTTCTTCCACCACCACTTCTTCAGTAACCAAACACAGCCTCTACACACTCAGCCTTTTTGAATTTACCCAAAAAAACTTCAGCACAAATGGTCAATTACCCCACCACCAACCGTTTTCACGCTCCCACAAATGGTCGTTATTATGGCCACCACATGCCAGCGATTGTAGCGCTTGAGCGACAGAAAGAGCTTGTGCTCCATCGTGCCGAAAGACTGACGCAATTGCGAGAGAGCAATCCCGCTATGGTGGACCCTCCTCTGGGCGCGATCCTGTCGATTACTACCTTTATCCGGACCCAAAGGGATCACGAGACTCCTGAGACACATCAGTTGTGGGCGCAAACTCTCGAGGACATAAATAAGATCTTTGAGACTCACTTTCCGAATGAGCCCCTTCCTGAACTTGGACCGCGTCCTGAAATCGGAAATTAAAGACGCGTGGAAAAAAAAAACATGGTTTAAAAAGAACGAGGCAATGATCAATCCTCCTTCGGCTGCCTGTCTTTCCTTATCCTCTTCCTCATCCTCCCACCCTATTTTTGTATTTTTTTTCCTTCAACTGACTGAAAATAAACAGACTATGACATTATCATCACCACCTCATTTTTCTCAATTAAAACTGAACTATGGTCGTCAGAATGAAGCTCTCCTCAAGAACATGGTCTTGTTTGTCCCGGAATTACAGTCTGGAGTGATCTGTTGAACGATTTACTTTAACCCAGTTCGCATATACTCGCGTTTTCTTGACAGTCCTGTTTTGACGTCCTATTCCTTGCTTGCTTCCTTGCGTGTGTGTTAGTGTGAATAAACGACCCGCAAGCTGGAAGTTTGGATAGCCTGCGATAGTCACAGTTGCAACGTCAAACCTTATTTCGCTGTCATGAAAAAGGGTTGCACCAGTGACTACTTTTTGGGCAGATGCGCATTCAAACACAATTCTCTTTCTCTTAACATTTTCTTATATCTCTTCCCCATCCTTGACATTGCAGTTTGACGCCAAAATTTCTGGAAACGCTTCAAACGCAGAGATAAACATTCATAGCCTCTCACTCGCCACTGGCATAATGGACCCCTCAACCAAAATCATGTACCGCTTGAGATTTTCCGAACAAGCACACCAAGCTGTTTCCAGTCTTAAGAATAAGGAAACCAAGCTCAACTTCATAACTTCATCAAGGAGCATGCCGAATATATTCAGCTGCCCGGCGAAGACGACGTACAGGAAGTTAGAAGACATCGAGTTATCCAAATCAAATGCGTAGTTTGACATCCTAGGCCTTGAGATTATCAAAGTAAAGTTTACTTTCTCGCTTCTATTCTGGAAATACTGTCGTTTTCAAGCCTTCTTTGAGTCCGGCGTACTTTGCTTATGTGATTATTCATGTGTACAAGACCTTGCAACGATAATGTCCAATATCTTCTCACAAATGAATGTTTATCAAGAGAATACTGAACCTCGGAATGAGTGCTTCTTTGGAAGACGCATTCGCGACCTTCAGGACTCATATTCAAAATGATGCATCATAAACGTTTCAAAGTACATGCAAAGAATGTATACTAAATGAGAATTCTCTTTACCGCCTTTATCCGATACTATCTGGGAGCTATGGACCTGACAGGCATTGTAAAAATGCCGAACTCCCATATAACCTCTTAGGCGATTCCCTCTCATCCGAGTTCCCCCCTAAGGAGCTTACATCTCATGACCAGGGAAGTAATCATTGATACATGAGTCGAGCTCTTCGAGGATCTCGCCCCACGAAGGATCACACACTGGGACAAGCTCTTCAAAAAACTGGCTCGCACGGCGATGGACCCACATAATTCGCTCGCGGGCTTCCGATGAGATCTGGTGCTCCATGGACAATTTCTGGACGTGTATTATGCGAGTGCGGATAGCGGTCAGTAGTCGTTCATATCTAAGCATTCGTTCACGGATTACGAGAGTCGAGCCTGGCCAAGTGGATATGTCGTCGCTGTAGATGCTGCTGAAACTATTGTTGCCTTGTGGGGGTTGCATGTCCTTGCCTTTGGAAGCTGTATCTGAGATGGTGTAGATAGGGTGTGAAGATAGAAATAATGTATATGAAGGCAGTGCAACGAGAATGGTGAGAGCAAAGTGAAAGAGATGGAGTGAATAAGAAAGGAGGTAAGATTACGCTGGGTCTCAGCTATATATTCGGAAAGGGTGATACCGTCAATGAGTACATCAAATCCATGGACGGAGAAGTGAATGAGAGTTTGCTATGGACGCGTCAGCATGTCCACGTTAATCTGCTGGATACCAAGGTCTGAGGTAGGCAGTCAGTGACTCATCCCCCTTCCATGGGGATGGAAAAGCAGCCTTTGTCTCTTGTTAAGAGTGCTTTGAAAAGCCTGGTTTGTCATGTGCATGTCTGTGGTTGAAACTCAGTCCACATGCGCGTGGATATAGCCGGACAATTCACTCGTTTTTGTTTCTGACGATTGCGAGGAGCGAGGCTCGTCCATGGTGCTTAGACATCGTGCTGGAAGTCAACAATTAAGGTTATTATTATCAATGGTAGACCACCGCTATATTGGTTTGCGACGAGAAGCAGGTACAACACCACCTAACCACCTAACCTTATAAACTTTATTTCCTTTCCTTGCTACGCGCTGCGCCCAAATCTTATTTAAAGCACAGACGCGTCATTTGTGCATAGACGAGCGAAGCGCAGGTCTATTATAGCAGTGCAAGACTTGCGGTTCGCAACAGCGATTTTACTGTTAAGAGCGCAGGGATATAGAGTTAAAGCTACAGATAAATGGTTTTAAGGCCCATCCATCTGAATGGTGTTTGTGGATACACGACTTCACACAAAGCAAAAAAAAAAAAAAAAAAGACAGAGATGCCAATTTGCCGTCGGATTAAAATTTTTCATGTCCGCGCCAAACTCTCAGAAACGGCTATGGCATTTTGTAACCTTTTCCTACAAAAGGCTGTGCACCAAATTCACCCCTCCGTGCCTTTTACCTCTTTCACCTCTCCAACTATTCTCTCCCCCCTTCTTCCCCCCACCATGCTTTCGCAGATACAACAAAAATGCGCTGCTATGGGAAACAATCCAGATTTCCTGAAGCTCAAGCGCGAAATACAAGCGAGGAAGTCCTTTGTCGACTGCATCGTCCGCGCCGTTGATCGTCTCGGCCAAACTGTCAAGGAGAACCCGAACGCGCTGCAGGACCAATGGACCCAGATCTTTGAGCTGAAGGACATAGTCGTAGATGCCATGATCGAATGCATTCCCTGGTCTTCCCCACGTTGGGGAGAGCTGCAGATTGCTGCTCAACAGATTGTCAATTTATCGCTATGGAACTGGGGTGACCTCGACGCCAGTGAATACTACTCTGCACCGTGCTCACTCCACAAGGACGTAGTGGCAATCACTATGAGCTTGAGTGATCTGGCGCTTTTTGACATGGAGATGGAATCCCTGTATCCACTCGTCCCATCCATTTCAACCAGTCCACCCACTGACGATGACACGGCGGAAATCATCGACCGCTTATTCAATACGGAGATTTTGGACCAGAAGACAAAGTATCTATACAGCACGAAGCGCGCTCTTGATATGCTGCAAGAACGCTTTGGAAAGTATTCGAATGATCTGAAAGAGACCGATGCGATTTTCTGGCAAATGAAGGGCGATGTGTTAGCTTGTTTCAGTTGATACTGCCAAACAACCTGCACAATAGCACCAAGGAAGCTCAAAGTCCTTCAACCTAGCCTGACTTGGCGCGAACTATCGAGTAGCAAAATAATGAATAGGTTGAACCATGAAATTGACTTCCATATTTGCAAAAAAAAAAGCTAAATAAAGAAAACAATGAGATGTGTTCAAGAAAATGGCTACGCCGCAAGTCTCCTTTTCATTGATCTCGACCTCGCTCACCATGCCCGCTAAGTGCGCGTCTACTGCTTCAAGTCTTTAAGCCTATCATTTGTGCACAGAAAAAAGAACATACTCTCCAGCTCATATTAGAGAAAGACTCATACTTTTAAGCACGGCCCCTAATAGACGGGTGCAGCTGTTCATAGCTACAGAACAATTGCAAGCATTTATGTGCTAATGAACACCAACGGATCCCAAAACGCCTTTTCGCATCTCAGAATTCATTATAAAACTTTGCATTTTCCCTATACAAAAAAATAGAGCCCTGCCATCACGTCTTTTACCTCACCCTTTACCCTGCCCCTCCTCAAGGAAGAAACTCGCCATGGCAATTGTCTACTTCCCAAGGGACGTATCACCAATATACTCGCATTCATCAACAACACTATCACGTCCATCGAACACCTGTATGAACTCCTTGAACAATCTCCCGATGTTCTACAAAAGTTCCGACCCCAGATTATCCAGCTTAAAAATGAAATTGTTGCAGCTTTTGAGCAAGGCTTGTCGTGGAAGGACTCTGCCCGCCGGATCGACCTTCAAAACAAAGCCAGGGCGCTCACAATGTCCTCAATGTGGACTTGGGGGGAGATTGACGTAGACCCCAATCAGTTCGGCTCTGAAACTCCCGTCCCTGTCGACCTTTTCAGTCTGATTGACGCAAATGCTTTGTTCATATACAACAAAAAGGGGGTCTTTGAGATGTTGAAAGTACGATTTCGGGGAATTGAGGGAGACCACAAGGAGGGAATACGATGGATGATGATCATGGATATCGTGGATGAAGTCCTGAAGGTGCTTTAGGTCGATGGTCTCAACACCACTCAGGAGTTGGACGGACTAACGGGTGTGTTGCTCGCTTAGAAAATTGCCTTCCAGTTCGGTTGTAGGCCTTAAATTCTCGACAGGATCGATCCATTAATAGACTGTTTCCTAGTTTAGAAATGGTAGTTGTGGCTACAATGAATGGACTGATCGTCTAGTTGTCTTTGCTATGGTCATTGACACGAGGTGTAATCGCCTTCTGCACTCTGAAGTCTCATCTCACGCCATCATGTCTTGGTTTCCCGAAAGATACTTTCACGCATGGAAAAAAAGAAGGAAAGAAAGGGTTTATTCAAGAAAATATGGGACACACCATTTTACCTTTGGAAACACTATGTTCGAAAACACTTTTATTCATGTTACTATCGATCTGATCCATTAAATCGCCATTGTGTCTCTCTTACACCCTATCCTCCTTCTCTCTCCCACTCCCTTCATCTTCCTAACACATCTCAAGACGCCTCCATCTCATTCCCCGGGAAGTACTCTCCCATGCAATTATCCAGTTCCTCCAGTAAGTCCGCCCACGACCCATCCGTGGGTGGGATCGTCTCCTTGAAGTTCAGATCCGCGCGTTGCGTCACAATCCCGATGCGCTTTCGAGCCTCTGCGGGGATAACGATTCCAGAAACCAGTTTCCTTATCCTGTTGACGCGAGCTCGGACCGCGATCATGGCCCGCTCATACCGCAACATCATCAGCTCGTCGCCGCGGGACCATGTCCCACGCGGGTTCGGGTTCTGGGTGCGGCTTCTGAGCTCAAAGTCACTGTTGTCCTCGATACGCATTTTATTCTTTTAAGCTTGGGTGGATTAAGGAATTGATGGGAAGAAAAAATAAAGAACGAGCGGGCTTTCAAGGAGGATGTGGACAGACTGCGCGTGGAAAGTGTGGAGTGCAGAATCCCTGGGGTTGTGGGGAAAAGATGAAGGTGAGGATCGCGAGAAAGTAAAAAAAAAGAAAGAAAAGGCCGCTTTAAAGCTCGGTTTGTATGGGATGTAAGTATACCGGGAAAGAAGGTAAAAAAGACGTAGAGATATAGCAACCGCGCGTCACTATGCTCAGGCTGGATCTGGGGTGTAATCGGTGAATGTTGACTCATTCATGCCACATGTAAAGAGGAAAAAAGAAAAAGCAGCCTTTGTTTCTTTACGAACGTTGTGTAAAAAGGCTGCTTTTCGATTCAGTTCCTGTTGTTGAATCTCAACGGGCGTATGAAGTACGTGTGTTGTGCGATTTCGACCATTTGCGTTTCTGGATACTATGCTTAGACTTCGCAAGAAGGATCAAAAGGACAAATGAAAAACAAAATCGCAGGGGTCTCAGTGAGAAACCGTTGGTAATGACAGTTTTCTATGAGAAGCATAGCGATATCGCCTTCATCCCTCACTTGCAAACACCTTCGCCCAAACTCTATTTCCTTAACTTATCCCTGACACATGTCTACACCATTATCCTTCGGGCCAGGACCATATATGTGTTATCTTCTTTTATTGAAATAAAACGCGAAAATCCAGAAACTACCCGTAAGGAAAAAATGAAATAAATTCTGCTCGTATACCATGAATGCCTACTATCTTCTTTTGTTTCGCCAGGGACATACCCGCATACATAGAAAATCACTCCATGTCTACTCCTCCCACACAAGATGCAAACACTATTGCCAACCTTCAAGAACAGGTGGCCAATATGGCCCGCCAGATCGCTATTCTTCAAAGCTCCAGAGACTCAGACCCTCAGCTCGAGGAACCGATCTCCGTCAAGACTTACCATCCTTCTGCAGAGGAAGCTGAACGATATCCTCCTATCCAGCCTTCAGACCCCGCATCTTTCTTTCAGCAAGACACCCCGGACGACGAATTTTGGGAACAGTTCCGCCGCTACCCCAAGAATTCAGCGATGGGATACGAACCTCCCAAGATCCCAAATGTCATTCCTCTCTCTCCGCCACAGAAGGCCCATGATCACCAGCTACGCAACCTCCAAAAGCGTCTGGTCAACCTCACGAGACCAATCGACATGTTCCTCCATCAGATCTGGTCCATGGAAGGCAGCGGACCCATGGATGCCGACGACGTGGTGGAACTATGCTCAACATTTGCCATTCTCATGCGAGAACAACTGGCTGCGACTGCCGGCAGGATCAACACCATACGCATGGACAATTTGCGCAGCTCACAGGGCGCCACTTACAAGCAGGACTCCTTGGATATTGTGGACCCAGGCAAATTTCAAGAGGAGATTAAATCCATTCGGACCATCACCAACGCGTTCAAACCCCGAAGACCTCCTCAATCTCAGCACCAGACCGGCAGCACCAAATCAGGCAACGACCGATCCAACTCTAATTCTAGCAACAACCAGCAGAAAAACAATCAGCGATACCGCCGCAACGATTATGGGGACAACAATTCCTCTTTTCACCGGGATTTCAACAACCGACGGGGGGACAGCGGCAGCTACCGACGAAGGGACAGCAGCAGCCACCGACAGGGAGACAGCCAGCGACGTGGCCGAAGCAGCAGCCGCCGAAAAACACAGAGAGAGTCGGAGGGAGACTCACTCTCTTCTTAGAAGCATGGCAGAGAATTACCGACAACTCCGACATCCTGTCCATCATCGAAGGGGGTTACAAAGTGCCGTTCGAGAAACCGCCACCAGTGTCCAAGTTTCACTCTCCGCCTCATCCGCTATCGAAGGATGCAATGAAGACCATCGACGCCGAAGTATCCGCTTTGCTGACCAAGGGAGCAATCGAATGCGCGAGTGGGCCCGGCTTTACAAGCCCATTGTTCGTCATCCCCAAAAAGACAGGAGACCTACGGCCAGTACTGAATCTACGAGCACTAAACCAATTCCTCCCAATACAACACTTCAAAATGGAAACAATTCAACACGTCTGCCATTTAATAAATCGAAACGATTACTTGACATCTATAGATCTGAGCGATGCATTCCTACACGTCCCAATTCACCCATCATCGCGACACTTTCTTCAGTTCCAGTGGAGGGACCAACTCTATCAGTTCAAGGTTCTACCATTCGGTCTATCACTAGCACCCCTAGTTTTTACGAAAGTCCTCAAGCCCCTTCTACGCTGGGCCAGGCGGAAAGGGATACGGATATCGGCGTACCTGGACGATCTGATTATCGCGGCGACCACAGAGAAACAGTCTCTCAAGCTACAGAGATGGTACTACACAAACTGAAGAGCCTAGGCTTCTTGACCAAGGCATCCAAGTCCAGTCTGACGCCCTCGCAGACACTGCAACACCTGGGATTCGAGATCGACACACGGTCCATGACCCTCAAGATACCAGGACAGAAGATCCGCGACGTACGACGCGAGGCATCCAAGTTGGCCAACAAAGGGACATGCACAATTCGTCAGCTTTCGTCGTTCATCGGCAAGGCCATTGCCATGACTGCAGCGGTCTTTCCAGCGCGTCTCAAGGTTCAACATTTGCAAGCCGCCAAGATCCATGCGCTGAAATCGGGCTCGTCCTGGGAGAGCTCGATCTCTCTCCCTCAAGCAGCAACGGAGGAACTTCTTTGGTGGCGTACCCACCTCCAACAATGGAACGGACTCTCATGGATTGTATCGAACCCTCAGAAGGACATCTACACAGACGCGTCAGATTCGGGATGGGGGATTGTGATCGACAAACACTCCTACAGCGGGTCTTGGTCTCAGCAGCATCGATCTCGCCATATCAACTACAAGGAGTTGCTGGCAGTCTTTATCGCCCTCCGTCGCCCAGAGATCAAGGGACGCACAGTGAATATTATTTCCGACAACATAACGACAATCGCGTACATCAATCACTTCGGAGGGACGCGATCACCGGACTTGATGAGACTGGCGACATCGTTATGGGAGTGGTGCCTGAAAACGGGCACCAGGGTTCGGACGACATACGTCCCATCAGCGTTCAACCCAGCGGACGCACCTTCCCGACGACTGACAGGACAACTGGAATGGTCAATCAGCAAGGCATTCTTTCAGAAAATGGATCGCAAATGGGGACCCCACCACGTCGATCTCTTCGCCTCGCCGATCAACCACCAGTTGCCACAATACATGACCTGGAAGCCCACGCCAGGCGCCGCCGGACACGACGCTCTTCGACATCGTTGGCGACCTCTAGGCAACGTCTACTTATGCCCCCCATGGAATCTGATCCCTCTCGTGCTTCAGAAGATCCGCCAGGAGAAGATCTCAGCAACCATTGTGACACCACGCTGGCCGTCAGCAGTGTGGTACCCGACAGTCAGGATGATATCGACGGCGCAACCGATCCCGATCCCCCGTCATCATGTGATTCCAGCACCGGGAAACGCGCCAGACATTCTGGCAAAGAACCCCCATTGGTCGTTATGCGCATGGAGGGTAAACGGCGCCGCCTCTTGGCCAAAGGATGGGACGCCGACACAGCATCCATCATCATTGACAGCCCAGAACTGAGACGCAAGCAGCAAGCATACTCACGTGTGCAGGATCGATACATCAAATGGGCCACTGCACGCGGAGTGGACGCTATGGAACCGCAGCCAGCACAGCTCCTCAACTGGCTTGCTTCAGGCGTATCGATTAACAACTGGTCCTCGGCCACAGTCGAAGCATACAAGTCGGCCATCGTTCACATGTACGACGACAAGTCCTCGTTTAACGACCCCGACTTTCAACAATTCTTTCTCGCTTTACGTCGGCGAAAGATCAAGCACACCAAGGAACTGAACATCGACATCAAGCCCGTAGTCGACTATTTTCGTCAGCAAGGAGAGAACGAGAGCCTCAGCACGGTGGTTCTTACTCAAAAGTTATGTTGGCTCCTTGGTACATGTGGTTTCCTACGCCCCAACGACATTATGTGCATCGACTTGTCCAATGATAAGTTCCATTTAGACCGGATCACGGCTGTCCTCCCTATTTTGATCCCAAAGGAGACACGAGGTGGTAACCGTATCTGCAGATATACCACAGTCAAGAGTCACGACGACACTCTCTTGTGCCCAGTCAAGACCCTCACCGAATACCTCCGACGCATTCAAGGACATGACATTGATGTTCCTCATCCCAAAGACGCGTCGATACGATATCGCCCCCTCCTGCGCGATGTCCGGGATCCTAGCCGACATGTCGGAGCTGAGCGCATCAGTAACCACATCGCTTTCATTAGTCGTAAGCTTAATCTGCCAAAGGATGCCAAGTTACCCAAGGCCCGTGCCATCGGATCTACGGCTGCGATCAAACAAGGTGCTCGCGTGGATGATGTTGTTGTCCATGGAAATTGGTCCTCATCCGTACTCTTCGACAAGTTTTATCGACTGAATGCAGCTACCGCGACCAATTTCACATCGATGGTTCTTTCATAATTCTGCTCTGGATCCACATATATGGTCCTGGCCCGAAGGATAATAGCTGGCAGAGTCGAATAACATGAAGACTCAAGCTTATTATCCGAGGGCCAGGACCATATATGTCCCACCCTCTTTTCCCACCCTGGTTCATTTCTGCACGCCCTGGCTCTCCTTTGAGAAGATAGTAGGCATTCATGGTATACGAGCAGAATTTATTTCATTTTTTCCTTACGGGTAGTTTCTGGATTTTCGCGTTTTATTTCAATAAAAGAAGATAACACATATATGGTCCTGGCCCTCGGATAATAAGCTTGAGTCTTCATGTTATTCGACTCTGCCAGCTAATAACCTTAAATGAAACATAGATACGCACAGACAATGTTCATCATTTGCTGTTCAAGGCCTCATGTTGTCAGGTATCTGAGAATGTCGTATCTTGCGGTAAGCAATGTCCGTTCATTGGTTCCTGTGGACATATAGCTCCACATCTATCGGAAGATGCGCGACGACTCCAGTTCCCAGGCCAGAATAAAAAAAATAAAAAACGCGAAAAGGCATGTTCTCTCGTGGTTAACGCCTTTTGTAATACCATCTTTTGCATATCCACAACTGAGCCCTTAGGAACGATAACAATTAACCGCCAGTATTTCACGACACCCTTGTTTTCCTATAAAAGATCCACTATACATTTCGCCGCCTTTCTCTACCTTCTCTTCTCCTGCTTCTCCTTGCACCTACTTCCCCTGTACCCTTTTTTTTTTTTTTTTTTTTTTTTTCTTAGAAGGAAGTAGAAACTTCGTAACTATGAGCACTATGATCGGCGACAATGCCCGCCGGAGCAACACCCAAGCCCTCCAAAACTTCCGTCAGCACATTGAATCCATGAACGCCTTCCTATCCACCATTCTCCACTCCATCGAACGCCTGAACCAGATCCTTCGCGAGCACCCCAGCGCCCTGCCCCAACTTCGCATAGCTGTCTTCAAACTCAAGGACGGCGCCGTTGCTGCCATCACCGGGGGTCTCCCCTGGTCTTCTCCGCGCTGGCGAGAACTCCGAATCACGGCCATGCAACTCGCCAGCTCCCCGATGTGGACGCGAGATTACTTACCCGTGCATGCCATCCGGTCTGCTCGCAACTCGACAGTCAGACAGCAAGGCCTCGCCGACCAGGAGGGTTTTATCACAAGCGGGATCGCGTGCATGGACCTCAGGACCGATTTCTTGTACCGCATGCGGAGTACCTTCGAGATCTTGCGGGTCCGTTTCTCGCAATATCCCGAGACTATGGAGGAAGGAGATTCGCACCTCAAGGAGATGGAGGACGATGTGGTTGATGCCTTTACGTTGGGCGCTTGTGAGAGATTGAGCCAGAACGGTCGGTATGCGCTCGATACATCCACGGGTCTGGTCTGGCGAGACATGGACGCGAGTTCTCCGGAGAGCGATGCGCCATTGGAGGTTGAAGATCTGAACGCTGATGGTAACAGAGAGTCAAGTCCTATGCTCGGCGGAAGGAGAGGGTCTGTTGATACTTGGAGATCATTGTTCTTGTAGGCATCTTTGCGTTGTCTGGCTTTTTATCGTACACATAGGGGCAGAAATTTTGAAGAAATAAAAATGTTTTGTATCTCATCCTTTGAAAACGTATTGAGATGAAAGGAAATGATTTTATTGTTGCGCCATCGTTCCAGTCGCTAATACGTCTCCGCATGTTCCTCCACGTATCCTTCCGTGCCATATTCACCAATATAGTGCCCCTGATCCTCATTGTACTCCTCGTCATTCTCGATCTCCTCGGGTACAACAGCTAGTTCCCCGAAATACGCTGTCCATGCTTTGCAGACGTCGTTGAGGACGTTCTTTTCGATCTCACAACTACCGCCCGGGCCAGCAAGGCGACCGATCTGTTCCGCATTCGAATTCCGTGGTAAGAAGTACGCAATGTTGTTCGTGATCTTGCAAGTCTCATTGAACAGAAATTCCCTAGTTGTCGAGTAAAAAAGCCATTTAATTAGAAATAGAGTGAATCACAGTACTCGCAATACAATACAAATAATGAAAGCTCCTGCTTATTTACCCATCCATGGGGATATCCTGCTTGATGTCAAACTCATCCTGTGCTAGATATCCTGGACCTACTCACAAACGAACAATCGAAAACATTGTTAGTTATTCAAGCACAACACATATATCACATCCGCTGTTACCAGTAAGGCGCATTAGTGTTACCTCCCCATGGCGGACTCAAGAAGACAACGTCCGCCTTGAGCTTCGGAATCAGGGTCATGTAGTCTCCACAGATAAACTCAATCCGATCCTCGACCCCATAGACCCTCGCATTATTCTTAGCACACATCAGCCTGACCGGGTCGATATCGATCGCAATCACCCGGTGACACGTTAGCGCAAACTGAATTGCATTCCCGCCGACTCCACAGAACGCATCGATAATCACATCGCTCGCACACCGCTCTGCAATGTGGGCCGCAATCTTTTCCGGCGTGACTGAGTACCACCCTTCCTTGTCCATCTTGATCCCTTGGTCATACAGCCGGAAATATCGATACCGCTGGTACCAGTACTTTTGCATATCCTTGGGGAGTTGATTTCCGTTCCTGTAGTCGACTCGACGGTCGAGACCGTTCCCGGCGGATTGTTGTTGTAGATTGTAGGATTGTCGTGCGTCCAGTTTGATCCTCTTGGGCTCCGGAGGTTCCTCCTTTGATTCCTCAGCACTATCTTCAGCTTCGTGCCTTGGATCTGTGGAAGCATTCACTTTTTCCTGCTGATCCTCTTGCCCCTGCTCCTGCTGCAGCTCCCTCTCACGCTTCCGCTTCTTTTTGCTCGGCTTTTTGGGTACATGGGACTGCATGGTTGTCGCGGCTGTGTTAGTCATAGTCGCGAGATCGATCGTCTGGCGGGACTGAATTGCCTGGAATAGGAGCGGAAATCCTTGATCTGAAGTGCCGTCCTGTGCCCAGGACTCTGTCGTTGCTGTGGTCGTCTCCTCAGATACTGGTATTGAACGTGAGCTAGCCAATGTTGATGTTGATCTAGCCGTGGAGATGCTGATGGATGAAACTTTCTCAGTCACTGCCGAGTCGAAAGATGCTGCTGATGCTGTATCGGCCTTCGCCTCCTTATCCTTATTTCCCTTGCTCTTCTTTTTCTTCTTGGTCTTGACCGATTTTGATCCACTGATGTCTGCGCCATTTGAAGAAGAAGATTCCGATTTTCGGATCGGTACCAAAATTGGCGGCTCGTCATCGTCCTCAACCTCGTGGCCCTGACCATGCCGCCGTGCAGTGCTTGAGGATGACACCTTCTCCTTCTCGAGCGCCTCTAATGCCTTCCTAGCAGCCTCCTTCGCAGCCCTCCGCTCCGTCTTGACCGCTTTCCTGATCTCCCGTTTACTCATTGCCTGGTGGTCGATCGCCGCTGCGGAATACTTTGATCCAGTCTTCTGGAGTTGCTCCTGTGCCCTATGAGCTGCCGCTCGTGCGGCTGCCAGCTCGCGCTTCTTGGCCTTGCTTTTTGTCATGCAATTGAAAACGGTTTAAAGGTGTTGAATCTTTAGAAAGGAATGTCGCACTGAATGTCGAAGGTAAAGAAGTGATTGGACGCGATCGTTCAAGTGATGATGCAAAGTTGATTCGGAGCGTGAAGGACGAGATTACTGTTGTAGGTCCTGCTCGCTCAGGCCAACCGTTTTTGTTGTTTGTATGGGCAGTGACTGGCTGCAGCAGCAATGGCTCGATAATTTATTGGGCACCCGCCATTCAGGGCCTGAAATGGCCGCTGATTATGGCGCCCGTCTGCAGCCAGCTTCCCACGAGTCGATCTTATCCGAATAAAAACTGATATATCTTCCCACAACACCGTACCGCAGCTTTGTCAACGATGCCACCTGCCAGTCAACTACAGCTGCTCCTGTATTCCTGTATCCTCGGCCCTCGAGATCGTCAGTTGAACATACACAAGCTCGATCGTAATATCGTCCGAACCCTCAGGCCTGTGATTCGTCATAAGGCTCAGAATCCATAGCCTCCAATTTCGGTCTTCGATTGTAGAAGGAATCGGCTGTCGAAACGCCTCCCGAATGTCCTGACATTGTTGTCCTTCCTGTCGGCCAACAGCCTAACAGCCTTTCATGGCCTGGTAATACCATTCTAAAATCTTATCCAACATCTGCTCAGGATCGCCATTCAGGTACGAGTTGTACTCCTGGTCCCTGGGAAGGAGGCGACTTTTTCTTGGAAATCGAAATATGCCTCTGGGTGCGTATTGACTCCATGACTCGATTCGGAGAGGCAGTTTCTTTGGCTCTGTAGAGCAAGATGGAGGCAACAACATCGGCGTGATTCTTAAAGTCCCGAAAGACACCTGTCCCATCTGCATCGGGCGCTGCAGCACTGACGCCGAGAACGAGGGCGCCCGAGGCGAGGGCATCGTAGTGTTCCTGAAAGGCAAGTGCCATAGAGCCTAACACAGTAAATCGACTCTACAATTGTTTAGCGCTCCATTCTGGTCTATGAACTGCGTGCGGTTTGATATGATGCCCTCAGGAACGAACACATACCTAGGCATAACAAGAGAAACAGCCATATCATCGTTTTCATTGGTCTTTCGGCGCGATTTGTGCTGAAGGTTGGGTAGCAAGCTTTAAGCAGAAGTCAGCTATTGCATTTTTTACATGTGCTTGCATAAAAAAGTAGGGAGAGAAGAAGGATGCAAAAGGACAAGACATCTAGTCTGTATCCCGTCCGGAGCCAATTAGAAACTGTACGGAAACACGGCTCCACTGACCAATGAAAGAAGCGAGAAATCGTGGCAGCCGGTAGCTTGGTCTACTTCTCACAAGGAAGTCTGAAAGGAATGTCGCGTCCCATGGGCCCCCAAGCGCGCGCATTTTTTTTTTTTTTTGGATGTATGGTTTCCTAGGCTGCGTATTGTGCGGCCACATCTCCCTACGGCTCCTTCGCTCTGCCACACTAACATCGATGTAGATCACGCGAAGGACCACTTAGGAAACGGATGATCCTGAATTCCTTTCTTGAAGATAGGACTAAATAAATAAAACAAAAAATACAGATGCTGTTGCTCTGCGACGTGCGCATATACACTCCTTCGAATAGGATGTGTCCATTGGTCTAGACCTATCCTTCATATCGTGTGCATCCCCCTACACCTTTCAGCACTCTTTCTCCGCACCCAACCGTTTCTTTTTTCATACCCGTTTCCTTTATCTACATCCACTTTATCGCTCCCTCTTCGTCATCTCCTTCTGCTACAGCCATGGCAAGACTGAACCCCCTCCTCCTCCCAGAGATCCTCCGCCGCGTCGGGGACTTCATCCCCGCCTGGATACCCACCAGTACCACAACTTCTTACGAATTCTACCCGCAAGGCCTCATCGCCTGCGCCCTCACCTCCCGAATCTGGTACCAAACCTTCTATCCCCTCCTCTGGACCGTCTTTGACGGGCGTGCTTTCTCTTCCCTTTCTTCCTTCTCTTCCACACACTGTCGATCGTCACCTCCAGACGAGTTCATTCGCCTCCAATCTCCCGGCTTCCGCATCATCACAAACTACGATGGCCGCCTGGGTGGGAACCTCGAATGCCGCCACCTCATCGAACTCACACTTCTTCGGATCTGTCCTCGCTCCGTACACCTTGTACGGATGAACAAGGGATTGAAACGCTTGTGTTGGATAGGTGCTATCCCCTATGCGGGGATGCTTTCAGATCTCGAGACAGCGGCTATGCAGGATTTGGACGCGTTGGAGGAACTGACGTTGCAGCAGTGGGATGTATCTAAGGGTAGGCTGGTCCAGGTGTTGAAGAGGAATCGAAGGAGCCTTGTTAGGTTGAATCTCCGGGGTATTCAGGGGTTCGATTCTCTGTACGACGAGAACAAAGATTCACAGTCGGAATTGTCTTCACAAGAGGAGACACGGCTTTCAAAAGGATATCAAAAACATGGCAACGAAAGGAACGAACAGGACAGAGAGGTCCTAGTGATGGACCATTTGAAGGAACTGACGGTCGACTGCGAATGGGTAGAGAACCGGGCCCTCCTGGACTTTGTCACACAATGCTGCCCCAACCTTGAGAGGCTGAGACTGAGTTACGACCTTGCCCATGACACCTCCATGATGGACAAGCTGGACGCCAAGCTGGCAACGCAGCACCGAGTCTCAGTGAAGACTACACTTGGGGATGTCCAGTACCAGTTTGTCGCAGAACGTTACTGAGGCTCAAATAATGGGCTCCTATTTGGGCGATGCACTTTTCATTAAAAAATTGTGATCTATGTCACAGGAAATAAAAATACATTCGACACCCAACATGACTACGAAAGGCGTACATCATGTGAACGGATGGATGGATGAAGGAGAGGCGAGGCTGAGAAGGAGAGGGATCGTGCGCTGCGTAGTAAGAAATACTCTACAAAGGACACGCGCATTGCTAAGCGCGATGGTTTCTTCATTCATCATCAGAATCGTCCATGAGTATCGTCCTTCTCCCTTTAGCAGGTTTCCGTCTGCTCAATAACTCGTCCTCGTCCTCCTCAAAACTGGATCTATTCCGCAGACTATCTCCTGTATCCTCAAGCAGCCCTGTTCCCCGGCTTTTACTCCGGTCTACGTCCTCCGGGAGCGTACTCTTCAATAAAGGGAGTTCCTGCGTAGCCTCTTGGTCCATATCCTGATCACCATCCGTCTGGCCCGCATGTGAACTCTCCTCAGGAGCCCTAGCTGCTGCCTTCAACTCGCCTATCATCTTTAACGCCCGATGCGTAAACAACGGTTCGTCCTCTTCTTCATCATCCTCCACATCACTGTTATAGTTGTCCAGATCAATCTCATTCTTCCATGATCCTTCTTGCTGCTCTTCACGATCCTCGACCTTGCTGCGAACACCATCCCATTTGTCCAATATCCGATCGTCGCCATTTCTGTGATCCAAATTCATCGAGATCCGCATGCGGTCCAAAGCACCTGCGTAGTCATCGTCCTCGTCGTCCGAAATATGCAATCGCATGGTCGTAGACGCATTATCGAAGGCCTTTTCTTTCCCTTTCCTGGATACTGCCACAGGTCTTGGCTGGGGTTGTGAAGGTGGTTTTGAAGATGAGACTGCTGTAGACGAAGAACTAGCTGTTGGTATCGATATTGAAGGACCCATATCTGGGAACAATAGTGCATCCCGATCCATGCTCTCTGTAGGTCGCATTCCCAGTTCTTTTTCGTGCTCCTCCCAGACGCCGTTCTGTCGATCCAATGCCTCCTGCTCCGCGCGCTCTGCTTCTTCCTTAGCTTGCCTCTTCCCTCTAACTTCGTTCCATTGTGCATCCCGCCATCCTTCCATTGTTGCCTGAGAAACGTTGAAAACAAAGGTAATTGAGTTAGATCACGAGCTTTCCATATGCAAGATCTTCATCTGTACAGGTTTGATGCTCTCCACCCAAGGAGGTCGTACCCTGATCTGTTTTTCTTTGCACTTTGATTCCGCCTGCGTGATAAAGTCTTTGAACGTCGCCTTCGGAAACAGGTTATGGGCCCATGTCTGATACACGCGCATCAGGTCCGCCAAATTATTTTTCTAGAATAACCGGAAGAAAATGCAAAATAAAATAGACCTTATCTTCAGTATTCCTGTTCACTATTCTCTTTATACCTTGCGGACCAACCGTTGTTGTTGATCCAGTAGTTTAATCAAACTTACTGCGTTGGCGTTCTTCTCTGCACTGTCCTTATACTTGTGTCGAATCTTAAACCTCTTTCCGTTGGTTAACAGCAATGGTAATCCATGCTCGCCCAATAACCTGTGTCATATATTCAACAACGTATGGTCAGATCAGATTAGATCTTGCTCAACAGAACAAAACAGAGTACATTGACGCGACATAATAGCAGCAAACACCCAAAGGTCCGGCTGTTACCTCTCTTGATCCAATGTCACTTGCTTGACCCTCTTCTTCGTCACTTTCACATCCCCCAAATCCCCCACCACACCACCTCCTTCTACCGCCGAACCAATCGGTCGACTCCCACCCCCAGATTTCCTTCCTTGCCACTGCTGTTCCTGTTGTCGCTCCTGTAGCCTCTGCTGCTGAAATCTCTGAACCTCCTGCTCCCCGGCCTGGGCTTGGCTCTGCAACATCCCCAGGAAATCGAGCTGCTCTGGTAATTCATCGTTTGCGGATAAATCCTGGTTCTGGTTACTGTTACTGTTGGAAGAAGTCGATGGCATCATTCTGAGCTGATCTTGTCGTTCAGCCTCTTGCATCATCTGGTCTGCATAATCCTCGTAGTCGTCAAAAGGCTCGAAGGGCTCATCCTCGAGGCGTATATCGTCCATTGTGTTCCTTTTAGGTGTGATATGAGGATCCTTTGCGGTAATAGTGGTATTTGAAGAGGAAGGGGTGGTTGAATGAGCGGAAGGAAGCACCGAGGAAAGCGTGGTGCCGTTGGATTTTTGAGACGTGTTGGCGCGTTTCGCTCTTTTTGTTTATTTTTTTTTAATTTACCGCGCAAGTGACTCGTCTCGATCGCGAAACGCGTTTCAAAGGCTGACGCAGCGCGTATACGTCTATCTTTGACGTTCAAGGCATAATCGCAGCGCTATGGTACTAGTATTTGCTATATAATATATGTAGCCCAGAGATAGGATGTGCTTTGTGAACGAGAATGAAAATGAAAATAAAGATTTCTGTATCCTCTCTAGTTCTCCTCGTGTCGTTTGCGTCGTTTAGGAACTGCGTTCAAACTGACTGAGCGGTGCGGATTGAATTGAAGGTGGACATGACCAGAATCAGTTGCCCAATGGAAAGCCCTCGCTAAGTCTTCCGAATAGACAGCAAATAATATTGTTGACGGGCCAGTTCAATTGAATGGACCATTTTATTTTGGAGGGGAGTGTATATGTCAGAAAAAGGAAGACAAGAGCAGGGCGTTTTTGTACTGGTTTCTTTCGAAAAGAAAAATGCGTTATTGTAATTTATGGTTTATCGCATTATTTGATTGTTCCTCCATGCCAAGTGGATCGACATGGAGAATATCGAGGGAAAAGATATTTAGATGGCCTCTACGAGATATTGAGGGTTGAAATTCAAAGATGATGTAGTTAGTAAAAGAAGTTCCTTCTTTGATGGTGATAACGAACGCTTTTTTTTCAAGTGTAAACGATGTCTCAATTGACTAACCGTGGAGCAACTGGTTCAACTTGTTGACCTTGGAGGAGACAGACAAGTCGATGGTCTTGTCACCGAACTCAACAACCAAACCACCAAGGATGGAGGGGTTGACCTATAACACATTCGCATAGACAACTTAAGATCAATAATCAAGCCGGCAATTTCTTCGCTCTGCAGTCCAATGTATTGATTCGAACGACTACCTTGTTAGAGACGATGAGAGTCTGCTTGGGGGTGACGAAGGCAGACTTGGCGAGGTAACCCTTGACCTTGGCGATCTCCTTGGCGTCCAACTCCTGTCATACGCGCCATTCAACACAAGCGACACGATATGTATTAGTAATTGACCCATATCAGCACACCATAACAAAACATAAAATCCAACATGGTCTAAAAAGTACCTTGGCGGAGGTGATGGTGACCTGGACCTCACCACGGTGAGCGCTCATCAAGGAACCATACGAGTTGATAATCTTGACAGTGTCGTAGAGGCGACCGTTCTCGGCCAAGGTGTCAAAGAAGTTCTTGGTCAAGTCGTTGTACTTGCCAGCGGCGAGCATCTGGTGGACACCGCTCTTCTTCTCGATACGGTTGATCGTGGGGTTCTCAAGGAACTCGCGGAGCTTCGAGTCCTTCTCGACAACGCGCTTGACCTGCTTCAAGTCAGTCTCGACAGCATCCAGGGCCTGCTTCTTGGCAGCGGCGGTGTACAAGGCGGTGGCATAGCGACCCTCAATACCGTGGAGGACAAGAGGGATCTGAGCGATTGATTATCCATCGCGATGGGAAGGAAAGAGGCGGATAGTGGTTAGATATGAGCGTAACCGCAAGTCTGCGTTCCTGGATCGATTCGAGTGGTCAACGCCAACAAGATGAGGGATCATCGCTTCCAGAAAAACCGCGTTTCCCTGCTCCGCCCATAGAGAATAGAAAGACGATATGAAGGTTCCAATGTGATATGATGCCCTCCTGCCGCGATTGATTGGACCCTGATGCGCATCGGTGGTGGGTTGGTTGCAAAGTGAGCGATCGATCATTACCTGAACGCTGGTGGAAGTGGCATAGCCACGGGTAGCCTAGAGGGTGCAGCAACAGAGGGTGACAGTAAGAAGGATGTTAACACTTGTGCTCCCAAGATGTCTGATTGCATGTGAAGTATAATTGGGCAGATTGACTGATGGTGGGGTAAGGTGCGCGAGTATGCAGGGCAGTTTGGCGTTTGGTGGGTGAATGATCACGACGTTGAAGACGTGGGGTTATCCTGCTTATCAGTCAACAGAAAGAGGGAGAAAAAGAGGCAAAAAATGTAGGAAGTGAAGATAGAGGTGATGTAGGAGGGAGCGACATTTACTTGGAGAGCACGGCGAGCGGCGAACATGGCGATGGAGTTGAAGGGGATGATGGATGAGAAAGAGGGGAGGAGTGCAGCTTTTGATCGGGAACAATAAACAACAAGCGGGTGAGGGAGTTCCCTTCCGCTGGCCCGACGGAATCAATTGCTACTATCGTCTACGGTGACATCACCGTGTCCGAATTGATGCATGGGAGACAGCCGAAGTAAGACCTTGGCCCTGCACAGCAACAACCCCCTTTCATTCCACACCTCTTAGCTCGACTCTGCTCGACTCGACCACCCAAGCAAGCAAGTCAACACGACTCCTTACACTTTCTTCGTTTCTTTTTTAATTCTCAAGGAACAACCCATAAGAACATTCCTAGGAACAGTTCAGACAGCAGGACCATCGAATCATCGCAGCTATGGCTTCATATTCCGAAGCTGATCAGGTCGCCCAACAACAACAGCATCAGAACGTTGACGCGATCTCTATTACCACTCGACCAGACAGCCAGGATACAATATCACACCTCCACCAGCCTTCAACATTCTCTCCTCTGGAGCCGACTCTCAAGCAAGAGGACACAACCAGCCACCTAAGAAACGGATCACACCTCATTGCCGATACCTCTGCAGACCATGAAGACAACGAAGACAGCGAGGCTGACGGAGATGGAGATGGAGACGGAGACGCAGACGAAGACGAGCACTCGGACGGTTCCAATGAAGACCGTGATGATCGTCACGACCACAATGTCAGGACCAACGGGGGAGAGAACAAACGGGATCCTATAGAAGAAGACGGCGAGCTGTCACTATCCTCTGATAACGATGATGATGAGGAAGCAGCTTCAGGGCACCCGAACGACGAAGAGTACAGTAACCTGCCAGAAGAAACTGTTTGCAGATGGAAGGATTGTGGCAAAGTGCTGCCCTCATTGGCAACCCTGGTGATACATTTATCGGACGAGCATATCGGATGGAAGAAAACGGCATACACTTGCGAATGGCAAGGTAAACCAGCGCATCTATTGATTTCGTGTGGATCAGGATGTGGGTTGGAGCAACAAGTATAAACGGCGCTTTGTATGTATACTTTAACACTGACTGTTGATTTTTTTTTCTTTGGCAGGCTGCTCAAGGAGACCAATTGCTCAGACGACGAGGTTTGCGCTGATCTCACATATGAGAAGCCATACGAAGCACAAACCGTACGATTGCCCTGTGCCAGGTACAGAATACTCTTTCTCTCAATGGACCTTTGAAACAATACACATTGGCAGACGAATATACTACTGATCCATACCTCCACGACTATGCTTCCAACTCATAGAATGCGACAAGAGCTTTAGTCGTTCCGAGTAAGCATCTCTCCCCTCTTTCTCTCTCTTTCTCTCTCTTTTCAAATACCTAATCCGTCTAATTCTATCCCGACATAGCGCCATGGCTAAGCATCTCAAATGCCAACACGGCGATGTGCCTGAGCGGTTCACAGGCCGTAAATCCAGAGGCCGTTACACCATGAAAGACCCCGCCGCATCCTCGACTCTCCTTCCTTCATCCTCCTTCGGCGCCAAGAAACGGCGGCACCACGGCTCCGACGCCGAGCAATCAGCTTCAACCTCACGTATGAACCCCGCCAAAGTCCGGAAACTCAATGATGGTCGGCTAGAGGGAGATCATCGACATTATCACCCAAAATTCGCGGATAGCCTAATATTACACCATCTGGATCAGTCGAGAAAGGGAGGCCGTCGACATCATAAGGATCATAGTCATCATCATGACCGCGACCGCGACCGCGACGGACAAAACTCGGAAGGGGAAGGGCAGGAGGGAGAAGACGAGGATGCGGAGGATTCAGATTTCGCGGACGAGAATGGACAGACCCCGCGGCAACGATATGGAGTTCTGAAGGCCAAGTTCCGGTACATTCATAATGAAAGGGATTCGTTGGAGGCGGAGTATGAGGATTTGAAGAAGAAGTTGACAAGATTGAGGACCGAGAGAGAGCTGTTGCTGGATGCGTTGTTGACGAGTGATCAGCAGTATCAGGATCCTGCACTAGATGCCATTGACGACAGCGAATGAAAAAAAAAAAAAAAAAAAAAAAAAAAAAAAAAAAAACTATACCAAGCTGTCGACTATCAAGAACTATTTAATATTTTTTTGGCATGACTTCTATCTTATATTGCCCTCACATCTTTTCGCATTTCATGGTATTGTACATTATTAAGTTTTTTTGCAAAGTGCATCAAACAAAGCTTCGTATGCTTTATTTCGGAACCATCAAACATCGAGGCGAAACCTAATGCCTTTACAATGCATTCAATGAGCCCCTTGCTTACATGCTCAATCCCGCTACTGCCGCAGAAGATGCAGAAGATGGGGGCAAGGTCTTGGGCCTGGCTTCTTGATCCGCTATTGACCGCAAGAAGACCTGATCCGGCGCATGATCCTTCTCGCCTTCTTCAAACGTGTATGAACTCGCCACGGCCAATGTCTTGCCATCACAGGACCACGACAATGATGCGATCGAGGTCGGGTACGGGTTGTACTGTCGTAGCCGCTTCTTGTTAAATCCATCCCATAGTGTCACCACGCCATCGGCTCCACCAGATGCGAATGTTCCATGACTTAAAAAAGTCCAGACAGATAACAACAAAAAAAAAGACGATGTGATGATTGTCAGCACTCCAGCATTCAGAAGAAAGTTTGCAAAACACTGTACACTTCACAAATACAGGTAAAGCTTACATGGGGTGATACGCCAACGCGTTGACCGGATAAATCGTCTCGACGCCATCGATCGTCTTTCGATGACACTTGAACGCATATTTCTTCGCCTGGCTCTCCGCGGACGGATCAAAGAACTCGACCGCGACCCTTCCCTCGATCGACGAGGATGCATACCCCAACCCATCCCGCATACACCTCACCATTCTCGTCTGGTACTTCAACGAACTCTCCCGACGTTGAAGAGTTTCCTTCATGTTCCGGAGGTCGTAGATGAAAACGTGTCGTCCTGCCATGGCGACAACGAGCTTTTGATCGCAGACATCGAGAGAGAAAATCTTCTCCGGTTGGTTGTATTTCCCGAGGTTATGGCCGTGCTCCACTCCACCAGCTCGATGGTCCCACGTCCCGATCGTCTTGTCCCATGACCCTGTCACCAGGAAGTCTAATTGAACGCATCACACAAGTCAAAAGAGACGACAGAACTGTCAGTTGAGTTCTGTGTATCATTCCTGTGGTCAAGATGTGAAGCCGCAATTGTACAGAAAGGAGTGTTCCGGCGTACTGTTGGCGGTGCTGAAAGCCATGGCACGCACGGCATCATCGTGCGATCCCAGAACAATATCTTTTCCCGTTGCAAAGTCGTGCATCCTGACCGTCCTGTCCAATCCTCCGCTGTATGCCTCCATGCCCTCTCCGAAACAACAGTCGAGTACGGGAGCTTCATGGTTGTATTTCGCAGTCTGCTGGTTCTTTACGATATCATATAACGCTACACTCTATCAGACATCAGAGTAGATCATTTGTAAAATCGTGAGTTGAGCCTCATTGCAGAGCTGAAGTTGATTCAAGATCTAGCTGAACGATTTAGGAGAGGATCAAAATACCTTGTCCCAGGACGAGACCATCAAGATCTCGGGCTTCGAGGGATGGAACACGACCGAGGAGATAGCATCGTTTGGGGGTTCGAAGAGTTCGTATTCAGCAGCCATGTGGTATATGTCGTGTTGGTGGAATGCAGATGGAAGTGATCAGGATTCAGGGCACTCTCTTTCGTCAAAGATCCATGCATGACGTGACCAGCTCAAATTTAGTGGCGTTGAATTTATTTGAAGGGTATCGCTTACTTTAGGATGCCTCGCTCTTCTCTTTGCCCTTCACATCCCTGCCCTTGTTGGCCTCAGCAGGTTCTGCCATCTCAAAGTTGCGTGTCATAAGGTTGAACATCGATCCAAAGAACAGTGCAATGACCGTGCATGTCAGCGTGATTACATTGTACGGCATCGAGAAGTCCGGCGTAGGAAGACTCACAAGCAGTGTCTCGGTATACACTCTGATTTTATCCTTTGCCGGTTGGTTCTTATCGTCCTCATTACTGGCTGCACCGGCGGCACGACGACTATCCACAAGGCTGGCTTCTCGCTCCTGATAGATCCTCAAATGGTCCAGTCCGCCGTAGCCGATCTGTCCCTGCTGCCGTGGCAACGGCACTGTGACGACGGCATATCCAATATCGAATCCACGGTTTGCGTCCGGGGGGTGCTCCGTATACTTCAAGAACACCTTATCGAACGAGATACTGAATTTGACCATGGATTGTGCTGGCAAGTTAAGAGCCAACTCCAAGACCGCCGGTCTAGATCTGTCCACAGCTTGCTGATAAAACATCTTCTTCACAACATCTATAGGAAGAGCCCATTGGCGTCAGTCTTTGCTGTGCTGTATTGTGCCTCAATTGAAACCAGAGAGCCGTCCCATTTTGCATACCTCGTTGGTTCTTGAGTGCTTCGCCATTCATCTCGACGCTGAAGGTGTGCAGGTACAGTTTCAGATACCATGGCAAGGTGTCCAGCAAAATTGCCTCTATGTCCTGCTTATTGTTATTGTGGATCTCTATGGCCAGTCCTCCACGCTCCTGACCGAATCCAGTAAAGTACCTGTGCGCCACGATACCAGGCGTAATAGGTCGAACTATGTGGAACAATAAATACAAGCGAGTAAGCAATTGGCACCTTGGTCTCACAAGAACGTAGAAATATTGTTTTCGAGAGCATACCTGACTTTGGTCGCGAGTTTTCCCAGCGCAAGGAGAGCTGGAATGGTGCTGAAGCCTCATCCTCAAGAACCTTCTTCAGATCATAGGCTGCAATTTCCTGGACGTTCTCTCCTGAGCCAATCGTATACGTACCCTGGGCAGGGTATGGAGTGAGTTCGAATTGGCTGGGATACTGTGTGGTTTGTGGAAGATGCATGACGACGCTAGATGTCGAAGCCAAAGGACAAGCCTGGGTAATTTCGCGTTCAAACAATCCTGAAAGCGACCAGTCGTAGCTGCCATTCTGTCTCGCCACATCAAACACGGTCGTAATGGTCTGCGTCAACTCCAGACTCTTGACCTTGCACAACTCATCCTATTAGAATGTCAAGATTTCCCAGTAGCAAACAATGAATGAACTGATCGCTAGTATATATAATACATAATTTGTTTGCCGTCGCCCCATCTTCTTCTCACCTCGCAAACAAGCCGAACATGGACGGCCATGGAGTAGAACCGAGTGTCGAACAGCTTGTGCGATTTGAGTAATGTAGCGATCCCAGCTTTGCTCTTGCATGGTAACAATTTAATCCACGGTGTCAAGTTCTCCGTGCAGACGTTCTCGTGTGGCAGCGATCCATAACGCAACTTCTTCGGTACTTCACTGGACGAAGAGTTGCTCCTGGAATGGACGTTGTAAAGACCCTCGTTCCTGAATGACAGTTTCGGCTCAATGCTGATGGTGTCGTCAATAAAGTTAAGGGATGCGCAAAACAATCCTGAGAGTGTGTTCGTCAATCCTTTCCAATTGGCATCCGTCCTATAAGAAAAGAGGTTGCAATAATGAGTGGATGAGCCCCAGTTCTTCAAGATAGTAGAGGCACTCAAGGTAACGGTTAGACTTACTGCTGCTTCTCATCGTTCAGCCATGCCCACAGTTCGACACCTGTGCCTGCGGAGGGCGCAAGAGGATAGCCCCAATCACTATATTGCCACCGTCCTTGCGTGAAAGTCAAGTGTAGCTCCTCGACATCGAAACTGTGCAGGATTTGGCCGATTGAGCGGGGGAATAGGTTATAGTGTGTAACTAGTAGTATATAAACATGCCGATCAGTCCCTTCGTTTGTAGTCACGGCTCAAAGATACAGGAGAAGAGGTCAGGTAGTTTCCAAAGTTGTTGGTCTTACAAATATTAGATGCAGCGCCATCAAAGTGCTCCTCGTCCATCATCGTTCCGATGTGGGTGGTGAATTGAAAATGGCTGTAAACACTCCCATCGTTCAAGGGCTTGAGGACGAGTTGTTCGTGGAATGCCTCTGGTGCCTTGAGGATGGGCGCCGTGTCCCTTACGGTGAATGCATCCTGTGGATGTTGTGACGATGCGGCTGTTTGGGCTGATGCTGAAGAGAACAGAAGTACTGCCCCTGAAAGGAGTAGTGAGTATTCTGAGAATGGGCGCATCCTCGATAGTCGCTATGTCAAGAGTCAGTTGTTGATCAGGGGGAGCCGTACAGCGTTGACCATTGGGTGCATTTTTCCACGTCGAACTTGTCGCAAGCCGTGATGGTGACGGCGTTTCCTACCGAACGCGTTTCAGCCAATGAATGGTCGTGCGTCTACGAGGACGAAGGATATGAAAAGGATGATACCAACGCCTAAATGACAGGAGCACTCATGCTTTCTGTTTCTTTCAATACCCGTGGTACAACGCTTTCTAGTCTGACGCGCGCTATCGCACCTCAATGATACCCTTAGTGCCTTGGGGAACAAATCTCAGATCACGGATCATCGTAGCTCTGTTCAATATATAATGCCCCGCCTTGTCAACCGCTGGTGGCCTCACGCCCATGTCTACCCTATGTAACTGCCGTTTACTTCCATCTACTTCATCCCATGCATGACGTACACGCCTTTCTATCAGCATAATTCCTGCTTTTTTTTCTAGTTCACTGGAGCGATCTTCTCCCTAGGATTCAGTAGAAAGCAGCAGCTGTTAACTCCATATTCTCTTCTGAAAGCCAGGGATACACTAACTGAGTGCTCGCTGTCCGTATCACTCCATGTATTTTTATCACCGATCCGCGGCACTTTGAATCCTTTCCATCCGCCTTCCCAGTTCTTCTTCCCAACACTTTCCTTGAGCTTACAGGCAGTTTGATTGATGAATATTACTGGGGAAAATACCTTTTCTTAAGCTACCTTCAGCCGGTTTTCACGGGAACTTAATTCACTTCTAACTTGGCTCTTTGATTGATCTTCTTGTTCAGCGGCCCTTTTTTACATAGGATCAGCGTTGAGCATTTCCTCTTTCTGTGGTTGTCATCGCGATTGCTGGTCAATATGAGTTCGAAGTGGACTTGGATAAGCTTGATGGTAGCTTCAGAATACAATTACAATCCAACAGCCATAGATGGGTGGCACGCATTTCAAAAACAATGGCATGCCCATCCCATTCGCACTTATGTTTGAGGACACTATACCTTAGCACCCAGATACATCCAAATACTTCTCTTCATTGGCCTCTCTCGATTCAGAAGAGGTGCCAAACTGATTGTTGGACAAGCAGGGTCGGTTCTTGCGCGCACGAATAAAAGATTTGGTTTCTAGTATCGCGTGAAACGCGATTGAGGGAAGACGCGTTCCGGTATTTTATATTACATTTCGATACAGATTACACTGCCACTTCGCACACTGCACCAGAGACCAAATCTCTCATCACTTGCCGTTTTCACCATGGGCCCTGCCGTCACCTTGACATCCACATTCACTACAGCAACCATCTTTGACATTCATCTCCTGCAGGGCCAAATCTGTTCTGAACTCACTCCTCGCGATCTCCGCCGCTGCTGCTTGGTCTCCCGCGACTTTTACCATTACTTCGTTCCGTACCTCTATCGCGACATCACCATCGCCCGCAAGGCCACCTACAATAAGTTCTATCGGCCCGAGGCCCTTGTAGCTCTCGAGCGGAACCGCGACCATGTCCTCTCTGTCAATTGCGTTTTTGCTAAGCTCTGGAAAATCCTGCTGGATCACCGCTGCTTCAACCTGAGGGTCCTCAAGAGCCCCTCACTTCCGTACCGTCTCCAGAACCGGGAAGAAAACAAATTGGAGCTCCATAACATTATAGCCCTAATGCGGTCCTGTCCCCTTCTGCGGGTTGTAGAGCTGGGTCATTTCTTTTACATGAAGGGAGATATTGAAGCGTTCTGCAGCGTAATGCGGAACCATGATCAGCTGCGGGAGGTCAAGATCGATCATCACGAGTATGTGTCCTGCCAAAAAGTCCGGCGGTTTTTATGGAGCTCGACCAAATTGCATCGGTTGAGTCTCAACATCGTCATGACGTATAACTCTCAGCAGTTCACTTCCGAGGGCATGCAGAGTCTTATTGCGCTGTCGGGACAAGAGGATCCGGTTTTTGCGATGAAGGAATTGGATCTTCGGGGAAGGATGCATGACCACGAAATCGATGTATGCTTTCTGTTCCTCCGACGGTGTCCCAATCTCGAGCGCCTGACATCGCCGTCGATGTATACCTCTAAGATGATACATGAGCTGGCCTCGATCATCTCTTCCACTATGCCCTATCTCCAACATCTGGATATGCGTCATCTGTGCGTACCTGCGGATACGATGGCCTTGCTGCTCTCGGCCTGTCAGAACCTGCGCTCGTACAAAAACAACAGATGTCAGGAACTCACCCCGGCGCTGTTCGCAGCATTGTGGAACCATCAAGATACCCTCAAGGAGTTGAACATTGCGAGAGGTTATCGGATTTAGGGCCCACAGATTCAGGATATTCTATGCTCGTTCCCGAAGCTCGAGATCTTTGAGGCTATGAGTCCATTTTCGGGTCCATCGAGTTTCATTGAGAAGCAGACCATGCAGCGAAGAGGAGATCCGGCATTGTCAGAGGGGGACATGCAGCTCGACGGACGATCTTGGATCTGCCATAATTTGAGGGCACTGACCCTAAGGTTTACGGGCACTGACCCTAAGGTTTACGGGCACATCGGTACCTGAACCCATAGACGACAATGAAGACGATACGGACGAGGACGATGATGTTAATTATGCCGAGAAGACATGGACCATGAAAGAAGTGCTTCCTAGGGTGCTCTATGAACAAGTCGCCAAGTTGACCGCGTTGGAGAAACTCGGTCCAGGCAGGGTCCGGAGATTGATCAGTGCGAACCCTGTAGTCGTCGCTGACATGCTCTCGTCCGGAAACGACATGGATGTGGAGGCCTGAGAGATGGAGCAGTACTTAAGTGGACGGTGTGGTGAGAGCCTGGTCGCAGCAGTTTCAAATCGCGAGGCGCAGCTCCAGGCGAGATGTGAGGTGAGGAGACAAAACATGAGGGACGCGCTGGACGTATGGACCAGTCTGCGCCGTCTTCAACAGGTGGAACTTCGTAATATGGAACCGTTTATTAGCTGGAAGGACGTTAGGGAAGCTAAGGCGAAGACAGGCTGGCGATCGCTCAAGAGCTCAAGATGGTCTACAGTCGAAACTCGTTTTTATCGCATTTTCCGCGCGCAAACCTGCAATAAAACCTTAACTGGGATTGAATTGAACCTCTCTGAACGAGCTATTCTAAAGCCGAAAAATACAGCCACATATTCAGTCACATGCTCTGCCTCAACCATACCTCCTCACGTTGCATTCTACATACCTCAACACCATGACTACAACCTCTCCCCTAAAACGACAGTACGAGTCGCTCTCGACCCATGCAGCGGCGACAAGCAAAAAACAAAAACCAACTCCTCAACACCTTCCTGCCAAGAATCGCAAAAAATACACCAAGCACGAACTTGAGGATACCGAGCATATTCGTCAAGCACAATATGGTAACACATGCATTTGTTTCGCCTCGGTAACGTTTTTGGTCAATCTGTAGACGTCACCGAAAAAGGTGGTTTTAGCACATTACGTTTGACCCGTACCAGAAGGTACATTTCCTTTTCTTTCTTACCTCCACTGCGGCGCCCATTTGCTTCATCAACTCCATTAATAAACCCTCATTATCCTCAAACTCTTGTCTGGTCGCCACTTCTCTGGCAACTCTTTCGAATTCCTGCTCTGCTGCCCTTTTCCGGTCGAGTTGCAAACGGAGTAATGGCGCTAATCCTGCCTCTAAATCTGGTCCGAAAAAATCCATATTCTGGGCATGTTGCTCCTGAGCGACGGCAAGTTCAATGGCAGATTCAATCGCAGGCTCACCGGAATAGGATACCCTCACACTTTTATAGAACCTCTGAACCAGGTACATGTGCTTGCAAGGGATCAGGTGAAGACAATAATCGGCACAACTGCATGACACAATGCTGGTAACATCGTTGTTGTGGCGGACAATGTATGAAACGTCAGCTCTAACAAAGGATTTGACGACAAACTGGAAAAAAGGATGGTAAAAAAGTAAGCATAAGCATGAAACCATAACCACCACGATATTTTTGACAAATTAAGCCAAGCTGGAACCTACTTTGTGCTAGATCAGTGCCTCAACCATAGGCAGGGCAACATTAAAATCCAGTCTCATACGCGTGCTCTTGACTGGGAGCATCCAACAGTTACCTTGATGTTGGGACTTTATCCGCGAACGTCAGAAGAGCTGAAGACTTGAGGCCAGATGAAGCTTCTGAAGTACTCCGATGCCTCCGGGAAGCCATTCGCCTTGCAGCCGATACAAAACGCACTTGCCAACAGCTCCTTGGTCGGTTCATCGAGCGTGTCTCTGATCCAGCCATCTTTAAGGAAACGGATAGGGATTTGTTGGATCTCATCTGCCCGCGCATACCGGGTACGAATAAGGACAATAATGGTGATAAGGATAGTGATAAGGATGATGATAAGGATGGTGATAAGGATGGGAAGAGCAGAAGGACAGAGACACAGATTCGGAGGTCGACAAGGAGCAGGGGGACAGAGACGCAGATTCGGAGGTCGACAAGGACGATCATCAAAAGTTCCTTGGGATATTAACAACATATGTGTATTCGGGCATCATCCCTAGCGGCAAAACGAAGAGTATACAGTGCACGCGGAGGTTCATCGATCGAGCGCAGGAGCTACACTTACTGGAACGAAAAGATGCTGCTATCATCAACACGAGAATGCCCTACCCGGGGTCAGTCATACTACGAAGCATAATCGCGCAACTGTCGGTTGATCTCAAGCGATTGTACGGAAAAGGCTGCAAGGAAGTCCATAAAAAGGTAAATGTGAGAAGGAAAGAGTAAGGGATGCCGGAGTGGCGATGTTGGACATAGACAATGAACGACTGAGAGTGAAGGTATTCTGTGGCGAAATGGGGAGGGGATGAAGAGAAAGAAAAAGAGAGAAAAAAAAGAGAGGGAGGAACAACATGTGTACATGTACATACAAGGGACACAAGGTTCTATTCCGCTAACTCGAACCTTACACGCGGCAACTTTAAAACAGCTCAAGAAACAACTGGTCAAAGGGCTCTTGCCGGCTGGGACGTGCATTGACATTCGTGGCGACGTCTCTGCGGTCGAGAACTTTTACCGTTTGAACCCGCTAACCAAGAACCCTCGGAAATTAATGGCGTGTACGCCTTCCGCGCAGCCATTCGTCGCGTTCACGGAACTGGAATTGATTTCAATCTTTTGGAAGAGCGACACACTCAAGGCGAAGCTGCAGAGTCTTCATGGAGCCAAGGACTATCGTCCTGCGTTGTCTGACATGTCGTACTGGTTGGCCAACCAAGCACCAGGCTACCTCCTCACGACACTCATCACCGACGTAGGACTGGGTCATAAATAGCGTCGCATGCCCGGAATCAGCAAATCATTCAACAACCTCACGAACCTTCACTTGCAGAGATCAAAGAGCACCTGAGAATCATTCAGAACGAGGATTTCGACCCCCGCACTTATAAGGAACGCGGCTATGTTATTTGCGGATCTATTCGGACCGATGGCTTTCGCCTCCAGTTAACGGCATTCAAGCTGAAGGAGCTCCTCTCGGTTCGGTACAGGCGGCATCCCACGGACATGTTGCCTTCTCGGATTACGTCCACTGTGGGTGGAGTCGACTACTACCTAACTGAGGTTCGGAACGTTGTCAAGACGAAGCAGGATGTCGCAGTTCTTTGGGACTGTGAACCAGAGAAAATCAAGATACTAGGTCTCGATCTTGGTCAAGCGTTTGTGGTTGGAGCGAGCGCTCTATTGCCTGAGAAGACCTTAGATGACATGAAAAAATCCGTCAGCCTCGAAGATGGAAAGCCACGCAGCGACAGTTATAATCCAGAGCAAGCATGTGTTACAGGAGCGAGTATGCCGAGATCCAAGGAGAGCTTCCATCAACAGAACAGTGCCGTCGGTACCGAACAACCTGACAATGACAATGACACCGAGGCTTCCGCCCGCAGCTCCCAGGTCTTTTACAACCTAGCTGTAAAGCAGAAGGCCGTATACCAACCAACGTTCAAGTTTCGACGTTGGTTAGAAGAACGCAAACGGTCGATCCCGCTAGGCGCAGCAAAATCTATCAGCAACATCGAAAGCGAGCTACCAGCCCTTTGCGGAAAGGATGCCAGCGTTGAAAAGTACGTCGCGGGATTAGCAGGCGTCAAGGAGCAGCTCGACGAGTTCTACAACAAAAGCGCCACATTCAAAAAGCACCAGTGGGATGCCAGAAAAGCTAGAGAGGCAGAATTCGACATCATCGCAGATCGCCTGCTCAATATGGTTGGAGGAGCGCTTGGTAGACAGCGAGATGAAGAGGATAAGGTTGTAATCGGCATTGGTCTAGGCAAGTTTTCATCCACGGGACGACTTTCCTCGTTACATGAGTCCTTCCAATCGTACTTTGTCCAAAGGGTTAGTGCTTCATTGCAAGATATTCGATTTCTTTTTTTTTTTTAAAAAAAAAAAAACTACTGATGACGCTGATGAGGCGCCTTACGTTCTGTGTCCGTTAGGCAAGGGCGCTCGGGTATATTGTCGTGGGCGTCAATGAGTACTACACGTCAAAGAAGTGTCCGATGTGCGAGGAGTTTGTCGGCCAGGTTCAGATACGTCGGCTGTATTGCAAGACCTGCAAGACATACATGCACCGCGATATCATGGCGAGCCACAATATTTGCAACGTTATTCGAGGGTACTTGCTTCAGCAACAGAGGCCATTCTATCTTCAGCCTGTAGATGAGAATGGTAGATATCCTTGGATGGAAGCTACACAGACAGTAACCGATAGCGCGGGCACCAGTAGCAGCAGCATCAATAGTAACAGTAGCACTAGCAGCACCAATAGCACCAGTAGTACTAGCAGCACCAGCGCCAGCAAGGGCAGTGTGGCCCGAAAGAGGACAGCATCAACCGTGGCTGCAGAACAAGAAGGAGCTCCAAGGCGCAAGCGTGCAGCCAATGCGGCATCAGGGCAGGAATCGGCAACTAGCCAGGCCCCAGGAAGTGCCTAAACCCCATCTCAACCATATTTGTGTTCGCAAGCACATTTAAAAATGATCGGTAGGTGTAATTTATATCCTAAAGCTGCATAATTCTGTTATTGCACGCCGAAATTCTTTTACTGCATGTATTTGCTTATGCTAACCAAAAAAAATTCTATGGCGTCACCTTTTGCTGACGTAGTTGGTGCGTTTTTAATGCTTCAACGTCGTGGACTCCTTGAAATTGTTCCCAAGGCTGAGGCTCACAGGATACATTATAATCTGCGATCTTATACAACGCATGCACACATGCAAAAATGAAAATGACAAACCACAAATACGTTACCCTGGGTCGAGGGGAACGTAGTAGTCTATGCATATTTTCTGGAGTATCTCGGACAAAAGGAGTGAAAATCGAAACGGCGTCAGTCCAGAGCTGCAAAAACTGCACAGTGCACAGATGTTCTTACGTAGCAAGGTCGATAGTTGATGCTTGTAACCGGGGGTTGGTTTAGGGGGAGGAGTAGCAGCACAGTCTTTTTTAATTAGCGTTTTTGCATACCCCTGCTGCATGAAAAAGTGGTGGTGTAACGGAATGTTATTTTCGGAGGTGGTGGGGGAGGGCCACACGAATGGACTGGGGCATCCAGAAGGACTGGGTAATGGAAGCAGCATGGAGTATGCCCTGACGGGTGGTCTTAGCACCAACACCTTTTCTATATTCCCGTGTTGCTTGGACGTGCACCAAACGCAGATCTGCCCTGCATGCTTTCTCCATCTCAAGTTTTCGCTGCGTGCACTTGATCGATTGAGATGTCCATCAATTACTACACCATCAACCAATTTTTCTCTTGGGAGCTGCAGTTTTAATGCCACGAACAACAGGTGCACAACGTATTGGGCTCAAGCTGAAATGGTTCACATACATGGCGGACGAGATGACACTTATCAATCACTGTGAAAGATATTCCGGCTTGACCGTTTTGCCATTTTTGATGTACCTGACGTCCCTCCCGTTTCATGTTGCCGGCGTGGTTGGACGGCCGCAGCAGAACCACTTTCGCGAACAGCTTTCTTTTCCTTTATGCTTCAGTATGGACTCGCCTGGTGATCTTCTACCATCCTATCTTAGAAGTGGATTTAGGACACAAACAATGAAGTCGCGATTACAAGAGACTAGCTAACTGAGCAGTAAAAAGAAATGCGTTCATTTCATGACCAAGTAGGTGTTGAACTAGTCATCACTTACCACGGTTGGACAAGCCTTACTGTTCCCCTTTTGCTAGCGAGCACCCGACGTGTTTTTGACCTCATTCGACTGTGGGCAGCACCGATAAAGCTTTCGTTTGAATGAGTGTGTAGTCTAGCTGGAGCCATGAAGCGCCTTTGTGGTAATATACACGCGCGTTTTATTAGGCGTGAAAGTTAATAAGCAGTTTGTCTGCGAAGAAAAAAGACGTGGATACAGCAGGAAGACTCGAACAGCATCCCTGGACTGAACTGAGTGAGTGGTTGCTGGGTGGTGTGTTGTTTCTCCCCTTCTCTCTGTACTTGCACTCTTCTTTCTTTTCGTCCCATCCGCTGCTCATTCATTCCTTCGTCCTCCTCCTCCATCCCTTCTCCTTCCCTCCCCTCCCATCTCATTTCTTCCTCCCGCAGATGCCATCGCTGGCTGTGTAAAACCGAATTCAAAGCCGACTAACACACAGTCTGCCAGTTTGTGTGGTGTTCCCTCCACTCCTCTCTCCCTCTCCACTTTCAATTGCTTGCCCTGCAGCCATAGTTAGAGTCACCAGGCGCAGGCAGGCAGACAACCACTGCTGGAACAGGAACAAAAGCAACAGCGAACCCCTCAGGAACAACCTACGACAGCCTCCTATACCTCCCCCTGGCACACCCCGTATTCGTCTTCCAATTGGGCGAACTGAGTCCTCGCAACTCACACCTCGGGCTTTGTACTCTACCCCTGTATCATTCCAACACCATTACTACCAATACAAACTTTCGCCTAATACCTAATAGACCTGCCAACGCAACTAGAACTCAAAATGATTCCCTCCACAACCTCACCCGCTTCCTCTTCAAATCCGCCACGGCAGGGCCCACCGCCTAATGGTGCCTCAACGTCAAAAGTAGCTCGAAAACGGTCCCTGACCAAACCAGAGCGGCATCGACCTAAGCCTGGGATGATCAACCAAACACTTGCTCAAAAAAACCACGATGCCAACTTTCAGGAACGGAACGATTCTACAGGAAACTTGATTCAGAGTCAGAGCACAGGGGACGCCTTGACCTCCTCAGCAGCTGCAACAGCTGCTCAAGAACAACAACAGCAACGACTTCGCATCCAACAAGCTAATCAGGCCAAGAATCAGGCCAAGAGTCAGTCTCAGCAGCGTCCTCGGCCGAGACGATTGTCTACATTACGTCGCGCAGGGAGCAAGGGTCAGCTCAATAACAGCAATAGCCAGGCGCCTCAACGGCGATCTTCGACAATGGCCAAGGCGAAAAAGAAGCTTGCGGAACGCGAAATTGAATTGACGGCCTGGGTCGTGGTCTCGAGGATCTTTACGTGTTGCATGCCTTCGAGTCTCCTTCGGTGCTGCAATCACAAGAAGTTCTCGCGTATCCAGGTAATCCAGGCCTGGCGCGAAAAGGTGACGCTGTGTATCATTATCGGTCTGATCTGTGGGCTGTTGGCCTTCATCATCTTTGGGTTACAGCCCACGATGTGTCCGAACGATTCTGGGGCTGTCAAGTCATACTCAACTCAGCCGACGGATGGCTCCAGACCCGTCAAAGGTAACGCCTCTTTTTTTTTTCTCCTTTTTTTTTTATTCCGATGTTGCACCGTTTTGGACGGGTTGTGGTCAACGTTCGATTGAGGGTACACAGGTATTTTGGTGGCGGGACACTGCCTTGGTTGATCGTCGGCTTTTTTTACGGAAATGGGCGCACATTAGCCTTGTTTCTAGTGGGTTTTAAAATAGGGTGAGAGAATCAGGGGGGTAAAACAGAGAGGAAGCTGCCAAGTGGGTGGAGCCTGATAAAGACACTCGTCAACTTTTTTTTTGGGAGCATTGGGCGACAACAACAAAAAATGTGCGACAGGTTGGTGTTGAAGAATTTCACACCTCCTCACGAAAAAAAAAAAGGATGCTTATTGCACCAGTGCGCACAGAACGCGTTCGTCGGACAGAGATCAAGAGAAAGAGCTGGTGGTAGCACCATCTTGGAAGTCAACCGATAGTAGGGTGATGTAATTAGGCACCTCTGATGTTGTCGCTGGGTACATTACATCAAAGAAGGAAGGTGCAGAGCAGGCAGGGGGATGCCGCAAGGGCAGGGGGGGATAAGGAAAGATAGGGGGAGGGGTCTGGTATCTGCTCCGAAAAAGATGATGTGTTGACCCGTCTGCGTACCGGGCGGAGTATACCCAGGACTATACCTTCAAAGTGCAACTGGTAATTAATACATTCGTTTATTCAACGTGGCGTCGAAGAAAGTTTATTTTTCCCTCATCCATGTCCGCTGTTCATTCCCTGCTCCACCCTGCTCTGCTCTGCGATATAGTTGTTTCCCTCGTCTGGTACACGGTACACGGGATGGGCTCTGCTCATTCACTTTAAGCGTCCTTCCATGTCCTTCTATATTTGGAAAACATGGTCAGGGGAATAAAAAAACGCGATGGGAAATCTCCTCGAGACAGCATCTACAGCGCTCTGTTATTAATTAACACCGTGCGTTGTTTTCTATTGCTCGTATACAGACAACCATCTGGATTCTGTCATCGTCAGAGGAAACCTATATTCATTCGACAACATGCAGTCCTATCTCAAGAGCAAGAACATTGTCATGTCACAGGATTACCGTGCAGGGGACATCACCTCGCTCTTCTTCGACAGCTCCAATCCTTGTGCGGGCTTTCCGGCCGTCAACGCGACCAGCTCGCAATGCATCGTGCCCAATCCTTATAGCAACACCCCCATCGTCGCAAAGCCCTGTCTCACATTATCTGACCTCTACTCAAACGGACCGCGATCCTCGGGCAAGCTATCGTTCCATTGGACCGATATGGGCGACACATCAAGGCATGACTTTGACAATGTCTTTATCTACGACGGAAGAAGTAAGTATCTCTATCATACGATGTCTGAAATATATTGTCGTGGCCTTGTCGCCTTGCATTGCCAAGGAAACTGACCATCGCGCTTTACGTACCCCATCCAGTATTCAATGTATCTAAGTATTTGAATCCGAATCAAGTCTTCGGGCCAGATGTCAATGACGTTATGACAAAAAGTCTCCGCAAGGATGCGTCATTGATGTTCCAGAGAACCGACGGCCGGAAGAAGGCCATGGGGTGCTTGGCAGCAATGACCGAAATCGGCATTTTGGAAAATACATCTATGGGATGCTTCGCCGCCAAGACTATTCTACTGACGACTCTGATCTGTGTATGCATGGTTGTTGGGATCAAATTCTTGATGGCTCTCACATTCAGCTGGTTTTTGAGCTATCGCCTGACAGAGAAGCCAAGGACTGTACTCAAGTCATCCAAGAAGGAACAGGAGAAGAACGATATCAGCGGCAGTGGTCAGGATCTTGCCCGGACTGGCAAGAGGTCGATCGGCAGGAAGAATCTTTATACTGCCATGTTGGTTACGTGTTATTCCGAAGGCGAGAATTCCATCAGGACCACCCTGGACAGTTTAGCAAACACCAGTTATTCGACGAAGCATAAGCTACTGGTTGTCATTTGCGACGGCATTGTGCGTGGTCATGGAAACAAGACGACCACGCCCGATATTGTGGTCAATATGTTGGATTTGGCGCCAGGAAACGATAAGCCCAAGCCTTGTAGCTACCTTGCCATTGCGGACGGTGAAAAGCAGCACAACATGGCTAAAGTCGTAAGTTCAAGAGCATTTTATGGATCAAGACGAGGTTTAGATGGAACGCTCTACTAAGAGTCTTGACGTATTCGTTATGTGATATCTAGTACGCAGGTCATTACGTCTACAAGAAGAAGCGTGTGCCGACGGTCGTAATTGTCAAATGCGGAAACCCATTGGAGAAGGATGCCAGCAAACCAGGAAATCGAGGAAAGCGCGATTCACAGTTGATTTTGATGTCGTTCTTCCAGCGCGTGCTCTTTGCGGATCGGTTTACGGAGCTGGACTTTGAGCTGTTTCACAGTATCCACCTTCTCATGAACATATGGCCAGATCGATTTGAGCTTTGTCTGATGGTGGATGCCGACACGATGGTCAAGGGAGATTCGCTCAGCTATATGGTCACAGCCATGCAAAACGACCACACGATCATGGGACTCTGTGGGGAGACAAAGATTGCAAACAAGACCTCGTCCTGGGTCACCGCTATCCAGGTTTTCGAGTACTACATCTCACATCACCTCGGAAAGGCATTCGAGAGTGTCTTCGGAGGAGTGACCTGTTTGCCAGGATGTTTCTGCATGTACAGGATCAAGGCACCAAAGAACGACTCTTGGGTACCGATCCTCGCCAACCCGGAAATCATCGAGGAATACAACCAGAACATCGTGACGACATTGCACCAAAAGAACCTGTTGTTGCTGGGCGAAGATCGTTATTTGACCACACTCATGCTCAGGACCTTTCCTAAGCGCCAAATGGTCTTTGTCCCACAGGCACAGTGTAAAACCGTTGTGCCGGATACGTTCAGCGTCCTGTTGAGTCAACGTCGTCGATGGATTAATTCGACAGTCCACAATCTCCTCGAGCTGGTGCTGGTCACGGATCTCTGTGGGATTGCATTCTTGAGTATGCAGTTCGTGGTGCTTCTGGAGCTTATCGGAACAGTTGTTCTCCCAGCTTCTATCAGTAAGTTGGGTTGACTTTATTGTGATGCTACTGTTTTTCCACCTACCTATGTCTGTCCTCTTTTTTTTTTTTAACCAACTTATCTGTTTCTTTGTTCCAGTATTCACGATCGGCATGATCGTATTTTGTATTATTTCTGGGACACTGGCTCTTCTTCCTCTCATTCTTATTATTATAATGATTGGCTTACCAGCTGTCCTGATCGTCCTTACGACTCGCAAGTGGATTTACGTCCTATGGATGCTCAGTAAGTTTCTAATCTCTTCGATCGCACACATTCTTGTTATCTCTTTGTAAGCCGCTACAAAATTAATTAACTAAACCCATCTTCAATAGTATACTTGATTTCCCTGCCGCTCTGGAATTTTGTCCTCCCTCTGTACTCTTTCTGGCACTTTGACGACTTTAGTTGGGGGGAAACCAGAAAAGTCGCAAACCAGAAGCGGAAATCGAAACAGGATCACGGTGATGCCGAGGGCGTGTTCGAAAGTGGGTCTATCATCATGCGCAAGTGGGAAGAATGGGAGAAGGAGCGGCTCAAATCTATGGGATACAGGATCCAGAGGCGCCATTCAGCCGATCGTGGTATTAATGACCTTCCCCCTCCTGCCTCTGGCACTCTGGATGTCCCCAAGGTACCCAGAAAGGCTGTTTCGTCCACAACTCTGAATGCCAAACCTGGAGGCAACGGCTCCGTAGGCCAGAACTCTGGAGCCCGGATGTTGGGCGCTGCAGTCTCGACCCACAGTCTAGGATCAACCTTGAATGGTAGAAGCAGTGGCTCGATTCGTGTAGGACCCGGTCCATATCCTCCGAGGCAGGTCGCCAATCACCCCATGCCACAGTCAACACCCAACCTTACGATGCCGCAGCAGCAACAGGCGAGACCTCCTATGGGTATGGGAGGTATGGGTCGTCCATCGAGACCAAGACCTCCACCAAACATGATGCCTCGTCCATCACCAGGATCGATGGCTCCAGGAGCGAGGGGAATTGGGCCGGACGCTCAAGCGTTTGAGATGGGACTGATCGCTTCGGGAGCTAACCCTTCTAGGGCATCACTCATGCCGCTCGGCGCATCGAATACAGGGAGCCGACCTCCAGATGGAGCTGCTGGCCTAGACGCGCGACATTCCATACATATCGCTGGGTCAGGGTTCCGACCCATGGGTTCGCCAAGGCCCAGACCTATGCGACCAATGGGACCGATGGGACCTATGGGAGGTTCACCTGGTGGACCGCCTGGAGGATACCCCATGGGTCGACCACCGCCACCGGGTCAAGGATTCCGACCACGCCCTTCGCCTGCGTTCTCGGGCCCAATGCATCAGCCATCCCCACCAACGTTGTTGTTCCCAACCTACCAGCAGCAGCAGCAACAGCAACAGCCAGAATCTTACCAACTGACACCGCAACCGTTATCGATGAACCATGGTGGGGTTTCATACCCTCTTCCGCCACCATCGACTTCTTCGCAGGCGATTATGATGCCCCACGATCGTCGGTCGCAGATCAGTGATGGTAGCAGTGGCAGGACGGCAAATGGAAGTGCGGCAACAACTTCTACCGCTACGGCTCCTGCGCCGGCAGGGACAAGAGATGAGGAAGACGGGATTGTCCTTTTGAGTGATGAGTTCTATGTGCCAACGACAGCCGTTCGGCGAGAGGACGCGTGAGATGCATCATGGTTGTGAGAAAGAGTTGCTTTAATTCATTCATTTTTTTTCCCTTTAAAAATACCCCTCCGCATTGCGCACCCTAGCATCTATACATCATTGTTATCTTAGTAATTTACTATCATTGTGCCTTTCAGATAAAAAGTGTATAACCTCATTCGAGGAATGAGCTTAATCGAGGTTCACAAATTCAGTCCGGTCTTAGTCTCTGGAGCAAAGTTCTCGTATTCGGTCCCAAGGGCCCGCCATCTTGTTCCTGCGGCATAATGGACAAGGCTCACGTACTTTGGTGTAGACCGCGCAAAGTTGGGGTGGGGATAAAAAGCAGGGCAGATTAAGAGTAGATTTGAGTTCTTTCTTCATTACGCTATATTCTTCACTGATATGGTAGCCCGTGTCATCTCTCTAGAAATATGATAGGAGCGATTTCGTTGCTTGGTCAATCCTTTCTTCTCTTCAGGATTTGTTGAATACAATTTGGCTACTAGATAGCACCGTGTTGCCGCCTCCATTGATAGTTCCCTAAAATTGACCACACGACGGCAAACACCATCGGGCCTTTATTGTTGCGGAAAAGTGGTGCATTATGTTCCATTATCGTTCATAGGAAATGCGCTCGACAAAGGTCGAGAACCACAGCTATGGGAGATTACTCTGCTGTATAAATGAAGGCGGCTACGATGAACAATCCGGTACGTGTCCCCCCTCCCCCCAAATAAAATGTCAACTATTGAAACCCCAATCGCTCGCGTGCCAACTGCGCTAGATCTTCCAGAGGTCCTGGTAATGGTGGGCGAATTCATTCTGCTATGGGACGTTAGCTACTTAGGGCAAGCTGCCTTTCGGCACCAGAATCTTCTCCCTTGCCTCTCTGTCTCAAGACATTTTCGAAGATCACTCTTGCCAGTATTTTGGCGCACCGTCGACGGGTATGCCATGCGTAATGTTCCCGAAGGCGTCTTACGCGAGTACGCCGAATTCGCGAGAGTCCTCCGGAACCCTCTCCGGCGAGAAGACATTCGCCGCATGGCACCCCTCTATACTACAGCCATCAACATTCAAACAACGCACGATCTAGAAGGGCACGCGAGGAGATTGATTAGGCGAAACCCGCGCCTGCAAGAGCTCGATTTGTCCTTGTGGAGACCTGAAGCGGAAGATGTAACATTATTCAGCCATCTTGGGCAATTAAGTACTCTTCGTCTAGCAACAAACGGACAAGGCGTTATCGCCACAGACCCCGAGTTCCTCTCCAGGGCACTGGCGTCGATCAGTCGCACCCTTGTATCGCTACAAATGCAAGCAAAGGTGTTCCTGCATGCGTGCAGAGGACATTTATTCCTACCTGAGCTCAAAGTGTTGCGTCTAGACGGTACCGCGTCGGGCCAAGTATTTGATTCCCTGCCGGAGATGTGCCCTGTTCTCGAAACACTTGATGTGACCACGGATACTAATGAGTCCGGAGAAAGGTTAGAAGCCCTATTCCGGTCTGGACACTGTCCTAAACTTGTTAATTGGACTACGCCTGGACAAGGGAATAATGAGCAGTTAGCACGACTCATCCGCTCTCACAGACAAGGATTCCAAGAACTGGATATCAGAATAGAAGAGGGGTCGGACGATGTAAAGAACGCTGTCAAACAACACGGTAACACTCTCAGGAAACTCCAGATCTGCAGTGAGGCGGATCCAGAGATTACATTAGCTTTTCTGATTGACATTCTGCAATCCTGCCGTCAACTGCAATCGTTTGAGTTTGAAAACATCCACGGGGGCGGGGTAAGCTCCTTTGACGTGAACGCGTTATTGAATCCTATGAATTGGAGCAGCCCCGCCACATTGGAGAACCTGGCTTTCACGGGCCCTGCCTTGAAATTAAATGATCTATCGCTAGAAAGTGATGAATGGCAATCAATGGACGAGTCGTTCCACAACTGGAGGCTGATAAACCCCTCATGGCAAATGGAATCTAGTCAACAGCAGAAGAGAGAATTTTTGAAAGGACTGTTCGGGCGCGCAGGCGGTTTCCAACATCTTAGGACTATCACCTTGAATGGAGTTATTTACTGGAGAGAGTTCTAGTTTACTGGAGAGGGTTCTAGTTTCCTGGAGCGGAAACGAAGATGTCAATTCGTTGCTAGAACAGGCTTTCACTCGTCTCTGTTATGTTAATCGTACAAACCCCGACAATAAATAGTTTTTCGTTGCATGAATGGACGCGCTGTATAAAAAACTCCACTCCACTTCACGTCTGAGAGTGCACTTGGTATCCCCGAGGTCCTTGCCCTGATCGGCCAACTCGTCACGCTTTGGGCATTGAAGAAGATGAAACTTTTTTTTCTACAGTCTGACTCACGCCATTTTCAACAAACGCTGCTTTCGATACTTGGGTACACCTTCTACCGAACACGCCATGTTCACTATTTATACCGGCCTCGTACAAAAGAATGTATCGTATGTAAAAGTATCACGCAACTCTGTCTGTCAAGAATACCTCCGCTCGAAACGCGTCTTTATCACTACATACAACTCATTGAGGCGCGCTAAATCACTGAGAACGTCGTCGAGATTATAATAGGGATATATTTGTAGAAACATTTGGTCTTTATGGCGATCATGGAGCTTAGGCTATTGTAAAAGCAAACCCTAGGCGAACTGGAACGATATGCTTCCGCGCGGTCCTGCTCCGAATCTAGAAACTATACATTTGAGTATCCATTACGAGCACAGATCCCAAAAAAGTTTAGCGGAACTTTTCTAGTCCGGAGTTTACCCACGCCTTGTTAATTGGTTCACGTCTATATGTAAGGGTCGCGAAAGAAGTGTATTGCGGATATCTTAAAGGCACACAGCATGGGAACCGAAGGGATCGAGGGGAGGTAATGAATCCTTAATATTGGCTATATCCCCGCTGTCCGAAATGCAATCAAGCATTTTGACAAAAATACGCTCAAGAGGCTGAGCATTAGAGGATTCAATAGGCATATCAACAATGAAAAGTTCGCAAGTACTAGGAAGAATGCATCTAAGGGGAGGTCAAGAGGTTTTTGCGCGACCATATCCTGTAAGACGTGACCAAAGCGATCCTTGATAGATAAACCGGTCCGGGGCTGGAAAGGGCAGGGCCACCTTTCGCTGAATCAGAACATGACCATTCTAGACACCCTGTTTGAGCTTGCGCAGGACTTTGAGCAGCTCCGTACTATCGCTCTCAATAAAGTTGACTGGAAGAGGAGTACACCAGCAAAAATTCGAAAAATAAAACACGCCGAAAGGTCCATTAAGCTTCCTTAAACCTCCCGAGTCATAATTGAGTGCCACCTCCTCCGCCTGGAAGAAAAAAATACAAGGGTCCTCTGCCCTACCTACCGGTTTCGCGGCGATTTCGACAAGCACTCTTGTTAATCTTTCAACATAGTGTGGACGGGTGTTTCCTTGCGCAAGGTTTCCCTTCTGTACCGTCTGCAGCAATGTAACGATTCCAGCTGGAGAAAATTTCTCAGCCGCGCCATACTTAACTTTAGGCAGCTCATCGAACTGCAGGCACGTGAGTTATAGCAGGATCGGTTTTTTATTCTTTTTTCGAGATACACAGCTTTCTTCAAGAAAAGCCCCACGTTCCCAGCAGTGGTCCTCCGGCCGATAGCGTCCACTCTATAATCGCCCCAAAAGTATGCGCCGATGCTTCCTCATGTATCCGAGAACGGATTGGTTTCCCGGCGCTCATGGCGTCTCGAGGACGATTTGTTAAGAGTGTTTGACATGCTGCCCTAGAGCTGTCCCAGCAGTGAGTCGCTGTTTGCAAGGACCGTTGAAGCATACGGCGTTAAGTTCGAGGATTTGATATCAGTCAGCAGGACATAGCACCTATTTTCATTAATGCAATCAAGAAACATGAGAACAAAGTGCTCCGGAAACTGAGACTCGCGACGGATAGCAATATCGACGGCTAGTCCTTCCTTGGCAGCATTGGAATGCTCTAGGAAAAAATGCCATTAAGGAGCTTGACTCAAGGCCACGGCCATGACGCTGTGTGATGCTCCGATTAGAATGTCAGACCGAGAAGTCCGCAGCGAGTCTGAAGAAGAAAACAGAATTGAGACAAGAAAGTGAAAAGGGCCTGGCGGGAGACTTTGAGTGCCTGCGGACCATCACTCTGGACGGAATCGTCTACAGGAAATAGTTCTAGCGTCATGCGGACGAAAATAAAGAGATAACTGATTGTCTAATTGCGTATTACGCTGCCATCACTTTCTATTGTAAAAGGGGCTTGCATTTCAATCTTCGGTGGTTCACCGCTCCAACAGCATACTTCCTTTCTCTTCGCGACAGCCAAGAACATGGTAACCAGCAAGTGCCTCTGGTCTCCAGACAACGCTTGTACTCATATTCCGCCTTTGTGCACCGTCTGCATGTCAGAAGGCCCCTGCTTTTCTTTGTTCTCTTCCTCCACTACCCTGCTTAGAGAGCACAACATCTCATAAATTAAATATCGCCTCGAATGTTGATGCTCTCTACGTTCGGTGTCTTTATGAGGCCCAGCGCGGCGCATGAGAGCATGCACCAGAGCGGAGCTTCGCCAGTCTATCGGGAAGTCTTTTGTTTTCCTTTAGGATTCTACCTAATAACATTGTAGAGCCCTGGTTGTGTAGTTCTACGATCTCTCTAGATGACAAAACTCGATGCAGCATGAAATGACAGTTTCCATTTCATGCAGCATTGATACCCGAAGTCGGCAAACCTTCATGGATGGACCAAGAATACATATAGTCAGAGAGCAAATTGATATCTCATCGACATAGCCCAAATGCCGGAACCATTCCACGTTTTTTTCTTTTCTCTTTTACTCTCAGATCGTTTTTGGTTTGTGCAGAGAGAGAACCAAAAGATACATTTGGCGCGGCATATCTTTTTCATGCTCAGTGTTCATGCACACCCTTACACCCTGAAGTTGTTAATGCCTGGCTGTCTAAGTGCCTGTCTGCCATGTAGAGCTCTCTCTGAATGACCGAAGGCGAAAGGTTAAAACTCCATCGGCGGCATCGTCTTAACAGGATTGGACATCCTATCTGAGCGTGGTCCAAATAAACAACTAGACAACAAACAACTTATTATAATTTTGAAGGCGGCTGGTTCAGACGGAATATTTACATATTTTATCAGTCATGGTTTTTTCGGATGGGAAAACACAAAAAAAGGTTCAATCGGCCAGTGATCTTTGACATGGAGTGAATAGCCGCGTATGCCCAGGACTGGCGGTAGCCCGTTTGTGCAGACACTGGGTATTCGCCGAGAATTGCGTCTCTAGATTTTTATTGACCTGGCATAGTGCCACGCCGCAATAGACTCAATAGACTGGGTTTAGATCGAAAAAATAGGGACTGAGAATGACAAGTGACCTCGGTAGGCCCTAAAAATAGAACGTCAGGACATCGGGATGCATATTACCAGCAGCAGCAGCGCAGGTGTTTTTTTGTTCGCTCGGTGGAAGTGATAGTGATCCGTATCGAGCAAGGGAGATCAGGCATCAACTGATGGAAGTAAACAGCCCAGCAGCACGAAGGGCGACCGAAGGGAAGAAGCTCAGTGCGACGCCCTGCGGGCTGGTTCTTCTGCTGGCTCCTTGAAGATTTAATTGCAGGGCAATAAATAAAGCAACGTGTGCGACAGTGAGAGCACTTTGAGGCATTCTCGCTGCTATATTTTGGCGTTGAATATGATATGACAAGGGAAGAAGAAGGGGTGCGCGATATGTATGCATGAGAGCGCAGGCGGGCAGGAAGAAGAGAGAGCGATACAATATTGGGTCGTCATAGGGGACCAAGGAGATGGATGGATGTCTGGTCTATGGTGCTCTGGTGCTATGGTGGGATGGGAAGGGATGGGATGGGATGCGTGAGAGGGTGCGCGTGAGATGTTCCTTGACTCGCGCGAACCTTGTGCGTTTCAGGGTCGCATTTATTGTTTGTTTTATCTCCATCCTCACACTCACCTTCGCTCGAGAACTCCTCCCGCTCGAGGACTCTTCTCTTTCTCTCTCTTTCTCCCTCTCTTCTTCTTCTTCCTCTCGTCAACAACACCAACAGAACTCCATCCTTTGTTTTTTTCTCCTTTTGTTGTGTGTTACCGCTTCTGATCATCCTTCGTAGCTGGTCGCATTCTCTTTTCTCATTCGCTTTCTCTCTTTTGCACACTGTTCTTGTTCATATCCAATCCAATCCACACTCTTCATTTGCAATTGACGACATAACGTTTCTCCTGCTACGCCCTTTCCTACTCCCTATCCACTCTCGCATATGACCCCTTTGAACACAGCTGACCGCCGCTCCGACCACCACGACCACTCCACTTCCTTGCAGCATACCCGATATCCAGCATCATTGACCAGCGCTCTGACCTCGGCCAATTACCCCCTATCCTCAGTTCACACCTCGTACTATACACTATATTGTCTGTAAACGACTTTTTTCATATACACCTCACATCCTTCTTCTCCGCATACACGTATTCTCTTCATCTAATCATGCTCGCATCTTCGCTCCAAAGTGCTCTGTGCTGTTGGTCAGCACAGCAGCAGAGTCCACCCTCGTCCCCCACCTTGCCCTGCAGTAGCGGACATTCTGCAGCAACGTGCACCGGCAGCTCGATCGAATACCCCAACAGCGAAAAGGCAGTTATGACAACCGACACAGCCAATTCAACGGCACAAGACACGAACGCGACCAAGCATTGCTCCTATCATCAACCCAGCGGGGTAATTCCTGCAGACCAATGTAAATATACCTCTCACTCACAATGGCGACGACTCCTTTTCTCGCCCTTTTGCAGTTGTTTATTTGCAATTGTTTTTTTTTCTTTCTTTGTGGAGATGAACAGGCATCCCCTTTACGCCCCTTCCTCCCATCGGTCATACTCTCACTCCAGCTCAGTACTCGGTTCCTTCTGCAATCAACAACGACCTGTTTCCCTCCCCCTTTATAGGTGCTCTCTCACACTCGCCTGGTCCTTGTTTTCTCCTCTAAATACGGATCTCTTTATAGATGTAACACTTTTGATACCTGCACCACATCGGTATCCAGCAGTTCCAGTTCATTAGACGGTTCTTTAGTGTTTATATCCAGCACTGTTGTTCTCAGTGTTGTTTTGCTCGATGGGTGTTGAGGTGTAAGGTTGTCTTCCGGTGCGCCCAATATATCGTATTATTTTTGGTTGCAAGCCCCCCATTCCTATTCCCATTCCTATTCCCATTCCATTTGGCCGTTGTCTATCAATAGACAGCAGCCAGTAAGAACGCAGCAAACTAGGACGCGCCCCACATGTAGCGCGTTATCACAATCAGTCAGTGTGCCATTCCTGATGCGTTTTGACCCCCGCTAACCCATATCTTATCACACACATACAGCATTCCACGAGAAAGACGCCCACAGCGAAGATTCCTCTCCTCAGTCTGTCCACCCGCGCGCATCCTCACCCGCGCGACACCATCCCCGGCGACTGAGCAACCACTCGATAGCATCGACAGCTTCCCGGAGCAGCTATCTCCGCGGCTTCCTCTCCTCCAAGAAGAGCCATCCCGAGCTCTCGTCCTCATCATCTAGCAATGAACACCAGCAGATCCAGTCCTCGTCGGGCAAGTCGTCCTCCAAAAATTTTTCGCTTCAAAGCCTTTATTACCCTAGGAACACCATGACAGCAGCAGCAGCAGCAGCACCATCATCACCGTCCGCCAGCACACACGCCCTCCCGAGAACTAGTACCAGCTCACTTTCGAACGTCAGGTCGACCTCTGGCTCGTTCTCAAGGATGAGCAGCGGCACAGCAATTGGTCCCTTGGCCCCACTGGCTTTTGAGGGTCCCAGAGCATTGGGCTTAGTCCCTCCATCCACTCCTCCATCAATAATGGCACCTTCACCTCCAGCATCATTAATACCACCACCTCCACAACTGGCGTTGACCGCGCCACCAGCAGTGCCTTCGACTTCAATGCCACCACAGTCAAGTCCAATGTATACAGACAATTCATCAGAGGCATTACCATTGCCCCCCACGTCCTCACCACTGTTGGCGCCTACTCTTTCATTGACCTTACCAACTAAGCCGGTGTCAATACCAACCAAGAGCACACCGATGCTCACGACGAGCCTCTCGCTGCCCCTCTCGCCAACTTCGCCTCCATCTCTGTCAGTATCCCCATCGTCACCCTCGCCATCGACATTATCACTCCAGCCCCTCTCGCTCTCGGCTCTCTCCCATTCCTACTCCTCCGCATCCTCATCCTCATCCTTCTCTGCCGCATCTTCTCCCAACACTTCCCCATCTACTTCACCTACAGAAACATCCTCATGCCATTTGATCTCGTCGCCTCTCCAGTCCGATCTCACGCCCTATCCTGCATGTGCCATCTCACCCGCAAGGTTAGCAGCGCTAATTGAACGAGGCGAGCTAAGCAAACAAGGCGTCAGTGCTGGTCCACGTCCCTTGGTGCTCGATCTTCGTCCAAACCCCGATTTCGACCCAATCTCCATCGTGCATTCGATCAACATCAACCTGCCGACGCTGCTCATGAGGCGGTACCGGAGAGGTGGCGCTGTGGCTTCCTTTGCGCTGGAATCCTTTATCACGATGCCCTCGGACAAGGATATGTTCCATTTAATTCAGGATGGCTGGCGGCAGGATCTCGATCAGGACGGTAACGAAGTGCCCCATGATGTCGTTGTGTTAGATCAGGACATGCAACCTGGCAAAGAAGAGTACGGGCGATCCCCAAGTCCCGCATGGACGCTTGTCAGTGTTTTGGAGCGAGGCGGAGGAAACTGCGGAGGACCTATTCGATTGTGGTTTCTTGAGGGCGGGTTCGAGGCTTTCGAGGCCTGGGAGCTTGGGGAGAAGTTCTTGATGCGGCCAGGATCGACCTTTGAGTTGAGCGTGACGCAAGAGGGATCTTCGAAGGAGTCTCAGAAGCAGGACGTTGAGATGACCCTGGCAGAGAACCAGGACGGAAAAATACACCCGCTGTCGTTGCCTCTATCCTTGCCAAGCAACTCGACTTCGTCAACGATCACGGACGCAAAGACAGCCCAGGCGATCGACCACGCAGTGTCGCTCACGAATGCTTCTTTGGGAGGCGCACCACGACAGCGTGGCGCACCCACACGCAGAGAGAGCTTGTTCTCGTTGAATACAAAGTCATTGCAGCGTCCCGCCGGGTTGTCGAGGGCGCAGACAATCGGTGTCAGTGCTTTGAACATCAAGCCGTTGTCGATTCCACCCCTGAACACGGGCCTTCAGCCGCTCCAGGAAGGCGCTGCAAGCACGAATGGTAGCGGACTCTCTCATCCACTCCCACCACTGCGCCATAAGGGTAGCTGGCTGACGGTCCCGACAGGCGCATCTACACCCTCGCCGGCTATGTCGCTCAAGAACAACTCGATGGAGATCGCACACTCAGCCTCGCCCGACCACGCTTCGACATGGTCAGCCAATTCAGGAGGATCCATTAATGGGGATGCTGCCTCTGGTCAACAGGGGCCGATGTCGGACTCTAGAAAGTCCATCTCTTCAAGCACGACACTGTTTTCACTGAATCAATCCGGAACGTCGCATGGTATCCAGGAGGAGGATGAAGAGAGTGGCGCACCAGCTCATCCATTCCACCAGACATCGCGCGGCCCCAGCTTGCGTCGTTACCACAGCGAGGCAACGTATGGCCCTCTGTCCCCCACCGCGTCTCATTTCGACATGGGTGCTTCCGGCAACAGCAGCAACAACAATAGTGCCAGTGGATTCCACCAAGAGTACCAGTCCCGAATGTTTGCTGACGGAATCGACAGCTACACCAACAGCATCCACAGCAACAACCTCAGGAACATGGCGACGATGAGGGGCTATCAGGGTTACGATGATGAAATGGGCGAAGAGGGCGGCGACGATGGCGAGCAACAGATCTCGTGCATCCTGCCCAACTTTTTGTACCTGGGACCCGAGATTGCAAGGGAGGAGCAGGTTCAGGAACTGGAGCGGTTGGGTATCAAGCGCGTGCTGAACATGGCGCGCGAGTGCGAGGATGCGTTGGTGGTCAACCACCCTGGAATGGAGTATCACAAGATCGGAGTCCACGATCATATCGAGGCAGACGTCAGCGCTGGTCTATTGCAAGCCGTTGATTGTATTGGTAAGTGGTGCCTGAAAACGCGTTTTAATAACGAATACCTGGGAGCTAGTTCGTGGAGATATCATAACAGGGTAACTAACCCATTTTCCGGTTCTTATTTTATTTTATTTTTTAATCCTGATGATTAGCTGCCTCGAATGATGCCGCGATCTATGTGCACTGCAAAGCCGGAAAGTCGCGCTCCGTTACAGCGATCATCGCTTACCTGATCACACAGCTGCACTGGTCCCTTAACAAGGCGTACAACCATGTGCTGACCCAACGGCCATGCATGTGTCCCAACATCGGGTTCGTGACGGAGCTGATGCGTATGGAGGAGCGGACGTTGGGAACTGAGCGTGCGGGAGGTCTGGCCCGTGCGGGATCGTTGAACAGTATCCTGTCCCTGTCGACGGCCGGCTCCGGAGCACACAATCCTCACCACCCCCACCATCATCATCATCACCACAGTCTGCAGCACCATCATTCGTTGAGCATGGGCGGGTCGCCAAAGATGCTGAGCGCGAAAAGTAGCATGAACAGTCTCGCGATCATGTCGCCGCCTTTTCAGCAGCGGCTTTCTAATGATGGTCCTCAGGGACCGTTTTAATGACCCTTTTTTTCTTTTCTTTTCTTTTTTTCCTTGTGTTTTATCATTGTTCGTTCATGTGCTTTTTTTATTTTTGTATTTTTGATACCCTTGAGATGCTTTATTTCTTGCAAGATGAGAAGAAGAAAAAAAAAAAAAAAAAAAAAAAAAACGAAATATATGCGACCACAACAACATCCAGAGCAGAGATAGTAAAAGTAGTTTCCGTATCTGCAATGTAACAATAATAATGAGCAAAAAGAAAAAAAAAACCCCCTTCGTCTCGGCGAAACTACAGCCCCTCCGCATCGTGTCAAAGACGCGGTTGCACTACTTGTTGTAAGCATGTTTTATTCATAACCAAACAAGTTTATTGAATGGCCGTACGCATGACAATGGGCTTCTCAAAAAGTCCTGTGCATGCTCAAACAGGGGCATTCAGAATGGTCGCGTTCTGCTCCAGAGCAATGGTCCTCTGCCAATGATCGCAACCCTCTTAATCGGGAATCTCATAGAGAGGTCCAAGGTATTGTTCGTAAGTGTAAGGATCTTCAACAGCCCAAGGTCCTTCCAGTACTCCTTGGCCAAGAGCTGATCTGCTTTCTCACTCTCAGGTTACCTTTTCATAACTCGAACGACTTTTAAAAAAAATAGAAAAAACGGTGGCAAAGGCCAGGATATCCGTCCGAAAGAACCTTCCTTATAAGGATCCATCCTCAACGTCCTAAGCGCTTTTTCATGTTCCTTGCATGAACATCGGGTACAGTGTCGCATCCAATTCGGGAGAGTATCCCACGCTGTGGGCTTTGAGGGTGTTCGCCAACTCCATCTCACAGGCCTCTCTATCTTACTGGATTCAGGAAGAGTTTTGGGATTGGGACAGCCCTACGGCAGCACGTCCGCCGCCAAGCAGAAATCGCCTGCCAGACATGTCATCATGGGTGACTGAAAAGCCAACCATCCTTGATCCGCCTCCCGAAAACATTGCTACGAAGATACCAAGGGGCTGCAGAGCGGATGCGATCAGCAGTAACATCCTTTGGACGAACGCTTGGTGCTTGTTAAGAGAAATGTTATTGCTGTGTCGTAGACAGATCAAGTTTTACGAAAAGAACAGCTGGGTTACTAATAATAAGTTGGTAAGCTAGTATGCATGAGGCTATGGCTATCGTCGCTTCAATCCCGTTTTAGACAACCTAGTGGCATTTCTTATACTCGATGCCATTCAAGGTAATGGTCCGCAGCTGTTCAAAGTCCTCTGCAAGCTCGAAAATCGTCTGGAGGAATGTCGTATTCTGCGTCAGCGCACTCCCCTGCACCTTCCACCCACAAAAAGGCTCCTGTGCCATCATCCCCATTGTCACACCTTGTGGAAGCGGTCGCGGGAATCTACAGATCGGGATCTCGTACAATGATAGGGTTTCGATTGAGAGCGAAAGATGTTGCAACGATCCCGGATTTTTCCAGTTCTCCTTGACCAGCAACGGACTTATCTCCCCTTTCCTAGACCGATCCACGTACTCGAGTGACTTCAGTTGTTCACGGGACCCTAGTATGTTGACCATAAACGATAGATTGGTCGCCGAATCGTAATCTCTGAAGATCCTCAAGCTCTTGAGCGTCTTGCCATGTTTTTTGATCGAGGTTATGATGGTGGAACTCACTCGGCGCAGTGTCACGTCCAGTTCCATGATCCCTGCGGTGTAGCCTTTGAGGGCATCTGCAAGCGGTTTCTCACTGTTACGATGCACACACGTAATCCATTTGACGAGGCACGGGAATCCCTCGGATCGGAAGAAGTTGACTAGACTTTGCAAGGACTCATCACTTTCAATGTTGATGTAAACGGTTTCGAGATTGGGAAAGACCCCCAGCAGTTTACCAAACGCTGACCGGGGGTCCTTATAGATCCGCAACAACCTGAGCAACGGGAAAACCAATTGTCCCCCCTGACATGCACCCCGAAGCAGCGCGGCCTCTATATACAACGACTCAAGAGTATCCATGATTGGTTGTAAAAATCCATTGGGAAGCGTAAAAGACGAAGCAGGAATGTTTATCATCGCTTGAAGCTCTAGTAATTTCAGGCGCTTGAGGTTGCTGAGTACTCCATCGTTCAGTATCGCGGCCTGGTTCAATTTCCATGTGAGTTCGAGCAAGTTTGGGTTCGATTTGACAAGTTGTGCCGCAACGCCGTCACGAGACGCCCATATTGCAGCTTGATGGGATCAAAGTCTCTTCGATAACTGTGGTAGTACAGGACCCTAGCATGGCGTGCATATTCTTGCAGAAGACTCAATGGGACACGACTCATATATATATCATGGATAGTGTGCCAGAAGATTGGTAAGAGTGTCCGTCGAAAGTGGCGCGAGACTGACAAGCACGGCAGCAGATTCTTGCATTGGTAGACCTTTCGTCCTTGGTCTTTAACCCAGAGGGGTACATATTGCCCGACCAAGCTCAAAATCTCCGGAATCTCGAGTGGGTTTGTTGCCATGAGAGGGAGCGACATGCTGGGGGTAAGTGCGATTGCGAAGGAGGAGATGCTTGAGTTGATGAGGAGGGGGAGGGGAAGAGAGATCTACGAAGAGTGTGAGTATTCACACCTTGATATTCCTTAAAGGGTATTTGCCATCAGAATAGAGTATTTGCCGCCAGAATAGGGTTTCGCGCTTGCATCCTTGCAATCAAATCCATGTGAACCACTATACTTTTTACTCTTCAAATCTCAAGCCACAGGGCACCATCGGTAAAGCTGAGGATCCACGGCAGAGGCAGCCAGATGGGTTTATTGGGTGATGATTAAAACATGCGCACGTTGCGATACATCTTACTTGGATCCACTAGAGGCCCCATTCCGCTCATCAGTCGGATACGTTCCCGCTCGCGATCGCGCTCCTTGTCCGCCTTGCTCTTGGAACCCTTCTTGCTGCTGCTGCCTGCCGAGCTTGTGGCCGATGTTGATCCAAACTCTGTAGCATGATTACCGTCATCATCAGCACCACCATTTTCTGCACTTCGCTCACCGCGGACTACGCTGCAGATCGTACTAGTATCAGAGGCCGTCGTTACATCGCTGCTTGCGTAGTCTGACAAATGTGATACGTTGCGGGCATAAAGCGTTGGTGGGAACAAACCGCTAGTAGCCGCTCTAGTGGCAGCTGAGGAGCTGTTCATAGTTGACGATGATTCTGTGCTCTTGCGCTGCTGAAAAGGGCGGGAACCCAAGTCAAAGAGGCCAGGGGTGTTGGCGCCGAGATGCGACTGAAGGGCCTTCATTCCTGCTACTGCGGTGCCGTCGCCGTTCGTTCCTCGATCAGTCTGAGCACGTCCCAGTCCCGTGGGCGCCTGTTTGCCCTTCGACTTTTGCTTGGAGCTCTTGCCTTTGCCTGTTGACTGCTGCGGGGGCGATTCATTCAATGGTCCAGCAGCAGAGCGCATCCTTGCGTAGATTGAGTCATCCGCTTCCTCGCTATCACGTTGCTGGCGGCTGTACCGTCCGATCATCTCGCTAGATTCGATCCCGCCATCATCGGTATCGTAATGGTCGCTCGTCCTCATCCTGATATCCGATCCTGTCGTGGTGACAAATGAAACATTCTGCGGCTGCAAGGTAACATTCATCATTCGCATACCCCCACCGCCACCACCGCCACCACCGCCATCACCTTGATCGTCCTTATAACCACCCTGATGTCCACCCTGATGTCCACCATTATGACCACCCTGGTGTCCATCATTATGGCCGCCCTGTCCGCCAATCTGTCGCATATCGATCGCACGCGCCATTTCGAGCTGTCCTTGCAGTTCCAGGATGCGATCCTCCAGCTGCTGGTTTCGCACAGCCTCCCTGGACCACCGATTATGCGCTTCCTGCAGTTCTTTATCCCACCGCTCCTTCTCTCGGACCATAAATTCCTGCATGGCTGATGCTCGTCGCTGCTGTTCAAATCCCTGCTGAGTACTGTTTGATCGAGTGAACGCCAAGGGCCAATTTAATTCCACTGTACTGCTGTGATGGCGGAGAGAGCGGGAAGGCTTGCGCCTAATGGTCCTCTCTCGTTCAACCTGCTCACTGCCAATGCCATACACTGCTCGAGGATCGGCACCCTCTCCATCATCATGCTCTCGCCCTTCGTCGAGCTCTTCCTCGTCCGAATGATACTCAGCAATCGAGCTATAGAGTACGTCTCCTGGTTCGCGTCCATCATTGATAGCCATCTGAATACGCATGTCGTCCAGTACTTGTGATTGCTGTGAGACTTTGTTCCTGAGGTTTCGGGCCTCTTCCTTCTCTGCCCTAAGAAGCAGCTCCAGGTTCTGCCACCGGCTGACAACAGTCTCCATTTGGCGCTGCATCTCCACCATCTTGGTCTGCTCGGATTCCCAGAGAACCAGCTGTCGAGTCATCACCTCGATCCGCTTCTCGTACTCCTCCATACGCTTGAGCTTTGGAGACAAGTCTTCGATTGCATTCTTGAGGTCAAAGGTTCTATGAGCAAAACAAATAAGACGAATTGAAATGTAAGCAAGTACTCTCGTACACGGCCAATAACGAGCAATGCCGAGAATTAAAATAAACACATACCCCTTGCGTTCCTCAACCAGCAGACGTTCATGAATTTCCTGGGCCTGGCGCGTATCCTTGATATCCTGCTTCAGTCGCTCAACCTCAAATTGCAGCTGCTTGCGTTCGTCTCTGAAGTTCTGCATCTTGTTCTTCAGCTCCGTGTCCCAGTGCGTCTGTTTGTTTTTCCTCTTCTCCAGCTCGCTCTTCTCCTTCTCTAACAGCAGTCGTGTCTCCTGAAGCTGTGCCTTGAGCGACCGACAAGTATTATAAAGGCTCTGTCGCTCGGCTTCGACGCTTGCATCAAGCACATGAGCCCGGTGAACCTTGAAAATCTGTTGGATGTGTTGCTGCTTCAAGAACAATTCAAAGTTCAGTTCGTTTTTCGCCATGAGCAGCTCCCGCTCCAGATTTAGGATCGTTTTTCGATAGTCTTGGTTCTGGATAACAAGGGTCGCCATGGACGTTGGGCGGAGCAGCGAATCTTGTCCTGGGTCGGCTCGTGCAGTCAGTGCTGGGGACTTTTCTGCGGGCATATCGTCATAATCAGTTGCAGCGGTAGCGGTAGCGGTTGCTGTCGCCACTGCGGTCAATGCTGCTGCGCCCTCAGTATTGCTGAGCAATGATGGCCGACGCTCCCTTATCCTCGAATCTTGTTCTAGATGCTTGATGCCTTGGATCTCCATCTGGAATCCTTCGTGGTCCAGTCCCCGTAACGTCGCAAAGTTCCTCAAGATCTGGCTCATCTTCACCTCCTTAGACCTTGTTCGTGTCCTTGGCAAAGGCTGGACTCCGCTACCAGGACCAACATACGCCCGTTGGAAGCCACCTGCTGGCATAGAATGAGTTGCTCGCCCCTGTTGGTCTTTTACAGCGTACGGACCAAAAAAGTCTTCCTGTGCAAGGATCTCATTTGGTGTTCCTTCAGATTCTTGCGACGCCAGCGACTCCACCGAGGTCAGAGCCTGCGATTGTAGGGAATGATCCTGTGCCTTCACATCAGGGACTGGACTGGGCTTGACTGATTTCTCATTACTTGCAGTAGCAAAAACGGCTGTGTGTGCTCCGCCTCCATCTTCCTTCTGCACCATCTCGTTGTCATCGTCGTCTTCACCGCTATCCTGATGATATGTTCCCTTGCGATCCTCTTCGATCGACCGCAAAACAGGTCCTGTACCGAATTGTCCTCCCGCACTCCAGACATCCAGCCCGACGCACATGGCGACAATCTCCATTGGCTCCAATTTCTGCCACCTCGCTTTGCTCGCGATTTCTTGTTCGGACGTAAGCGTCAACAAATCCGGGTGAAGAGAATGTCGCTTGAGGAGCGCTTGCACCCTTGATTTCAACAGATCCTCATCGATATGGAATGCTTTGTCGTTCGCATCCTTGGGGTACATGGCTCCAGTCTCAGTGTCGCTTTCTGCAGAGTCGCCTTCTCCGACCTGCGACCCCGAGCTCTGTCGGGGTGATCCTATGGGTGAATGAGCTTGCTTCATGTATACACGAGGGCCGTGCAAGAATTTGAGAAGGTTGCAGGGGAAAAGTCCGTAGAGGAATGAGAAAATAGCGGTCGGATCTGGTGCGCCCTCTGTCGATCCACCAGCCAAAGCAGGACCTAATACGAGTTGCGGTTATTTTAGAATTTTAAGGGAAAAGGTGTTTAATATACCGCTGCCTGACCACACCTGCATAGTGCACTTGTAAACTATATCCATACCATATCGGCGCCAGCGAATGCCGTGATTATACAATGAAATATCCTCAAATTCGACGTGTGCCATCATGAACGCCGACCCCTCGCCTTTGTCGCTGCTTGCGTCGTTGATATTGTTGCCGGTAGCATCAGCCTTAGGGCCTTCATCGTCAAACTCGTCAAAGGACTGTATCGTCTGGCCGGTCAGATTTGCCCCGTTTTGGTTCCTCTGGTTCATCACCGCCATCAGCTGCTGGCGAGATCGGGGCCAACAAAGGATTCTACTCAGAATCAGAAACAGATCTGGGAGTCTTTCGTTCAGGGCCGCAGGGATCCTTGGCATTAGCATAATCAACGTCATCAGGCCGAGGGACACGATCAGAGGCGATGTGTCGTACTATTGACGATTCAAAGAGTGCATGGTTAGCTGCGAGTATGACAAGTGTACGTAGCAGTGATACACCAAACCAAACCAAACCAAGCCAAGTCAAGCCAAGCCAAGCCAAGCCAAGCCAAGCCAAGCCAAAAAAAAAATACCTTCAAAGAGAACAATAGAGAGTCGAACAATGGCGTAGCCAAGATCTGGTGCAAATGAACGCGCTATTGGACCGTCATGTGGAGTATGGATACGGTGAGAAATCATACACTGGTTCTTGGTCATGTTCATTGAGCGTCCTCCATTGCAAAAACAACCGCCTTACCTGCCGCCTGATGAATTGGCAGAGCAACCCCAGGATCTCTGGTCGATAGAGTGCGCCCACAAAGTACGTGTAGAGGCAGCTGAAAAAGTCTTTGACGCGTCCTACATTACCGCCGTACGTGAAGAGAATGACCTCTAGATTCTTGACCAAGAAGTCCTTCTTTCGCCGGATGATTGCCCTCGCTTTTGCAAGAAGTTGCTGCTGACGCTCCAGATCCGTTGTAGTGTATTCCACCGAGGGTGAGGAGGAAGGGGTGAACACTGATCCTGTCGGTAATGTGCCATGTCCTGCACGGCTTGCGTTCGCTCGCAACGAGAATCCACTTATGCCCTCAGCCTGCAGCTCCTTTTCGATATAATCTTCATCCGAAAGTCGATGGTTTAGTCTGTGCGCTGCTCTGATGTATTTTCGAAGGACAAATTGTGAGACAGGCATTGCCGCCTTTGCCAGAGATGTCCCTAGTTGACCTTCTTCGTCTCCAGCGACCAGTAGCGATCCAGTTCCAGAACCATGGCTGTCTAGTATGTTGTCCCGAATCATGCATTCCGTCACAAGGTCTCTACACGACTTCATTGCATCCTTTTCCAATTTGATCTCTCCTTGCAGGCACGGTTGTATCAATCGATCCCACCAATCCGTGATGACGAGGCGTGGTGTCAAGAAGGGCAACAGATGCGTGAGGTAGACAATCATCCGAGTCGCAACGTCTGCAATCGGTGCATCGCTCACGTTGTGTTGCGTGAACATCGTAATCAGATGTGCTGAGAATCTTTGAGCAGCCAAGGGAGAGCTGACGGGTATGTTTGCGACGTTGAATGCTGCTGTCGATGTCGAGTGCGCTGTCTGTGAGGACTGCGAGCTGTTATTAGGTCCGGTATTGGGTGTCGTTACCGTTAGTGCTGGTGTGGCTGGATGCGTGACACCTTGACCTCCTCCGATAACAGGTGAGCCAGTCGTTGAGGCATTTTGAGATGCAGGCGCAGACGAGGATGGTGAACCAACACTTGACGCGGTCTGGCTGAGACGGTGGAAGGCAAACGGGAGATTGTTGGAGTGCTGCAGGATAGCATTGTTCGTCAATGACTGATACCAGAGCTCATTCGCGTATCGCTGACCAGCAGCGACCGGGGCTGTAGAGGATCCAGCTACTGGATTAGGGGAGTCCACGTTGGATAAAGTTCCTGGTGTAACTCCTCCTGCGGCAGCATTGCCGAGTACCTGCGCTGCTGAGGAGGGAGTATGTCCGCCAGCATTAAATGAGGTTGTAGGAGTCGAGGCATGGCTATGGCCACCGGAGTGTCCTGTGCTTGCGGTACTGGCGCTGTTGCTCTTAATAAAGCGGTCGAGGTATTGTTGAAGAGTCTCGCGCGACGATTCCTGTTCCCTTGGTTTGTCCTTGGAAAGATACGCGGTGAAGTCTGCGGTGATGGTCTTATAGAGGTCCTTGACCGTCGGTGCCGAACTCGACATGATGACTCTTGGCTACACTCAGGTTCTGCCTGCCTTTTAGTGGCGGATAAGGGTCGATAAACGGTTGGCGGCCGTTAGGGGATGGCGATGCGTGCTTGGTGATTATGCAACTTGAAAGAATGAATACGGAGTGAAAGATGCAATGAAGGAATGGCGAAGTAAATGGAGATGAAGATGAATTAGAGAAGGAGGAAGGAGGAATGGTGGAATGGTGGAGGTGCAGGAAAAGGAATGAATGAAAGGAGCAAGGTTTTATGGAGCTGTCAAGCTCGTCTCTGTGCACGTCTGCATCCTTCTAACGCGGCTTAGGCCCTCAAGGTGACTTGCCCGTGCACTCTTCGAGCAGTCCTCTTCTGGTCACCATTGAGGGCGAAGATGGCAAAAAAATAATAGAAAATGCCTTGTTACACCTCTTGTCTATCGACAACTCATTGGAAGGACCACCTCGACCGAAACCACCCATTCCTTTCTGCGGTCGATCGGCACTCATTCCATCTAAACCCTCCAGCGCTATCATTTCATCCAACTCTGCTCTGAACTCATTGCCGCCATGAGTCACTATCAGCCTGTCACTTTCCCGGTGGAACTGGTATCGGATATATTGCGCCATCGTATTCGCATTGCACTAGAAGGAGCTGTCCTCAACGGAACTACTCAGCTTGTCTAACTGTCTTGTATATCCTGGACTAGACCGTCGAGCGGCTATTGCTCAAGGACGCACTGCGGGCCATATTGCACACTATCCTCTTTCACCGCGTCTTTGCCAACATCAAACCAAAGGACATGGATATTCTCGATCTGACCATCGTAAGAAGGACATCCAGCATGGATCCGTTCACTGCGTTTGGACTTTAAGCAAGCAAGAGAGCAATGTGGTCTGACCTGAAATCTGTTACTACGCTCTCTAGCCTATCATTGACGACGACGAAGTCGACAGGCTGGTCGAGGAAAAGATTGCAGCCTTCATCAAAGCTGCGGACGTCAATCCGCATAGCAAAGGACAGGTATGGATCATATGAGCAAAAAGAAAAAAAAATCTGTCAAGCACAACTGCTGTTCAGAAATTCACTCCGAACACACAATCTCTTTTCTGTCATATAATGGTCTACTCATAGATCGGAGTTATGTTCTACGAAAAGCGGACAAAGCGAGCATGGTTTAGTTCTACATCGTCAGAAGTCTGCTGGGAGCAATGGGCGATTACCATCAACATTGTCACCAACACCAACGAGAAAGGTAGCTCTCAGGACATTTTCTTCAAAGTGCCCTCAAGAAGTGAGGGGGCGCAGGAAATACCACCCCTGGATCCTACAACAAGGATCGATATCACTCTGACCACTCAATGACCCGACGTTTGTTTTATGAAACTATCAATAGACAAGCAACGATCGATCAAGAACATGGAAAAGGCACTGTCGTCCTTGTTTCTTAACATTCTGCGGACAGTCAATGAGCGCAAGGACCATATACCGCCCATCACCACCAGTGACGGAAATCCGTTCCCATATCAGGTAATGCACTGCTTCGCCATTGATGCGACGGGTAACAATCTGGGTTGAATCTCGGACTAACCTCAGTTGTTCTTCTGTGTCGCTTAGATCGTGATACCTTCAGCTGCAGACACGTGGGGATCCATGTTCAAGCGCATGCTCGACACATCTGCATCGTCTTCGCCCAGCAATTAATCGACTAGGACTTTTGGAATCACCAAACACCCACGAAGCACTGTAATCGATAGATCCAACAATGCTTTTGCTCTTACTCTGTACAACTCTTATTCTGTACAATTCTTAATATTCCTCCGCTGTGGAATGGAGAACCCTGCTTATTTGTTTTATTGTCATGTAAAATATGTATAAACCATCCTAGACTCACCATGCTACACTTCAATAAACTACAATGTGAAGCAAAAGTACAGAGAGATGTTCAATAATATGAATAAATAATGAAGGCTAGGAGGAAGAAGAGCAGGATGATAGATCTTTACATGCCAGCAATAATCTCACATCGGCTATAGCTGTCCGTCGGGATAGCATCCCACTCATCGTCATTGACAGCCTTAGGGCTATCCTCAACAGCCTCCTTGCTCTCGCTGCGTCCATGCTTCATGTGCTCCATCAACTTGGAGCTAAACGTCATATCCCCTAAAGCTGTCTGCTCTTGCTCAGTCGCGTCCTCGGCATCACCCCTCTTCATCGAGAATACGCGCTCTTGTTTATGATCCTCCTCCTCGTTATCGTCGTCATCACCATCGTCGTCCCAGCTCCCATCTTCTGCCTCCATGGCGGTGTGTCCGTCCTTATGCTCGTAATCGCTGTGGTGAACAGGAATATTCCTGAACGAGTCATCGTCCTTATTCGGATCCTGTGCCATTTTTGCTTCCACATGCGACGCCGTTACTGGATCCGAGACCCTCGACACCGTAAAGCGGCCATGTACGAATTTAGGAAGCGTTGTCGTCGGCGCCGAATACTCACTATCCACATTATCTTCTTCCTCACTGTTGGCTATATTTTCAGTTCCGAGCGATTTAAAGATCTCAGCATGGGATCCCTGGTCCAGCGATCTTGGCGAGAACGGCCTTGTGTTATCCTGCTCCTCCATAAAATCCTCATCTTTAGACTCCAGACCACGGCTGCCCATCATGGACCGGTGAAGACCGGGGATGGTAGGTCGAGGTGTTGAGGTAGTGTGTTTGAGCGAGAGGGCATCCTTGTTGATCGAATGCTTAAGCATAGGGATATGGTCCTTGCACACAAGGGCCTTGAGCGGACGGTGGGTCAAGGGGTCAATGATGGAGTCATCCAGGGCTGCCATCTGGAAGGACCTGAGCGTCAGCGAAGCATTGCAGTTTGGCGCCATACACTAGAAGGAGAAAAAAAAAATAGTATATCGTTAGGATATCCAATTGAGTACATGAGCGTTAACGTCTTAACCGCATGTTTACCTTAAAGCACCTACGATGGTACCATCGACCTTCAGCATCCATCTTCTCGTTGACATACACTGTCTTCTTGCAGTTAGCGCATGGTTTGGAGGACATTTCTTTTCTTTCTTTCTTTCTTTCACAAAAGTGTATAGTGGTACCGGAGGGTGAGGGGGGCAGTAGGAGTTCTAAAGGGTTCTCTTCAGGGAGATTCGGTCTTCCTTTAATACCTAAAGGTCCACCGGTACCAGTCTCACCCGGCCTTCTCGCGTTTCACTCGCGTCTTGCCTAAATCTCACTTTTTATTCCTTCTCATCCTGATGGTTTTTTTTTTTTTTTTGAAGGTAGCGCGCGACGCGTCAAAAGTCGAGCAACAACCTAGACTTTTTTTTAAAAAAATGCGAGAGAGAACACAGGCAGAAACCACCTCCTTTTTTTTATTTTATTTCTGGCGACCAACAGACAAATGTCTCCAAAGGATTTATTATTTTTTCACAGAATCAATACCGTGGGTTGGTCCAGGGGATTCACACAACGCTCTGCTCTTACTTACGAGACGAAATACTTTGATAGGTAACCCGGCTCTGGTACATTATAACGCAAACCCAAGGAGGGGGAAAACAGGAGAATCGGGTCGAAAGTACTGTGTGAAACGCGTGTTTATAATACCCAACCCGGTCCCGTTTAGCTTCATTGGCATATAGGCGCATCAGTTTCTCTATATATCGCAGGAAGAGGAGATCAAGTAGTGCGATAGTATCCAGCCATAGACGGAGTGGAACTTGAGGACGTGGAAAAGAAAAGATAGAATGACGGCAAAAAGAATGGGAGAGAGAATCAGGCCCATTTCTTTTTTCCCTTCTTCAAACCTCTATTAACCATCGCCTCTGCACCGCAACGATGCGCAACACTGCGCTTCCCTCTACACCAATCCGTAATCTCTCCTTCCTCTCTCTCTCTCTCTCTCTCTCTCTCTCTCTCTCTCTCTCTCTCTCTCTCTCTCTCTCTCTCTCTCTCTCTCTCTCTCTCCCCATAAAGTCGCGCGCGCCGTAGATAGATACTACGCGTTCAAACAAAAAAGCGGGCGGACCTAAAGTTGAAAGTCCTGGATCGAGCTCACGTTGAGCATTTTTGAAAATAAAAGAACGGCTTGATAAATCGAATCCATCGTCGGCTTCGTTTTATTGTCATCAGAGACTCGCTTTCTCCTCTCAACCCGATGACTACTTGGCCTATCTATCTATCTAACTAAAGAAAAAAAAATGGATAGATGGACAGATGATTGGGAGTGGGAAGGCCTGTTTATCGGATGAGTGTCAGAGTATTGAGAATGCCAATCTGTTATTAATCCGATCATATAACTCTAAGAGAGAGAGAAAGACGTTCAATGGAGAGCTGTTCAAGCTATAGCCTACCTCAATTGCCTAAAAGCCGTCCCTCAGCTACCCGCCCTTCATATGTGCTCGATTCGTCGCCCTCATGAATCCTTCAAGTGCAGCACTGTATTCTTCCACGAGGCTTCGGTTCGCCTCCAGCAGCTTCAATGTGTTCTCAGCCTGGACACGGTCGCCATACGCTAACGCCTCGCGGCACCTGCTTTCCAACGATCTGTTGACGTCTTCGAGCTCCTTTATGATACTGACATATCGACATGCAACGTCCTCACTGGTGCACTTGATCATGATCCAGAGTCAGAAAGTCGGGAATATCTCAAGGAAATGGTAGAGAAAAGGTACAGTGCTGTACTCCAGTACTGGTCAGCCGAAAGAAGTGTGGATGTGAGTGTGGATGTGAGTGTGGATGATGAGCGAGTGAAGAGAGTAAAGGCGAAAAAAAAAGAGTGGGAAAAGGCAATAGATGATAAATCGGTAAAAAGAAAGAAAAACCGGCATCGTTGCTTTGAACGCCAGCGGCTCATCAACAGCCTTTTTTTTTTCTTCTTCTTCTTCTTTTGCTCTCGACTCGATATGGAGAATGTATGCGCAACGCATCGATTTGACCACTGGATAGGAGCAATGGACATGGAGAAGCGAGACGCGTTCAGGCCAGTAGCATGAAATGACAACTGCGGTACACTGGGGCCACGGTAAGCAAAAGGCTTCCTATGAACATCGTCGATCACCGCTGGAGTTCAAAGAAGATACCACTACACCAGCATTCCGGAAGAAGGACAATGCAGGTCCTCATCCATCGTTCTTCACGCTTGTACAAAAATAAAATATATTTGTACATACTACAAAAGAAAAATGGTGCTTAGTAATTTGACTCGAGTGTCTACGTATTATCCACCTGTTACCAGCCCGATCGCGCCAGGGAACCTCTCCGGCCACTCCTGCGCCAAACAGATCTCAAACGCGAGCCACCCAACAACCCGATCCTCATCCGGCTTCCTATCTTCATCATCCCCACCTCCCAAAGTCGTGCCGCCCTGCGCCAAATCCCCACTCTTGTCAACAATCTTCCGTAGCTCTGGCCAGTGCTGCTTCAGCCATCGAGCCTCCTGTCTCGTCATCTTTTCCTCCCATCCTGTAACAACCAGTTCCCTCATCCGACCGAGTCCCTGTAGCTTATCGAGCCCTGCATCAAGCGTCCATGGGATCCCACGTGGGTACTCGACCAGGAAATGAAAAGACGTATTACCGCCGCCTGTCAGGTCCAGGAACTCGAGCTGCGTCAGTCGAGAAAGTTGGTCATAAACCGCGTTCTGAATATCCTCCAGCCGCATCAACGTCTCCGAGACTGGTTCTACGATCTCTCCAGCCTCATCGCTCCCGACTCCTGTTCCGACTGCTCCTGTCTGCCCGCTCGCTTCTTGTAAAGCAGCAGCAATTTGTGGGAATGCAAATCTCGACCCTAAAATCCCCTGAAGCGGAAAACTCAACGGCCCCTCGCTCCGTCCTTTCTTCATACTCTGCTCCCATATTCCAGAATCCGGTCTCGCCAGGCAGATGAGTAGCTGCAACCTCCTCAGCTTAACACATGTCCACGATAAAGGCGACAGTGCCAGATCCTCCCCCCAAAGAACGCCCTGCGGGCCAATGAACTCGATCAACTCGGTGCAATGACACAACAACAGCTGAATTTCCGTGCTCTTGATCCACGTGCTCATGGAAAGGTTTAGGTACGTTAGGACCCGACATTGGTCGCGGTCGATCAGGCCGGTGACGAAATCCGAATCCATGGTATAGGAGACCAAAGAGAGGGAGGACAGAGTCTTTCGAGAAGAGTCCAGGAGGTTGTTCACAAAGACCGACGAGAGGACGTTTGTCTGATTGTGTTGGTAGGTCTCAAGATACGGACAGTTCCAATACACGCCAAATTCAGGAGCTGAGGGCACGGATGGAGTACTCATAGTCGGGTCGGTTTGCTGGTGATTGGAGCTTGTCCCGACAGCGTTGTTGAATCCAGTAGGGAATTGGCAGTCGGAGAGACAGAGTCGTTTAAGCGCCGGACCGTGGATACAAAGCTGCAGCATCGGGAAGTGTGGCTCCTCTAATTTTAAGGATTCAATACCTTGCAGGTCAAGGATAGCCTGTTGTTGCCGCGGTATCACTTGCAGATCCGAGTCCGTTGGTGATGTTGCCAAAGGTAGTGAGAATAGTGCGGCAAATTGGCTCATCAAAAATGGTGCAAGCTCGTTCGCGGTGCTCGTTGACACATCGGTCCAGTTGGGTGCTGCCCTCAAAGCTAGCGTCTTTAGATCCAGCCGTCGCAATCTCGTGCAGTTATTGATAATGGTGTTCAGCTCCGAGACAGAAGCCTTCAAGTGCTCCAGCTGTAGTTCCACAAATTGATGTTGCCTGGTCAAAAGGTATCGGCCGATCTGATCCATGTGAGTCTCCGAAGAGCCGATCCAGCGAAACGTCTGTAGCTTGGGGTGGAAATGCAGCATGGCGAGGATCCGGTTGCTGGTCCTCACTATATAGGACTCTTGTTGCCTGTCGTATCGAACAACTGCGCTGGTCTTGAACATCGACTGCTGGTGCTGGTGCTGATCATCCCCTGCGAGATTTCCATCCTCGCCAACTTCGTACCATGCGTCCTCCTGCCTTGTCCAGCAGCACAAAGGTAGGAGTTTCGGGCTTAGTCTCACTGTGAGATGCAGCAGATTGGGACAGTGCAGTGCAGGATCCAGATTGTAATCGGATGACCGTAAAGAGGTCTTAACCTTGTTACTCTGACTGGCCCCAATGCTGCTCCCATAGGTCTTGGTGCGCTTGTTGTCTCGATGGGCCACGGTCGGCTCCTCAATGAACAGCGATTGCGTGTAGGGTCCGTAGGCACGCCATTGAAGCGGTAGAATGATGGGACCCATAGTGCGCCTTGTGAGGACGAGGTTGAGATAGAGGATCCGCCGAAAGTCTGCCCTCCAGCTCTTATTGACCATCATACATGAGATGATATCGCCATTGTGTCCCACGAGGAAAAGCCCGATCAGTGAGCGGATCTCGGGCAGGTTGAGGGCGTCATGGGCCTTGGTCCTGCTTGTTTCCATAAAAAATCAGTTTGCGTGCAGGTCGTTTGGTGGTGGGAAAAGAGAGCAGGAGTGCCTTTTTTTTTTTTTATTTTATTCCGAAAATCCGCAGCTTGCGGTGAAATCTTAAATTCTGGACCTTATTTCTGCACCAGAGGACGACTTTTATTTTATTTTTTTGCATGGGCTACAGCGATGATGGCCTCTATCCAATCCAGTCGTTCAGGATGTGGACCAGATCCACACACGCATCAAAGGTCTGCAGTACCTCCTCCAGGAACCCCTCGCTCACCACCTCCTTGTCCGTGAAGGTCCTGCCGATCGCAAAGCACTTTCGCTTCAGGTATTCGATCATCGGATGATTCTTGTCGAACCCTGCAGGCCCTGTCTTGAGCTGTGATGACCCAGGCCGAAGAGCATCCAGTCCAGTCTTCCCGCCCGTGATCTTCTTGATGGCATCTGTACTCAGGATCTCCTCAAATCGCTCCGAGTGGTTGACGATGCCTTGGCGGATCCGAACCAGCACCGGGCCTGAGGGATCCCATTTTCCACATCCTGCAAACGTTTCGCCTTCTGAAGAAACGCCAAAGAAATAACCTGCAGCGATAGACTAGCGTGGACAGTGAAAATAGAGTCATGTAATGTCAGAGTAGGCTACGGGCCGTGTCAACAATCGGGAATATACGACAAAGCACCAACGCACCTTTTTACCGCCTTTTGAAAAGAAGCAGGAGAACGAACGCTTATAGGGACTCTTGTCATTCGAAAACCTGATGTCGCGACTATGTCAATATCATCCAATTGTCAGAAAGAGACTCGCAGAATTCAGAGCAATAACAAGCCAAAGTATGCCGGTAGTCTTACTAGATTCGCATCATAGAATCCTTAGGCTCTACGTTGAGAATATCAGGATCCGCCTCCAGTAGCCCTTCCTTGACCATGCGAATGAAATCCAAAAAATCTGCCTTGGCTTGTTGACATCGCTCCAGGTTCTGATCCATGTATTCGCGGTCATTGTTGAGCTTCAGGTCCCTAATGAACTCGAGCGTCTCGGGCTGGATAGCATCTGCAGCAGGCTTCTTTGGCCGGGGGATGACAACGGGCGAGACCTTGAACTTTTTGTAACCGGCTGGTTGCAGATCGGGATTGCTGGAAGACCTCGACGGCTTGGCTGCGGAGGTCTTCTTCGTTGCCGTTGATTTTGATTTTTTGGACGAAGGAGCTGCTTTGGTTGTCTGGCGCGTGCGACTCTTACCGTAGCTGGAGTCCTCAAAATCATCTGCGTCGCTGTCCTCATCGTTCTCCTCGTCTTCATCCTTGTAATCCTCTTGATCATTGTCTTCCTCTGCTTCGCTTGCCTCTCTCTCTTCTTCTTCTTCTTCTTCATCCTCGTCATATTCCTCGCGCTTCACACGCTTACGGGCGCCGGCTTTTGAGGCCGCCTGCCTCTTGGATCCTTTGCCGGTTGCTGTAGCTTTCTTTGTCGTTTCTGTTTTAGGTTTGGTGGCAGAGACGGTCTTCGCGGCGCCTTTGGTTGTCGATGCCGACGTTGTTGATGTCCGCGAGGATGCCCTGGTGAGCCGACCGGTTGCTGCTGTGGTGCTTGAAGGTGCCATTGCTGATCAGAGAATAGGATGGTAAATTGAGTGAAAGAGATGGACCTGTTGCTCCATCCTCTGCTACGCTCACAGCACAGCCCAGTCGACCAATTCGTGTCTCTGCGTGTGTGCGCTTTGCAGAGCAGTGACTGGCCCTCAATGGCTCCTCCCGTGGATGGCATCATTCTGACAACAGTACTCACTAGCTTTTTGCGAGCATACCGTAGTGCGGATATTCATAGCATTGCCCTTGGACAATTTATTACTGTCTATTTGGTTGTTAAAAAATACATGCGGCTGCGGCTGTTGCTCATGCTCTGTATTTGTCTATACTACTTGTCACGGCTCCACCATTTGCCTAGCTTCTCCATGCCATACTTTGTAGTCTTGACAACACCTGCTGTAGCAATACCCTTGATCGACTGGCTCAAAGCTGGAATTTGAACAATTGAATGGACCGTCTTGTTCAGATACTTCTCAAGATCAGGCGCTGTCGCCACCGACTGGATCTCTTCTCCCTCCTCCTTGACAATCTCCACGCCGGCCTTGGACAAGGCTGAGTGGTATCGGTACAGGACCCCTTGCTTCAGCCTTGGTGGCAGTTTCTGGAATGTCCGCGATCGGACCAACGGACTGTCGTCCTGCTCCAAAAAGCCCTCGCGCAGCGTAGTGACATTGTTGAGGTTGGCGAGTAGAGGGTCGTAGAGACGATGGAACTGTGCAAGCTGGGCCTGGACAATGTTTTGGACCTTGTGCGGATTCTCGCCAATGCTCATCCTAAAATCACCCATATACGAAAATCCCGCAATCTTGGTGAACAATTCCTCTGAGGTGAACGACTTTGGTAGCGAGAGCAAAGCGACACGAGTAGCATTGAACAGATTGACTTGGTTTGAGAGTTTTGTCCGTGGATCGTCAATCAAGATCTTCACCTAAAAGAAGTTTCAAAAATATAATAAAAATGGATGCACTGTTAATAAAGACATTTAGCTATGGTTGTATGGAAGCTGCACAGCGTTGAGACCTACAGGCTTGTGGAGGCGCCCAGAGAGATACATCGTCTCCCAGTTTAGCAGATCATTGCACAGGGTATCGATGGACACGACTCCGTATTTGATCGTCTATGATTTGGAACAAAAACAAAAAAAAAGGCATAGGTCATCAGCAATGAAATCCAATGCATTGTATCTATAGTATCATGTGGTGTCTTTTCCAGAGCGTTATGCCTTACCATGCCATTTACTTCAACATATGGGTTAAAATAAACTCCTGCACCAAATCGCTCCTGAGTCATGGCCACGGCCTTGCTGCCGAGCTTGCCCATGAAGGAATAATGATGCGGGTTTGCCTGCAAGTTGAGCGAGTGCCAATGCTGTGGATGCGAGACAGCGAAAATAAAGTCGACCATGGGCTTTTTCTATCCGTTTGAATAACAATGCAAATGAGAATATCAGCACCGTTGTTCAAGCAATGCCTCAGGACTAGTAGAACCCCTCCCGCAAAGTTCGGTATGTTTGCACCATAAAAAAAAAAAAGGCGGAAAGGTTGAGCCATTTTTTTTCCGGCAAAAAAAGGAAATTTGGTTTGTGTGGGGGACTGGAAGCGACTGAAGATTGGGCTCACAATTGTCCAACGGAATGGAAATGCAACGCAAGTGTGCATGGCAAACTGTCTGATCCAGCCTGCGCCTGTCTCTTTAACAGCGATCCCCAATAACACCAATCTAGCAACACCCTGCTTACCTTGCCGTCGTAGCCCTTTTGAGCAAAGACTCCGGATCCGTATGCGAAGGCATATCTGATCGGGGCCTTGTGATGGATCGTATCGACTACGGCCTTGAGTTGCTGCCACATCTCATTGTCGATGTCGATGTGCTGATTGTCTCCGAACTTTGGGGGCAGTCTCGACATATCTGGGGGCACCTCAAAGTCCCTGATGAAGTTGGGTCGACGTTGTCTGACAGGCGACGTTCCCGAAAAGGATCCCTTGGTTACTCCATGACTGATGTTTGTCCCAGCGTTGTTCTTGTCGATGTTGGCGCTGGGGTTGCGGCTTTGGTTGTTAGTATGGATGTGATGCTGGGGCTCATTGCTGGTATCGACTACAGCAGCAGCAGCAGAATTGCCGTTAAGAGCACCGTCGCTGCTGTGAAACTGGCGCCTCTGATTTGCGAAGGGAGATGAAGACGAGTGCGGTCCTGCTGATGATGACCGAGCAAGGTTAGTGGTTGTGGAATAAAGGGCGATTGGCGCCAGTGTCCTCCGATGACGGGTATGATCAGGATGTGAGGGTGCGGAAATGTCCTTGGGGATCCATGCGACCGCACACCGAAGACTATGGTGCTGGCAGCGTGCGAAGACAGTTGGCTAAGTATGGGTTGAAAACAGAAGACGGGTGTTGGGGTCAGTGAGGGCGAGATTGGAGGAGGTGTCCATCCGAGGCATAGGTGGGTGTCCATACTGTTGACAGGAAGGGGATCAGCATGGGGGCAGTTGGCTTGCAGGACGAGGATGAGTAAGATGAAGAGGAAAGGGAGTGGAGATGGGAATGTCTCTGGGGAGGGGGAGAGGGAGGACCCCGGCAGGGAGAGGAGATTCGGATCCCTGCACCAAAATGACACAACCTCGACCGCAGACTGATCTCGCTGGAGCCTCTTCCCTCTCCCCCTCCCCTTTTGGATGGGAGTCGATCCATTGGATCAGTGGAATGCATTATCTCAGTTTTACGTGCCGCACCGGTGCTTGTATTTTGTATTTTCACGTACATGGATGGAATACCACTAATGCGTCTCTATTTTCTATTTTCTATCTTCTATCTTCTATCTCGCACACACGCAGGACTGCTCTGCTCCCGTTCCCGCCGCTTACTTTCTCGAAATAGTCTAGGGTCTATCTACCATTATTCCCAACACCCTGTCGTCTCTTTTGTTTGCCTCATACCGCCCCACGACTCCACGGCACTGTTGGTCAGGATAGCAAAAAGAATCTCTAGCCACAGTAGTTGCAGGGTCCAGCAGCAGCAGCAGCAGCGTGCGCACGGACTTGTCCATGGCTTCGGACCTCGGCTCACTGACGCATTGCCATCTTACTGTTCACTCCCTGCACTATGGACACATCCCAGGAGACCCCTCAGGATTTTGTCCCGAGAGAGAGGTAAGACTGAGGGGGTCGGGATTGAGGGATCAAACAAAACGTTACGTTGGCTTTGGATGCTGGAGGAAAGTTCTTAAAAAAGTCGCTTAGACCCTTCTCACACGCAGCATCCAGAGTGCTGGAGAGTCCTAACAACGTAGTCTCTAGACACGCTGCATCTTGAGCGTAGACTCAGGTACACATGCACCACTACTACCGCCTCCATTGCTCTTCTGCTTCTTGTGTCTGAGCTCGCACTTGGATATCTCGGACTGCATTTTCCTCATCAACCATACGATTTGCGGAAGCTGCTTATGATAATTTCGTCTTCTGCATCTTCGTCGCATTTATTCGCAAAAACTACGGTGAAGTCCTTCCATTATTTTTAACGTCCTACACATCCAGTATCATCCTCTTATTGCTTGGTGATGAAGTCATCTTTCTGGCGTAACTATCACGGACCGGCAATTCGTCTCGCATTCGAGAAAAAAGCCAGACAAGCTTCTGGAAGATGACTTGGACGCTACCTCGCCACTCAAGACGGTAGTTCGCCTCCTCCGGAATCTGGGCCATCCCATATGATACCTCTTCCTCGTCATCCAATGTGCATTCCAGAAAAAACCACTTCTGTGTATCCGTGACAATCCCATATGACCTCAACTTGCATGGTGGCCCTTCCTCTCCTTCCATTTCATATTTTTCCCTCTTACGCTTCTTTGCTGTCAAGGTTGCTTCCAGTTGTACGATGTTCTGAACCATGCCTTGACGGAGATCTTCCTTCTTCACTTCTGTGACACCGAGTGAATAGTCCATAGTCTTTCGCGAATGCACCGAAAAGTCCACTGGTCCATTCCCTCGACGACCAAGAAACAAGTCTTCCTCAAACAATCTTGTGGCCGCGACTAGGAACGACGCCATGATTATCGATTTCGTTGCATCATTTGCACCTGTTAACTGCAGCGCATGGGTCCTAAAGTCCACCTCCTTGATAAGTTGATCCAGGGCTTCTTTGTGTAGGTCGGAATCCAATATGGCGGCTTCTATCTCGGCGAATTGTGGAATCACGGAGAGAGAGGGATCGGTGCTCTCGGGGAGATTATATTCAGCGCAAACGTCATTGAAGGTCCATGCAGAAAAGTTCCTTGAGGGACTCTCCAGCGAAATCGTCAACTTGCCTCTAAAATTTGACTTGGAGACCTTGAGTATGTTGCGTAAATGATCGTCATCACACACGCCCAAATCTTTTTCAAGATCCTTTGGAATGCTTTTGCGTAAAGTAAAGAGCATTACAGAGTCGTAAAGGTCAAGAATTGTTATAAAAAACACGAATAAATAAGTGACGATTGCAACACAATCATACATTCAACGCATCACCGATGACCAACGGCTTCAACAAACCCTTGGCGTCTACCATGGCGAGAGAGGAGCCAGACGCATTAATGCAAAACAGGGTGGAAACCCTGCAGCACCTGTTGGCCTTGGCGCCCGACTTTGACCCTAGAGTTGTGTAAAACTTGCCGTCTAGCTCCTGCAGGTAAAAGCCGATCTCGTCGCAATTGAATATGTTGTCCGGAGTGTATTGGGCGCAAAGCTGACGGACGTCGGTAAGTTTCGGTTCAATCGCCTCCAGGTCGACCGACCCTGCTTCTCCATGAAGCTGGCAATAGGTTATCCCATGGCGTTTCTTGAAGCCATTAAACTACGAGGCTGAAAATGGCGGTGGCGCCTCAGACACGGTATCGCTCGAACCGTCCTGAAGATCGACTAGACCCGTACATGCTTTCTTGATCATCTTGCCGTTGACAGGGACGTTCTGCTTCCGCTGGTCTTGCAGCCACCGGTAGAGGACCTCCTCAATCATTAAGTTCTTGTAATCGACAATGTAATGAGCGCCCGTGGGGTACGTCCTGGCTGCAGCACGTAATTTGTCTTCTCGCTCGAGCATGCGTCCAAGGCTACCTTCCAGAAGATTGACTCCTACCATGCGCCCAAAAGATCTGTGAGAAAGCTTGATCGGGAGGTCCTCCTTCCGATCATCGAGATAATGAAGTATGTCCAGTAATTCGACTTGCTGCTCCAGGGTGTGCGAGGCCCTGGCCATTGGGATTTTGAACTGTTCGGCGATAGGAAGCACAAGGATTGAATACATATCCTTGCGCCTGGCACTATCTAAAAGGTAGTTCAAGTTCGCGCTTGGTGTATTTTTTGTCATCCTTGGCAGGAAGGTGTACAAGAGTTTGTTTTTGTTTTTTGGTTGTCGTCGTTGCCTGGGTCGAAAGCGACCCATAACGTCTTTTTTTGGGGAGGTTTGTAGTCATGGTGTTGAGATGTATAGAATACAACATGAGAGACCTGTCCATGGGGAAGCGCTTGCGGTGCGCAGGTGACTGAATATGTGACTGTATTTTTCGTCTTTAGAATAGCTCGTTCAGAGGTTCAATTCAATCCCCAGTTAAAGCTTTATTGCGATAAAAACGAGGAAGAACGACACGTACCAATGGCATTATGAGGGGCTAAGGCACCACCAAGAGGCCCTGTTTCAGAATAATATCCTGATAATTTATGCCACTGTTGCCCTGCACCTCACGCCTCAGTCGCCTCTGGTTGGTCTGAACGGCTTATCTTAATCTCGCATCCAGGTGGCCAATGCGCTTTTTCTCGCGAGGATCAATAACGCATAGATGCAAGGGATGCACACATGTGCTTCGTGAATGGGGATGGCAATAGTGGACTATGACCATAGACAGTTTGGTTACACTTGTGTCCACAAACCCCTCAGGCAGCAAGCATAGCATCCTCTCCTCGATCTCGCTCATCGCTCATCCTTCATCAACCAATCTCACCTCCTCCCATGGTAATGAATCCGCTCGAGATCCCAGAAATCCTTTTCCTGGTTGGCCAATATATCCCTTTATGGGACTTTGACGAATGTGACCCCGTGTTCCAGCCCAGGAATCTTCTTCCTTTCCTATCGGTCTCGTGCTGCTTTCGTCGAACCCTGCTCCCGGTCTTTTGGCACACCGTGGATGGATATGTCATGGGTGATGTCCCTTTGGATGTTCTCCACAAATACGCGCCACATGCACGAGTTTTCTATTATCGCTCTCAGCTGGATGATTTCTTCGTGGACACGGTGCCTCCTTACAGACAACTCATCGAACTGCATGCGTTTGGCAGCTACAGAGCGATGGACCTTGCCAGATTGAATCCAAATCTGCAGGAATTCGTCTTGGTTACGCGCATCCCTGTGGCCCTCGACGAAACCATCTTCGTTTCTCTAAAGCAATTGAGACGTCTACATCTGTCGTTCGGAGGTGACCTTTATGACCAGATGGACCATATATCCTTCCCCAATGTGCTGCGACTGATTCCGCCCACTCTGGAATCACTGACTCTATCCGTCAATGTCTTTGGAGTTGCGTGTCAAGGACAAGTCGGATTTCCGAAGCTCAAGACGTTGGGCCTCAGAGGCGACCCGGGTCGACTGCTCGATCGAATACCACTGATCTGCCCAAATCTGGAAACCATCGAGGTGGACGCAGTGTCGGATGCGTCAGTCGAAAGTCTGAAGGTATTATTCCGTTCTGGGGCCTGTCCTCGGCTTGTCAACTGGTCCACGACTGTTGTCTTAGCGCATGAGACACAATTCGCAGAGATTCTCAGTAGCCATAGGCAGGGGATCAAGGAACTGGATATGAGGCTGAGGGAGATGCCCAAGGCTGTACAGAGCGCGATCAAACAGCATGGTGATACACTCAAGAGCCTGAGTGTCCGCAATAGCACCATGCGGAAGAATCCTACATCCTCACTGGTGGATATCCTACGAACGTGCAGTCGATTGGAAGAGTTTGAGTACGAAAACTGGTATGGGCATTGGGATGTGGGCGAAGTTATGGATACAACGATCTGGAAGAACCCTGGGCTCTTGAAGAGTTTGGCGTTCAGGGGTAACTGGGCGACGGTTTGCAATATGAAGATCGGAGACCTAACGCTGTCGCCTCCGGATGGTGAGACAACGAAGACATTGGCCAGGACGTCGATTCGAGGCTGGAGGGTGCAGAAAGAAAAGCTCGAGCACAATAGGGCGGCTCTGGAGGCACTTTTCGAACTCGCAGAGGGATTCGAGCAGCTCAAGGTGATCACACTGAATCGAGCCACGTATAAGAAATGCCACTGATGGCATACGAGGATGAATAAAACGACGATCGCTTCCTCTGTGTCTCTCCAGCTGGATCTTATTTATTGCAATAGGGGCAATAGGAGCATCAGGAAATTAGTTTAGCCGCACGTGTACAAAGACAGGAACGCCCACATGGACTCGTTCATCAACGGATTCGCGATCCCATGCACCACCTCTCATCATCTCGAGCACCATGCACCCTCTGAAGCTGCCAGAACTCAGGGTCCATATCGGTTACTTCCTGGCCACCCGTGATATCCTCGCCTGTACAGCAGTCTGCCATGCATGGTATCGCGACTTCAAGCCCCTGTTGTATCGGAACATCCGGCTTGACGAGGTCACCCTCCGCTTTCTCTCCAAGGAAACGTTGCGCCAGCATGCTCATCTCTTTCGCCACGTCGTTCTTATGGAACCCATGCATCTCACTCTAGCGAGTTTCGCTCTGTATGTTGATCCGCGCAAATCCACTGCTGTTTCCTTTAATACCCATTCAACACAAGGACTCTTGAGAAGATATCAATTGTCAGTGGAGCCGGAATCGTTCTGCAGCAACCTCCTGTCGCTCGATATCCACCCTTCATTGCTGTTTCGTAAGCGGGTGCATGAGCTGGTTCCAAAATACAAGGTTCTTACCGTGGGCACTGACCAATATGACATGGAGAACGACGACTTTTGGTGCCTTCAGTCGACAGACGCCTGCATCCGTTTGATCGAGCTGAACCCAAGGTTGCATAGCCTGACCGAGAGCTGGGACGATATGTCGGTATACCACCGAATTCGCTTCGCAAACCAGTTGTGTCGGCTTCAGACCAATTTGGTTATGATGCACCTCAGCAAATGGGAGGTGACGCCAGAGGACCTCAACATGTTGATAGAGAACTCGTCAAGTCTGAAATTCCTCCGGTTTTCAAAGTTGATTGTCAAGAGGAGCACAGGGATGGCTGTAGGCCCACGGGAGGATCAGGATCAGCAGCATCAAGCGACAGGACACAGCTCAACAAACCATGGACAACAGCACTTGAAGCCAGCAGCAACATTAACAGCAACGACATCTACAGAATCGATGTTCAGGCCATCTAAACTGGACTTTCGGCAACTCAGGGTCTTTGCTGTCACGCACGCCTCGTTTCAGTTGGAAGAACTGCAGATTGAAGCCCCAGAGTTGTTGGTGCTCGATATCTCGTTCAGTCAAGTCAACTTCAGGCGATCTCATCCATTATACCCGCCCACGGCTCCCTTCCCGTCTTTTTCTCCTCACCACCATCGCCATTACCCACAAGTACTCTGGAATGCACCACGGCTCGAGAAGCTGATCTGCAACCGGACCGAGAGCCATGTCGCAACCTGCACCCTGTTCGAGATCCCGCGAGCACTGCGGATTGTGTCGTTCGCGGACTACGAGATCGAGTCCAGACTAATTGCTAATGTTGTTGCTGCGCAAGGAACGTACCTCGAAAGTATCAGGCTCGCGTGTTTTTCGGGAATTTCGGCCCACGATATCAGGCTGATCTTGACAAACTGTCCAAATTTGGTGAATTTTTATGCACCTGAGATTATGATGTGGGTAGGCGACCTTGTGCCTCATACGGCCGACGATAGCACGGGCGAGAACGGGAACGAGAGCGATAGCGGTGACATGGCACGCAAGAGCTGCAAGAACGGGTGGGTGTGTCACAAACTGGAGAGGCTATCGATATACGTTTGTCTGGATTCGAGCGCAGTACCGGAATCGACAGGACTGCAGGATTACCCCGTTCTGTTCTATGACTCTACAAAGACTACGTCAGCACCATGTGGGGTCACATCAGCCAACAAAGCAGGGCTTGCTGAAGGAGCACAGCAGCAGCAAACATATCAACAGCCGCCGCAGCTGAATTTCCAATATCAGCATCACCTGCAACAGCAATCGCAACAATGTCAGCAGGATTCCAACCAACGCGTCTTTGATGCGTTCAGGAACCAACTTGCGAAGCTGACAAGGCTGAGACACTTGGACCTGAGCGGCGAGCATGTCGAGAAGGTGGATCATGTCCAGATTGGATTGCCCTGGACTATTGAGGGCGGGATGGAGGAGCTGGCGTCGCTCAGGGATCTGGAACATGTCGCAGTTACTGGCTGGATCGACGATATGTGGATCCAGGAGATCGAGTGGATGAAGCGCGCCTGGCCAAGGCTGGCACGCATTTCCTTACTGAAGACCAGCTCACCAGGGAAGACTCGATTTCAGAATCTCCTTGCGCAGGCGTGGCCTGAGCTGACGGTGCAGGATAAGGGCCGGACCAATGGGTACTGCCCTCCGTTGTATTTGTATTAACTATTGTACTTAATAAAAACCGTCTGTGAACGCGGTCTTCACAGAGCGAGCCCAGGGGCCAACATGGCCTGTGATCTAGGGTTTCCCACGCTCCACACTGCCGAATAATACGGTCATTTTTTGAATCACAAGTCACTTTTTCATGGCCACCTCAGAACATCCGTCCTTTTCTGTCTGTTCTATCATCATCACCCTTCTCACACAACCTGGACGAACAACACCATATTTTATTTTATTTTTCCTTTGCCATGCGTCTTATCCATTCGCTCCTGCCAGTTATCTCCGGTATGTCTTCAGCTAACTGTGTGCCAACATGCGCGATCGCGACCTTTTCCACGGAATATCAAGTTCTGGACGCTCACTGTCCTTTCTTTTTTTTTTTTTTTTTTTTTTTTTTTTCGGAGACATGCATGACAGCCGTGGCCATAGCTGCGATGGTCTCCGCACAGGCCGAATACGACGCCCTAGAAGCCCGGGCCCTGTTCATCGGCACCGATAGCTCGGATCCCATGGCCTCTGGACCCGCTGTCTTTCGTGACCCTCACAACCTACCCTCTGCAGTTGCCTCCATGGTGTGGTTCCTGGCCAACAAGGCCATGTTCTGCCCGCGCGAGGCAGAAGTGTTCACGGACCCGTTGGCGTACGACAACTTTTTGGTAGCGTTGAATCAATTCCGGGGGTTCACCCAGTCAAGGACTCGAGAAATCAAGGTCCAGCTGAGCGGTAATCTGAATATGTTTGTGGAGGAGATCCTGCAGCAGGCCCAGGACGAGGTGCTTGAGGGTGTGGCCACGGAGATGGGGCCGGGCCGGGATGTGACCATGAAGGAGACCGCGGTGGCGTTGCGAGGACTCATCCCGCCGTTTGTGGAAGATCGATCATGGAAGCACTGGGCTCTAACGACGATCGTGATCAAGCGTACAGAGAAAGGACGAGAAGGAGATGAGGACGGAGAGGGACAGGGATCGAGAGTGATACTGGAGACATCAAAGTTGGTCCTGCGGCTGTCGCGGGAGCCGCATTCGGGTGTGACAGGATTGGAACCACAGGTAGCGAGGTTGACCAGGGCCTGGTATGAGGTCGACGAAGAGTTCTTGAGGGCAAACGCAGAGCGATTGACAAGGAATGTGGAGACCATTAACGTGGACCTGTTTATCGAGGCACTGTCGACGAAGCTGTGGGACAGAATGCTTGGAAGAGCAAGTGTACGGGTGCCGAATTGTCAGCCTATCTTGTGGCCTGCCAGATTGGTTTCGCAGGGTGGTCGCGTATATCATGGTTCGCAGCGGTGGATGAGCCATTATTGACGCGTCCTTTGTGTAGCCCCTTTTGACTGCAAGATTAAACAAAGGAAAAAGAGGATCGTTTCTGTAGACGGTGCCATGCCCGCCTGGAGGGTCGCTTTCCTCTAAAGCGAAGCTGTGCTGCACCCAATAAGCTCGAAAAAGTGTGGGACAGAAATGTGGCCCAGAAGAGCGAACGCGTTGCATGCATAGACGATAGAAAGGATGTATGGGCATCAGAACTACGGCCTTGATGTGGCTGACTCCCCATGGGGGCCTGCTGAAAGTTGACGCGTGCTTTTTTTTTTCTGCACGCGTAAAGAGAAAAGTTGGCCGCAGTGGCTTTGATAGTGGTGAAATGACCTGAACGCCGACATGGGGGATGCCATTGCTTCTCTCACCCCATTCACCATGCTGCCCCCAGATCTGCCACCCGAGATCCTCGTGAGGATCGGAGCGCTCATCGACAGGAAGACCCTTCCTGCTGCCTGTCTCGTTTCCAAGACCTGGCTCAACTGCTTACGCCCATTCCTCTGGCGTGCCGTCAATCTTGACGAATACCTCCGCGGCGCTTTATTCGCCCTCGAGTTCTCTCGCTACTATGAGCACGTCCGCAAGGTCTCCTTCACCGTTCCTTCCCCGCAAGAGTTCACTGCGAGACTGCTCGCAGTCCCCCCTGACGAAGACGTCGAGGAAATGAACGAGCTTTACGAGATGCAGAAGGAACAGGAGCTGAAGGACCTGGGTCCATCGTATGTGCCGCCGACTTGCCAAAAAACCCTTCTCGATTGCAACCGTCTCGAATATGTCAGTGTTGTTTATGGTCAGGAAATGGTGCATAGGAGCGCTCCGAGTAATCCTAGCCTCATTAGGACTTCTAAACGGATGGCCCACTTTGCCAAGGCGGTCGATAGAATCATCACTTGCAATATATCGACACTTCGTACGCTCAAGGTCTATAGTCTGCCCGACCAAATCGACATAGATATCTGCGACAATATCGAGTACATGAAACATCTGGAATCGCTCACCCTGGCCGAGTGGATCTTTTTTGATACCGGGATTCTGTATAACCTTCTGCAGGCTGTCAAACCCTCCCTCAGGACCCTGTCGCTGGAGATGAACGAGCTATCGGAACCATTGGAGGAGCTGCAGGACTGGCGCCAGACGTGGGACGAATTTCAAAAGAACAAGAGCCCAGGCACATCCTCGGAAACGAAGGCCTCCAAAGAATCAAAGTCGAAGGAGGCCAAAGCTAGCTTGAGCAAGATCAGGAAGCTGGTCCTGGATCGGTCTACTGTCAGCATGCAAACACTTCTCGACCTCGGATCCGTTATGCCCGAGCTGCGGGAGCTCTCGTTGAAGAACACTTCTGGATTCGCCTATAATGAGGAATCGGACGAGAGCGAAGATTCTCTCGATAACGACATGGAAGCTGAGCACGACGAGAGCGAGAGCGACCATGACAGCGAGGGTGAGATCGGCGATTTCTCTGAAATGCTTGTGCAGGGGATCCTTGGCTCGCAAATGTATCGAAACATTCATGCAAACGCCCTCGCTGCTGCCCATGCTGCCGCTGCTGCCGGTCACTTCCCTCGTCTCGCGGAGCAGCTCAGCGCTCGATCTAGTGCTAACGCACAAGGGACTTCAAGCACAAGCACCAACGCCAACACCAACACAAACACAGACACTAGCACTAGCACTAACGCCAACGCCAACGCCAACAGGAGTACGAGCACGAGTACGAGCACCAACAGGAGCACCACCGCGAGTAAGAATGTGGACCGCGATGTCCATCAGAGCTCGGACGAGGACGACACGGATGCTACCTCTGAGGATAGTGAGGACTACCACGACGATGAACGTTCGATAGACGAAGACTCGGACGACCGCGATGAACATTGGGTAGACCATGACTCGGACGAGCCCGATGACGGTGACAACGCGCCTGATTTCGACGACGACGGTGATTTCGACCTGGACAGAGCGCTTAGCTCTTTTGAAAACGAATTTTTGCGTGCAGGCTCTAATCGCGACTATCCTTATATAGTTCGCAAGATGCGTCAGCTGCACCAATACTGCCCGTTGATCCAGTCCTTCGATTTTTCGGACTGCCGACCCGAGGGCCTAGACGAGAAGTTTTTCAGCTTCATCTGCGAACTCTGGGGCCCCTACGGCTCTCCAAACTCTAAAAGCTTGAAGACCCAACCCGAGAAATCGACCAACATCGTGGCCCCTACGTCGCCTGGTCTGATGGTCTTGTTGGCAAGAAACTGTTGCAGCTTCAAGTCGCCGTTTTTCGACCTGGTCCTGTACAACTGTGGCCGCACTCTGACGGAGCTCGACCTTTCCATGGGCCCTGCATGCCGCAAGATGACCAGAGTCAACGACCAGATAATCGAAATCAGGAACAAAGTGTATTATGACGGCATCCTCAGCATCCTTTCCACCTGTGCGAACTTGAAGGTCCTCCATGTTGAGCCGTATCCAATAAACGCGCGAGCGATTGCGAGGCAGGAACACGATTGGGCGTGCAAGAACATCCGAATGCTCAGCATTTGCATTGAGTTTGATCACCAACCAGGACCGTTTCAACCCGTGGCAGAGGCTGAGCGTGAGATTCAAATCAAGACGTGCAAGCAATTGGGCAAGTTGACGCATCTGGAGTCATTGACCTTGGAAGGAGGACGACCGCCCGCGTGGGATTTGCGTGGACTCTTCGGAATGGGCGGTGCTTTGAACGGAAACCGCGTTTATGACGGCCAGTCGAAGCGTCGATATCTTGCATTGTCACTTGAGAATGGTCTGGGTGAGCTCGCGGGATTGACCCACTTGGAGAACTTGTACATCGTTCGTCTAGGACCGCACTCGCTCCGAGAAGCCGCTGAGGTCGAGTGGCTCGGATCACATTGGCCAGCCTTGAGGCGTATCGATGGTTTTTGGGACTGGGAGGTGCTGAGAACCAGGGTGGAGGCATTGAAGAAGGACTCGACACCGGTGTTCCAGCCGATCCCACTTGGTCAGCCGAATGCAGGCAAGTTTCGGCGTGTGCACAAAGATGTTCGATTATATGATGATCTGGATCAGGACCGCGATGCTGTGACGAATCGTCTTCTAGAGCTCCGCAACAAGTACATGAAAGTGGATTATAGATTGGTGGACGAGATGCTTGAGAAGGAAGGAATGGAGTCAGTGGCTGTCATGGAGGCCAATGGAGCACATGTTTTGGGAAAGCCAGGATCTGTGGAGCTAACGGAGGAGGAGACAAAGAAGCGAAGGTTCAGTTTCTATGTTCGACAGAGACCTCAGCAGCCATCCTGGGGACCTGCAGCGGGCGGTCGCGCCAATGATGAGCTGATGTCGGATGTGATGCGACCTCGCGGAGGGCGGTCTCCTTCTCCTCTTAGAACGTGGTATTGAGCGAAGGGCATTTTCCATGCAGGTATTGTTTTTTTTTTTTTTTTTTTTTTTTTTTTTGTCTTCCTCTTGCGGCCTACGTTTTAATAGCATAATGGCATTTGAAATAAAGCCATATATGATAGCATTTGTCTTTATTATAACACGTTAACAATTCAAATCAGGCTTATGGACAATGAAGAGATCAAGGATCCTGGGCAGAGGAGTGTGATTTCTATTGGGCCATGGCGCCTTCGCGTCTTGTCTCGGTTGGATCCTTGGACATGGGTGCCCACCAGGAGCTGAACCAACCAGAGCTGTTGGTGGTGTCCCCATCCGTTGCTGTCTGGTTCTCGAGGTCGTGCTGTTTCGGCCACATCAACGGCACAGGGCCGCGCTCACACTCCCGACGCCAGTACTCTTCTTGATCCTCTGTCAGGCGAGGACGTCCGGCCAGAGACGGTGGGATCGCAAAGAACCCTTGGAAGAACGAACCCGAATTCTGCGATGACTGGTGCTGGTGATGCTGTGTCTGGTCCATGGAGGGATCTTGCATGTCGAGACTGTTGCTCCACTGGACAGCGCTACGGTCTCGAGGGGTGGTGGCGGTGGTGTGCTCGTTAATGAAGCTTTGCAGTTCGATCACTGGAGGACTCTCGAGCGCAAAGCTGAACTGCGTGGTACCACTGGTTGGTAGGCTTGAGAGGATGGTGCTGCTGTTATGGTCCGCAGCAATTGCGCTTGTTCTTCTAGTAGCAGAGGACGGAGTGGTGGTCTTTGCGGAATTGAGTGCGATATCCGACATGGCAGAGAATGGACTCATAGGCGAGGAGAGGGGCGCGGCATGGGCGGCGGACTGACGACGGGTCGAGGTGTTGGGGTGGGAAGGTGCAGGTGGGGCGATGTATAGAGCTAGGTCGGAATTGCGATCTAAGGGCTCTGCATCGGTAGTCGTCTTGATGCGGAGGGGTTTCCTGATCTTGTTGTTGCTGTTAGTGGTGGTGGTGTGTAATGACGGATCGGGGAGCGTGGTGACAGAGTCTAATCCGACATTGCTCTTGTTGGCCATCATGGTTGAGAATTCGATGGGGATGTGGATAGAAGTAAGGTGTTGGATTAGAGAGTGAAGAAGGCGAGAGATCCTGGTATAAAAGGAAGAGAGAGAGAGAGAGAGGAGGGCTTGGTGTAGGTGGATGACGATGATGATGCCGAGGGAACCTTTGTTTGTGATTAGTCTAGTACATGTAGGTCCCCAGAACATCCCAGCCGAACAAGAGTGATGTCGAGAGCCCACGGCGACCAATCGAAGCGGAGCAGCGACGAAAACAAACGTCTCGGTTTCGGTTTCTTCTTCGGGACTGGCGTGAACGGGAATATGAAAAATCCTTCGCTCCCCAAAAGACGCGTCTGTCCGCAATGCGACGCACAGCACTCCAAAAAGGAAAGATGGAGTTTGCCGCCAAACAGCTATGCTGCACCCTCCTCCCTCCCCCTCCCCCTATATCCACCCCCTCCATCCCCCCTGTCCATCCAAATGCGCCCTATCACCTTCTACGCGCAACTGAAAAAAAGGGGGGAGGGGAGAACGCGTTTTGCCCAATCAGGAAGTGGCCTCCATTGGACCCACCAAAACGGGCGCTTGGGTGACTGCATTGTCGCTTTGGGTGTGGAAAACAGGCGCGTTGTTCTGTTGCGTACAGCAGCGAAACAAAAGTCAGGGCGAGGTGTGAATACTCCCTTCCCCCCCCCCTCCCCTGGGCCAATCCTTCCATGACACTGCTCATTTCCACATCCAAATTATACCCATCCTCCCATCCCCTCATCTCCTCATCTCCTCATCTCCATCCCCACAGACACGATTGAATGGACGAGGAGACCCTCGAGTAAGCCAATCCTTCCTCTCTTTTTTATCTTGTCGCAACACAGCCCCTATGAGCTTTTTTTTTCTTCTTTTTCCCTTTTTTTTTCCTCCCTTATCCCCCTTGTCCCCTGACATGTCGCCCCGACTTCCTTCTCTTATTACAGTAAGCTGCGGGAGGAGATCATGGAGCAGCTTCGTGGTCTCGCCGTGAACGCAAACTCGGACTCGGACTATGACGACCCCGATGATGGCTACGACGACGACTTTTACGGGGATGGCTACGATGAAGACTATTACGATGGTGAGGACGCTGCAGACGAGTGGTATCAGCCCTTCGATTACAAGGAGGACGGTGACCAGGTCGAAAACCGGGTCGAAAGCCAGGATGCGTTGCAAGACAATTCGGAGCCGGTCGATGCCTCCAAAGACAGTCAATCACAAGACGCAAACAAGGGTGCTGTGCAAGAACACCTAAAGTCATTGAAGTCCTATGAGGATGATCAACCGGACGAGCAATCGGACAACGACGAGGGTGACCAGCAGCAGAGTATGTCTATCTCTTTCCTAATTGTGACCCTGTTTTGATCGATCGTACTGCTTGGTATATATCATCTTCGTGGTCCTGACGTACAACACTGTATTATTTAACATCATAGCCATCAAGAGCGCTGCAGATCAACTACAGGACGATCAGCCAGAGACGGGGGTAAAGAAAAAGAAGAAGAGAAAGAAGAAAAAGAACCATCCCCAGGCTGACGACGACGAGGTGGATTCTGAAGTCTTGGATATGCAACTCCTCGAGGAGCTCTACGACTCGTACGAACCAGTTCTACTTTGCTATTTCCTCGTCTAGCTATATTGATATCTGCCACATCATACTAATGCCGAGTCTCTTACGTTGCTCCTATCACATCATCTAGAAAAACAAGTGCCGATCACAGGATGCGGTTGGCAATAGACAACTTCCGCAAGGAGCGGAACTTTGTCCCGATGTCCAACAAGATTCTTGAGACCTACTTCTCCTACGGTGGCATGGACGAGCACCCGGTCGTGGTGGGCGGTGCAAAGCGTACGCAAGGAGCCGAGGTTACTCTCGACATCGACTTTGTCTACGTTGTCGCATCCTTTTTGTCGTCGCACGTTCTCAATTCTGGCATCTGGCACGATGTCACATACTTTGAGATGGCTCCCAGGGTGGTCCTCGCGTTCCTGAAATACATCCATGTCCGCAGGGTGATGCCCGAATATGAGGTGGAAATCAAGAAGGCGATAGATATTGCTCAGTTGGCCAAGGTCCAAACGCCTCAATGCAAGACCTTCAACCGTATGATGCCGGATGACTACAGCCAGTCCTGTACGATTCATTTCGTGAGAGAGTACCGATCTGACCCGCTGCCGGACAAGTCGGACGAGTTGCTGAAGCAGTGTATGGGCGACAGTAGCTCGACAAAGGATGTTCAAGTTGAGGGCGAGCACATGGGCTATGCAAGGGTCCTACGAATCCTGTCAGAAAACACAGACGAACAGATCGGCGCCACCGCTGCAGTCGATCCTACTCGTGTGGACAAAATCGAAGCTGCCACCGGCGATACTGTCAGTCTTCCTGCCGCCGATGCTGCTGAGGTTGTCGTTGACGGTCCTGTTGATCCTACCACCGCCAATGACGATAAACATCCTACTGCCAAGACTGTCAACCCTCCTACCGTCGATGCCACTGGCTCTTCCACAGTCGATACAGTCGCTCCTGCCTCTGCTGATGAGATCAAACCCGTTGTTGTCGATGCTGCTGACACTGCCGTAGTCGATACCAATGTCCTTGCTACTGTCGATAAAGCAGATACTGCCATAGTTGCCAATGAAGCCCTTGTCGATGCTGCCAGCCTTTCCACCGACGATGGCGCCCTCGCTGCTGCGCCTAACGCTACCAAAGACGATAGTACTGGCCTTGTCAAGTTGGAGCAACCCTTGACGTCAATAATCGTGCTGGAGCCAATGATCCTGGAAGACGGAGTCCTTTTGCCTACTCATGGGAAGGACTACTCAATACGTGTGTCTTCTGAAGCCGCGGCGTTACTGGGGGGTGGAACCATCCTTTGGGGGAAATTCTACACGCTGTCGAACGATACGGTTTTTGCAAGGCCGCTTATGGCATACCCATCGTTCCATGTGGAGGAGGACGAGGAATTTTCCTCCTGGTGATCGTTTCGAGCATTCGATTCTGTGGACATGTTGAGAACGGGTTCACTAGTGAACAAACACTTCGTCTAGAAGACCCCCCAGACAGAGTACTTCCTTTTCTTTTCAGTTTTCTTTTCTTTTCTTTTTTTGGATTTTTGGACTGAGAATCCTCAGGCATTTTTGAAAGATGCGTCATCTCGGATGGCCGACTAACGAACTTCATCTCCACCATTTCCTCCCGGGCACGATTTTGATACCTCTGCTTTGAAATAGATAAATAAACATATATCCGCATTGTCTCTTCTTATTGAAAATTGGCTTACATGATTGCAGCTCCATTCTGACCTCTTCTTCACATTAAAAAAAAATGTGCCTCTCACACATATTTCTTTCATCACGAAAAGTATGGCGTCCGCCATCGCAGCCGGGGGGGGAGGAAATCATTCAGATACGCAAGGACAAGGCGCAGTAGATGAATCGTTACTGTAGTCCCTTGTATTTATTTTCTTATTTTATTTTTTCCTCGTCGCCGTTATTAGAATGCACAATAACATGAAAGAAAGAATCGGGGTATACTTTATTGTTGCTTGCCAATGAGGCGAAGCGGTACCGAAGTAACAACCCAAATGTGTTGTTGGAAAGGGGGAAGGGGAAGGGGGAGGAAACTAATAGAATAAAAGTCGAAACTGAAAAAACCGCTAAGCCTTATTATCGTCGATGGAGGTCTCCTGCTTCTCGCCCTCAACAACGTCATCGTTCTCCTCAACAGTGTGCTCCTGAACGGCCTTGAAGGCAACGGGGAAGGCGCCGATGACACCGATGAAGATGAGGGCAGCACAGACGATGAGTTCACCCATACCCTTGCCGGTGGCGTGCTCAGCATTGTAGCCCTTCGAGGGGACGTTACCGATGGTCGAGGTCTGAACAACGGGAGCCAGGACAGTTCCCAAGTTCTGGACAAACTTATAGAAACCAGCGAAACGGGCTGCCTGGTTGGTGTCGTTGGTAAGGGCACCCATTAGCCAGTAAGAGAAACCCTGGTACATGGCATCGGTCACTCCGAAGGCGAAGTAGAGGAAGTACGGTCCCAAGAACTCGCTGGTATTATTGACGAGATCGATATTGTGGAAATCCGCTGGGTTCCTGACCCAGACGCCGTCCTCTTGGATAGGGTCCTTGGGCCCGAAGGTGGTCTGGAAGGCGAATGCTCCGGCATAGGTGGCTAGCAAGACGACAGTCAGCAGGATGAGGCCATATCGGGCTCGGGTGGGGCGGGACCACTGGACACGATCCAAGAACATGCCAAAAAGCACCGAGGCAATAACCTGGGCGCCCCAGTAGGTCATCGAGTTAATACCACGGGTGCGGACGGAGAAGTTGGAGCCGTTGTAGGAGGTGAACTGATAGTTATAGAACCAGTTGGAAGTCCAGAACATCGGGGTAAGAGCCAGCATGCGCCAGTCCTTAAAGAGAGCCAAAACAGACTTGAGCTCCGAAATTGGAGTCGAGTACTTGACCTTAACGACATGAGTGCCATCTTTGCGGATGACCTTATCAATGGGCAACAAGAAGATCGTGAGGAGGGCACCGATAGTCATGATGATCATGTAGGCGGAATATGAGGCAGTGTTGGCACCGGTAGCGGCTGAATCGTTCCACTGAATCGCGGCACCGATAGCGTTACCGAGGATAGCGCCCATGTTGAAGATGACCCAGAACATGGAAAAGTATTTGCCCTTCTCACTCTCGTTGGGATAACCCATCATGATGGCGCCCTGGGCTGTCCATAGCCAACCGGCGCCAACACCGAGCAAGCATGAGGCAATGACGATGAAGGTGGCGGACTGGATGTAGTTGTAAGCCAGGTAGGATCCAACATAGAGAACGTAGCTGAACCCGCCCAAAATGAGGAGGAGGCGGTGGCCCATGATGTTGAAGAGTGCACCAGCGAAGAGTGATGAAAAAGCGAACACGCACCCAAGAGCGATACCGGCGTGGGCTCCAACTTCAGCATCCTTAGAGGAAAGGCCGAATTGACCAGTGCCCTGCTGGGAGTTGTACATGCCGGGGCAGCAGAAGCAGATGAAGCCCTAGAAACCAAAGATATGCGTGCAAATTGAACACGAGAATGGTCAGTGAGGTATACTTGAAGAATGCCAAACGGTGGATCCGTTCCGTTACTTACCAGAATGATAAGCTGGATCTTGGGGTCACTCAACCTCATTTTGTAAAGACTTTGGGTGGGGATGCGGATGGGAGAAGGGATGATGGTGCCGGAGCAGCTAAGGAGGCGGAAGGAAGATGAAGGAGAGATCTTGAGATGAGGAGCAAGAAAAAAGGTGCGGCACGGAAGGGCTTTTATAAGAACCTCCAGCTCCACTTGGCCCCATGCCAATAAGGTTAAACATGAATAAGAGCGGAAAACGCGCTGTCTAGGGGTGCGGATGAATCATTGGCTATTTTATTTTTTTCGGTTATAGCTACGGATCGCAACCTTGACGGGCGCAAAGTATATTTTTAAATTGAAGTGTATTGAAGGAACACTGTCCCGATTTGGACAAAATTCCAGAAAATTAAATTATGCTTTGCAGGTACCGGATGTCCGTTACCGAAATCGTCTCAAGATAAACAACAGCCCGGCATAGACGTGCATCATAGATCGTTATCAGCGCTATGCCCCCACCTACGACCAACCTTATTTGCCTCGCCCACGGTTCTGTTACGCGCTTCCTCCACATACACATACACACATACACATACACATACACATACACATACACATACACCCCAATGAACGCCTACAACCAGTAGATTTTTTTTTTACCTCAAATATTTCTCCGCAAATTGTTCAATGAACACCTGTCAAACCAGAAAAAGATGCAGCCTTGCATGTCCTCTTATTCCTTTTTCTATTTATTCGCCATTCGTGCATACTTAAGCCCTCATAAACACACACGCTTCTTACTTCTTAATAAAGACTGCATATGGAAAATCAGCAGGGGCTGGTCGGATGGGTCTTCCGAAAATATGCCGGATAAGACAGCGATGGCAAAAAAAAAAAAAAAAAAAAGCCTTCTCCTTCCAACACCTTTTTAGACTTCAAGACAACATACAGAGTGAACGCAAAGATCTGTCCTATATCAGTTTAATCTCCATCAATCTTCATCGGCCTGGGCTTGACGAAAAAGCTAATTCCAATGGTATAGATATATTTGGTGTTCGGTCAAAACAAATCATTAACAGCCGCCATATCATGGGCGACATGCAGCTGAGCTGGTGTTTGACGCTGCAGTATAATATACCATTGCGAAGCCGCAGGGCATGGAAGTACTGTGCATGGGGACGGGGATTGTCTGTCTTTACTGAGCTAGTTTGTGAGTACAACCTGTATTGGTCCTACTATGAAAGATACATTTTCGGACGAACAAGAGGTCACTGGATATGATGGAACTACTACACATGTAGATAACAAAGCATGACTCGCTCAACTACATGGCTGTACGACGTAGACCCTGACTTCTCTACGGGCTGTAGGGGACGATTTGTCAACTGAGGACAAAGGGATCACAAAAACGCAGAGTGCCTGCCATTCTTTTGTTATCGCTCACCATGGTGCATGACCTCTGTGTACCCAAAAATGGAGAGTAAATAATGTTGCATCTCTCGACAACTTTATTTTTAGGTGCTCTGACACATCCGGCGGATCGATTAATATTTCAAGTAGCATTAAAGCAATAAATTAGTTCAGTTCATAGTTCATAGCTCGCTACGTTTATTGTGCTCTACCGGATCCTCGTTCCGATACTACTAGAATTTTCGCCCTGGAATGTTTCGCACACGCCGGGCGTGAGGCGATTTTGTACAGACCTTGTGTCCTGGGCATAAAGTCGTTTTCAGTCGAGGCCAGTTCTCGCCGATCCATTCCACTTCCTCATCGATCCGCTCCATGAATGGATGGTCTCTCAGGTCCAGGGCCTTGTCAAGCAGTGATCAAGTCGCATCATTTCTCCGAGGCGGAACCTATCCAGCTGGATCAACATCCTGATCTACGTCTACATGTAATCTACAGACGGATTCGGCTCTACTTTGCTATGAAGGCGATACAGGAACCGCTCACCCATGTCATCTCCACGGTTCAGTTCCAGATCCTACGCCTTCAACTGGTCTCGGAAGGGACCACTGTGTGGCTACCCAAGGTGCGTAGTTGACCGCCACGTTATTGTACGCTCTTCTTTGCTCCAGCCGTGCTCGAGGGGACCGTAAGTGAGGGCAATAGTTGCAAAGGTCCAGGACAAAACCGTCAAAGGACCAAGGGCAAGCCTTCCGCCATGATCATATCGTTATTCTACTACAGTGTGAGACTTTCCGGACTGGGACAGCACCCCAACAGCGGTAGGATGACCTGGACTTCCCATAGGTATTAAGAAAGATGCATTATCTGATCTTTTAGTCTACAGATGATTCCTGGTTGGTCGGCCATGATGATATGGATTTTCATGTGGTCCATTGCGCCAAGCCGAACCGTACGGGCATATTCATGCTCGTATTCGTACGCACTTGTTGTCGTCTTCATCGCCGTGCTCTTCATAGGTTACCCAACTCTTCGGAAGCGGCAAACAAGTCTGTATCTTTTGGATAGAGATATGTATCCGGCGTGTCTTGGATGGGTACAATCTCGAATATGGATGGAATGGAGGGCATCGCTGGACTTTTTATTCGTCCTGGCACCAAGACCGAGGAGTGTTGAGGAGGAGAGGGATGAGGGAGCTCGGTGTGCTCCAGATCCGCCTGTTCAGATATCTCCTGCCGGCGTATTTCAATATCTTTTTTTTAGCGGATTTGAAAAAGGCCATATGGCAATCAATTGTCTTTGCTTTACGATACTCTCCCCATATCATTGAAAGTTTCTTTCTACCATTCCTAGGCCAAAGGAAATGTGGTTTCGAAAAAAATATAAAAAATAAAAAAAATATAAAAAGCTGGGTTGGTTTTATTGCGACGAAGCGGCGCCTGTGGACAGAAAAGCGGCCTATTTTCTTCAGATCGCCTATAGTCAGATACGTCGGACATATCGTTACAGGGGTGCGCTTGAAGGAAGGATGTTCACTGGGACGGTGGGGGAAAGTCACAGCGGTGGGGCAGATGTATTTCAATACTACGCAGAGAAACAAGCAATTGAGCAAAACCCAGCATATCAAACCGTCTTTTCAACTTTGGGTAGGAAAAGATAGCTCTGATATGTCTACTGTGGATGTCGTAGTTTCCTTGGACACTTTATATATATCTGCCTTCTCCATCTGAATGGTAGATGAATATAGACATCCATACTTTCATTTCCAGGGATATGATAAGAAAAATCTCGAGATTTTCAGGGACATGGCCGACCTTCAGAGATGATTTGGGTAGGAGCGAATCGGCGATAGTTACTTAATGCAATTTATTGAGGAGCGCTATTTCGGTGCGCTCAATTAATAGCGGGATGAGGCCCATATGTATCTTTAGCAACTCTCTACATATCCTTTGTCCATTACGCGATGCGATACAGGTCTCGGTGGAAACAGCGCCTGAATACAAAAAGAATTACTGTTGTAGAGTCACATCTCCAGCTTGACTCAGGCAGGTGGCCCTGTGGTGAGCTCATCGATGAACGTCGCAACCTGGACGGTGTTAATATTTCTGACAAGTGCCTTGGCTTGTGCGGTGAGGAATGTGGTGATAAGTCGATACCCGGTCTGTCGAAGATGTATTGTTTGGGAACCGATCTCCACACCACCATCCTTATTCTGAGAGAGAATCAAAGAGAGAGAATAGATACCGACGTAGACAGACTCGTTACGGACCTGGATCACAGTCAAAGTAAGGAGCCAACCTTCCTCAGATTTATCCCCCAAAGTACTAGGCAGCTCCTTCATGAATGCGTCCGCAACATCTCCAGACTCGCCCACGCCGGCATCAACTCCAGCAGCAATGCTTTCTTTGAGGCTGTCCTTGCCTCTGCTTAACTGTAGCCCTACTTCACTGCTGGTCTGTAAAGTGAATCCAGGAAAGGTGGAAATCCGGGTCACAAAGTTGTTGTAGATGTTTTGATCTGCGATCACTCCGTCTTGCTTTGGCTTGAAACCGGCGCGGTTAGCGGCAAAAAGAATAATAGAGGCCACAGCAGCTGGATGATTTTTCGAGTCCTGAAAGACCTCAACGCCGCTTGCGTTGGGGTCGGAGGTGTCCTCACCGGCAAAGAGCCCGCCCGAGGCAATGGCACCGACGTTGGCATGGATTACCATGGCGGTAACTGTAGAAGAGCGTAGAGGGAACCTTGTCAGCATGTATTTGATTGCATTCGTGCCTCAGAGGATAATAAATGAGCTCACCTGAACACGCGAGAAGTAGGACCTTCACAAGATGCATTAGAGGGGTGGGGTTGAAGTACTATCGTTTGGAAGGTGGTGGAAAGGTAGGGGAATAGGAAAGGAGACTGGATGGATGGAGCTTCAAATGCACGACCACAGCCGCTTTTATACACAGAGAACGGCAGATACATGACGGCGGACGATAAAGGACGGCAGTAACAGGACGAGCAACATAGCACTATGACAGAGACGGAAGCTCATTCTCCGGCGCCGAGGAGGTATGACACACCCACGAACCAGCATTCTCAGCAGTAAAGAGAAGCCCAATCGCACCAGGCGCCTAGGACCGGGATGAACTGGATACAGGTGCTGTGTGAGTAGCCTGTTTCTCTTCATGTGTAAAAGCCGTAAGCCAGCGACCAATTGGGCGCGTTACTTATTATGTCAGAGCGTTGGGTCAGGATGAAAACCTTCCAATAATAAAGTGGTTCGTGCAGCCCCTGGTCATTTATGTGCTCATACGTCTCGTCGCAGAAATGAATTACGTACAAGTGCGTTCTCCGAATAGACGCCAGTGTGTCTACTTACAGGCGGGCAAATACTGCTACAAAGAGATTGGGCGAAGAGTTTTCTGTGCTTTTAAGTCCTACATGCAACCCTTGGTATCTCTTACTGTACCTTCCAACTCGACTTTGCCCCTATTCGTTGTGGTGGGTCGGCCGATCAGCTAACTGCCCTGAATCGTCTCGGCCTTCTTGCTTGACACCTCTACACGAAATAAGAATTGACCGTGAGCGGAATATAGCTCAGCACTGCAGACTGGGGATCAATCCTCATGACGCAGTTCAACTGTCGGAGTGTCAAGGCGACCGGAACAAGGGTTACCTTTACATAATCTCTAGCTTCAATTGATAAAAGATTGAGGATCCAATCTTGCTGCTTGTTCTCGCCTTCCAAGGGACTCGGCAGCATTTTTTAGTAACGCATCACTAACCTCTCGTGTCCTGGTAATGATATATGCGCGCTCAAAGACAAATGCCTCCTCAAGTTGCGGTAAGAGCCGGAAGAAAATCCGAGACAAAGGAAGGTAGTAATCTTCTGCTTGAAGTTGATGTAGATGCCCTCGTCCGTAATCAGATTCTTTCTCTGTGAAAAAAACCCGACTTCATTAGCATTGGAGTTGTTAATGGAAACCAGAGCTACTAGGCCCTCGTGTGGACCTGGAAGACATCAACACCGATTCCATTTGGGTCAGAGATGTCTTCACCAGCGAAATGCGCAGTGGAGGCGATTCTATTGAGATTAGCGTGGGCATAATAACAACTACAGGTAAGACATGATGAGGCCGTGCCATTGAAAGCTGAACTAATTAATACCAAAAAAAAAAAAAAAAAAAAAGTCTTGGCTTGCCTGAACACTCTAGGAAGATAGACTCTGCGAAACGCATGGTGGTGGATAGGATGTAATGGCGGCGGTAAGCCTGGTCGAGGATAGGGCTGGCGTAAGGTGTGTAAAACTCTCCTTTTCGCACAAGCAACAGAATTCATACGGGTGATCGCACAATGGGCTACAAAGCGCGCCTGCAACATACCACATCTCCCCCTGTATGCTTCTGGAGATTGCCCCATTTCTTCAGAACTCCGCATGCATGGGTATAGTTTATATAGTTCATTTGAATCTGCATAAAGCACTAGCACGGCATTATTTTCCAGCTGCCGGGAACGCGTATGACACGCACTATGCGATTCAGAAAGTATAGGACTACCAGCCCGCTGTGCTCATTTTTTTTTTAATGTCCTGCCATTGCATGATAGTTGTGCTAGCCCCTTGGTAGATAGCAAAGGTAAGTATCGGCGCATAAATCCTCACACATCTTAGGATACGGTCTCCTTACAGTAGATTAAGTAAGAATCGGTGGACGGGAGCGCAATAGAAGAAAGCGCAAAGAGCTGGAGCACAACAAGTTTTTTTTTTTTTATTTCCTAGTCTTTTGCAGACAGCGCTCTAGGCCTTACATTGTAGCCTCGAGGCATCAGGCGGACACGATTATGAATATATCCGTATAGAGTCGGGATCTGGATCCTAGTACTAGAGGGCATGAGACGTTGAATATCAGGTACGATTGCTTACTGTTGTTGTTGTTGTTGGACGTATTTGTTTCTTTCCATCAAACAGCCCCCGGAGAAAAGTAAAAAAATCATGTCGATGCCATATTGTGCACTCTTTTTGACGCGTGGCTAGGCTACATGGTGCTGTGCGGCAAGAATCTCCTGCGTACATCGACTTGGCATGCAGTGGAAAAAGAAAATCAGTTTTATTTCTTCAGTCGTGCGGTTGCAACTAGCAATGAAGAAAGCCACTAATAAAACTACATGAGCAGATGAAAAGTATGCCTCCATCAAGGCTCTCCCCCTCCTCCTCTACATGTTCATTCTCCATTGCGCAAAGGAGTACAGGTTTCGGTGGCGGCGGCGGTCCTCGGGTTCGGATTGCGAACCGGTAGCGCAGGACGATTGACCCTTGTTATCGAGCCACATCTGCAGCTCGCCGTCATCTTTCTTGTGCGGTGTGGTGAGCAGATCGAGCATTGCCTGGACCTGCACCGTCTCGATCCTTGAGCCTAGAGCATCCGCATTAATGGACAAGAAGGCAGCATTGGCAATGAATGAATCCTGATGGACGGACGCCTTTCCAGGAGTGATCTCTGCCTGGCCAGTTTTGTTGTTATGGAGATTCAACGTAATCGCAATAAGATCGACTTTGACACCTTCCTCATCCTTCTGGAGTACAAGAGCACTGACAGTCCAATCCTGCTTAGCCTTGTCCTCCAATGAGAGCGGCAACGCATCCACGATCGAGTCAGCAACGACATTGCGATTGGCAACCTCACTCTCAATCGATTGGATAATCTGCTCCTTCAACTGGTCGGAGCTTCCGTTCAAGGCCATGGATCCCTGTTTAGTGGACCTGAGCAGGAGTCCGGGGAAGGTGGCAATCTTCTTCATAAAGTTGGCATAAACGCTCTCGTCCGTAATCACACCCCTCTCCTGGGGCAGGAATCCGGTTTGATAGGCACTGAAAGCGATAACGGAGGCCACAGCGACTGGATGGTTCCTGGGGTCTCGGAAGACCTCAGCACCTCTTGCGTCAGGATCGGACGTGTCCTCACCGAAGAAAATTGCAGTGGAAACAATCCCCGCGACACCTTCGGCACTTGCGTGCGCCACCATAACAGCAGCTGAAGTCGAGAGCCAAACCAGTTGTATTAGTATATGGTTTACTGATTCCCTGGGGTTGTTAGAGAGGCGAGGAAGTAAACCGGCGCAGCTTACCTGTGCATGCCAGGAGGAGTGATTTCACAAAGCGCATTTTGTAGATTACGTGGAATGCTCTTGGGGATGTGTGTTCTTGATGTGTGGGAAGTAAAAGGAGGCTGTATGGGATTTACAAGGGTGAGATGAACCGCTGCCGCTTTATATACCCGATGTAGAAATGCG